TATACCTGGAATATGCTTACTACCTAGAACTATTAGAACTGGACAGGACAGCTGGAACGAGTGAGTGTGGTTCTCGGTGGTTAGTCTTTCAGACGTGTGTCAGTATGTAGCTAGCAACTCATAACTTCCATCGAATGCATACGCTCGCAGAATGCTAAGTAAAAACCCATGTCGTCGATCCCGATCCTCTCCGACTTATGCAACTTAATCCTACATCTGTCGTTAGGTTGAGTGGGTAAAGAATGAGGTGGACTCTGGCTCCGTTGATCATCTATGTAGGGCTCTGGTTTGTGATTAGGGCGACAGTATTTCGGCATAGGAAATTCTTTCATCACACACAATACTAAATCCTTTAATAAACCTATATTCCTACAAAAATGACCCAGACACTCTTGCAATGCCCAGCACGTGAATCCCATCATTATTAACACCCTAACCCAACCCGGCTACAAGATAACTAAGGCATGTATTGGAAACGCACAGTGCAGCTTAATAACCAACCATCAAGTCTAACTACCAAGGCCTAGTGAATCAGTCAGTATGCACATAAGTATAGAGGTACATACATTATACATGCTGTACGTGATAAGACTAACCTTTATCTGTTATTGACCAAGAAAACCAACGACAGAATCCACATCCCACACCAAATCACATTTTTCCTGTCCGCACACCCAATAGTCTCGGGCTGTTTCGGAGCCAAGAATCTGCAGGTGAGTTTACTCTTCCGAGTGTCTAACTAGTTTTTTGATAGTCTTAGCTGGCAGTATCACAGTGTCATTCCATGCCCTATTGTCTAAGTTTTTTGATTCTTTGTTCCTCTATGGGTTTGAGAGAAGAACTTGTTCTGTTATGGTGTCGGTGAATTGGCTTCTTTACATCCATCACAGCGTATGTACATAATCGCTATTTACCTTGTTTCTATGTACATTATTTTCCCTCCCAATTCCAAGCTAACTAACTAATCCCACCTAGGTAACTAACGAAGTAGCCACAATCCCATCCCTAAGCCTACTAACCCCAAACAGGACAGAAATGTGATACGATGTGATGCGCAAATGTGACATGTCTTTTATTGAATCCGATGCGTCCCAGATTCTTACTTTGGCGGTGAGGTGGATCTGGATCTCCCTGGTGGCCTGGACTAACAATCCTTCCTTCCTAGCCTTCCTTCCTACTGTATGTAGTGACCTACATGGTATCCGCACTCCGTACTAAGTTAACGTACCCATCCACGACCCATGTCCATGTAAGGTGAGTTAGTTTTCTTAGTTGATCTCCGTTGTGGCGGAGAATTGGATTGGGTATCCATATCGATATCGATGTCATGTATGCGTAGTGCATGCATGCAAACTGTACATATGGGGGCCTTATTGTTTTCTTTCTTTGGTTTAAGGTCTTGTTTTTATTTACAGAATTTTATTTCTGGGTTCTGGATCCTCCTGTGTGTGTGTTGACTGTTATTTTCTTTGCTTTTTTTGGGTTTATTTCCTTTCTTGTCTTGCTTATGGCGGTCTGGAAATGTACCGGTTGGTTCTGGTTCTTGGCTGCTTGGCTGGTTGGTTGGCGGCTCTTGGGAGAAATTGTTGTTTGTTTGTTTATGCTAATGTTTACGTTTAGTTACTGGTATGGTTTGTTTAGACTGGATGGTGGTTTTAATAGGGTCTTTGTTGGAGGTGGCAGGATGCATCTCGGGATGGAGTTGAACTTTTGAAGATATTTCCACAGAGCATCTATTTGCTCGGTCTCGTAAAACAGAATGGTATCAATATATACATTAAAACCTAGAGGTCTCCCCACATCAACGCAGAGACCATTGTCCATTGGTCTGTCTAGTTCCTCTTCCTCGACGGCCGGGCATTCTTCTCTCTGCGCTTCTGCTTCTGCTTCCGCGCTATCCGGATGTCGTCGGTATTCTTGATCTCGCTCTTGCCGCTGGACGCCGCACCACCAGCCTTCGAGAGATGGCGCTCCCGCGCGGCGTCGCCCTTCTTCTTCATCTTGCCGTAATCCGCACGCAGAGGGTCCGCCCGCTTGGGAGCCTGCTCCTTCTTGTGCTTGAAGCGTCGGCCGTGCATCTGGTTGTGCAGGTCGGCGCCCATGCCGGGGGCCTCTGCTTCACCCACCCGCGGCATGCGGCCGAGTCGCTTGCCCTTCTTCCAGGCGTCGAATCGACCGCTGCGGAAACTGGCCGCGATTTTGGCGCCACTCTCGCCGCGAACCAAGTGCGTGCCCTTGGATCCGTCCTCGTCGTTTTGCCGTGACACGTACTTCTTGTGTCGCTTGTCCCAGCGCACCTGCGTGCGAGGTTCGGCGAAATTCTTGCCACCTTCGTCGCCGAGCAGGTCCATGGTCGCACCGCGGGAGGCCTGCGTGAAGTTGACGTTGGTGCCGGTGTGTACACCGTAGGCGCGATCTTCGGCCAAGTTGGTGCTGTTGGGCATGTAGGACATGAAATATTCCGGGTTTTGGAAGGAGGCCGTCGTGTCCTTCTTCGTCTTGTTGGGTTGCGAATAGGACGAGAATGTCACTTCGAGATCGGACTCGGATGCCAGGGACATGTTGTCAGCCGGGCCCTGGCCTTCGTCCTCGTCGTTTTCTCCGTCGGAAACAGCAGCACCGCCAGCCTGCTTATCGTCGTCGTTCGTTCCAGCCTCGTTGGCACCAGCCGTTGCAGCCTCTTCCACAAATTCCGACTGTCCATCGGCCTGCGATTTGTTCTTTTTCTTCGCATCAAGCGTCGTACGGACCCGCTTGATCGTGTCGATGGCTTCCTCGCTCTCGTGCTTTCCGTTGCGTCGGCTGTTCACCTCGAAGATCGTTTCCTGCGGTCGGAAGCCTCCGATGACCGCCAGCATCTTCTCGCGCTCCGCTTCCATGTTATTTTCCGGTTCGTTGAAGAGGGGGTGGAGATGGGACCAGCCCTCGGAGGACACAACCTGCTTCGCCCGCTTGGCACTTTCGAGCGACGCGGCGTTGCGAGTTCGCATGTAAAGTTTCTCTCCCTTGGTGGCCACTACCCGCTGCGCTGCGACGTCCGCATCGTCATCCAACACTCTGGTGACCCACTCGCAGCGTTGCGACAGACCGTCTCGGGGAATGCTGCCGACCACCACGTCCTCGGCAAAGTTGACCTGGTTGCCGTGTTCACGGCCAACGACCAACCGTCGTCCGAGGAAGAGCTGCAGGTCGAGCAAATAAGGCGCGTCCGCGTCGCGAACAAGACTGTAACTCCAACCCTTCTGCCCGGCACGAGCCGTTCGCCCAACACGATGGACGAAGATCTTAGGCTGGGAGGGGAAATCGTAATTGATCACGTTGGCAAGAATAGGAATATCGATACCTCGAGCTGCGACATCGGTCACAACCAGGATGTTGGAGACACCCGTGCGGAAGTTCTGCACTTGGATCTTTCGAGCAGTCTGGTCGAGGGAACCGTAGGCGTAAGATGTGGCGAATCCAGCCTCGCGTAGAAGGCCGTACAAGAAGTCTACATGATGTTTCGTCGCCGCGAAGATGATGGTCGAGTGCTTTGTCGGGGACTCTTTGTAGATGTTCTTTCCAGAGTCTGGACGCTTTCGCTTCTTGAAATTCTTGTTCTTCGGATCGAGCGTCTCGTCGTAGACCTTCTCGGCCACGCCAGTGGGGCCCACGGGCATTTTAATAACATCATGAAGGATGTAAAGCAAAGCTCCTTCCTTGTCCGCAGACTTCACGGAGAAGAAAACGTTCTGAAGATCGGGAGAGATCTTGCTCTCGGTATCCAAACGGATCAGAGTAGGTTCCTGCAAACCAGCTCGGGCGAATTCCACAAGTGACTTAGGCAGCGTAGCAGAGAACAGTAGCGTCTGGCGATTGTGAGGCAGACCGTGTAAAATTTCGGTCAACTGCGCAGCGAAACCCATCTCGAACAGTCGGTCGGCCTCATCGAACACCACGTAACGGACACTGGACAAGTCGAGATCCATCTCCACCTTCAAATGCAAGAAACGTCCGGGGGTCGCGATCACGATATCAGGGTTGCCGGCCATCATCCCGAACTGTTCCTCCAAACTATCACCACCGACCAGAAGAACACACTTCAGATCGGTTCCCTTGCTCAGCTCCTTGACGACCTTCAGCGTCTGCAACGCCAGCTCACGGGACGGCGACATAATCAATCCTCGCGATCCGATCTTAGTGCTGTGCGCCTTCAACTTTTCGATCATCGGAATCACGAACGCAGCAGTCTTTCCGGATCCCGTTCGAGCCATACCGACGACGTCCTGGTCGTCCATGATCACAGGGATGGTCTTCCGCTGAATCGGCGTCGGCACCGAGAAACCCTTCCGAGTGATCGCCTTCAGCAGATTCGCATTCAACCCCATGGCCTGAAATCCACCACCCTTCTTCACCGTGCGACCCTTGAGATTCGATCCCTTCCGGTTTGCAGACGCCTGCTTTTCCGCGATAAACGCCTCGTCGCTATCCTCGTCATCGTCGCCGGCAGCTCCTGCTCCCCCGAGAAAATCCAGGTCCTGCGCCGGAGTGGGCTTCGGCCGCTTGGAGGCTTTCGCAGACTGTTGCTCGTTGTCGGAATCGCTATCATTCTGGAACAAGGCATTCGTGATGTCGAATTCATTCTCCGACATCGCCGGAGACGCCGCTCGTCGGGCAGGCATAATGACTGAAATTGACAATCAGTCGAAAAATCGAACTGATCTGGAAGTTATTGTTTTCCTCTTCGGCTTGGCCTCGAACTTTTTTTTGACCGAGAAAAAAAAAAGTTCCCAAGGCGGTGAAGGATAACGGATCAAGTTGAGGCCGAGCTCCCGGTCCAGGAATGCAAACATGGCAAACACACAGGTCCCCCGCGACGCGTCCAACACGTCCCGAAGCGGTAAAATGGATAATGATTGATGTTCACTGCTTGTCTGCCTTCTTTTTCACCGTTCTGCATTCATTTGTACCGGATACACCAGCACACACACAAAGTGCTACCTATACTTTCATAAACCAAAATGGGTAATCACTTCTTCCCCTTCTACCTCCTCCTCATCAACCTTTTGGCAGATATTCCAGTTCCTCGCGTACCTCATCGCTAATACCTATCCCCTCCATCCAGATAACTACAACAGCTACGGCAACTCGCAATACGGCTCCGGCGGAGGCGGTGGTGGCGGCTTCATGCCCGGCGAGATGAACAGCCCAGCAGGTGGAAAGGTAAGGCCTCATTATCCCATCACCTCCTCCCCCTCCCTCTGCTAACCTCTCCCGCCTCAGGGCGACTTCAACAACAACACCCTCCGCCCCATTACCGTCAAACAAGCCCTCGACGCCTCCCAACCCTACCCAGAAGCAAACTACCAAATCGATGGCGCCGACGTCTCCAGCCTCTGCTTCATCGGCCAAGTCCGCAACATCAGCTCGCAGAGCACAAACGTCACATACAAGATCGACGACGGCACCGGCGAGATCGAAGCAAAGCAATGGATCGACTCCACGACAGCCGACACCATGGACACGGACGACGGCGCCAAGGGCCCCGGGAAGTCCGGAAAGGACCAGGTCGAGTTGAACGGCTACGCGAAGATCTTCGGCAAGTTGAAGGCGTTCGGGAATAAGCGGTTCGTGGGCGCGCATTCGGTCCGTCCCGTGACGGATATTAATGAGTTGCATTTCCATCTGTTGGAGGCGGCTGCCGTGCATTTGTTCTTCACGAGGGGCCCCCCTGGCGGTGCTGGTGGTAATGCGGCTGGAGGCGCTGGCGCTGGAGATGCCTCGATGGGCGGCGTTGATGATTACGGCGCTGCTGGGAACCGGGCTTTGCCTGCGATGACGCCCGCCGCGAAACGCGTGTATAATCTGCTGAAGACGGAGCCGCAGAATAACGAGGGTTTGCATGTCCAGATGATCGCGGCGAAGTTGGGTCTGCCGTTGCCCGATGTGGCGCGGGCCGGAGACGAGCTGTTGACGGCGGGTATGATCTTTCCGACGGTGGATGAGCAGACTTGGGCGCTGTTGGATTACTAGTTTCTAGTTTCTGGCTTCACTTTTTCTTTGTCGTTTTCCTGGCCTCTCGTGGAGTTGAGTATGTTTACTATGAAATCGTTGCGAGGCTTTCCCGTTATGCATGTGGTTGGAGATAAAAGATATCACTTATGATTCAATTTTTAATGTATGTGTTAGAGCAACTATACTTGTTTTTTTAAGTCTATGAAACGGAATTGCAAGACCATGGGGTTTGTATGTCTATAATTTTCCGAGTTTGAAGCTATGTATTCTTCTACAGAATGACCATGGTATGGAAAAACAAAAAGGATAACGATATGTTCATTTTAACCAGACGCGAGTATCAAATCATGTGGTTATAATCAGGGAAACGACTTTTAGTCCACATAAACAGAACGTTATACATAATCATGACCACGTAAGGGGAATCCTCATAGGGAACTTTTGTACAATCTCTTCGAACGAACATGCAATGAAACCACAAAAGCCAACCAGGGAGATTTTACACGTTGATCATCATATATATGTGTGCATGTAAATTCAAGAAAGAGAGGGGAGTCTAGGTCGCGGCATTTCGTTCCAATGCGTCCTCGACTGACCGGTTCCAGTTCGTCTGACGGAGGAAGATCGCCTCGATTATCGACACCAGGAGAAGAGCAAGAGCAACGCCAGACCACAGACCGAACAGGCCCCAGCCGAGAGCGAAAGTGGTGCCGAAGCTGATTGGCATGGCGATGGCATAGTAGCAGAAGAGCTGGACGTAGCCACCGATTTCCTGCCGGCCAATTCCACGGAGGATACCGTTGCAGTTGGCGGCTAGAGCGTCGAAAAGTTGGAATGCGGCACAAAGAGGAAGGACCTGTGCGACGAGCTCGACAACTTCGTCGTCGGACGTGAAAAGCCGAGGGATGTAGTCGCGCAGGGAAGAAAGGAAGAGCATGTTGAGTAGACCGACGATCACGGCACCGACCATGGTCACTTTGGCGGACGTTTTAGCGGCGTCGACCAGAGTCGCTCCGATCAGATTCGCGACCCGTGTGCTACCGGAGATCGAGAGAGGGAAAGGAATCTGGAAGGTAATGCTAGAGATCGTAGACAGAATCGACTGCGCTGCCAGGGGAGTTGTGCCAAGGTACGACGACGCCAGCGTCAGGATTTCAAAGGCAAGACATTCCGCCTCGACCATGATCAAACCAGGCAGAGCAAGTCGGACCATCGGGCCCCAGTTGCGAAAGGCTCTGTAAGTAAACCCATTCCAGCATTCGCCACCGGCGACAAAATATACGTAAAGAAACAAGAAAAGAGGCATGAGATTGTCTGTGATGGCTACTGCAATGGGAGCACCAACAAACCCCCAGTCGAATTTCTAGTGCTCGTTAGCTTGTCAGATCGGTAGATAGAGCTTTCAAAGCCAGTGGTACGTACCCAAACGAACACCCAGTTCATGAGCGCATTAAGAGGCGCGCAGATAAGCAAAACGTAAAGGGACGCAGAGAACAGGCCCTGCGCTTGCACGTAACGTTTCCCGCTCTCAAAGCAGGCATATCCCGGAGCGCCCAGTGCAACCACCTTCAAATAGAGGCCGGCCAGCTGTGCAACTTCTGTTTCCGGCACAATCCGAAGAAGGACCCGGTCTCCAAAGAACCACAAAACGACGATCGGCACAGATATGACCCAGAGGAAAAAGACCATCTTCTGCATCTGCAGACCTACCAGCTTCTTCCGTCCAGAACCGTAGGCCTGGGCGCACAGCGTATCCAAACTAGTCGCGAGGCCCTGGTAGACCGCATACCCGGTGATGTTCGCCGTCATACTGGCCAGGCTGACCGCGCCCAGTTCTTTCTTGCCCAGATGACCCAGCGTGAAGATACTCGCCACCGTCAAAGAGTACTGCAAGAGAAAGGTAACCACCAATGGCGCGGCATTCTTCCCAATGACCTGCGCTTCCCGTTTCCACGTTGTATGAATCAACCCGGCCATAACCGCCTCCTCCCACTTGCGATCGATCTCATCAGCATCCTCAACATTCGGATGCGAACTGCCCCGTCGAGAACCCAATAAAGACGTCGTTTCCACCGGCCTCACTCCAGAATCCTGGCTTCGCCGTTCCTTCCTCGGACCAGCAGATCCCACGAAATTGTTATCGCTGAGAAGGTCCCGCTCGTCCTCAATGGCCTGCTCGCGCTCCCTCCGCGTCAAGCCTTCATGCTCCGCGCGGTGAGGCACAACCGTCGCATGGGATACGGTGGTGAAGAAGCTCGGCCGCTGGTACGAACCAGCTAGGGAATGGGGGTTCGTGCCGGTGTGGCTGTTCATCGCGCGGATGGTAGAGGTTTCGGAGGCATCGTCGTCGGTAGTTAGCGCGGAGCTTTCGTCGTCCGCATAATTCTCCAAGTCCCGAGCAATTGCCGTCTCTGCGAGAGGGGAGCTGGACCGGAATTGTCCCTGTAGGGCCTGCTGCTCTGTTGCGCTGAGCGAACGCGCATTCTTGGCCCCGGCCATGACGGTTATGAATGAGTAGAATGAAGTGAGTCAATGAAGCAATCAACTGAGAATCTAATTGAATTTAGTCACGGTTTAGTCCGCCACTAAACCTCCGCATGTCTCTTTGTTTAGACGAAATACAAGAGAATGAGAAACCTTGGAGTACTTGACTCGCAAGAGATGCAGAGCAAACGAGCGAGACGGAAAGACGGAGAGAAGAGCAGCCGGAAAGGAAAAGAAAAAAAAAGTAAGCAGACTGCAAGGCGCGAAGCGGGGGCGGAACTTGACTTTTAGTGTTTAGCTTGGGTTAGTTTGGCTCGGACTTCGGAGACAATCGACAGAAATTTGCCTTCCAGAGGATACAATAATAAAGTTGTTTGGTCCCTACAAAGAAGCGGGATCCACAGCGCATTGGTCGGTGACTCATGATGATCCATATCAGCGTTATACCGCATATCCTTGCTGCTGCTGTCGGAGCATCAGTTGCAAGCTTGAAGCACGCAAACGTAGTCAGCGAGGAAACGGTGTAAACGGTACGGAATAATGACCATTCCCTACGGGGATAGCTCTTCAATGATGAAGATCAAATAGTAGCAGCCAGCCGCTGGCAGACGCCCCGCAATTGGCGACCCCACCGTCAAAGGGCGCAGCCGTGGGATCCAAAGACATTGTTGCTTCGGGTGGAGGTGTCGATCAAATCTATCAGTTCAAGACTTGCGGTGTCCACTCCGCAAAGAACTGGAGTTCCAGACACGATGGATGGATTTCAGACTTCAATGAACAGAATAGGAAGAGAAAGACAACGCGATGCAGTACACAACGGGAGAGGGACAGGAGACACATGACATCATTCCCGAACGAGCATAGACCCGTCACGTGGGCCAGTCATCGGATCCTCCATCCACGCCGGACATTTCTCTTCCTCGATCCAGCGGTCTACAAAGAGGACGACCAGCCCCGGAGCTGCTCGTCGCTCATCTCAAACAGCAGCATGACCCCATGGTCTTGGTAGGACGTCGAAATCAGGAATATTATCCCTTCATCGTCAACACTCCATCAACATGGCAGACGTCCAAGGATCCGAGGCGTCGTCCTCTGAGCGCCCACCTTACAACCCCCTCATCAACATGACAAACTCAAAACCCGTCATGGTAAACGAGTGAGTACTACGAACGCTCTCACTCACAGAGGTCCCAACTAACGGGAGACCGGGAAAGCCACCTCGAAGACAACCAACACATCTTCCTCACGCGGCCCATCTTCGGCGCCCTACTATTCGAAAACGCCACCTCCGACGCCCGCGACCACTGCGCCAACGAACGAACCTTTCTCTCCTGGCTCCGGCTCTCTATGTACCTGGGCGTGGTGTCCCTGGCCATCATCATCTCGTTCCACTTCCACGGCGAACCGACAGGTCTCGAACGACGCATGGCTTTACCCCTGGGCATTATCTTCTGGGTGCTGAGCATCGCGGCCTTGTTGAACGGTTTTGCGAACTACGTGCGCACGGTGAGGAAATATAGTCGGCGGGCGGCGTTGGTGCAGAGCGGGTGGAAGACGCAGATGACTTTTACGGTGGTGGGCGCGGTGATCCTGGGCAGCTGTATATTGTTTTTGGTGACTGATGCGAAGTCCTCGAACCAATCCTAGGTTTTGATCTTGCGAATGTACATATACTTATAAGGTGAATATACAAAACGGCGATAGCGTGCGATATAATGATGCAATTTGTTCAATTCAGCTTCAAGTTGAAGGTGATAAAATAAAATATTAAACCGGCTTGTCATGGTATATCCCGAAAATAGAACAAGAAATAAACAGTCAGCAATGCGATGGACTACCGTCCACCGTTCCACAACATATTCATGGCGAACGGATGCGTATTATACGATTTCACATCCGGCGAATCTCCGTCTCGCCCTTGTACTTGTCCAACGCGGCAGTGCCCAGGTGGCTCCACCACTCGAACAGCATCGAGTTGCAGATGAGCTTGAACCACGGCGTGAACTTGAGGCCTGGCTGCTCGAACATAGCCTTCAGTTCATCGGCCGAGACGTACTTCGTGTCGCGGACCTCGTTGGGGTTCTCGTTCAGATCGACGTCGGCCTGGATGAAGAGGATATAATCGACTATAGAACGCCTAGTCAGCGGGCGGCCCAATATCCAGAATCCTGACATTATATGAGTCACGTACTTTCATGCTCTCCCCACTTCCCATCGCTCGGGGCCTTGTAATGAATCCTTGTGAAGTACTCAAACTTGTCCAGCGGCACCTGCTCGGGCTGGATTCCCAGCTCCTGTTCCAGCTTGCGCTGCGCAGCCCGCTTCACGCCCAGCACCGCGGCGTCCAGCTGGGCGCCGGTCTCGCCGGGAATTCCCAGGGGGTGAGAGCAGCAGGTATTCGTCCACATGTCGGGGAAGGTGATCTTCTCGGTGGCGCGCTGCTGGAGCAGCAGGCGCTTGTTGGAGTCGAACAGGAAGACGGAGAAGGCACGGTGCAGGAGGCCCTTGTCGATGTTGGGCATCAGGTGGCCTGTAGCAGAACTATTGTCAGCGAATGAAAGAAACAAGAACGCCGACCGTCCGTGTTCAAAAATTCAAGATAAAACATACACGTCTTCTTGCTGGCGCTCCCAATCGGCTTGTCATCATCATCCAGAACGATGCACACCTCCTCCATCAGCCGGACCTGCTCCTCGTCGTATCCCGCCAACTCGCCGCCCTCCCGCACGGAGTTCCCGCTGGCGGCGGGGAAGACCTCGCGAGCCAGCGAGGTATCGACATCCGGGAAAAGAGTGGCCACGTTTTCCGCGGTGATGCGGGGCGGCGCGGTAATCGTGGTGGTAGCACTCATGTTGTGTATGTTGTGGTGGCAATCGGGAAAAACGATCGAAGGGAGGCGGGGAAGAACTAGACGGCAAGCAAGTCGGCCCCTTCTTATTTATCTCGACTTTTTTGTTTTCGGGAGATACGCCGGGCGGCGATGAGTGGCAGAACGGAGGGTTTTCTCCCCATTGCGGGGGTCAACATTCCTTCTGCTCTCGCCTCGTCTCTCCTTGCTTGACTGTCGCTGTCGACATTCGGTAAAACCTGCTCTTCTGATGTCACTATCCACGAGACATTGTTGGAAGTCGGAAGTCGGAACACAGGAATGCAGCTATTCTCAAATTTCGAGACACTTACACTCGGGGTTTACTTCCACTATATCCACCGAAACGCCACCCCCCGGCATCTCCTACAGCACTTGTGATTGCTTGCTGTCTTTTCTACCAAGTCAACCTACCCCGCATTCTCGGTCTCCGCCCGGTGGGTTAACAGTCGTGTAGGTGTGAAACAGTAACCCAACAAGGCTGTGGAAGGCCTGGACAACAAACGATCACTCACATCCACCGATGCATGCGATCATAAATTTTCCGAAGGTAAGCCAGGGCAAGTCGTTAAGACCTTAGCTAAGCCCAAGCCTAAACCTGCCGGGTATAGCCTACATAATCCTCAGCCTTCTCATGAATATTCAAAAGCAGCCGAGGCAGAGCCATACGCACAGTTCCAACTTGGTACTATATATAAACTCTCAGCCAACTCGTCCTCCCATCCAACAATTGAAAGGTGGTGATCAGACCGGAGGATCTCCCGCTTCAACCTTGGCCCGGGAAGTATACCTTCCAATAGAATAGGCTGAAGTATTCGGTTCGGATGTTCAGTTCCTTTCAAGGCGCTTGCTTATGCTCATCCCTGTCCTGGGCTATACTGGATCATATGATATAGCCAAGTCACTTGGCTACTCACAATCAGCCCGTAAGGTACACAACTAGCAGGTAGTAGGTACGGTAGGCAGGCAGGCAAGCACCTGGCTCACCAGAGAGGAACCGATCCAATAGAATGTTGGCGTAAGCGAAGAAACACCCCAAGGAACGACCTTGCATCGTCACATCAATGCGCTCCTGCACCCGGCCTTGAGGACCAGGATCAAGTGAGGGGGTTTCTTGGTGTTTCACTGTACTTCACCGGATCTCCTGCTGCTTGTGGGATGATACAGCCAGTACTTCGTAACATGGAAGTGGAAGGACAGATTGGTTAAAGAGATGGAAACCTGCAGATAGAACCTGGAAGCCTGTTCTATCAGTTAGCACCCACGTACAGCATTCCAAGGTAAGTAAGTACCTACCTAGTCATTTTTGCCTGCAGCCTGCACCTAGTTCGACGCGTTAATTGCTATAACACCACCAGATATTACTAAATTCTTCAAGGAAGTATTCCAAATGAGGGGTACATCATCCCTACCTACCTACAGGTCCACTTCCATTCCTATCTTCGTCAGATCCTACCTAGGACATTTCACTTTAATAAAATGCACATCCCTATTGACCGCCCGACATGATTTGGAATAAGCAAGTGCCAATCATCGCAACGATGCCATCGTACTTCCGTATTTTTACCTATTGTCTCGCCTTGCCTTACAACGTACCATGAGGTCTGCAGCTACATCCTTGTGTCAAATCAGGGCCACGCTGAAAAGGAGGGCAGCGAGGGAAATAGTGAAACCACGAAAAGAGATGGCTGCTGCAATACCTACCAATGCCCCGTGATTCAAGATACTGTCACTCGATTGTATTTTTGCTACTCCGTAATTGGACAGAAACTGGACGTGGCTCAGCTATCCCCATTTTAAAAGAATGGGAGTGGGGTTAGAAATGATGCAAGAGAAGACATTCATAGTTTCTATAAAGATACGTATCACATGTATTCTCGAGTAAGCACTTGAGAGTGGACGACCACGGCGCTGTATTCGGACCAAGTATTGACACAATACAGTTGCTTCAAATAACTCGCCGCCTGGCATCCTCGAAACCCCTTGCGCGCCGGGTATCCATCTCTTCTCTGGTGGCTGGTATGATCTGGTGCGCCCAGCTTGCGAGGGGCTTTTATCAGGATGAAAAATTTGTGATGTGAAAGTCTTAGCCACTTCGGGGTTCAGTCTTGCAGTCTATATATCTCCTTCTCTCTCGCTCTCTCCTTAGGCGAGTTCTAACAATCAATCTCGAATCAAGGGACCAGATGATCTAAAGCAGAAAAGGACTGAGCAAATGTAGCTCAAGGTGATTGATCGGTGGACCTCAGCACCGCAGCTTCCATAATCCATTCCACGTAGGCACGAATCAACAAAACCGACATCCGATGGGGTAAGGGAGTCGAAATTCGATATGAATATTGAGCGATCAAGACAAAGTTGCAGATCTACCGCCGAAGACTACGCGGACTATGATATTCCACCGTCTGATTGAAATCATCAAGCAACGGTAAAGGATCATCCCCGTGCCCATTGTGCATCTTTCTTAATCTCTCGGCAATTGTAGCATCTAGCTGTGGCTGTCTAGTGATGCTTATCTTCCTCTTCGACAGCCGAAGAACGTAGATAGGGATCGGGGTCGTATCAGTATGAGCAGTCTCATAGACGTAGTCGACATTATTGACGTCAAGGACGAAAAAAAGGCATGATTCCCGGGGTATACGTTCATCGCGAGAAACTGAGTTTGGAGATCTGGACGGCGATTGCGAATAGCGCACTCAGCCTTCGACACGAATGGACTTATAGATCCTAGATAATCGCCAGGGTCGAGTAAGCTGGTGGGCGTGTCGCCCAGGATTCGGATTGGTTGGGAATCAAGTTGTTCAAGGAGTTTGGAAACTGTGTCTGGGATGTGGTTTATGATACGCTCCCGAACATGTTGTGCCTGATCCTCCATTGTGATTCAATGATGCGTGTGGGATAAAGAAACTGGCCAAGTCCGAGTCTCTATTTATCTCCAAAATCACACCGCCATATCTCCCATTTTCTAGAAGGGCATTGGTTGTGCTGCCTTGACTGAACACTTATACGCCTTCTCGCAAGGGTTGTATCTATCTGAGCTCCCTATTTCCAGTAGGCACCCGTGCACGGTAGGTTTACTGTCAGACAATCCAGACCAACCGGGTGAGTTCCGTAAGAAACAAAGACCAGGGCGGGAGGAAATGAGACAGACAGACCTAGCAGACCCATATTAGGGACTCTTATTTGTGTTGTTTTTGGTTTAATTTATCACTACGCAGCATTGCTGGTTACTGGACGGATTCGATTGAGCTAGAAATCACTTTATGAGATAGTGTTAGTTATTGAGTAAGTGGTTTGGGTCCTGCGAGTCAGTGGCCCTGGTCACTAATAACTAGTAGATGAATAGTAAATTAAGAAAAGATGGTACTTGGTCGGTGTGGACTTTGCGACGGCCGACGAGACTGTTGCAGAGTAGTCTACGAAGTAAGTAATTACTTTTAATCAGTACCTAGTTAGAGGAGAGGAGTTGCTGCGCTATAGGTAGACTTGGGATGTAATAGCGAGACATTCGCTTGATCTTTCCGGCTCGGGTGAGGCCCGAGGATAGCTCCTTCGGTCTTCCGGGTGGAAGTAGTACTTGTGCCTTGTTGAATTGTCCACCCGATCCATTATCCATATCCTCTTGGATGGGTCCTGCTGGCCCTACACATCACTACCGGAGTAGGTAATAGTATTTTTGTCCGCGGTGTTTGAACAACATCCGGGCGGCGGGTTCCGCCGCTAAAGAAGGTACCCCTAATTTTGGGAGCATTAAAAGAGATGACATAAGAGCAAGAAAAAGGGGGGAAACGTAGATTCATGGAATAGAAAAGAGACCAAAACCAAGAAATCTAGGAAGCAAGACACGGGAAGAAAAAAGCACTGCAAAAAGAAGGAGAGAAACGGGTGACTGCGTGAAGAGAAACCAACAACCAAGCTAGGCCAGTGACGAGACTCGGCAACGCCAGGACAGAATAATTCCACCTATGAAAAACCCCCCCCTTTTCGCAGAGGATCAACAGTGCATGCAATTAACGCTCCATTGCACAAAGGATCTACGAACCGCGATAGTACTTTCTGTTTTCGCTGTTCGGTGCGAGGGTTCTGTTTCTGTTTTTCCTTGTCTCGACTCGACTTATCGACTCGACTCTCGGCACCGATCCTTTCGGTCTTCGCCGATCGAAATATTGAGGAGGATTGGAATCCAGGTCCTAGTTAGTTAGATAGGTACTCCATAGCTAGTCCGTTAAGGCCCGGCGGGCGAGAGGAAGACCAGACCCATGGGAAAGAAGGAATGGAGTGTCGACGACTCGACGGGGATCCGGCTTCTTTGACTAGGGTGGTGGACTCGGCGGGTGTATGGAGTACGGAGTACTAATTTGTACTCCGTACGGCTTGTGATAGTTCGATTCTGGGCCCAGGTTAGACCATGGGGTCGAGTCTCTAGCCCTCCAGTGTCTTCTGACTCTATTTTAAGCATGTCATGTGCCTGTGCTCGAGCGTAAGTATAAGCTTCGCCATCTTGAAGAAGATGACCATCTGGCAGTGCAATCCAATCTACCCAGTCACCAGTGGCAGGGAAGCTAAATCGACCGGTTAGAGAGTGATTTTCAAGTTTCAACCTTGAAGGCGCAAAGCTGGCCGCTCCACAATTAGCACTACTTGGGGGACTAGTACTTCTGGCGTGTCAGTCTACCCGCGGCGTTTAGGTATTGGACCATACTTCTCTATAATGTGATCGCATGCAAGGCATCATGTGAATGCGCCTATTCGTATCGAAGATCTTATCCGATCGATCTGTGAAAGCGGCTGTCTGTGTTCATGGCTTTATAGGAAAATAAGCCTGGGCGCAACTGAGAAAGTCAATGGGCTGGACCAGAAGAAGATCCCGCAATAACCGCATCGGCATCCTTTGGTCGAGATTAGCCGTTCCAATGGTCCCGTGTGGACCTGCCAGTAGCGTATTTCAAGGTCGCGTAGCCTTGTGCGAGCGGCCTGCTGTACTGAGTGGTAACAAAAAAAAATTTAGCACAGAATAAGATCATGGCGAATTAAATAGCATATAATAAGAAAAAATGAAGAGATTTCCAAAATGTTGAAAGGCCCGAAGCCCATCAAAGGTCCAAGTTGATCTGAGCATGGACCAGCCATGCATTAAAGCCTAATTTCTATTAGCGCCCAAGCGCTTCAATGCGGGATCTAACGACTCGTCCAAAATGTGCAAAACCAAAACACAACCGCAAAACAGTGCAGATATAAATAAAAATGAAAATGACAAAAGCCGCCCCCATCCATCATGTACAATAGTTTCGATCAAGGTATACATCACTGCCCGTTACTGAACTCGCAAAATAAAATTCACAGGAAAAGAAAAAAAAAGAAAAAAGCATATTCGTTGAACACCGAGGACCATATCTGCGATCAACGCAGCATAAAGCTGGTCGCGGTTCTAATGTCATATTTGTAGTGTTTCGTTCGGATGTGAGAGCATGAAGGTCAAATCACATTTCTGGGGTAAATCGTTCCATCTTGATTTCATGAATGTCTGTCGTCAAGGGGGATTGCGGCACAGGGTCGGCCTTTTTCTCGCGTTTAGCTTCCTTCGCAGCTTTGCGTTTTCGTCTCTCGCAGTCAGGTCGGTGTCTATTATAGAATATGAACTTAGCGTGGGTGCCAATAGAGTTTCAATTCGAAATTCCTAACATACCTTGTTAACGTGTCTTGCCGACTGAACTTCTGATCACATAAATCACAGGTGAACTTTCGAATGCCACGATGGATCTGTCATTGCCGTTAGCTCTGGCGGTCCCTAGACCGTAGATACAGGTTACTTACACTATCCACGTGTCTTCTGAGGTCAGTCCGCCTTCCAAAAGGCCGTTCGCAGGTCTCGCAGTGGTACATCTTCCTTCGGGATGGGTCGTGTTTCTTCATGTGCTCACGGCAGTTCGAGCGTCGAGTAAAGCGAGTACCACAGGTGGTGCACTCAAGACCACTAGCCGATGGGATCTTGGAGGGATCGTTATTAGATGTTTCGCCACGACTTTTGGTCCACTTCAAGATTACCTCGTATGGATGACTCTGCGTCACTGAGTTTTGGCCGCGTTTCGGGAGACGTTCGTCCTTCGGATCAACCTCAACGAGTGTGCCACTGGTGCTCCCAGTCAGCTGGTGATCAGAGGATATATCGTTGTTGGTCATCGTTTGCGGCATCGGTGCCACTAACGAAGTCGTGGGGTCATCGGTGACGGTTGGAAGAAAGCCCTGGTCCCAGCATTCGTTGTGCTCTTCCTTAATCTTGCACGGTCTGTCAAAGGGATCGAAAACTTCGTTCGGCCACATGCCTGAACTCTGACTCCGGATCATGTCGTGATGTCCCGCAATTTCCATGGGAACACCGTATTCTGGCGAGGCACTCAACGCCTGGGAACCGTAGTAACTGAGGGGCGAGGCTGAAACATCCGGATAACCGCCAAAAGGCTCGTATTTTGTCGCAGGAGAAAATGGGCCAACGTCCAGCGCGGCATTAATAATGGTATCGGGAGGCATTATTTGATCAGACCAGTCGGTTGTCGGTGATGGGTACGTTTCGGAAGTGTAGACCGTCGACTGCTCAGCAGAGGGGCCCATATCGCAGTGGCAGATTCCCAACCCCACGGGGGGCTGAGAGTGAGGTACATAATTATGAACGGACCGCATTGTCGACGAGTAAGCTGGAGAGGTATCCAGCATCATTGGATCATCCGACAGGGTCCGAACGAGCGAGGGAGGGGAAGGAAACGGCATAGAAGTACAGTCCATCCTTTAGTGTCACAAGCGGCGAAAACGAGAGGGAGGAAGCGAGGCTCGAGAGGCAACGAAACGAGAGAACTTATAAGCCCGGAAAAACGATAAATAAAGAGGAAAATAAAGAGAAAGAAGCGCGGTTATAAGAAAAATAAAATGAAAGCCAGATGCAAGAAAAGAAAAGAAATAAACAACAGCAAAATAGCAAAAGACAGACTGGTGTTCTTATTGTCGCAAGCTAAGAGAACTTTTTCTCTCTCTCAATCTCACCCGTGGGAAACCAATACAGGCAGGCAGCGAACTATATCCACGACCTAAGGAAGCCACGAGGGTTTATAAGAAGAAAGATGAAGATAGTGACTCAACAGAAGCACCGTTGGAAGGGATTAATAGTGGCGAACATGGAGCGTGGCTGAAAATGGGATCGATAGAATACGCCATATAACAATTGGAGGGGACGGTGCCGCCGCGCTGGCACAGTGAGAGCGACGAGCAGCAACCTTGACGCCTGGGTCAGGCAAGGCAGAATTGAGGAAAAGCAGATGCATGAATGCGGTGGGCAAGAGGGAAACACAGAATGAGTAAGGTGAGTGAAGGGGGGTGTGGCAGGTCTAGCTGGAGTGAGGGCCGGACCGGGTTGACTGCAGGCCATCTCTGCAGTATCCAGATAGGCGCGACAAAGAGAAAGTCGGCATGCACAATGACTTAGCGCCGGAAGAGTGTGATCAGGTCAAATTATCAGTCCATCAGCCTGTCAAGTCAGAAGTCTTCGTCGGCACCGGGGTCGAACAGGGATGGAAGAAGAGGGGGGGGGGGGGAAGAGAGAGACTGAGCATCGTCATTGTGGCCTAATGGAATTTGCCCGAGTCGACTGAAAAAAGAAATGAAAAAGAAAATAGAATCGAATAGGATAAGATAATCAGACGAAAATCAAAAAAGTCAAAATAAATATGAGAGAGATTTATTAATAACCGCAATAATACAATAATATTCCAACAGCAATCCCAGAGGGAGACCCGAGGGAAGCCCCAGTGACAGGGGATTAAAAATAACAAAAACAAGGAAAAAGAAAAGAGAATCACCGACAGGGTGGGTGGAAAGCACCCAGCAGGAGGAGCAGTACCTAGTACTTGGTCAATGGGAAATTCGGACAGTCAATCAATCACCGGGGGGGTGGTCCATCAGAAGGGATTGTATGGATGGGATGCAACTGGAGGCACTTGGAGGACCCGCGACTTCTCTCCCACTTTGGAACCGCCTGGTTCCCCCGATTACCACCGGCCGGACGAGTTACCAGCACATTGATTTTTCTTCTTTTTTTCTGCTTCTTCCTCCGCTCGAAGTGGTTAAGGCTGGACCCGACAGTCTGGTACCTTGCTTGGCAAATGAGCAGTGCGTGTCGCCTGGTCTGATTGGCAAACACAGCCGCATGATCCGGGAAGAAAAAAAGGGGAGAGGGGTAAGAAGAAATGTGACGATGGAAGAAAGAGGGGGGGAGGGACATACGGAGTATACAGCCCTAGATTGCAGACCAACAATCAGAATAGGCTCTCCGTCACCCATTCGTTTCCCTCCCTATGAACAATGCTTTTGATTCCAATCAGTACTCCGGAGGATGGGAAACAAGCGATCTGGATCATTTAGTAAACAGTTGACCAGGAAAAGTCCTCCTGCCCCATCGGGACGAACCCCTGCTCGTTAATTTGTGTACGTGTCTATTTATCATCACCTTATATCAATTCCCCACCTATCAACCACCACATTCCAGAAAAAGGAAAGGTAATCCGTCGTGCATACGCGAAAATAAAATAAATCAGAGAATATCGATGTCATGAATACGAAAAATGTGATCCAAGATAAATCAGTTGGGATCCAAACGGAAAAGCAAAAAAGGAAAAATGAAATAAAAAAGAAAAATTAGGAAAAGCAATCACGCCCGAGTCCTCTGTCGAACAGGGCTCAGTTCGAACGATTCCCCGTTTGGGAACTGGTCAGGGACCGGTCCTCACGCTAAATCTTTAGCTATGGCACCGGCTATGCAGCAGGTGCGTGTGCATAGCATTCGAGGCAGTGGTCCGTCTGCCCTGCGCGAGGTTCCCCAAAACGAACATTCTCTCCCCGAATGACAATAATGAATGATCATTTATTGGCGCCGGTGGTGGACGGCCACCGTAGCTGCCACTCGCTCCACCTGGGTCCGCAACCGTTCCACCTCGTCGATCATATCCGCGATGTCAACACGCCCGGCCTGCCCCGGGCCTAGCCCGCGCGCTTCGGGATGCTGACCCGGACTAGTGCGGCCTCTGGGCCTCGCAGAGCCCAGAGAACGCTCCGTTGCGGAGGCATAGAGCGGGGCGCGGTGCGTGGAGAGAGCGAAACCACTCTGGATCGAGGATGTAGGTCGGCTACCTCCTCGTGCCGTCGCGGTCGGGGGGAAATGACTATTTCGCCGAGCAACATAGCGGCGGCTAGATTCATAGGCCGAGATCAACGCAACAAAGGGGAGATGGGTGGCTCGGAGGAGGATGATACGCACTCGACGTATGCGCTCTGCAGACAGAAAGAGCCGCAGAGGACGGATACAGAGAAGAGGAATGAGATTCTGTCGGCGGGAGAAGTAAAGTCAGTGGTCAATTGCCAAGCGCAGAACAAACGGTGCAAACCAGGGTCTCAACTGACCAAGGGAGGCATGAAATAGGTTAGTCGCCGGGAGTTACTGCTTTCAAGCACGTAAATGGACAGCCTATTTCCACACCAGTTAGACGACCGACCCCAAACGAGACGAGCATGAACCGGTTGGTTACTGACTGGAAGAGATACTCTTCCCGGGCATGAGCCATGACCTAAGGAGAACTAATCAACACGCCGGATTCAGAGAAAATTCACGGAAGTGACGGAACGGACCCCTTCTAGACTCATACTCATCAAACTGACCAACGAGGAGATCAACAGTAGATTTGTCATGGAGACGAAGATTAACCTGCACATCATGGCCGTCAGTATTCCCAATTTCTCTGTGATGTAATTCGAAGCTCCAGTGCCAAGGTGCCGTGGGGTTGGATGCCCTATGGAGTATGGCAGAGGCATGGCGCCTACAGGGTCTCTCAACCCATCCGTCACCCTCATCGGCAACCACACTGCGCACGATCGGGCGACCCCACGAGGACCACCAAAATAGAAAATAGAACTGAAAAGAAAAATCCGATAATTCAAATCGTTGGGCACAGTAGCATCTCCAACGCCACTGGCGTCGTCGAACGTGACCGTAGGAGTATGCGACCGACTTTTCCAAAGTTCCTGTGGCGCAGGTATAGAAAAGACTCACATTAAACCGTAGCCGAAGATTGGGGAAATCTAAAGAATTAGCGTGTTAGTTAACTTAACGCGAGAGCCAACCAATTTTGCCAAACCCCTGACAATTTCAATTCAGGCCGCATGACAGCCGCTTAGTGCGTCGGACTTACTTCCTGAGCGATGTCCTAATATCCAATCGATTCAGCCACCATCAGTTTTGAAGAACGCTTTCCACCAACTTTAGGAACAACGCACGAAGCCCAATACGTTCGATCTGCCTCGCACCGTTAGTTCAAAGAGCGGTCGACACCGGGGGGCTTTCACCGCCATACCCAAAGAACACCTTCACCAAAATCCACGACATTTGCCTGAGAGAAAGGCGGTCGCGCGCCAGCATCGTGAATGTCGTCAAGAACCCTGCCCACCGTTGGCACCGACATTTACTTTTGCCCGGGGTCTAACCCAATCAGGACATTGAACTTACCGATATACAGCACTACTACCACGGGGATGAACCGGAAAAAGGCCTTGGTCTAGTCATATCGATCAGCCTCACCTCCCCTCCATCCCACGCCAAACGCGGTAGGTCAAGTGTGTCTATCCATACCATCTCCTTCAAAACCGGTATCTACACATGGAACCAGTCAGTGGGGCGTTCTGGAAATCGGTGCGCCCATGCGCGCGATCGGCGGGTCCGACATACCAGGCTTCCAAAGTAAGAGTTCAGGCTCACCAGCGAGCATAGTCTTGTCCACCGCAGTTAGATCCTGAAACTCAGACCTGACATGATTCAAAGGATGTGGATCCTCACCGTGGAACCAGAAACAGTGCCTCCAGGGATAGAATGTCGAATGATAGGTCCGTGATGTAGTCACTCTCCTGGGCCAGACCGATAATCCCTGGACATCCCTCCTATCAGTTCATGGATTCAGACCTCTTTCAGCTGGGGCAACACCACTGTGCCAGATCCAGACCGACAGGACAGAGCTGAAACGTTGACAAGGCAGACTCGCGTGTTACAGAATGACTCACTTGTGATGACGAAGGCCAGTCCTGTGCCTATGATACCCATGTTCCACACCTTCCAGAAGTCCATCTGGTAGAAGAGCATACCCGCGTCTGCCATGCCACTGAACTCATCGTAAGCAAACGCGGCAATCCAGAAATACATCAGCGTCTCGAAAAGCCCTATGCCCGTCGGCTTCCTTTCAACAAGAACCGCATAATACAGAAGAAGAAAAGATACGAAGAAGGCAGCTTCGAACGCTTTCCGATATACGGGGACCCTCAGACGTGAGTATGGGTCTGCCGTTCTGTATCGGGTTACACGAGTTAGCAGGCTACTAACTGTATGAACGAATGCAGTCCATCTTACCGTTTATCGAGGAAATGCGGTCGTTTGGTCGAGTGTACGCTCAATGTGTCCCAGAATACAATCTCCCCCTTCCATATGTTGTCTATGACCCTCTGGACCACCTTCTGACCCAGAAATGTCTTTGCATGCGCGATGGTGGCAATTTCTAATGCATTCAGACCAAAGAACAGGGAGAACCTCTCCAGCTCCTGTGCATCCTGAGAGGAGCTATACGAGCCTTGATTATCCATAGCAAAGGAGCTTCCTACGCGACTCCGACCCCCGAATAAGTTGTAAACAGACGGGGGAGAGCTATGGAGTAATGGTATCGTCTCGCTCTCTCGTCTGTTGTGTCCTTCAACGGAACCCGCAAAGCCTGCAGTGCCTCGCTCCGCTTGGGCCAGGGAGACAATGCTTTGATTATATAACTGAATCTCTTCCAGCAAGAACTCAATGGTCTCTCGTTGATCGAGATGGCAGAGGAACTGCCAGGCAACATACTCGCAGGCATATCCGCGACTTTCATTGAGACCCCAGTCGGCATCAGTGGTATTATCGAATTCCCATTTTAAGATCCTATCCAGAAATGGGTTCAGAACTGATCTTCTCAAAGCAGAATACGGGTGAGGAACATACATCAAAGCAGCAATTATGGAGGGATTATGTGAGTTCTCGGCCAAGGCGTAAATCAGATGTCTCAGATGTTGACCATGGGGAGTAGACCTCAGCTGCTCGAATGTATACGACACATCAGAAACGGCCAGGGTTATGAAACTAGACGACAGACGACACACGTCAGATATCGTATACAATCTCTATCGGTTAGTTAAGAGTGAACGAGAAAATTTACTTGTACAGCTTTCGAACCACGTCCGCCAGCGGCTCGGTATCTTCGATAATCGGGGGCTCGAGTTGCTGTCCATTATCCGCGGGCGCTGTCGATGATGTCGAAGAATCCGGCCTAATAGAAGAAGACATGTAGGGTACCTAACGGTTAGGCTTCACAGCCAAGACAGCTAGACGTAGGAACAAAGTCTCGCTACCATGGAGCACAACAAAAGGGCGGGGTTGAAAGAAAATTCAGAGGAGCAGCCACCGACAGAGGTTTGAGGAAGCAGGTTCGGGAGCTTTGAATTGTTCAGTCGGTGAACAAGCTTTTCGCGCAAGAATGACTGACATTCGAGAGCTTATCAGGCGAGTCTTGGCAGCGATCGTGCCACGTGAATCCTGACGATATGCTGCTTAGTGGGCGATATGACCAACGTTGAACTTGACGAGTGACGAGTGAGAGTCGGCAAAACAGGAGTATCGGTGAAGCATCCAGCAAGAGTGTCAGAGGTGGGTAGGATCCATAATCGTCGGATGACTACCGATGTCCATGATAGATAGTCGGGGCTTTGATTGGTTCAGCACGTTCACCCCAAGCCTGATAGCTCTTAGTGACATCAGTAGCCGGAGACCAGGGGGTTCCTAGTTGCTTCGAGGCTCTCGAGTTTGTGGACTGTTAAGCCCAGAAAGTCCATTGGACATAATATGCTCTGTTGTATTCTTTCCGGAGAATACCATTAACCATTCCATACTATAGTGTTAGTTGCAAGTTACTACTCCGTACGGAGTAGCAACTTGTTTGTTTGATCGCTGATGTCCGCTAACCGCATCGGTGCATCCATGTCACGAGTCGACTCACTCACCGCCTTCCCCGTAGGACCCCGTATCATGTGACCCGCTCCAGCCATTTCCCCCCAGCGCGTCGACTTGACTTCATCTTAAATCGACTTGCAATACTCGGCCCATTCTTGTCGCTCGCCTGAGCGCTTCGGCAGAATTACAGCTTGCCAGTTTCCGTTTTTGCTGGATATCTCCGGCTTTCACCCCAATCCCTGTGAGATGAAGACGCATCGGCATCATGGGTCAAGGTTACTCCCTTACAACCCTCTCGGCGGGTTCGGCTGGGATCGATGTTCCAGAGCTGTCCGATCTGATGTATGAGAAGTCGATGGGCGGCGGTAGATTCATGAAGAGCATCCGCGCAAGGCGACAAAATGGTCTCGTCTTCGTGAAGGTGATTATGAAGCCTTATCCTAGCATGAAGCTGGAGCCATATGTCAAAGCCATACTTAGTAGGTTTGCCTGTGTTTATTCCTCGAACGCATTAAGAGTTGTGGGGCCGGAGTATACTAATGGTTGAGTTTAGGGGAGCGCAAGTTGCTTTCTGAAGTACCCAACGCTTTAAGCCATCAGAGGGTGTTGGAGACCAGCACGGGCGGCTACCTCGTTCGCCAGTACATCCACAGTTCCCTTTACGACCGCATGAGGTAGGTGTTGTTCCTGGGCTTCTTTTGAATCCACGTCATGTCGAATGTGCTAACGTAAGCAGCACCCGCCCTTTCCCCGAAGATATTGAAAAGAAGTGGATTGCTTTCCAGCTATTGTGTGCTTTGCGCGATTGTCACTCGCTGGATGTGTTCCACGGGGACATTAAGACGGAGAATGTCTTGGTCACTTCCTGGAATTGGCTGTATCTCTCGGATTTCTCTTCATCTTTCAAACCAACATTTCTTCCGGAAGACAATCCGGCCGACTTCTATTTCTACTTCGATACGTCCGGGCGACGAACCTGCTATCTGGCTCCAGAACGATTCCTGGAAGCCGGTGAAGAGCCGGGGAACCGGAATGTCAACTGGGCCATGGACATTTTCAGCGCTGGCTGTGTGATCGCGGAGTTGTTCTTAGAGGCCCCGATCTTCACGTTGAGTCAGATCTACAATTATCGGAAAGGCGAGTACAGCCCAGAGCACAGCCAGTTAATGAAGGTGGAAGACCCGGAAATACGGGACATGATTCTCCACATGATCCAACTCGAGCCGGAATCGAGATACTCGGCGGAGGAGTATCTGAATTTCTGGAAGGCGAAGGCGTTCCCGGAGTATTTCTACAGCTTCCTTCACCAATACATGTCGCTCATGACCGACCCCTCTTCAGGGAGAGCCCAGGTTGAAGCCGAGTCGGCCAACAGGGGCGAGGCCGATGATAGAATCGAGCGGGTCTTTTACGATTTTGACAAGATATCCTATTTCCTCGGCTCTTCTCCCAAGGCCGCCAGCAACAATTTTGGCCAATCCACCGCCAGACTCACCGGCACCACCTTTCCTGTCCACCTTGACCTGCCTAATTATAGGCACCAGGCATCGACATCCCAGGCGCCAGCAGAAGATGGCGTGTTGATTTTTCTGACGCTTGTCGTGTCGAATCTGCGCAACACGTCCAAGGCATCGGCTCGGATCAAAGCCTGTGACATTCTTCTCGCCTTCGCTGAGAGATTGTCGGACGAAGCCAAGCTGGACCGCATACTCCCTTACATAATGATTCTTCTTAACGATCGCACGGACTCGGTGAAAGTCGCCTCCATCCGCACTCTGGCACAGCTACTGGAAATGGTCCAAGTAGTCTCTCCGGTTAACGCTTACCTTTTCTCCGAATACATCTTCCCCAGGCTTCAACCATTCGTCCCAAGCGCGAATTCGAACCCCAGCTCTCTGGTCCGCGCCGCTTACGCATCGTGTATTGCGTCCCTCGCGCAGTCGTCACTCCGGTTTTTGGATATGATTCAAGCATTGCGCTCCGACACCCGCCTGCCGGATCTGATTCCAGCGGGTTCTGAACCCAGATGGACGGAGGATGCCACATATCACAATCTCTACGACGTTGCGCGAGTCGACCTTCTGGACTATTTCGAAGCGCACACGAAAGCTCTCTTGACCGACAGTGATCCCTCTGTTCGTCGAGCATTTCTCGGATCGGTCTCCAGTTTATGTGTGTTCTTTGGGAACGCCAAGACGAATGAAGTGATTTTGAGCCATCTGAACACATACTTGAACGATCGCGACTGGATTTTGAAATGCGCCTTCTTTGAGGCCGTAGTAGGTGTGGCAGCTTACGTGGGGAGCACAAGTTTGGAACAATACATTCTACCCTTGATGGTTCAATCCATGGCCGACCCCGAGGAGTTCGTTGTGGAAAGGGTGATTCGATCATTGGCTGCGATGGCTGACCTCGGTCTTTTCCAACGGTCTACCATTTGGGATTTGCTTCACACCACCGTCCGGTATTTGATTCATCCTAATATTTGGGTCCGGGACGCAGCGGCGTTACTGGTCACCAATTCGACCAAGTATCTATCTCTTCCCGACAAGATCTGTGTTCTGACGCCACTTGTACGGCCTTATATCAAGGTGAACTCATGGAATTTTTCCAAGACTGAGCTGCTCGACGTGCTCAAAAGACCACTTACACGGGGCGTGTATGACCTGGCCTTGGTCTGGGCAACAAAAGCGGATAAGGGATTGTTCTGGAAGTCAGCGGCTTCCGATGGCATGTTCACTCTAAACGCATCCGATGGCTTGCCCTCCCGTAGCGGACAGAAGCTTTCGGGCCTTTCATTGAGTGCGCAACCTAGGAATGATGAGGATGAGCAGTGGATATCTCGGCTTCGAAATATGGGGATGAGCACAGAAGACGAGTTCAAGTTTGTCGCTCTCAGAGAGTATATCAGGAAGGTATCACGGCATCACACAAAGCATGCTGATGGTGCAATATCTCCCCTGAGCAATGTCGTCGCTTTGACACAGCTTGGGGTTACTCCACAGACAGTTTTCTTTGACAAGACCCAAAATATCAGGCCACGCAGAGATGATCACGCCATGACCAGAAACGAGTCGAGTAGGCCCGATGAGCGTAGGCATACCATTACGGATGCCCTCCTTGACGCTTCAACCACCATAGACAGGGCACCAAACAATCGTCGGAAACACTTGCGGACGAGAAGCCAACTGCAGCGGGAGTCAGGAGCTCCACGACAACATGCCTTGGATATTGTCCGGGCCACGGAACACTCTGCTGCATCGTCGCCGCTAGCATCCTCGCCAAGTGGTGCACCTGGCTCTCGGCCCATTTCGCCACCCAGTTCGGACACTGAGCGGAGAGCGTCAGGGGGTGGCAGGGAAAGTCCAGGGCAAAACAGCTCTTCGACGCCCACCGACGCGGAGAACCCAACGATCAAGAATCTAGCTGCCGGCGTACAGAGAAAGTCCAGCGCCATGAGCCTGCTCAACCGCAAAGACTACTCCGCCAAAGCATATGCGGAGACGGGCACAAGTTCAGCGAATGCGTTTGGCAAAGTTGACGTGCCAGCCCAAAGAGAAGCATCGGAGCCACCCACCCCTTCTTCTGCTCAGCATGACCGAAAAGCGCCCGGCAACCAACCTCAAAAATACCATGCGAACCATTCCTACAACGGGGATGATCCTGCCATTCTCAAGATGCTGGATTCGGTATTCGCCGAGAACTATCCTACGGACTTTTTTGATCTCGGACCCTACGTGAAAGAACTCGACCCCCGGCGTCCGATCAAGAAGAGCAATAGCAACGATCTCAACAAAGTGTGGAAGCCTACGGGAGGACTCGTCGCCATTTTCGGGGAACACAGCGGCTCTGTGAACCGAGTGATCGTCGCCCCAGATCACGCATTCTTCGTGACTGGCTCGGACGATGGCACCGTAAAGATCTGGGACACAACCCGTTTAGAGAAAAATCTGACACCGAGGTCTCGGCAAACCTATCGTCATTCGGCCGAAGCCAAGGTCAAGACGCTGACATTTGTGGAGAATACACACACCTTTGTCAGTGGTGCGACGGATGGAAGTATCCATGCCGTTAAAGTCGACTATCACAATGTGAATGACACCGTTCGGTACGGGAAGCTGCAACTAGTGCGGGAGTATCAGCTACCGGTCGCAGACGATGGGACACCGGAGTATGCCTTGTGGATGGAGCATTTCCGGGTTGATGCCCAGTCAATCCTCCTCATCGCCACTAACACCTGCCGAATTCTTGCGCTGGACATGAAAACCATGCTTCCTATGTACTCACTTCAAAACCCCGTCCATCACGGAACGCCGACCACGTTCTGTTGCGATCGAAAGCACAACTGGCTACTCATAGGCACCACTCATGGGATTCTGGATCTCTGGGACCTTCGTTTTCGGGTACAATTGAAGGCGTGGGGTCTTCCTGGATCGACCATCATCCACCGGCTCCAGGTCCACCCGACTAAGGGACGCGGACGATGGGTTTGCGTGTCGAGCAGTGGCAGCCATGGCAACGAGATCACGGTATGGGATATTGAGAAGATCCGCTGTCGCGAGATATACCGCGCGGATTCACCCGGCGTAGGCGGTGTCAGTCCCACCGTGAACGGCGGTCATCACAGCCCTCATGGCGGCAACCCCCCGGCAAAACCCGAGCTAGGCTGGTTGACCCTCAAGGAATACGACGCCTGGCAAGTCGAAGGCGACCGACCGGAAGGCATGTTGAGTCGGTTTGCCATCGACGGGCCCGGTTCAGCCGCCGTGGAGCAAGCGTCCAAGCCGTCCCCGCCCGGCACGCCAGCGGGTATCTGCACCTTTGCCGTGGGATTCGACTCTCCGGATGACGGCAAGGACAATAGTACGCGATGCGGGTTCGTCATATCCGGAGGAAGTGATCGGAAAATTCGATTCTGGGATTTGGCGCGACCGGAACTCTCGTCGATCGTCAGCGGGCTAGACGCCGTCACCGATGGAGTGGCGACCGGCAAACCGCGTTACGACGTCGCGCAGCTCGGCCCATCTCTGCTCATGACCACCGAACATCTCCCTAGCTCTGCCGCTGGGACCACCACGACCCCTACGACCACCGGCGCCGGCGGAAAGGGAGCCGCCAGTCGAAAGGCCGGCAGTGGGCGATTACCACGCAGCACGGTGATCAGCCTGCAGCAGCAGCAACTCTTGAAAAGCCACTTGGACTTTATCCAGGATGTTGCGGTGCTGCGGTCGCCGTATGGGATGGTCGTTAGTGTCGACCGTGCCGGGATGGTTTATGTTTTTCAATGATCTTGTCGTTATTTTAGTCAATTATGATAGATAGGACTATTTCAATGACGGTGAAATTACTTTTAAGGGACTCCCTAACATCACGTGTAAAATATAAGAGAAATTACGAGTACTAGGTGGGTATACTTGAGATACATAAAGTTTGTTTTTTCTTGGAAACTATCTACTCATCGGTGCGCATCTTCTCAAAGCGATCAGTGACCTCCTCGACATCCTTGCCCTTGGTCATGCCCTCCTTCCTGGCCTTGAGAAGCGCATATCTCATCATACGTTTCTCTATCTCGCGGCGCGCAATTTCGTTGGCACGCGTGATGGCTTGCATCTCGGCATCCTAGACAAAGATTAATACCCTAGACGCATTGTAGAGCCGAGAGCCACTTCGTACCAGCTCCTTGAGAGTGAGCTCCTCGACGTTCTTCCGGCGCAGAGGCCGGTTCTTACCCCTTATTTGGGGAGCGGAGGTGATGTTTGTGATGTCGCCGTTGATAAATTTCTAAGGCAGAACAGAATCAACACTAGCCATTGGATAGCTTTGACAAATTCTCACGTCGATAACGAGTCCTCCTTGAGGAGCCATAGTGGTAGAAGAGGAGGGGGGAAGTGAAGTAGGAGGAACAGGTGCGCTGGGCGAGAGCCAGTTAAGCCATGCCTGTTTTATAAATAATCAGTCATCTCCAATGGCTTCAACAGATCCGCCTTCAAACCAAACTGTCAACATCGTCTAGAGGCGCCAACCCGACTTCTCCATGTCGACTACATCGACATCCACCTCCCCCTTTGGAGGGTTGACTAAACCCCACACATATAGAACTCTTAGGCCCCAGGGGATCACTGTAAAGACAGGTCTAGATGGAATAGAAGACGAATATGGCTCGAATGAGCCGAAGATGTAGCTGCATGAGACCCAGGTTAGACAAAATGATCGGACTGTTCTGGAGATATCACTCAACTCACATCTTCCCGGAGCTCCTATCCCACGACAGACTATCCAACCCCGGCGAGGAAGAAAAAACACCAGCCTGTGAAAGACTTCTATTTTGTGCCAATCGAGATAGTGGTTAGCAAAACTCCAGACCATTAATGTTGGGACTGTTATTAGACACCTACCTGTACGCTGTTTCGAAGGCAAGACGGATCCGGTCTCTATCCTCTCTTTCAAGGCCCCAGAAGATCCCATCTTGTATATCAATGGCGTCTTTCCAGGTGACTGTCGGCTCACCTAGAACGACACCCGGAACGTTGCTCACGACCAAGTAAACCACTGAGCCCCCGGGGACGAGGCCGTCCTCGTCTTGCTTTCCACGACGCAGGCCAAGGTCCTGGGGGGCATGCTCACACTGACTCTTTAGTAGCAATTCGTGCGCTTCAAGCTGCAAGTGTACGCCGAAGGTGAGCTTTTCTGATGCTTGATTTCGACGCATGCTGGCGGGGAGAAATTCCGAGCCCCGATAGCGGATTTGCATAGAGACTTGCATCGTCGCCTGGACGTTATCATTGGGACGGTGACATGCGAAGGTGCATATTGCCACAGAGCCTTTACCATTGGCGGTTTCGTCACGGTTCGTCCATAGGCAGGTTTCGTCTCCGATCTTAGCGTCGATGGTCCAGGTCGACGCGGAAGGGTGGGTGAACTGGATTTGCTTGCCATTCCATACCTCTGTGGGGAAGAAGATGGGGGTAGACATGGTGGCGGTTGATTATGGGGATGTGTGGAGGATGGGAAGATGTAAGGGGCCTCAGACACTTCATCAAGATGTCATTCTGGGCGCTGTGAATAGGGTTTGGTTCGGCTCGGTGAAGGAGTCCGCGGCATATTTGATAGTTAATGCACGTTGCTTTCGTCATAATGAAGTATTTCCCAAGTAATATCTAGATATTCACTAGGCCGCCGGTCCTCTACTCCGTTACTTCCAACCGATTCAATAAATCCGCCTTCAGATCGTGTACAAATTCCGTCATTTCTTCCTCTGTATGGAAAGCCTCGTTATACACGAGCCGCAACGTCAACTGATCCCTGAATGTCCACACGAAGACCACTCCCTGGCGCGAAAGCATCTCAACGCCAACACCAACATGGGTGATATCGATCCCGCGCTCCGCGTCTCCATACTCCCGCTTCAGATATTTCTCCATAACTCCTAGGCTGCTGATGTCGACGTCACTTGGGGGCTCTGCCGGTGGAGGTAGGCTCTTGATCACCTCGACCAGAGTGGACGCGTATTCCCGGTGCGCCTGGAGGTATTCGGTGCTGATGCCCTTCTGGTACTCTGCTTGGTACATGCGCGCATTCTCATCCCAGGTGCCGGAGGCGTCGACGCGAGCCAACCAACCGGAGGTATAGAGGCCAGAGGCGGCTGCCGGGGTCGAATATGGTTCGGGCAGATACGGACGCAGTGAGTGTTTGATAGTGCTGGTATAATGGCGGCCCTGATGCTCCGGTATCGCGTGCTGGAAGTTGACGGCGGCGAGGCTAGCATGCACGGCGGCTGTGATGCCCACGCCACGAGCCTTAGCAGCGGCGACGGCGGCGGATGTGGTAGCGGGCGAGAACGTCAGCTCGACGGCCTGCGTGCCGGAGGGAACGGTTGAGGCATCACCGGAGTATGGGATTCCGATCGCTCCCGCTGCCAGTGTGAAGGTGCCGACTGCCCCGTGCGCGACGGCCTTTTGCTCCTCGGTTGCGACAAGGGGCATGTTTCCGGCTTCCTCGACTGGGAGTGCCAGTCGCTCGACCTCCGACCCCCAGTCGAACCAGTCGGACGGGTCTGGGAGCTCTCCAGAGAGGAGGGTGTCGGCATGCGAAGCCATCAGATCAACGAGCTGGCCTAGGAGAAGAAGACCACCGACTCCGTCCATGCGCCAGTGTGCCGTGTGCAAGAGAAGCTCACTCGATTTCGGTATAAAGTACAGTCGGGCGTCGGGAGCCGGTGCAATGGTAGAGATGACCTCGTCCGTGGATATCGCGTCAGCGACAACGATGAAGGTCTGAGAGACCCATTCTCGCAGAGCATCTGCCGATGTGGGGATAGTATAGACGACATTCGAGTTGGTGGTATCCGGGTGGGCGGCCAGACTGGGGTGCTGGAAGCGCAGATGCGACCAACTGTAGCGGATGAGGTCTAGTAGAAGGTCGGATGATCCAGACAAGGCTGCGAATGCTCCGCGAGGATTGATAGTGGCCGTATAATTGACCGCCCAGTGTTCACGGCCGAGGGAATGGCCAGGATCACTGACTAATTTGATAAACACCTCATTGGGACCAAGAGGCCGAGTGAGGGTGTTGGGTGTGTCCTCGGATGTCGCCCACGGCATATTGAGAAGGGTGTTCTTTCTTGCGGGGTGGTTGATGTAGGAAAGATCTCTAGCTGACCGTGATTCCGGATTGAAATATCTATGGGGCACAGGCCACGACCAAGGATCGTTTGGGGGCCAAAATCCGGAGGTCCACCGTTCGGTATGAATCCTTATTGGAGATGGTGATGCAAGGATCATTGCATTCCAACTCACCCAGTGGCTAGCTAGCTTTGTAGGTGACACTCGCCTAGGAGGTAAGCATGGACGACCCGTACTTAGCAAAATACTGATAATACACAATCTCAGAAAACTATTCGTCCTAGTGACTTAGTATCAGATAATATCGCCGCGTCAAACCTTTTCGTGCACATCACCCTACAAATTGCAGCCAACTCCTGTTCCGTCAAAGAACCCGTTCCACCGTCCAGTTGTCCACTCCTCTCTGTAGCTTCTGTCTGTCTTCAAAGAAGGGCCTGAACACCGTCTGAATGATAGTATCGGGATGATAACCCTCGGTGTAGCCGCCATTTGGGTCGATGATGGCTGCTTTGATCAGCGGCATGCCGACCAAAATCTGGGAAGCCTGAGGGAGCGCCTGCGCGAAGAGGCGACTGAGTGTTTGCGACGCCGCTTTGACAGCACTCAGTGAAGAGAAGACCATCTGCGGCTCCTTGTCAAGGACACCCCCGGTGACCAGGAAGAGCGGCCACTCGCCCTTGGAGACGTGGTCAGTGTTGGCGTTGCGCATGAACCACTGGCCCGCGACAAGAGTGCCAATCGCGGAGACCCGGAAGTCGAGCTCCAGCATCTCCGGGGTGAGCTCGGTGATGTGCGACTCGGCAACGTGGGCGGCGTTGTAGTTCAGGACGTCCAGCTTGCCACCGAATTGTTGGGTGCACCAGTCCAAGGCGGCTGTGAGGCTTTCGGGATTGCCGGCATCGGCGGTGCGGTAGATCACTTTAGCGTCGGTGCTTGTTTGGGCGGCTTTGACTTCGTCGGCGATCTTGGAAAGGTTGTTCTCGGAGCGTGATACGAGGGCAATGTTCCAGCCTACGCTTGCGAGCCAAAGAGCAAGCGACCGGGACATGGTCGAGCCCACGCCAATGATGGCTATATTGCGATTCGGGGCAACACTCATGGTGACGGGTGATAGATAGATGAAGGCTCTGATGGTGCACGCCAGGTTGAGGCATGTACCATTGCCGCAGTTGTGCTATTTATACGTCAAGAGTCTTATTAATGGAAAGTTCGAGACCAGACAAGATTGAGAATATCTCCGAGGCGGTGCAATTATTCCACCGATCCAGTATCTGTGAACAGACGCAGCAGGCTCAGGAAGCTCAGCAGTTCAGTCAGACAAAGGGCTGCTATCGACACACCGCGTGATGGCGTCCCTCGGACAGCACACAAGCGAGATGCCTATCGAATGATTGGTTCAACTCCGCTCACCTCGTATAAATGAATAGATATACGACTCCCCGCTCTCCACACATCGGTCAATAAGCTTGGCTGGATCGAGATTTGACGACAATTCAAGGAGAGGCCAGTAATCCATCCCAGGTCATCCCTGCGGTTGTTTCTGATATCTGGACAAAGGTTCACCACATTCTCTATAATCAGAATCCGAAGCTAGTTAGGGGATACCAAACTATCGCCTTCTGAGACCAAGTCGTGAGTTCTCTTGGCTATAGGGATGACAACAGGAATGACGCGGGCCTTGTCGGAGTAGACACCCCTGCGATCGACGCATACCTTCAAGGTTATAAGGGCCAGGTCTCCGGGTTCCTGGTACCGGATCACGACCATGAAAATCGCGATGAAGAGAAAGAATCAGACACTGGTGGAGTACTTGCAGGGGTTTAAGATCCCAATTCTCTGTGTGACCAGAGGACAGCCGCACATGAGTACAAGCATGACTCGTAAATGATGCATCAAAACGTCATGTAGGTTGTATAGCCGTGTTCAGATGGCTTCTTATGCTGGTTGAACAACTATGGGGGAAGTCATAGTCTGATCCTCTCACCAGGCGACCTGCGATTGAACCGTGGTTCTGTGTAGCAGACTATTGATGATGGTTTAGTGAAAGAATGGTCAACTGAGAGTACGGTAGGTTTATCTCTTGCTCGGAGAGGATCCTACTCGAAGATGTAAGAGGTAATAGCAGAGAACGAGATCAAGTCTTTGGATTGACGATGCAAGGATGAGAATGTCATCGTCTACTGTGAGCCCTGTCTACTCAGTTTTGGCTGGGACATTTGTCGAATATCGCACGTGAACCGTGAGCGTCGTTCCAAATTCAGTTCGCAAGGTTATTAAAGATCTCGGGGATCATGGCTCGTTGAAATTGAACTCTCTCGCTCACTCGAAGGTCTAGGATGCTTTCTTCCTGCCGGAAGAGTAAGAGCCACCACATTCGCATTCTCGATCACAATTCCGATGTACAATATCAGGCTGAATCCGAAGACCGAGAAAGAGACGCGCGACAGCCTCGGACATCGGAGATCGGCTTCGGCGATCGGAGTTGGCTCCAATCTTATCAATCAGTGGCGCCTGTCACGCCTAACCTTTTCTGGTAGGTCGCGGTGGGCCACTGCATGGAATTTTGGCATCCGTAGTTCCGAACAAAGAAGATGTAACTCTCGGACTTGTTTGGACTTATTTGGGTGAGATTGAGAGCATGTCATTATCAGGAGTTTCCCCTCTCTGCCTATCCTACTCTGTTTCACGTGATACCTACCAATTTGAATGACAGCCATGGACATTGAAAGTAAACAGGTGGCCCAGCAGAGCCAGGTAGACAGGAACAACAACAAACATGGGATTGGAGACTCTACAGATACGAGAAGAAGTGATCCGGATCAAGGTCACTTCCATGGTGCGAATCCTCAAAACAGTGTAGAAGCTGCTTGGAACGAGGAATTCCTAGTCACCTTCAACTCTGATGACCTTGAGAACCCCTTGAATTGGTCCAGAAATCTGAAATGGGGAGTCACTGCAGCTGTACCTGGGACCGGGTTAGTCCGCATCATGATCTCAACGGTATATATACGGTATTCACTGCCCGGATGGAACACGGAGACGTGCTGTGCTAATGCCCGATCTACTATCTTGCAGATGATGGCGCCTGCCGCCTATCCCGAGCACGTTAGTTTGGCATCCGCTGCCACTCAGGTGCTCCGGAGCCTGCTAGTCTTCGCATTTCCGCTGTTCGCTGAGCCTCTTTACAGCTCGCTGGGATACGGCTGGGGGGAATAGCTTGTTGGCGTTTCTGTCGATTGGTATCGCGTTGCCGGCAACTGCTATTCTTTGGTGTTTTGATGCCCGGCTAAGAGGTAGGCGGCAGTCGAGCTATTAGAGCAAAGCAAGGCTTGGTACTTTGCAAGATGCGAATGTCCAAACCAGGGTAAACTGTCATTATGTAAAGCCATACCCCTAGACCGCAGTACCGACTAGTTATGAGGTGAAGCCTGGCACATGTACGGAGTCACCCGGAAATTGCTGAGTTATCCTCATTATGTATATGATGCTTGGGTTTAACCAATAATACACTAATATAGTATCAAGAACCAACGACTCGATGTACTCCTTTAAGCATGAATTAGAGACTTTAATATCACCAAGCCTTTACATGATGTACAAAGCACTATAATTCAGCCAGTCCTTTTGCCTACTTGTACCAGTCGTAATAGTACGAAATTGTGCGATTCAGCCTGCCTTCTTCGAAATCTTGAGCCTGTTTGACAGTCAGCAAAAGCTGTAGCTAAAACACTAGAACTTACTAAAGCATCAACAAAGTAGTCTACTATCTCAACCTCTTCTTCGACCCATTTCGCTTGTCTTAGGGAGAGATCATCCTCTGGAAATGTCTGGGCAGAATCAAAGTCTACCCAGAGTACCCTTTCATACTCCGCTAAGGATACCATCATATTGCGCGGTCTCGGATCACCATGGAGAACCTTTGCTTTGTGAATGTTGTCGAGAATCTCACGGAGTTTAGCCAGGCGTTTTTTCGAAAAGTTGGATAGGTCGATTTGTTGCAGATTTGGAATATACTCGATAAGGATGGCATTAGGCGGCAGACTGTCGTTAAGAAACATGTCAAGATTTGGCCAAACAGCCGGTTGGATATTTCTAATGGTCCCGTAGAAATTTGGGATGATGCCTTTTTTGCACAAGCCCTTCGAATTCAATCGCTGGTATGCGGTAGACTCGGAAACAAAGAGATTAACTTCGCGATCAGGGGGATCGAACTCAGACGGCCCCCTATCATGATACTTCGATTATAAGCAAGAAGCCAGTAAAGGAATGAGAATACTTAGACTTACCACTTTCATGACACATGTCCTCTCCCGGAAACGGACTTTGAAAATCACCGAGTGCTTACTCTCCTTCAGCTTTTCAAGGAATTCAACCTCAGATGGTTCCAGTTCAATCTCATCAGACATGAGAGCTATTCGAAATTCGTAACTAGGCGAATAAGGAAGGCTGAACGTGAGCTGTGTATGTTGGATTTGCAACTTACTGTTCCCTCGGCGTTGACACAGGGTGCCTTGGCTTATAAAACAAAGAGCTGCCATCAGGCGGCATTATCCACGCTGCTGCCTGATCTTCTTTCCTCATCACTGGAAGGTAGTCAATCGAGTTCGTACTAACAGCGAACATAAGCGAGAAGGCAGATTACTCAGATATCCAAACACATCACTCTCCAGCAGACCTCCTACAAACTATCCACAGATACTGTTACCTTACTTTCTAGCTCCCTAATGTTAAACCTAACGATACAGAGTTTTAACGGGCCTAATCTCGTAGCATTATTCTTTTTGCTACACGAAAGCCTATACATCATCTTCAACCCGTAAGCATCTTATTCCAAAACTAATCTAAACGTTGGACTGGCGCTCGAGCAGCAAATCTAGGAATCTACTAAGCGGAATCCTCTCGTAGATAGTTTCTTGGTACAGCTTTACTCTGGTTGTGGTGCAAAGAGCCATATAGATATTCTGATGACCTGTGCACATCTGGAAGGAAGACATCTAGTACAGAGGCTAGTGAGACAGCCGTTTTCTTTCCACGATGCCATCCCCGTCGGCCCTAGAGCAACCTGCGAGGGGATTGCCAATAACAGCGTCACCTATCTCAATTCAAAATCTTTTTCAATTGCATTTGCGGCGGAATGGACCATACGCATATACTACTTCATACTCATAAGCCCCTGTGAGGTCCTCATGAACTGCTCGTAAAATTCGCCCCAAATCTCCCACAAACTGCTCATAGATTGACCATCAAACGAAGAGCCTGATAACGTGATCCCATTACCCCGCACTAACCCCGGTTCAGGCTCCTTCTCTAGTGTCCTGCCATCGTCAATAGTGCTAACCATAGACGGTGTCTTCTCTCCACTGACTGAAGCAGCTTCACAATCTCTTGATGGTTGTTCAATGCAGCCCAATCCATCGCACTTCGACCCGTAGCATCCTTGGTACCAACGTCCGCCCCTCGATCGATCAGATAGCGCACAACATCCGCTTTGCCCAGCTCCGCTGCTTTATGTAAAGCGGTCCCCAAGCCCATAAAGTAGTATAGTCTCCATGAAGGATAGTGCTTCTCGTACATCTTTGCATTCAAAGGAGCTCCTCTCTCGAGCAGTATGTCTAGCATCTCGATGGTATCCGTTTGGCGTTCAACGGCATGGTGAAGTAGTTGTCCTTTGTGAACGTCTCCTCCACGATCTAGAAGTAGTTTGACGGTAGGGATGGAGGCTTGTTCTACCGCGTAAGACAATGGTGTAAGATCGATCGAGCACTGCTTGTTTGGGTCGGCGCCGTGATCAAGAAGCCACAGAGTCATCTCCTCGTCGTCAACGGCATAACTAGCATAATACCGCAAGTAAGTAGTGAGGCTTGGAGAAACCATATAGGGACTTACCCGAGCGCAGGAGGCCTCAGTTCGCTTGTCGGATGATTAATATCCCATCCATGTTGTAGTAGGGTGTTCAGAACCTCCTTTGATCTATGTCTTATCGCTTCTAGAGCATAGTCTTGGCTCATTGGCAACTCGTGCTGCAAAATTGTAGCGACAATATCCTTCTGATCCCATCTGACAGCCTGTATCATCACTGAGTCCAGATCATGTATATCCAGACTGAGAGAAGTCCAAGTGTCGAAGGTTGACTTGAATCTCGGAAAGTCGCCAACCTCGCAGGCAGCCTCCATTTCCCGGATTATCTCCGGAGATGTTTGACGCGGAACAAGAGGCAAGCTGCTCTGGTGCTCTAATCTGGGAGGATTTGTAGACATGACGATAGGAAGAGGGCTGGAACAGGATTGTCCGTGGTTAACGCTGGGATTACAGCCCGAAGCTGGGTGACCGCATTCCTAGATGTAGGGGCTGTGGCGAATTGTGGAGGCGGGCCAACTCTCGGCCCCTGAACCTTGCATATTTCTTCATAAATTTCCCATAAACTCCTCATATATTCCTATAGATTCCTTGGAATCAGAAGTCCAAAACCTGCCAGACTGTAAGGGGAAGCCCGGGCCCCCGGCAAAAGATTGGAATGCGGGTTCTGATCAGGTTAGACCCGCCCACTGCGGGCTTCAGGTCTAAACTCTTCTGAATCTATAATTGTAGTGGTTTAATATACATTTAGTATAAATTTATTAAGAGGTCTATATACTAGCTTACTTTGAAAGTCTTAGTAAGTTACTTATTATATAATTTTAAGAAAATTGCCAGTGATCCATAGAAAAACTACATTTAGCCCGTAGACCTGACGCTCCCTACACGCACGATCCTGCTCCGCAATATTATTGTCAAGAGCGCATAGATTCACATCAAAGAGTACACCTAAATAAGCCCTTTGGTAACCTGCCTGAAGCCAGGGAAGAGTGGACCTTTTCACTCGAGCAGCTTGACGTTGCATCTGGTGCCGGCAACCAAGGGCTGGGGGGTTCTTCTTGTAGACTACTATTGAGCCTTGATAACGTGTCCGGTATCACCGGTCTTTGCTTTGGTGAGTATAAATGGTGCAACCGCCATTCCAGGAGAGACATCGAGAAAGAAACCCACCAGCTCGCGTCCACGCCTCCTTGGAGAGGGAAAGCACTGAAGCCTTCTAGGGAATTTAGCATCAAGTACTATTTGCTGATTCATGATTAATCATTATATCGAGATATTCATCATGCGCTCCTGCGCCGCATTTCATATCCACATGAAGAGAGAAGAAGAAAAGGAAAAAAGATTAAAGAACTACAAGAAAAGCCACATGCCCACCCTCTTCACCTTTGCCCAAACGCCCTTCTCCTCGCCCTTCATCGACGCAAGAAGTTTCTCCCGTCGTGAGGTGGGTTGATGAGATTCATATTCGGGGTTCGCCATAGGATCAACCCCGTCTTCATGAACCACGTTATATCGATCCGTCAGGAGGTCCATCTCGTCGATACGGACGAACTTCGTGCGCTTGACTAGTTTCCACACAAGGAACATAACGATCATGATAGGGATCTCGATGTAGAAGGAGACGAAATCGACGGGCTTGAAGTGTGGGCTGAAACACGACCAGCCCTGGACGAGGATCAAGACGATGTTAAGACAGACGGCGATGATGGGCCCGACAGGGTAGGTCCAGTTCTTGTAGGGCAGGAGATGTTCGAGGCCTTGGTGGCGGATAGCGGAGCGGAAGCGTAGGGACGCGATACCGATGCAGGTCCAGGAGAGTTGGTTGGAGACGCCGACGATGCTGCAGATCATGTTAGTTGATTCAAACAAACAGGGGAATCAATACGGGCATAAATACTTTTGCAGCCATGACCAGAGCTGACCTGCGCCGATATAGCTGGCTCCGAAGCAGAGTCCACTAATGACTGAGGTAGCTAGGACAGCAATCCAAGGCACCTGGAAGCGGTTCAGGTGGCCGAAGAACTTGGGAGCGTAGCCATCAACCGCGAGCGTGTAGAGGAGTCGAGATCCGGCAAACAGGGCATGGTTAGCTGCGGAAATGACACTGGTCATAAGCACGGCGTTGATGAAGCTTCCAGCGACGGCACTGCCAGCCTGAGTGAAAACAATGGTGAAAGGGCTGGTGGCGGTGTCTCCCTCGGACAAGTTCGGGTAGTTGTAGGGCACATTGAGTCCGATTATGATAATAGAAACAATGTAGAAGAGAATAATTCGCCAGAAGACGTTGCGAACCACCTTAGGCATGTTCTTATCGGGGTCCTTGGTTTCACCGGCAGTCACGGCGATCGATTCGGTGCCGCCACTGGCATTCAGTTAGTATTGATCAAAATGCCGATAATTCATGGGAGTCGTACAAAGCAAAGGAAGCCGTCACGAAAACGGATGCAAATCCTCCGATCCCACCGACGAATGGCGCATCCCCGGTATAAAAGTACTTATCACCGATATATTGATGATCCGTATTACCTCCACAGTTGACCGCAATGCCGAGTATAATAAATATCTGGATAGTCAGCTTTTCGTCCAAGATGTCCAATCCATGAGATCGGAGAACCTACAATGATGGTAATGACTTTCAAAAGACTGAGCCAATACTCGATCTACCCACCAGGTCCAAGTTAGCAAAACAAGCCTCACCAGAGATACCGACTAGGACAACCCTACCTCTCCATAAACCTTCACAGATAGCACATTCAGCGCGATGACCACGACCAGGAAGATCAGACTGATCGCCCAACCGGGGAAATTATCCGTCCAGAATTCCAGCAACAGCTGCAGAGCTATCACATCAGAGGCCGTCGAGACTGCATCATTAAACCAGTAATTCCAGGTCAAAGCGAAACCCAACGCGTCGTCGACGAACCGACTAAAGCGAGAAAAAAAGATACCGTCAGCACCACAGACCGATAGACACTCACTCTCACGCCCAAAACACCCAAGTTCAACTCACCCAGCAAACGTACAAAACGACCCAGCAACCGGGATAAACGCAGCCATCTCCCCGAGACTCAGCATTGTCACGAATACGATTCCGCCGCAAATCGCGTACGCGATCAACATGGATGCCGGACCACCGGTCGCCAGCGCTTTCCCCGTACCCAGGAACAGACCCGTGCCGATTGTGCCGCCGATGGCGATCATCTGAACCTGTCGCGCGGACAGGTTCCGGGCAAGCTTGTCGGCATTGACGGGTGGGACTCGGACATCGTGGTCGTATGCACCTGTCGAGAGGCCGGGATATTTCGAGTCCCCCGGGCCATGGGACTGTGCTGCCGGCTGCTTTTCGATATCGTGAGTCGCCATATTAGATCGGTTAGATTTGATATGATATATAAGTCAACGAGCCACAGTCCACAATGATGTGGCTCGAAAGAGTAGTCCCGTCGCACAGAGCCCTGGGCGACACATGGTGTCAGCAAGATAAGATGAGAGCACGAAGAGGAAAAGAACCGGCTCACCTGATGAAGGATCAGTGATAGGGTTACCGAATTGGGAAATCCCCGTGGGACTCCACACGTGATTGACACCTGACAGAAAAAAAAAAAGATTCTAGAAAAGAAAAAATGGGGCAGTGATTCAGGTTCTCCGGCAGCTACAGAAACAGACGGAAATCCAATGCAGGACAGAAAACCCCTTTAAAAACGAACATCTTGTGAGCATCAGAGGCAAACTGAAAAATCCCTGCATGTTAGCGCCATGACGTGATTGAAAAACGTTACGTACAACGAACTCGGCAATCCCCAGCGAACCGATCAAAGTTCGCGCCATGAGATCCCTTCATCACGTCTGAGTCCCACTTGCCGTCGGAAGCTTCGATATGCCAAATCCCCGGGCGTCACTTGTTCTTCTTGGCAGGCAGGATTCGGTCTGGGCCGTAGCGGTGGATGGCGTGCCTTGACCTGTGGTATGGTGTTGCCTTTTTAGGGAAATCGTGCCTTATTCCAGACTATCATATCATGTCATACTTACTCCTTACTACATATTAGTACGGTGTATCCTAAATAAAGAAAACTTTTTATCGCATTATTTACATAATTCCAGACGAAAGTGTCCAAAGTCCAAACCATACATGCTTTGTATACTCTCCGCTAGTAAGAAACGTACAAACAGCCCAGAACATATCGACGTAAAAGGAAACAGGGGAAACCAGGTGACAGACACCACTGCAAGGGACGAAAGAAAGACAGAAACAATCTACCCCAGCAATCCAGTAGCCAACGACTCCAGATCTTCCAGAGTCTGGATAGGTTCGGGTCCCTTGGGCGCCGCGGGTCGCTTGTCCCTCTTGTAGCGGGATGCCACTTCGTTGTCGCTGTCGGGTTCTTGCACGCGAACCTTCTTGTTGGGACGAGGTGCTGGTTCTTCCGCCTCGGATTGTGAATAATCGCCTCCGTCGTAGTCGTCGCCGCCCTCGAAGGGAGCCAGTTGCGCCTCTCGTTCCTCGGCCTCTTCCTCGGCCAGCAATTCCCGCTCGCGCTGCTTGCGCTTCTCTTTCTTCTCGCGACGCTTCTGCTTGTCGACGGCCTTGTCTTCCAGATCGGCCTGTCGCGTGCGCTGCGTCTCCTCTGCCAGGAACTGCGCCTGTTGGTCCTTGGCGTCGCCGCGGGCCTTGAACTGGTCCTCGTCTTCCATCTCGTACAGCTCGTGCGCGTTGCCCTCGTCGTCGTAAACCAACTTCGTACCCTTGCCCTTGAATTTGAGCAGCTTCTTCTTCGATTTAAGCAGTTTCTCTCGTCGTTTCGAGTCTACGACCAGTGGGTCGCGGCCGTCGATGTGGACGGTCTTGATATCTTTCTTGTCGGTCTCCTCCTCGTCATCATCACTACTGCGCACATCCAGACCCTCGTCACCGGCAGCAAAGCGCCGTTTGACAGACAGGAAATCGTCTTCATCGTCGCTCTCGCCCTTGTTCTGGTTAGGATCGACCAAAGTGCCGTCATCGTTGATGAGTTTCGAGTAGTGGTCCGCCAGGACGTCCTGGTTCTGTCGCTCAAACATCCGATCGTACTTGGTGCGCACACGAGGCTCTTCCTTCCTCTTCGCTGTTTTCTCTGTTTTCTCTTCCTCGTCATCGCCAGATTCGTCATCGCTGGACATGTACGCCGACGCACGAGGAGCGTTCTTCCGTTCTTTCGTGTCGTCTCCCTTGATGAACTTGATCCGGGGCGCTCCCGGAAGACCCATGCTGTGGGCCAGATCCTCCAGCTTCAGCTCCTTGATGTTGAAGATTTCCTTGTCCTTCTGCACGTAAACCGATTTGACGTAGGAGATGAAAGCCTTCTGGCCCAGATACTTCAGCTCGGGGTCCTTGAAACACATGTTCTGCAGCTGGCTCTTGACGCTCTGCTGCTTGTTTGCTTTGATGTTGATCCGCTCGACCTTCACCTTTTTCTGCTCCAGACGCTGCAGCATGCCTTTCTCCTCGCTGGGGTCGAGGAACAAGACCGCACGGCCTTCCCGCTCGTAACGCGCCGTTCGCCCGACTCGGTGAATATACGTGTCGGCATCTTCGGGACAATCGAGCTGAATGACCCAGTCGACGGCCGGGAAATCCAAACCACGCGCAGCAATATCCGTCGAGAAAAGCACGGCGTGCTTCGCCTGGGAGAAATTTGTCGTGATGTCAAGTCGTCCACCCTGCTTCTGTCGACCGTGGAGATGCATCAAGGGAATACCGGGTTGCATGTGTCGGAAAGACTCGTAGACAAATCGCACTTGTTTCCCGGACGACAGAAACACAATCGTCTTGGACTTCAGGTTACTCCGGATAAAACTCCACAGCACGTCGAGCTTCTGCGGCAACGGAGTCACCACGTAGTGTTGCTGAAGCGTCGCGGGGGTAGCAGAAGACGCCGCCTCATGCACGGCCACGTACTCGGGATCCTTCAAACTCAAGCGCGCCAGATCCGACACCTTCTTCGTCTGCGTCGCACTGAAGAGAAGTGTCTGGCGCTGCTGGGGCAGATGACCCACGATCGCATCCACCGTCTTCTGGAATCCCATGTCCATGATCCGGTCCGCCTCGTCCATCACCAGCATCTGCAGGTTATTGGTATCGAACAGAGCTGTCTGATCCAAGTGCTGCAGCATTCGACCGGGCGTGCAGACCAAAATGTTCATCCTCCCCAGTCTCTCCTGCTCCTCGCGCAAACTCTTTCCACCGATCACCAGACCGGCCGAAAAATTGTGATAGCGGCCAACCTTGCGGAGCACTTCGAAGATCTGGATCGCCAGTTCGCGAGTCGGCGAGAGGATCAGCGCTCCGAGTCCGTCGTATTCGGCCCATTGCTTGCGGTACAGGTTCTCGAGCACCGGGACCAGGAAAGCCAGTGTCTTGCCGCTTCCCGTCTTCGCGGCGCCCAGAATATCCCGACCCTTCAGCGCATGACTGATCGCGCGAGACTGGATATCAGTCAGGGTCTTGTAGTGCGACGACGAGAGTCCGGAGGCGGTCGGTTCGGACAGAGGGAGGTCGGAGAAAGATTTGTAGGATTCCTTGAGGTCGAGATCTTCGACTCGCTGAACCAGCGTCGATAGATCCTCTTCTGCGCGCTTCCGCTTCAGTGACTGAGGTTTGTTAGATGATTTGCCCTTTCCATGACGGGGACCATTATTCGAAGGCATGATGAGCCTGACACCTGGAGATGTAGCAAAAGGAAAATGGTTGTTTGTCCGTCTACAACTCGAACTGCTTTTTTTTTCTTTTGCTTTTTTTTCTGCGGAGGCCCAAGACGCCGGGCGGTGAAGCAACTTTTTTTGTAACTGCTGAGTCAGCGCCCGATAAGATCGCAATTCTTATCAACTGCGCTAGGCCGAAGACCGTCTGCCCTGCCCTCCTTTCAGTTTTCCTTCTGGTGTTCAAGCTTCGACACTGAACGCCATGTCTTCTGACGAGCAGGATGCCCTTGACGCGCTAGAAAGAGAGGCGTCGGACTTTACCAAGGTATGTCAATCCTCTAACCTACCTCGGAGAAAGAGATAGAGACAGCGCAAAAGAGCACACGACCAGCTAACATAACACACTCACACAGGACGCCGAGATCGATCGCATCCGAAAGGCTTTCTCATTAGATGCGTAAGTCTCATCGATAAGCTGTCTTTACCTCCGTTTGATGCAATCTAACTGATCATGTCTCTACGAACAGCTACGCTGTCCTCGACCTCCAACCAGGAGTCCCCGACTCCGACATCAAAGTCCAATATCGCAAGAAATCCCTCCTGATCCATCCCGACAAAACGAAAAACCCAGCCGCCCCGGACGCCTTCGACCGTCTAAAGAAAGCCCACACACAGTTGCTCGACGAGAAGGCCCGCACGTACCTGGATGAATGTATCGCGGACGCGCGCCGGCTCTTGATCCGCGAACACAAGTACACGTTGGACTCCCCGGAGCTGAAGACCGAGGAATTCAAGAAGGAATGGCGGCAGAAGACGGTGCAGGTGCTCTTGGAGGAGGAGGCGCGGCGGCGACGACAGAATAAGGCGCGGCTGCAGGAGGAAGGACGGGAGAGGCGCAAGGAAGAAGAGGAGATTGAGGAACGGAAGCGGAAACGAGACCAGGATAAGGCATGGGAAGATAGTCGCGACGAGCGAATCGGCAGCTGGCGGGATTGGCAAAAGGGCCAGAAGAAAGGGGACGGGGAGAAGAAGAAGAAGAAGAAGTTGAAGGTGCTTGGGTGATTTATTTGAATCTTTGCATTGCTGTATTTTGTGCTAGTTTGTGCACTATCACTGATCCATCTAGCACCGCAATGGGAGTTATATGAAGATGTGTTGATGCCTTTATTCCCCAAGAATCAGGCACCCAGAGCGACCAGAAGGCCAGATAAGAAGGCGGTCAGCAGCGATGCGGGGCGCGGGGGGCCGATGGATTCCATTCGATTCCGGCTTCATTTCGGAAAGTCTCCTGGAACATTCGCCTCGGTCTGTCTGCTGCCATTAGCGTCTCCTCCGGTGTGCTCGTCTGGTGTTCATCGCTTCGACTCACTCTTCCCTCTGACAACCACCCTTTTCTTCTTCCTCTGTCCTCTCGATCCACCAGATCATCTCCGACCCCTACAGATAAGGACACAGATACTCTGCAGTCTACTATGACCGACACTGCCCTCTCACATGCAAATGGCGCTGCACCACCTGAATCTGCGAAGACCATGAATCCCACCACCGCGCCAGCAGCAGTGGCCTCGCAGCAACTGCAACAAGAATCCTTGTCACCCTTCAACACCCCCATCTCCACCTCAACCTCAACCTCAACACCCTCGCCGTCAGCCTCAGCATCAGCATCAGCATCGTCCACGTCCACCACACCCGCCTCCACAACGTCCAACAACCCTCCCCTCTCCGCCGTCATCGCCCAATGTCACCACCGCGTGCACTCGTTCCTCGCAGAATCGCATCCAGAGAACTCCCTCCTCGCCGCCGTACAGCGCCAAACCCGCATCTCCCTCGACGTGGTCGCCACGGCGCTGACCCGCTACAACCCCCTCACCGAACTCTCCCTCTCCTATAACGGCGGCAAGGACTGTCTCGTGCTTCTGATTCTCTTCCTCGCTGGTCTCCACCCGCACCTGGCATCACTAGAGCAGGACAAGGACAACAGCAACGGCGATGAGATCCTCCCCTCAATCCCCTCAATCTACGCCCTCCCACCGGACCCATTCCCCTTAGTCGAAGAATTCGTCCAATGGTCCTCCCGCGCCTACCACCTCTCCATTCAAAAATACACCACGCACCCCCCGCACGCCACCCTCCGCTCTAGCTTCCAAGACTACCTTTCCCGGAACCCGCTCATCAAGGCGATCTTCGTGGGCACGCGACGCACGGATCCGCACGGCGCGAAGCTGACGCATTTCGATCGTACGGATAGCGGATGGCCGGACTTCGTGCGCGTGCATCCCGTCATCGATTGGCATTATGCGGAGATTTGGGCGTTTATTCGCCATCTTGATTTGAAGTATTGTCCGTTGTATGATCAGGGGTATACCAGCTTGGGAGGGACGGGGGATACGCATCCGAATCCGATGTTGCGCGTTGATGCGAACAAGAGGGAGGAGGAGGATCGGCAAGGTAGTGCTGGTCAGTATCGGCCGGCTTATGAGTTGACGGAGGATCTGGAGGAACGGCTCGGGCGCCAATGAAAGCCTTTGCGCAAGTTCAGCGGGACTCTCGCGACCATCCTTCACTCTTGGGATCACGGTGATCCCCTTGTCCTTGCTCCGTTCATTGCAAAGACTGCATTCTTTCCGCCCCTCTCCGCCACAGCGGTGATGACTTGATTATAGAATTTTGTATTGGCTCGAGCTCTACTGGAATGGATTTAGATTCACGAGGTATTAACGTCTGTTGATATTCTCGCTATTATGCTGTTATTAGAAGCCCATACAGTCTGTCTCCCGCGGAGAGTGAACATGAACGAGATATGAACATGCAGTTTAGACAGATACAGAAAATTGCCACCTTTCCTTCACAGTTCTGCCCACTTCTTCTTCCATCTCTTTTTTGTGTGGCTTCATCAATTTTCTCCCTTTTTTTTTCTTTTCTCTTTCGGGCTTGTGTGCTCAAACTTGGATTGGTTTGCACCGTAACTGGTATCTTGCTGTGGTCGAGGTTGGTTTGATCGAATAGATCGGGGAACAAATAGAACGATGCATATGCGAGAACGGAGACTTGCGTCGGACAACAAAAAAATGGAAAGATAATTGGGGGAGAAAGAATCAAAATGCAGCGCAGTCCTTCCTTGACCAATCTGATGTAACAAATGCCATAACGGAATATTTCAGAAAGAAACTGCCCGTCAAAAAACAGAACAGGATCGAGATGGGATAAATTAGCAATGCGATGTCGATCTGGGAACTGCTATGCAAATACTCCAACGAAAGCCAGAAACAAGGACAAATAAGTAACGATGCACTAAACGACGGAACGGGGGGAGTGGACAACGATCTCTCGACGAGAAGAAATGGGAGACAGGGATTCGGCTTTGACATTCTCCTTCTGAGAACTGCTCGATCCCGCACGACGACCAATGCGCGGAGTGAATGGCAGACTGGACTTGGATGGACCAGCGCCGTTATTCATCCAACTGTTGCGGCCAACTGACATTCTTCCGCGGTGAAGGGGCGTGCTCTCCAAGTTGCCCGGGCTGTTCCTAGAAGACAGGGAGTTGAAGCGCATATTGGTGACGGGGTTCTTCACTAAAGGATATCTATTCCAGTTGTCAGTTCCGTCTCCCGGGGAAGCCGAGCCGGATTTCCTGTGTACATACGACGGGGAAATGGATGTTGCAGGAGTCCAGGTAGCACCTACTCCGACAGGAGACACGTAGCTGTTCTGAGAGGTTGGACTCAAGTGCGATATAGCCTGCTGCAGACGATTCACGGACGGCGACGGAGTGGAGCCCTGGACAACTTCAACAGAGTAGTTATACTCACCGGCACGATATGCGCGACGCTCATTGCTCTGCTGCTTGAGCAGCTTCTGAGCCTTGGTGTCAGCGAAGCGAAGAAGCAGTTTAACGCCATCTGGAGCAACATTGTTGTGGTATTCCATGAGCACCTTCTCGGCGATCTCGCGAGTCTCGAACCTACAGGACCACACGAACAGTGTTAGTAAGAGGGAAAGCCTGAACATGAGCGACTCCCAAAATACCAACCTTGCAAAGCCGACTTCCTTGCTGACTCCCGTTTTTTCATCGCGGCTGATCTTCTCCGAGACAACACGGAAGGGCTCGAAATGATGACGAAGATCCTATTGAGAAGAGTCACCAATCAGTTATGGGAAGGGACAGCAAAGCATAGAGAGAAATTACAGCCTCGGTCCATTCAATGGGAAGGTTGGTGCAGTAGATGTTAGTCGAGGTCTTGTCTTCAAGATCTTTGAGGCGCGAGTTGCGAGATTTCTACACACCAAGTCAGCCGAGCCGCGGTCGGCGAAGGTATGACAGAGCTTACCTGAGCAAAGCTGGCCTGATAGCCCAGGTAATAGAATCCACGGATGCAGTTCTCACAGGACTCAAAGTTGAAGTACTGGACAAAGCCAAATCTGGGGAATAAATCAGTGGAGCTCAAAGCGGACAATACAAATTACTACTGACCCTTTACACAGGCTCGTGTCCAAGTCCACAATCGCCTTGCAGCGATCGATCTTTCCAAACCGCGATGCGTATGCGTGCAGGACCTCATCCGTTGTCTCTGGCAGGAATCCACGTATGTAAACATTGGTGATGCCTTCGCGATTCTCAAGGCATTTCGCCAGAGTCAACTCGGAAGCGTTGGTCCACATTGCTGGCACGGCGCGTGGGATAGCTGGTTCCTGCTGAGTCAAACACTCAAGGTCCTGCAAGATGTATCCAGTGGATGACTTCATCATCTGGTACGGAACACAGGCTGCAGCCATCTGAGGCGGCTGATTGAAAGAGAAGCCTTGGAGAGCTGGGTTCTCCGAACTAGGGTTCGTGCTACCAGTGTAATATTCGGACTGATTGCTGTTCTCGACCGACGAGGTAGCAGTCATCTTGTTCTCTTCAGAGCCAGGCCACTGAGCTCGTTTGGGTCCCGCAACATCCTGAATGTCGCAGTTCATGATGTACGGGAAAGGGTAGCCCTGCATCGCCGCCGGCACCATAGGATACGACGGGTTCATGTTCGGGTACATGGTGGTGGGCATGTACGGGATGTGTCCAAGCTGCTCAGGGCCAGCAACAGGAGACGAGGTGAATGGGGGAACAGGGCCCATGCCGTTGAACATTGGTGCATTGGGCATGAGAACCAACGGACTGTTGTAGCCAGCGCGCTGAGCGCCGGACATGTCCATTCCTGGAGGCATGGCGACCGGTATGTGATTCTTGGCCGGATTGAACTTTCCTCCGGGACGCTGGCCGGGGAAGCTCAGCGGACCATAAAGCGGAGTTAGGGCTGGGCCAACACTCTCACTGCCAGAGGACATCTGGGGAAAGCCGTTCACAAACGAGGCATGGCCACCCTCATGGGAATACTGTCCGGACTGACCAGATGGGGCCTGGCTGGAATCGGATGCAGTGTTCTGCTGGGCCTGAGGATTCATGATGATGGTCACCGAGCGTGACAGTAAGTGGAATCGCTGTCCCGAATGTTAGCGATGCTCCTGCCTCCGGGAAAGGAAACCAAAAAAGAGACCACTGGTCCGTGTTCAACATGCAACCCTCCAATGAAGAGAGGCAAAATGCCCAATCGATTCACAGTACGATCAGGAAATACCGTTGCTTAAGATCAGAGGACTTACCAGCGATTAAAGAAGGACTCGATGTCGCACGGAAGAGCTGACAGACAACGTTTAGCCCAAGACGCGACGCCACCACCAAAACCGATTCAACCTACTTGGTCCCAGACTGTCTAGAAGACTTGAATACGGTCAGAATTCAATGGAAAGAAAACGAGTGAAGTTAAGAGAAGTGATGAGGATGAGAGGCTATCTAAAGGGGATGGGATGAAGTGGATGATGGGGTAAAGGACGAAGATGGGGATGAGAGAGGGGGGGAGACAGGAAGAAGGAGAGAAACGAACACAAAAAGAAAGAGGAAAGGGGGGGTAGAGACCGAAATGGAACTGGCCAAAACAACACGGGCATTGGGAAGGAGCCCGCTTCACTGTTGAAAGAAGGGAAGGACGACATCGTCGGCGGTTCAGTGCTCTGGAAGGGAAGGAATGGGGGTTTAGGGCCTGAGGCCAGCGGCCACCATGTGGTCTCGGCATCGCATCGTCTTGCATTGTATCGCATCATATCGCAACGCCAGGATGAGCAAGGTCACAGGCAAGCACTATCCAGGGAAAGTTTGTGAAAGATATATTTGTTAGAATTGCAATAACCTCATGTTCTAACATTAAGTACGACCCATCTGAACTGCCCTAACAATGCAACAATGTGTATATGTGCAGAGATTATTTGCGCCTTTGACGGCATGCCTTCCGATGATCATAGATGCCGAGAAGTTCCATTGTGAATTTCCTAGGCTCTTTCAGCCAATCATGAATCCAAGCCACAAACAGGTAAAATGGAACTGGAACTCACGGGCAGCAGCAAACATCACCCATAAACCCGGAAGAAGCGTGAAAGATATAACGAAACAAAGAACGCCCAAATGACATTCATTCCAATCGTTCCCTCGTCTTATTTCTCAGACTGGCCTTGCAACCACTTGTATACCACAGAGAAATCCTTGCCTCGGTGCTCCTCTTCCACAGCAGTGTACACACTACGAGCCTTGTCTCCAAGTGCGAGCGGAGAGCCGGACTCTTTGGCAGCGGCAAGAGCTAATCGAAGATCTTTGTTCATCAAGCTGATGCCGAACCCACCCTCATAATCGCGCGAAGCCGGGGCAGTTTCCACGACGCCCGGAACTGGGTTGTTCACCTCCATGGGCCAGCAACGACCGGTGGAAGTGTTGACCAAATCTGCAAGGGCTTTGGGTTCGAGACCCCAGCGCATACCGAGATTCATTGCTTCGGCAGTGGCAATGTTGTTGATGGCCAGGATGTAATTATTGGCAAGCTTCGCAGAGACACCGGTTCCCGGCGGTCCCATATGCCACGCTTTCTTTCCCATGAGAAGCAGGATCGACTTCACTCGCTCTACCAGCTCTCCTGATTGCGACGAGGCGCCGAACATGAATGAGAGTGCGCCTGCGCGGGCTCCCACTACTCCGCCAGACATAGGGGCATCGACAAACCGTCCTGTACGCGTCGTATGAATGGCATTAGCCAGTTCCTTGGACGAGGCCGGGTCTATTGTGGACGTATCGATGAACAGCCGTTCTTGATCCAGGGCGGGAAGCTCGCCATTTCGGAGAACGCAATAAAAGACATTCTTCACGTGTTCCGGCTCCGGTAGACTGGTTATCATCACTGTCTGTAGGAGAATTGGTCAGTATTAGAAACGAAACACCCTTGTCCCGGGTCAACCGATTCCTTCCCACCGCAGTTGCTGACCAAAGGGGTAAAACAGCCGTAGGACGACTCCCAACCGGTGACGAAGAAGGTACAAAGTTTATGCAGATCATTCTCTCCAGCGGTGGGAAGCCTCTTCTAACCGACTTACTGATTGCTCCGCGACCTCCCTCGCGTTTTGGGCCACCACCACTTTGAAGGTATCATCCCCAGCGCCGCTGCTCCGGGCAGTCTCCCGCGTTTCTTGGACAAATCTCTTGGTGGCATCCTCGTTGACATCCCGTATCACAAGGGTATCCGTTGCAGGGATCTTCGCGCGTAGGTTCTTTGCCATGGCATAACCTAGAGATTCGGTCACGTTAAGAACCTGAAGGTCGGAATCACTTCACTCAGCATTGTGACATACCCATTTGCCCCAAGCCAATAAACCCCCATGTAGCATCTCGTCGTATCGATACCGAGAACGTCCTTGAGGCCGAACGCACCGCATGCGCAGGATATGATTTCGAGATGGTCGCCCTCCGCAATGGGAGGGCCGCAGCACGCGCCAGGCTCATCTCGACGAACTTCGTGTGGTTGAACGGTCGCAAGGGGCGGTAATATCGATGTATACTATACGCTAGCTGATGGTCGCGATCGAGATCAAGGGAGGGTAGCCGCGCACACGACAAGGAAGGAGCAAACTAGCGATCAGGTAGTTGAAAAGGTAGCAATGGTAAACAGACCACCTGGTAGTAAGGTGGACATATTCCATTCGTTAAGTAACATGAATCTCACGAGACCCGAGGAAGCAAGTAAGTTTACCGTCGCTATCCGAGGATTTCCATTTGCGCCTAACGGACGACGGGGGGACGATCACTCTCCGCCTCGTCTCCATGCGGGGGAATCCACATCCGGAATGGCTGCGGAGCGCGGACAACCGGCGCCGATTATCTAATATCTTGAGCTGTCGGTCTCCTGGGCTCTGTCACTGGTTTAGCCAGGCGACAAGTGAGAAATGCGTCGTATGATTTGTCTCGTTGGTTCAGGTAGACTGCATCTTTGATGGAATTGTATCCAAACGGCCCTGATCAACTGTGTCCGTTGGTCTTGGCGCTGCACTCTTCGGGTGTCGCTGCGAATATATACTTCGAAGGGAGTACTCTGCGCCGCAGGCATAAGAACGACCAACGAGAATTTATGTTAAGACATGAAATAGAACCCCGAATACGAGATAGTAAGTTGGCTTTAGGCATTGTTGCCAATTTGTAAATCTCCTACTCTTCGACTCCGTACCACCACACCAAATCCCAAACATCGCCTCAAATCAAGTACCCAAATCCGAGTTAAACCAAGTAAACCAACATTTCCAGCCACACCAGTCCACTTGAGAACTGGATATCAGAAAACTCCCCCTTAATACATATCTCATGCAATAATTGCATACCGACCAATAAACGCACTGCCGAACAACCCGCCAGCCTGCCTAAAACAATACCTACAATTGAGCTGTACCATGCACCCGCGTATAAACTGCATGAGTAGCCAGGTTCTTCCAATCTAGTTATAGAGAGATAATAGCCAAAGGCACCAAGTGTATTTGGGACTACGCGTTACACAAAGTTCAACTATGGATCATGATATGGGGATTTTGTTTCGGATTGGGTTCAGCCTTTAGCCTTTCAGCCATCAGACTCAAGGGTGTCTGTGTTCAACTAACTTAGGGTGGAGGGTTCGCCATATGTATGTTTCCACCGAATTCGAAATGGTTCTTAAAATAGAGTAAAGAAGATCTGAATTAGACTGGAGAGATGAATCAAGTATTGTCTATCATACTATTTGCGGTCGTATCGACGGAAACGACAATTTAAAATTGTAACTCTTCACATTTTGACATCTGTCATAATCTATCCTGTCCTTATCACATCTCGGTGTGATCGACCATGTAAAGGTCCCCAAAAAGAAGAAAGAAGGGAAAAAGTAGGCATACACAAGCCACGCCAAAGGGGAGAAATAATTAAGCAAAAGGCGAAGTATATATGCAAATATCATCTAGGCATGATAGGAATGAGAATGAAGAAAGAATAGGAGAAAAAAAGTCGTAGCGTTTGTAAAGGTGCTGCAGGTAGGATCATGACCAGACATCCTCCTGGTAGCTGCCGCTGCTGCGCATGTGCTTCACCATCTCCTCGCCCTTCTCGGCAGGGAGACCGCGCTGCTTGGCAATGATTTGCCCAAGCACGAGGTTGACTTCACGGGCCATGTTGGCAGCGTCACCGCAAACATAGAAAGTGGCTTTCTGCTTCAGCAGGTCACTGACCAGCTCGGCATGCTCACGCAGCCTGTGCTGGACGTAGACTTTCTCAGCCGATTCACGAGAGAAGGCAGTGATGATCTTGAGCGAGTCGCCAAGCTGCTCCTGAAAAGTCTATAAAGACATATTGTTAGCCGTGGCGTCAATACGAGAAGACGCGGGTCCCAATTCATACCTTCCATTCATCCTTGTACAAGAAATCTTCGTCGGACTTACGGCAGCCGAAGAAAAGCAAGGTAGTTCCGACCTTCTCGTCCTTCGCGGCCAAGGCAGCACGCTCCTGGATAAACCCACGGAAAGGAGCAACACCAGTACCGGGTCCAACCATGATCACAGGTCGCGAGGGATCCGAGGGCAATTTGAAGTTTGAGTGGCGGACGTGAACGGGGACATGGATGCCATCGTACTTGTTACGGGGTCCAGTGATAGAGTAAGTCAAGCCGTGCGGGTCAGGGGTAGGCTCGCCGTTTTGCTTTTCCTTGAGCGCCAGAAGATAGTTTGTGGTCACACCCTTGACAATGTGTTCCTCACCAGGCAAGCGAACCGACTCCACAACGGCGGTAATGCTAATCTTGTCCTTCTGAACTAGGGAAGACGAGGAGATCGAGTAGTAACGGGGCTGAAGCTTGGTGATACCTTCAATAAGCAGGGAGAACGGGACGGCGGTGAAAGGCTTGGACGTGATGCTCTGGAGAGCCTGAGCGATGTTGAAGCATCGGTTGGTGATCTTCTCATGGAAATAGTCCTTGTCGCCACCCAAGCGAACGATCTCCGCCTTGGTCGCTTCATCAGGGGCAAAGGCAGCGAGAGTCGAGACAAACTGACGGGAAACGGGGGCACAGACTTCCAGGTAGTAGCGAACTGCGGCGTCATAGGTCGTAGGGGTGGGAATCGGAACCTTAGCGGTCACATCGATACCCTTAATGTTGATGACGGAGTGGCGCTTTCCTTCGAGACCAAAAGCCTGCAGGAACCGATCGACCTCGGAACCGGCGTTGGTGGGCCAAACAGCGATGTGGTCACCAGTCTGGTACGTGAGGTTGCTACCGGCGATGCTGATTTCCATGTGCAAACAGTTGCGGTCCTTGACGTTGAACAGTTCACGAGATTCGGAGATGGGAGCGATGAACGGGTTGTGCGCAGAGTACGGGCCCTTGGGCTCGCCTTGGAGATGACCTTGAGTGGGCTCACCGAGGTAAACGTTCTCATCTTCGGGGCTCAGGGACTCGTCCTCGGTGACATTGAAGACCGGCTCGTAGACCGCATCGCGCTCTTGCAGGTTCATCGCCTCAGAGAGGGCAGTCCACATGGGTTCCTTCCAGGCCAGGAAATCCTCTTCCATTGTACCAGCGCCGTCGTCACCCTCACCAGCAGAGCCAATGCGTTGGGCGCCGAACTTTGTGAGAGCGGCGTCCACATTGCGAACCATAGCGTTGTAGTGCTCATAGGTGTTGTTACCCAGACCAAACGTGACGTACTTGAGAGAAGACAGAGGCTTATCGTCGGCGGTGGCGCCGCTCTCGAAAGCAGCATCTTCGCCCGTGACGAACTGGTAGAATTCAACCGCATTATCCGTGGGTTCACCCTCGCCATAAGTGGCCAGAACGAAGAAAACAACCTTGTCCTCGGGGAACTTTTCCAGGTTCTCGTAGTCGTAGTCCTCCAGATCGGCCACCATGGTCTTGAGACCGAATCGCTGGGAGCCTTCCTTGGCCAGTCTGGACGCGTAGTCCTCGGCGGTACCGGTTTGCGAGCCGTAGAAAATCACACAGTTTTTGCCAGTTTCGTCCATTTTCTCAACAATATCACGAGTCTTGCCGGCCTTGGCGCCTCCATTCATCGCCGGACCGGCCGAGGCATAAGGGTCTTTGGCGACGGCCCAGTAGGTGCCCTTGGTGAAGTAGGCCACGCTACCCACCAAGAGCGCCACCAGGACGACCAAATCGAGAGTATCGAGTTGCGCCATGATGAGGACGCTCAGCGATGAAGAGTCACGAGGAAGGAATTGCGAATTCGATGGCGAGCTAAACGCTGGACGGGAGGAGAAGTGAAGGAGGGTCGGGGCGGGAGGGGGAGAGGGAAAGATATCCCAAATGTTCACCGAGATGGGCGATCAATAACAAAAAGGGAGTCAGAAGAGGAAGAATAAGAGGGTAAGGAAGGACACCGAAGCCGGTGCTCTTCCTAAACGAAATAAGAATGAAGAACGAGCAGAAGAAAAAGAAGAAGTCGTGGTGTGATCACAGAAGGAAGAAGCCGAAGAAGAGAAGAATAATGTGCTTAAGGCTTAGGCTCAAGCAGACCGCATTATTTGGGGGGCCGGAAACCGGAGAGTCAGAAAGGAGCGAAAGTGAGTGGGAATACGGCGCCTCTACGACTGATTGAGGCAGCGTGGCCTTTCCTTTCTCTGTGGTTGCCGCCGGAAGTGGGCGTGGCCGTAAGCACGGACGGGGTGGCAGCAAGAAGTGGAGCGAAGGCTGCTCAGGATGGAAGGTTGAATCGAAGAAGAATAACAGTACTATTATTATGACACAGTAGTCTCGCTGCTCAACTGCTGCAGGTCGCAAGCCCAAATCTTAATCCGTCTTGATTGAAATTGTCCTTCTCTGCCTTCTTATATACACCGTATGTCAAGGCTCCTCCGGCATCACTGTGGGGTATACCAAACGTCTCGGACCATGTGCCCGAGAGGAGAGGAAGCGTCGGAAAGAGAGTTCGGCCCTCGTTGGACACTAAAACGACGAGAAACTGGAGGTGGCGGCGGAGAGTGAAGGCAAATGAGGGCAATTTCTGGGGCGTTGCAGATGGCGGATCTCCCGAATGCCCTGCCGAGCAGCGTTTCTAGCCGAGTTCCGCATGGCTATGGGTGATGCCCATTCTCTATCTTCTATCTACGGAGTATCCTATGCCCTATGCCCCATGGGATGTCCTTCCATTCGCTTCGCTGAGAAGGTGTTCCTTTTTCCGAGTGCGTTCCGCCAATCAATGCCCCTACTCTACATGTTCACTCTCGCCATGACTGGCATCCTGGCCGGAGATCGTACGGAGGGCGGACGACGGATTTGATTCCGCACAACGTGGTCGGCATAGACATAGTAAAGTACATGCTTCACAGAATGTCCGTCGATTTGGGACGAGATGTCTTGTGCTCGCGGACTTATACCGTGCTGGAATTAGGCCGGTATTTCACCACAGCCACGGAGTACTAGTGTGTGTATCCTCGTAGTCAATCCTAATAATGACTTGGAGATAACCTCGGACTGGTCCAGTACTCTTGTCCCGCCAGCCAAGGAGACCGTTCGCCGGAGTGGAAACCCAGGAATCTGTCAAACACGGTGGAGAGGTGTTCGAATCCATTCGAATCCTTCTGCGTTGGACAGAAGTAAATCGTGTGCGATGACTCCGCAGTCGGAGTGTCATGTCATCACGACCCCATCCCGTATCTCGTGAGACTTGAACCCCCTACCCCAAACCTAGGAGCTGAGGTGAGATCAGCAAAGTGCATGTGAAATTCGCCGATTGATTCCGTGGTTGGGTAAAGCGTATACCGTATGCCATCCCTCCTGGAGTGACCTCAAAGTCTATCCCCGACGAGACTGGCAGCATCCTGACCTTCATTGGCATGAGGCATCGGTTTAAGCACTCTCGAGGCCACAATCGCGGCTTGGCATTTTCTCAACAATGAAAGGACCCTTGCATGGTATGACGATGGGAATGTTTGAGAAGGAGCCTTGCATCTCGTCGATTTCACCGACACACGCGACTTGGATTTCTGTTTCCCGTTGAAGATTTGCGCGACCGTGGGTAGGTCTTCCGACTAACTTCGTTGGCGTTCTGGAGAAGATGCCCAAAATGGTATGAACCGTGAACCCACTTGGTGTTCGACTATGATGTTATCCAATGCCACGGGGACTCGAGACGTGGTTCTTCCAGAAGCATGCGGGAACCGAAGTCAATCGGGTGTAGAATTGGAATACATTGGAATATAAGGTAGACGATGAGAATATATGAACCTCCAGTATAAATAAATCAGACCGAAGCAGAAAAAGAAACAGAGCAAAAAATAAAAAAACGCGAGCTGAATAAGATGAGTAAACCGGGCCCAACCATCGACTTTCTGCCGTAAGAGAAGATGCCCCGTGCTCGACGGTCGCGAATGAAACAACTCCTAACAAAGCTCACTCTGATACAAACAGCCCTTTCACGACACCCTTTTTCCACCTCCTTTGCAGCTTTTGAGGCTGTCGGGCAACAATGTGCTGCTCAAAAGTCTTTTGCACTTCATTTGTTGCAATTCCCAGCAAGCAATGAGCTTGGGTTGAACAGGTAGAATAAAAAAAAAGTGGAAGAGAAATACGCCGGTACAATAGTAAGTCGCTCAAAGGTCGTTTGTTCTGACGGTCCGATCTTTTCCCACCACTTCTCATGGCGTGCATCGCCATTTTAAATCCTACGATGACTCCTGAACCTTAAGCAAGGATAACCCAACCCTAATACGATGCACCTTTAGTGGCTTCACATCCATCGATCAAAGCTGGCCCCGTCCAGCCAACGACAATGCCCCTCATCCCTGACGAGTCCGGTCCTGTGTCGCACCATGTCTTCGCATCCCCACCAGAGCGTTTGGTGACGAGGAGCACGCCTTCGTCCACCGTCCATAGTCGGGAAACCTCCGCCGTCAGAGGAAGACCAGCCGATCCCTCCGCGCTAGCCCCCTCGTCCCTACAGCCTCAGAATAAACGTCGCGGTCATTCGCATTCAAAAAGCCCCGAAACGTCGAGCGGCCGTCCCGGTGCTGCCGCATACGATGTCCCCTTGGAACGGCGACCCTCCAATTCGTACGGTCATCACCGCCAAACCTCGATAGTTCATGGAATCCAACACTCCCGCAATCCCAGTTTCGCCGCTTCCTCCACCTCCACAAGTCCTCTCAGTCCCGAAATAATTGCGTCCCTCGGCCGTGGCGGTGGTATAGAGCCGGATAGCGCCGCGGCAGCTGCGCGGCACGATCAGACAGATATGCACCCGAGTTATTCAAGTCCCGGTGGCAACGCCTCGAGCCATTCCTTGACGGGCACGCTGAGCACCATCGAGGACCGGGACACGGATGAGGTCGGCAGCCAGAGCCCTGCGAATACAGTCCACCGAAGAATGAACTCGAATGGCAAGCCATGGAGGGAACGCTCTCATAGTCGATCGCATTCGAAACACCACTTCGAGTCGAAAACCGTGGGGGAATATGCCTTGCATCATTTGTTCAATTCTGTAAGCGGATCACCGGACCAAGATCCTCGATATGTCGGCTAATTACGAAATCAGTTTGTCGGACAAGCGGATAATAAGATAAATCAGGCTATCATGAAGCTGGGAGAGTCGGACGCACCGGTTGAGCAAGTCTGTGGGCCGGGAGCCGATACAAACTTTGATCAACTGATTTCTGCCCTGGGACATATCGCGCGCCAGAAGCCCAAGCCACTGATTGATACCATCATGTTCTGGCGAAAGGCCAAAGGAGATACTGCGATCTTGGCCAAACAGGTGGCGAATCAAGTAAGTTCTGTGTCTCTTGTCTGCCAGGCCCTCATGACACTAACGGCATTCCCTCTTTTCAGTCAAAGAATAATACTTCGGAGAATGGGTTACTGATTCGCCGCAACACTGAACCACCGCATGTAATAGTGGAATCTCAGACCGATCCCGCAGCTTCCAATAACAGCCTTCTCTCGCGACCCGATGATGTCGTTTTGGCGGAACGGCGCGCAACCGTATCGGTCTACCTTGTTTGCAGAGTGTTGATTGAGATTTTCAACCAGAGCAGCCTTGCCCTTATCACACTTGAGATGGCCGACCGCCTGGAGGATATTGTGTTTAGCCAACTCAAGACCGTTGACCGCGACCAGATTACAGCGTCTCCGCTTCGCATGGCCAATTGGAGAATCTACTCCCAGTTACTTGGTATCATGAGTGAGACGAACTTCACGAGTGTTACGGCTCGTTTTATTGCTGAGCTTGACAAATACCAAAAGGACGAAACACTTCGAGGCCCGTCCAAGGAGGGTGACGCGAAAGCTGAGCTTTTGGTCTCGGGCATGAGGCACCTCCGCATCAGAACGCAGCCGGATTCTTGGCCAAAGTCGTGCGATTTCATGCGATCGTTAGCGCGCTTATTCGTCAACGCCCATGGACAGCGATTAAAACAGGCATATTGTTACATCTTCGAGAAGCTTCTCCTTACTGTAGCCGCAAACCCAAGCTGCGATCTATCTTTGCCAAGATGGAAGGAATTCCTGGAATTGGTCCAGTCCCGATTGACTCAAATGCTCACTAAGCCTCGACACTGGGCAGCGGCGTTCCCTCTGCACGTTCTACTTCTCTGTGTCTCGTCGAAGGAAACTTTTTCGTCACAATGGCTATCGGTCATCATGAGCCTACCGCCGCGATTGAAAGATCGTCCAACTAGAGGCCCTGCGCTCCAGGCCATGTGTCGCTTATTATGGACCTACTTTTTCCGCTATTCAGATTCGCCGAATGTAACGCTACGAAATATCCACGAGGTCGCCAGAATAGCCTTGCCCCCAGGGAAAAGGACGTACTTGAGCACGGAGCCAGCAGTTGCAGATCCTTTAATACAGTTGGTGCGGATGATCGGATTCAAGCATCCGGACGTGTGCTTCCGCAGTATTATCTTCCCAATGATCAACTCGGATCTGTTCCTCTCCGGAAAGGAACTGAAAATTGAACAGATGGAACCCGAGAAAATGGTTATTGGGATTAGGGCATTCCTCGCGATAGTGACCGATTTGGAGACTTGTGATCAGCTGTGTCCACCTTTCCCAACTGGGTCGATTCCCAACCCTTTTACAGATATTTCAGCGTCAACCCATTCGCAATGGCCGCAGTTCCTTACGGACCCCCGCCTGCCAAACTCATCGGAAAGCAAGGATGACTCCTCGCGCCCTGTAAATACTTCAAGGCTGAGCGACAACGTAAAGGCATACTACATTCGCTTTTGTGAAACTTTGGGAAAAATCACTCTTCTGTGTGACAACACTTTTGGTGGACAGGCGGCTTTGGATGAGAAGTTCGGCGGCACGACTCCCAAAACTCCAATTTCAGAGGCTTTCAGCTTTGGAAGACGTGATGACCATCTAAACACCCTCGACCAAAAGCAGGGATTCTACGATCTGCTCCATGTTGCCGTCCAAGCGCTTCCGCGGTGCTTGTCCGATCATATTCCGTTTAACTCCCTAATCAATTTGCTTTGCACGGGAACAGCACACATTCAGTCCAATATCGCTTCCTCATCTGCGGAATCCTTGAAGGTCATTGCACGGCAATCTCATGCCCAGCAGGTGACTATTGGCTTTGCTAGGTTCATCTTCAATTTTGATGCTAGGTATTCCACCATGTCGGATGAGGGGATGCTTGGGCCGGGCCATATAGAGTCGACATTGAGGCTTTACGTTGAACTTTTGAGGATCTGGATCGAAGAAATCAAGCAAAAGACCAGGTGTGCTGCCTCGGATTCTGGAGACAAAACCGCCTCCGGAACTCGTGCTCTCCAGCTGGACCTTTCCACGGTCCTTGCGCATGTTGAGGAGATCGAATCACATGGTCTTTTCTTCTTATGCTCCCAATCAAGACGAGTCCGGGCTTTCGCTATTACTGTACTTCGCCTGATCACGGAATTCGACAGTGCGCTTGGCAAAGAGAATACAAGAATGATTCGAATCCTTGAGGCCGACTCTCAGCAAATTTTAGATGTGAACGATGAACAGCTCACGGTAGCTGAGAGGAGTCGCATTCAAAAGGGAAAACGCAGGAGCGCATCGCACAATACTCTCATCGAGTTGTGCAGCAGTGAGGTGTCCTATGATTCAACTTTGTGGTCAAAAGTGTTCCCAAACATCATTCGAATCAGCTTCGAGACTTGTCCCTTTGCTGTCACGCTAGGCAGGGAGATTGTCTGCGCGAGACTTGTTCAAATGCATAAGACGATAACGTCCCTTGCAGAGAGCTCACACCCTCCCTACTACGCTCCGATGGATGCCACGCAATCCCGTCCCCTCGGTAGGAACAACATGACGGCGGAGATTCTTATCGAACAGTGGAAACTGTACCTGGTTATGGCGTGCACGACACTCAACAGTGTCGGTGCTCAATCCCAGAGTCAGCTAGCAAATGCTCAGCATACGCGAAAATCATCTAAGGGCGCCTCCCAACAGTCCCATGATAAGATCAGCTCCGCGAGAAGCTTATTCGCCTTCGTGATACCGTTGCTATCGGCAGAACGGGCTTCGATTCGGAATGCCATCGTGGTGGCTTTGGGATCTATCAACAAAAACCTTTACCGCACGCTGCTTGAGTCGCTCCAATACGCCGTGACAACCTGTAACGAGGAGGCCAAGTTGCGAATGAGCGCTCACTACAGGTCCCCAAGCAGCCCCAGACGCAACCGAAAGACCGACCGGTTGCGAACGGAGGTGACGCATGTGTACAAACTCACGTCTCACTTTCTGCAGGAACCAGAGGTTTTCAACGACGACTGGATCGTCAACAACCTTGTTACGTATGCAAAAGACCTGCGGATCTTTTTGAGCGATGCCGAAGTTCAGAACGATTGGGAATTCCAACGACTGCGATTTCACTACTGTGGACTGATGGAAGAACTGTTCGAGGGCGTCAACCGTACGAAGGACCCCTCGCGTTGGATACCATTTGAGTCTAGGAAATCCGCTTTCTCCTTGATGGAGGATTGGTGCGGCTACTCCCCGAACCAATCTCAGATCTCCCAAAGAGAAGAGAATATGCGTAAATTTGCTATCTCACATCAACATGAGACTGGCGAAATGCGGAATACCGCTGCTGCCATGGAGATAGAAAAGAAGAACCTCCGAGCGGCAGCTCTCAGTGCCATGGCCTCCTTATGCGTAAGTAGCGCACGCGTCTTATCCTTCCTTTCTGAAACCTGGCTAACAATGCAACAGGCGGGTCCTATCAGTATTACTACGGAAAGTGGCGCAGTTCTTCAATTCGACGTGGGGCGTATGCTCTCATGGGTAGACATTATCTTCAACACTATCAGTGACAAGTGGCATTCGATTGGAAGGCGAGCGCTCAAAAACTTGATTATCCACAACAAGGAACACTCGTATCTTTTGGAGCGATCCATCGAGATGTGCTACATCACCGAGCGACCCAAGGCCTTGGAGAGCTACTTCGAGGTAGTAACTCAGGTGCTTATTGAGCACACTGACTACCCACTTGGATTTTGGCGAATCTTAGGGGCAGTTCTTGTCACGCTTGGCAGTCCGAAACGGGAGATAAGAATGAAGTCCGCCAAACTTCTGCGCATTCTAGAAGAGCGGCAGCAAAAGAACTCCAGGCTCCAGGATTTTGATATCAGTATCTCCGACAAAACCACGGCTGTTTACAAGCTGGCTCAGTTCGAGACGTCCAAGCGCCTGGCTAAACAGCATTCCGACCTAGCTTTTACACTCTTTTCCGAGTTTTCCTTGCATTTCAAAAACCTACGCCCTGACAGTCAGCGAAACATGGTGGCTGCTATTCTTCCTTGGGTCCAAACCATGGAACTACAGGTGGACCCTAACGGTGGCCCAACGGTCAAATCTTATATGCTTTTGGCCAACCTTTTCGAGATTACCATCCGATGCAGCACCATCCTTCCCAACGAAGTCCAGGCCCTCTGGCAGGCGTTGGCGACGGGTCCTCACGGTGGAAATGTCCAACTGGTACTTGATTTCATCATTAGCCTCTGCCTGGAACGCAAAGAGCAGAACTTTGTAGAATACGCAAAGCAAGTGGTGGTGTTCCTCTCGGGAACCCCTGCCGGGTCCAAGGTCATCGAGTTCTTTTTGATGCAGGTCGTCCCTAAGAACATGGTGCAAGAAAGAAAGGATATCACGCCAGCACCCCCAGACATCAAGAGTCTTCCTTACGTCGCAGACCTTGCGACCGTGCTCCCGGTGGGCAACAAGCAGGCAGGACTTTCTCTCGGCCAAGTTGCACTGATCTTTCTCGTAGATCTGATGGTTGCTCCCGTCACTCTTCCTTTGGATGACGTTGTCAAACTGCTGCACGTCGTTCTCATCCTCTGGGATCATTATACGCTTGCTGTTCAGGAGCAGGCGCGAGAAATGTTAGTGCATCTCATCCATGAGCTAATTGCTGCCAAGATTGAAGACGATGCCCCTACCGGCACCAGACAGTCACTTGAAGACTTTGTCGAGTCAATCCGAAAAAGTGATCCGAAAGTGGTTTGGGAATACGAAGACAACAGTGACAGTGAAGGGGACGACGGGAGCCGCGTGCCTTCTTCAATGTCTAGCGTTACCCGCACCGTTGTCAAGTTCTTCAGTCTATCTTACGAGGGCATCAACGACCTTTGGGCAAAGGAGGCTCTAAACTGGGCCACCTCGTGTCCTGTGCGGCACCTGGCCTGCCGTTCGTTCCAAGTGTTCCGCTGCATATCCTTGTCTCTTGATTCTAGGATGCTTGCGGACATGCTGGCAAGACTGTCCAACACCATTGCCGACGAAGAGGCCGATTACCGTACCTTCTCCATGGAAATCCTTACGACGCTCAAGATCATAATTAGCTCTCTGGCTCCTCCGGATCTGCTGCGATACCCTCAGCTATTCTGGACCACGTGTGCCTGTCTTAACACAATCCACGAAACCGAGTTCATTGAAAGCATTGGTATGCTGGAGAAGTTCATGGACCGTGTCGATATGAGTGATCCTCTAGTGGTGTCTGAGCTCATCAATGGCCAGCCCCCGAAATGGGAGGGAGGATTTGATGGTCTTCAAAACCTGGTCTACAAAGGATTAAAATCGTCGGAATCGCTCAACAAAACACTCGATATCTTGCATCGTTTGAGTGGTCTGCCAAACAACGAACTCATCGGCGATGGTAATCGACTTCTATTTACAGTGCTGGCAAACTTGTCCCATTTCCTTCATCAGTTCGACCCTGTCACTGCTGACGGGCCTGTCGATGACCCAAAGACCCTTGCGCGGGCGACCTTGCTGGCGCGTATTGCCGAAGGCGAGGGATGTCCCCGGCTTGCAGCTTCGCTGCTTGGATTTGCCAATGGACAGTACAAGGCAGAAAATGATTTCCTGAGCCACATTGTGACTGAGATTCGCTCATATTACTTCCCTGATCAAGACGTCCAAAGCCTTATTTTCTTGATGGGCTTGCTCACAAACACAACTGACTGGTTCAGGACTAAAATCATGAAAATACTGTGTATGCTCATTCCCGAGATTGACATGCGACGCAGCGAAGTGACCTGCCACGGGCCCGACTTGATATCTCCTCTTCTGCGACTACTACAAACTGAACTCTGTCCCCAGGCGTTGCAAGTTATGGATCATATCATGACGGTTTCGGGCAACCCGATGGAACGGCATCATATTCGAATGAGCATGGCCTCGTCATCATCGTCGCGGGCCATCCGTAAGGAGTACGAGCGGATACAAAGCCTCTACGGGATACCAGAGCCGACTGGTTGGTCCATTCCGATGCCGGCTACTCAGTCGACTACAACAAGACACAATGTGCATGCCGTATTTTACACTTGTGCTGAGGTGGACCGCATGGAAGCACACGAGACAGTCAATACCGAAGTGGAGTTCCACGCAGACGAATACAATGATTCGTTCTTCCCTTTGCGAGCCGACACCATGAAGTCAATCGACACGCAGACGGATGGCAACATGGGAGACATTGTCCAGAAATTAGACAGCTTGGACGATTTCTTCGACGAGACCGAGACAATCATGCCACCATTGGACAACTTACCCGATTCAACCTTGCGGGGCTTCACGGGCACCTATGCCGACACTACGGCCAACCTCTACGACCAACAAACAGCTCCCATTCTGCGAAAATCCCTTGCGCGCACCGCGTCCACTTCGTCATTCCATAACGGTCTCGCCGAGTCCCGACCTCCAAACCAGCGGTTTGATAGTGCACCTCCCCAGTCAGCCACCTCAACACCCCAGTCCCACAACCCTATTCCTCGGCCAGTATCTCACACCCGTTCCGTGACCTCTCCTGTCAACCATCTATTCTCTCCCTCTTCCAATGTGCAATTCTCTACCCCGCCAATCGGATTCAGTGAATCGGCCTTCCTATCTGACGATGAGGTGGACGATGGAGCCTATGACATCGATGAACGCTTGTTGAATCATAAATCATCGGTCCCTAACCCGATGGCCCAAGCACGCAGTGCAACTGACGGGTCCTCTTCCATTGAATCTATGCTACGCAGCGGCATGAGACGACTCACTGGTGGCTCAAGCACGACCCGAGACAAGGAGCGACAGCATGATCTGGTTCGGTCTCAACAGCGGGCAATTGTTCAGACGGCAAGCTCCCCACGTGTGCCCAAAGTACCGCAGGAATATCTTTCAGGGCCAACCAGTAATCCTGCATCCCCGGGGCAGTGACCTCGTGTCTGGAACTGATATCTGTATCTATATACTTGTCTTTCTTTTACCTTTCTTCTCTTACCTCTCTCCCAAACCTTCGCTACATGTCTCCTTTCTTCTCATCTTCGATTCGCCTCCTCTCATTCTACCTTCCTTTCGCTTTCACCTCTCCCTCCTATCTTCCTCGCAAACGACTGCATTATAGCCTTCCCACGAACTCCCGGCTTGATGTTTACATTCACATTGACCTGAAATTAACATGAACATGGACATGGATAAAGATATGGTAAAGGATATGGATATGGAGGAGTTCAAGACCTGTATTGATTTCTTTTCTCATGTTGGTTTATACATACATACTGTCAGGGACTGAGGATGCTGGATTACATAAATCAGTTCTATACCCATAATATCAAGCTTTATAACTTTATAACGTTGTCTTCTTACATAACCTCTCGTCCATTATGGGGCTCCATGTAGCCATAAAGCACTACCAGTAGGTCAGGTCATGTAAGGCTATCTCAACTGGGTTGCCACCTTGCCAAGGCACTAAACTCCGCCGACCAACGCTTTTCCTTCGTCTCGCTGCCACATTTGGATTGTTTCTCACTTCTTATCTCTGTCTAGTGGCCTGCAATGCTGCATGTCCTGATCTGGCTATTTATCTAGCATTCACATGACTTTCCCTCTTCTTAAGGAGCAATCGCATGTCGTCCGAACCTTGCATGGCTACGAACAGTTCCCACCTATCAATCTCCTCGTACTCGCTTCCTAGGCTCCTCAAAACCAGAACAGGATGCACAACATGCAAGTAAGTATAATGTCAATCGTATCCTTTATTAGGCGGTCCCACTTACATCCTGACCCGCCATCAAAACCAGAACCCGCAAGATAAAATGCGACGAGACCCAGCCTCACTGCCAACGCTGTCAAAACGCCGGCTGGAAGTGTCCAGGCTACGGACGACCTCCTCCTGGAGTTGTAGGCCGCGGCCGCAGCCGCAGCATCCTATCAACCCCAGCCCGACTATCTGATCTGAATGGCCGCACATGGCGCGAGCGTCGCTCTTTCGAGTACTACTTCAACCACTCTGGCCGAGCTATTGCCGGCCCTCTCGACACCCGGTTCTGGCACGGCATCGTCCTCCAACTGTCCCGGTCGGAGCCTGTCGTGTGGGACGCGGTCATCGCCATCAGTGCGTTGTACGAGGATTCGGATCCGTTTCTGGGTCCGCCGATGGTGATGCCGGCGACTACTGTAAAGAGCGTTGCTAAGCACCACGAACCGTTGGGCTGGTACTTCCGCTCGATGGCGTCAATGAGGGAACGGATTGGGCAGAACAGAGCTGGGTCGTTTCTGTGTCTTGTGACTTGTCTACTGTATCTCTGTTTGGAGAATATGCAGGGACATAGTGTGGAGGCGTTGAGGCTGTATGAGCAGGGGATGCGGCTGATACGGGCCATGCAGCAGAGACCGGCGTTACGTGCGGGTTCTTACGAAGACACCGTCGTGAAGGAGGTCATCATTCCGATGTTCTTCCGTCTTGGGGCCAGTGCGATGGTATCAGCAGGATATCCTGTCCAGGAGGACCCGTTCATGCAGACCGCGAATGACGTGATATGTGTTCCGACGATGGACAGTCTACGAGCCGCAATAATATCATTGAATATGGAGGCGACTATGCTCGTGAAATCTGCTTCTGAGTATGACCACTCTGCCACGGATCAGCCTGACCAGCTCCAAGCCCTCGTCACGCAACAAGAGACTCTGCGCCTGAAACTACAGCGATGGAAACTCGTTTTCACCACTTTCCAAGGCGGAGAATCCTTGCAGTCCAACCCTGCAGCATCCGTTCTCTTAACCTTCCACATCGCTGCAACCATCATGGTCTCGACCTGTCTTTCTGAACGCCAACTTTCTTTCGACGATCATACATCCCAGTTCCGACGCCTTGTACACCATGCCCGGATAGCCTTGACGCCTGCATCTGATTCTGATCGCCAACCGCACCGCCACACCCCATTTACATTCGAAACAGGCCCAGGTCTACCATTATACTACGCCGTGATCAGATGTCGAGATCCGACCCTTCGACGAGAGGCGCTTGCTTTGCTCAAGCAGACACCACAAGTCCAGGCGTTCTTCAAATGTCCGTCCTGGATCCGGCTCGCTGATATGGCTATCCGGCTGGAAGAAGGAGACATGAGAGGGATGCATTTGAAGATGCAAATATATTCTTATAGCGAACATACCAGACTAACCCCTAGCTCTCCCGGCACAACGACCTACGACGACCTCAAACCCCAGGAATGGTTAGCAATTGGTGACTTGTCTCATGACACGCCCATCATCCACGAAGTGGTGGGAATAGCAGATGTTGATGAAGCGTGCTTTCTCCGTCCGCAGACAAACAATTCAGAGTCGATGTTGATCCCAGAAGAGCAACGCCTATCTGACATCGGCGTTATGACAGCCTACCGGTGTGAAGGTGCAGCGCTGGACAGGAGTCTCTTTGACGAGGACGATCGGGATAAAGCAACACTGCTCCGGCAGATGAAAGGGGAAGAAGAGGTTTTCTTTCAGTTTACGCGGAACAGACTGGATGCTGCTACTGGGAGTTGGAAACAAGATAGATTCTTCCTAGCCATGGACTGACAAGACTAGATTCAAAATATAATAGCATTCGTCTCAATGGATAGATCATGCTAATGGAAACGGAAAGGAAGATAAAAGATAAACCCAGCCATCACCTATACCTCCCCCTCCCATTCCAACTGCCCTCTCCTATCCAGTCCCAGTCCCAATCCATCTCTAATCACCTTTATACTCCGCTGTCTCACACTCCACATATACTTTACTTGCTCCACCGACATGCCTCGCCTCCGAGAGACCTCCCCGTCATGATCATGAGTTTCTTGCGCTTGGCGAATACCGCCATAGATCAGGAAAGAGATGCCGCTGGCGAGGATGATGAGGCCGATGAAGAGACTGCCGTCTACTGTCGGCATGGTTTCTTCTTTTTGTCCTTTCGTCAGTCGTGGGATTTCGGTGTTTGGGTTCGAGGGCGTGGGGATTGGTGATGCACACGACAGACTGATAGCGTTGATAGTTAGTAACTGAGTAGTGAGATGGTGGTTTCTTGGGGTTTGGGTGTTAGAAATCATGGTAGGTACGTACTTGATGGATGCGGTATACTGCCGACGACGAATGGGTAGCGTATCGAGATCGGTATGTCTACCTATAAACTCTTCAGGAACTCTGTAAAGAGGAAAGAATAGAAGGTAGATAGTAGTATAGAGACTATGCGAAAGATAACATAAAGACAATATGAATATAAGAACTGTCAAAAAAAAAAAAAAAAAAAAAAAAACAGAAGAACCTGATTATCCAGAATTGAGAACTCCCAGTACGAACTTTATACATTTCTCTCTGGCCCCAATTGGCCCACCTCTTACCCCTTCCTCTCCCTCTTCCTCGCTCTCTCTTCTATGGTCAAAAGTACAGAATACTAGGTACCACTTCTAATGAGGCAGTCAATATTGGTGTTTACCTACCACACTATCTGACGTCATAGTCCGACGGAGCCAATGAGAGGGCCTCGTTTCGGTTGGTTTCGTTCCTTAGTGTATAACTATAGATGCTAAGTGTTGACTGCACTTAAGAAGAAAGGATCGTATTCCGCAAGCCTAGACTTGAATACATATAGTATAATAGTTACATGTATAAGTACTGGTCAGGTGGGGTAGATAGAGTGTGAGATGATTCTTCAGTGTTGTTAAATAAACAAGTGATAGCGTGATATACAATGCTACTACAGGGTTTGTGCACGGTCTACCTAACTACGAGGATATTGAAAGTTTCCTGGTGGTACTCAATAAGTCTAGGTTGTATCCCAGCTCAAAAATATTTGAATCGTTTCCGGTCTTTCCCAAAAACGAGGGACGTTCCGTGATAAATATACAATCGTTTCCATATGAATTCACCCACTCATTACTACTCCATCCTACAAAGACAAAATAATATCTTCAAGTACGGACTTTAGAGTCCATCATGTATTGAATATGTATAAATAAGAAAATGAGGAGAGAAAAGCCGCTGTCTATGTACATACCAGCCGCGTTCTTGATGACAACCAACCACTAGGTATTGCCCTACTCCCTACGCCCTCCACCACCTGCATTTCCCTTCGCTTCTTTCAAGGCCTCTTCCACCAACCAGATACTAACATCTTGCACATCTTTGCCCTCGCGCCAACTCCCCAGGACGACGCCGTGGTCGGCGAGGAGGTCATGGGCGCGTTCCCAGCGTCGACGCCACGTTTCCTCGCGGCGGTTGGGCAATGGCCCGACTGCGGAACTAGGGTACGCGAGGCCGGACTGCGAGTCAGAGTCTTGGCTGTCGCTGCTGTTGCGGAGGTTTGAGTTGGATGTGGTGGTTCGGAGGAGGTTTGATGGCGAAGGGGCCCAGGGGAGACGGTCAGACGCATACTGCAATGCTGCCGAGGCGGCGGTTGCGGCAGCTGCTGGATATGATTGCGCTGGCTTTTGGGGCGGAGGCGGGGGTCGGGGAGAGCTAGTTTGTGTAGAACCAATGCTTGCGCCAGATGTAGTGGCAGCGGTATTGCTTCGACGAGGCGGGGGCGGAGGTGGCGCTTGCTTCGTACGCGGGGGTCTTTCATCGTTAGTGTCCTGGGGTATGATTGAACTGTTGTCGCTGCCTGGCTTGGGACGTGTGGGTAAAGAAATGGTGGAACATGTCTCTGACAGTGCCTGCCCTGCTTGAGGGTTACGCCGCGCTGGCAAAGGTGGCACTGGTTTTCGTTTGATTCCGTCCTGCGACAAGGAATTCGAGCTGCCATTCTCTAGTTCGGAGGTGGTCGAGACAGTGCGCAGAGAAGATGGCTTGGATGGCTTTGCGGGCGGTGTTCGCGTAGTTGGGGGCTTCAGCGCCTCCTCTGGCGGATTCCTTAGCTCCTCTTCATCTCGGAGGTCAATCAAGTCCGCATTGTCTAGCTGTTTGGCCTCGGCCGGATCAGGAGATCCTTGTGCTCGACGGGGTGGTAGTGTAGGTCGTTTTGCGATGGCATCAGAATCATCGTGGAGGTGAGGAGTGCTGCGGCTTCGCGACGAAGCGTTGTCCAAATGCTCCACCGACTTCTCAAAGAACCGTTTACGATCTGGTGTCGTGATATCGCGAATGAAGACACCAAGGATCCGTCCGGGGTTGGCCAGGGCAATGTCGGTATAAACCTCAAGATCGGCCTCTCCACTATCGCCAACCAAAATGAATTTGCGCTCGGGGAAGTCTCGTAGAATTTGCTCCAGGGGCCCTCTTTTCCGTTCGGCAGTGGGCTCGAAAATCCCCTGCAACATACCGCTGTACTGTTTCAGATGGACAGAGCCAGGGGGGAGTCCAACCAATTTAAAATACCGGTCAAGCAACGGATACAGTTGCCACGGTGCGTTGGACACGTAGTGGACTTCCACGCCCATTTTAGCCAGCTTGTTGTACCACTCAGCAACCCCGTGGATGGTCAATTCGGCAAGTTCGCGGACAAAGGTGTTGCGAAAGATCTCTTTGGCTCCGCTCGCAATGGCCGAATGCTTGATCGTGTCATCGACGTCGCTGATCAAACTGACTCCTGTCGGTTCGATGATCTGCACCTCCTTCACGGCGGACAGCTCCTCGGAAGCCAGCACACGAACATGGGTTGGCACAAAAGGCAGCGCAGCACGAAGCATAAAGTGCCCAGACTCGTCAGTCATGATGCTCCTGGACTGACTCTTCCCATCGTTGAAAAAGAAGACGGTGACAGGCATCTGCGTCACAGGATTTGTTAGAAACGGACGGAGTCTCTCCATGAGATGAGCATTGGCAACCGAGAGTTCATCCTTGCTCATGGGTATCGACTCCAGCGACGTCGACGTCGACGTCTTCTGCAGCGGCCGCCCCGGTAGTGCGCCATCCTCCAAGCCCGTGTCCGTCCTCCCTTCAGCCTTCCTGATGATCGATTGAGCTTCCGTGTCCACAATCTCATCCTCCCTACCCCCGTGAGTCGTCCCCACAGCTGCAGCAGCATTCGGTTCTTCAGCTTCATTCGAAAGATTATTCGGCGCCGGAACACCACTTAGTTTCCTCGCGAGCGCAATCATCAAGCGATGCTTCCTAGTCATCGGCCCGCGATGAGGCGCATACACCCAGCCGCGCACATCAACAGCAACAATTGCATTCTCATCCTCGATGACCTCCCAATCCGCCAACCCGCGCTCCCCTTCCTCCGAGCCCCCACGATATTCATCAATCGTCGACGTCGAATCCCGACGTCGCCTCGAGTGGTCCCTCGAATGATGCACCCCCTTAACCAGCCGACGCGCATAACTCGGAAAAATCACCATCTCCTCATCGCCAGACCGCGCGATCTCGACATCGGGAAACGCCCCGGGCGTATTGAAGTAATCCTCATCGTAATCGCGCAGGCCGTTCCGCTGCTGCGTCCATTGCGCCGCATACGACTGGCGCAACTCATTCGCCGCTTTCAGATACTCGAAGACCTTCTTGCGGCGGCCACCGGGCGCGGAGGACGACGACGGCAAGTACTGCGACATAGGGGCCGCCGTGCCGTCTCTCTTCAGTGGTGGATTATTCCTGCGTCGATCGACCGACGGCACCACCCCGCCACTACTCCTGCTGCTATTATTGACCCGGCCCGACCGCGACTGCGATGGCGATTCCGTCCCCCGGAGTCGTCTCCGTGTTGCCGTCAAGAACCCGACGATTCCCCGTCGGCCGGATGCACGTCTCTGGGCGAGTTTGGCCTGTCGATTGACGATCGCTCGGTAGACTCGTGCCTGGGCGCGGTGGCGGAGGGCGGGGATGGTCTCGTAGCGAAACCCCCAGAGGCGCGACTGGGCGCGGCGGCTGGTGTGGGGGCCGAAAAGCACACGGAGGAACAGGGCGAGTTTCCCCTGGCGATTGCGGCGAGGCTGATCGAGAGAATTGGAGGGGAGAGGGAAAGGCCGACCGGGGAGGGAGCGTCTGATGGAGGAGGGAGTCGGCAGAGGCAGGCGCCAGCGAGTGCGGGAGGGCGGTTTGGGAGCCAGGATCGGTGGTTTCAGCCTTATAGGCGATGGGATGCAGGTTCGATTTAAGTTAGTGTTGATTCAGGAGGCAGTCTAAAATAGCCCTGGCCTTAATTTTGGATGCCGCGGGTTGAACTTGTTCGCTGGGTTCTGGGTTTGGGCGGATTAAACGAGAGTGGTTGCCATCAAGGGGTCAAAAGGCCGGAATGACAGTTTAGTGGTGGTCAGTAAGCAGGATTTCAATTAGTGCAAGATAGAAAGTATCAGGCTATTCCATGCCAGCACCGAATGCTTGCGAGAGTGACGTTATCCTGAGGACACGGGATTCAGCGGTCGCTGCCAAGTGGGGGCGCCTGAGGCAGCACTAATCTGATGATAAAGCTACAGGAACAGGTATTTGGTCAACGTTGACTCCATTTTTGTTTATCTATTTATATATGTTGCGATTAGAATTACATATAGACTCATCAAAGCTTCCGAGGGCCAGAATAAATGCATGATGTTACACATGCATGAAACCGCGCGGTTGCAGCTATTCAATAGACACGCAGGCGGCGATCTCCAGAGCCCAAGTCTAGCTCCATGCCCATAATTTACCCATGCACAGAAAGGTGAGAGGTCATTAAAAGGGGACATGCAGAAAGAACCTATGCCGACCCACTATCCTCAGCATAATTGACCTGCTTCACGCGAGTACTCTTTCGAGTGCCAGTACTCCGCGACCGAGAAGGCTTGGGCGTCTCAGGGGGCGCCTCCTCTTCTTCGTCAGGAGAAGGAGTTGGCTCAGAAGAAGCTTTACGCTTTCTTGCTGTCGACTTCTTTGGAGTGGAAGTACGCGGGGACCGCGCGGGCTTTTTGGAGTCGGGCGTTGCCGCAGCGCTACCGTTATCGGCCTCTCCATTCTGTTGAACAGGCTCGGCATTCCCATTGGTCTTCTTTGATGCGCGCGGTTTGGCCGGACTCTGAGCCGCCTTAGTCCGGATGACCTTCTTTGGTCGGAGCCATTCCTCCATACCGGGCGGCCAATAAACCCGGCCGTCAGGACCTCCCATACCGATCTCTTCATCGGGAATAGTTTTGGGTGGCGGAACGAGGCCATCCAAGTCAACAAACGCACCATCCTTCTTGGACTGACGCGGGGGCTTATAAGGCTTGTTCTCGTCGGTCCTAACATAAGGTATCAAGTCATTAGAAAGCCCGTGGCCCGGGAGTTTATATATCCGCATCAGCTCCAAGACAGCCTGCTCTTTGTCTTTGGCCTCGATCATCAGATCCATGGCAGGATCGCAAGGCGGGAGAGCGGTAACACGGTCACGGTGCTTCCGGCGTTCACGATTCGTAATGGCAGACGGGGTCGGTTCAGAGTAGTGCATCTTCTGGGTGATGTTCTTCCGAGTCCAGGTGGCCTTAATCCTGTCGAATAGCTGCATGATGTCTAACGTGCCACCCCTAAGCTGGGTCGAGTCGAAGATGATGTTGTGGTGATGAAAGTCCAGGACAAGCGGGATGTTGAGCTCTTCGCAAATGGGCAGCAGGTCATGCACCGACCAACTAACGTCGTCATTCTCCAGAACCAGCCTATTCTTGATGTCTTGTGACAGACCCTTGTAGTTCTGTCGGAACCGATCAAGAGTGGCCTCCTTGTCGCCAAAAACGCCACCCATGTGAAGGATCATGACCGCATCCCGGTCCTGTTGAGGTGGCAAACGGAGAAGCTGCAACATCTCCGAGTGATATTCCAGATCTCGGATGGAGCTCTCAACAACATCCCCTTTCGGGGTGCCCAATTGCGTGAACTGGCCGGGGTGCACACTCACGCGATGGCCTAGTTCTGCGATAACGCGACCCGCATCGCCAAGAGCATCAGCGGCGAAAGGAGCCAGCTTATACCCATACTCCTTATGGCTGGCAAAAGGGAACATCTCGCTGCTCAACCGCATGAACTTGATGCCATAGCGGTCATTCCAACGGAGAATCTTGACGAGATCACGCGCATTCGCGAGTCCCAAGGCCTCAACGAAAGCCTGACCGCGCGCAACATCGGCAGGCTCAGTGCGATCCGGGCGATTCTTGGTGGGATGAGGAGGCTGGGAGGGGTCTGTGAGCGGATGCCGGTTTTCTAGAATAGACGCAATGCGACAGGTGCGGGAGCAGAAAACCGGTGGGTTTGAATACCGCAGGTACGTATTCAAACAGGCCTAAAAGCCGTCAGTTGCGAACGAGCAAGCAATTGCGGGAGAATACTCACATAGCCCAATCGGCCTTTCCAAGGGAGAGGCAAGTAGCTGCTGTTCACCGGTGGAGGTCTCGTCAAGGCCTCTTGAAGCTCCTCCGCTTCAACGGGGACATTATCGTCCGACTCTGGGTCTATGGGGACATCCTGTGACGGGCCAATTGAACGCGCGTCCCGATCGGCATTTCCTTCAAAGCTGTCGACTGGAGCAGTGTCCTCCTCCTTGGGGACTACCGTATCAAGCGGCATGGCCTGAGAGCCTAGACTCTGTGACTGACAAGAAGAAAATGGCCTCAAGTGGGGTGGCGAAGGGATTGGGGTCGTCGCAAGCTTCAGTGATCGCCTGCCAAAGGAATGCAGTCTAGTGATTTGAATACTGGAAACACGGACAGGGAGAGGAGAGACCGAGGAGGCACAAAAGGTATGAATCGGAGCAGATGAAGATCGGTTCGCCACGGTAACCGGACGAATTATCCGGCAGCGCGACGAGCTGTGGCGAATGCTGCGGAAGTGAAAGCCAGATTCCTGGCCGCCATGGTAACGCGCGGTATGGTGGAAGGGAAGAGCACGACCAGCAAGCTTCTGATTGAGAACAAAACGCAGAGGCATTCAGTAAAACAAAATATAATCGGTAGGGAAGAGCTGGGAATAATTATTTGAAGAAACGAGAGACTGCTGCCGATAGGAAGCTCATCATCGGGATCAAGGCGCGTGTTGGAGAAAAGATGAGGTCAGAGCCGGCGCGAGCTTTCCGGGAGTGAATGCCTCAGGCCAAGATGAATAAGATCCGCGTGCCCTAAATCCAGCAGTATAACAAAAGATTCAATATCAAGCAAACGCCACCCTGCCACTGGCGTTCTTTTTAAGCTCACAGGGCACCATAGCGCCAGGCTCGTAACTTCAATGACCTCATTCGCAACCATCGGTGCTATTTAAAGCAACCACTGCCGAGGAGGCCAAGAGGCTTGCAAGCCACGTCCACTAACTGAATGACTACGATCATGGCGCGATGAGTGCAGCCGTGCGAAGCCGAAGCCAAATGGTGAGCAGATTTTAGACTCTGCAAGATATGTGGAATGCTGAGAAGTCGGGCATGCGGAGAGCGATATTGTGAAGACTTCCCGCCGGTACATTCCTCGCCCCAAGAAGACCCGTTGCTCATAACTGCAATGACATGGATTGGTATTCACCATTCCTGTCGCAACCGGTTTAGACAATGAAAATGGCAAACAGACATGCCTCAGTTAGTGAATATATAAGACGCGCCATGTCAAGGGGGAATTCCTCCTCCAGGCTTGTTGTCTGTTTACATCTTCTACACTGCCCGAGGTTGCTTGTGCGTGCTTCTCTCATTATCCTGGACTATAGAGCAGACCCAAATCAAGCGAAGGTCAAGGCGTTCTTTTCATACATAGCCCTGCGAGTCTAGTGTCAGGTATTTGATTTCTTTTTGACAAAGGTGAGCATCCTAACGAGTTTCGGCAAATCTACTTGGCGCCCTAGAAGCTGACATCGCGACAGGTATCGATACCTCAGTTCACTGCTTTTACAGAAACCACAATCATGATGAAGGGCTTGCTTTTGATCGGAGGCCTTCTGGCTTCGTCTGTCTCTGGACACATTCAGATGTCCAACCCGTACCCCATCCGCAGCCCGTTGAACAAGGATGCGAGCGGCCAGAAGGACTACTCGTACACAAACCCTCTGTCCACGGATGGCTCTGATTACCCTTGTAAAGGATACACCAATGACGAGTTTGTGTCCGTCGCGACCTATAGTCCGGGAAGCTCCTACACCCTGGAGTTGGAGGGTAGTGCAACGCACGGTGGAGGATCATGCCAAATCGCCCTGTCCTACGACAATGGTGAATCGTTCAAGGTCATTCATTCCATGTTGGGTGGATGTCCTATCACCAAGTCGTACCAATTCACGATTCCCAGCGATGCCCAGACTGGCGAGGCGCTTTTGGCATGGAGTTGGTTCAACAAGATTGGCAACCGCGAGATGTACATGAACTGCGCTCAGGTGACTATCGGAGGCGGCTCCAACCGTGAGATGACCTCTGGTCTCGTCCGCCGTGATGCTTTCAGCAGCCTACCTGAACTGTTCCGCGCCAACACCGGTGGGCCCGCCCAGTGCAAGACCATCGAGGGAGAGGAGGTCAACTTCCCATTGCCCGGACCGTCCGTTGAAGGCTCTCTCACCGGAAAGGGATACGAATGCTCTGGATCTGCTCCGTTCCTTGGCGATGGCCATGGCACCAACACTGCTTCTAGCCCGAGCTCCAATTCCTCCTCCAGCGCGATCGCTTCAAGCGCCATGGTTCCCTCTTCCAGCGCCAGGCCCGCAGCCTCTTCATCGGCTGCCAGCGTTCACGCCGTCCAGAGCTCTGCCGTTGCCAGTCCTGCCGCCAACAAAGTCGCCTCGACCTTCGGCACTCCCTCCATGGCTCAGGCCCTTGAAACCACTGCTGCTGAGCCCGCTCGTCAGCTAGAGCCAGAGACGGCAGAGACCGACGAGGAAGAATCCTGTGCCAATGGCGCAATTGTGTGTGATGCGGACGGAAGTACGTGGTCCCTGTGCAGCAACGGCCGCGTGGTCCACATGGGCAGCGTTGCCCCCGGCACGCAGTGTCGGCATGGCGCCATGCAGCCTGCCTCCTGAAGAAGTACAGTGACCGATCACTCGTTCGCGTTATCCGGTGGGATCCCCGCCTGGCGCGGGGACAGACCACGTCCACTCGCTGATTCTTGATCACACGTGTATGTTGTCCGTTTGTGATGATGAGCTTCCGGTTTTGTGGTTAAGTTTTTTGGTTTCACTCATGTAATATCTAAATGCTCTTCCATATGAAATAGTCTTATGCTGCAATGTCAATGATTTGAAATCCCACTTACGTACTTCATCGTAGGCAAAGACCTAGAGGTAAGTCAACAGTCCTTTCAGTGAAAATATCCAAAAATTCTAGTGAGACCATTATATGTTAATTCATAATGAATATAATAAAAAAGGATAAGGCCTATTCCTATCCGCTATTGTACATAGCAACCAAACGCAATCCCAGTGGTATCTTATCCCAGTTCATTAAATCGTAGACCTTATCCAAAGTCGCAACGAAAGGAAATAAATAGATAAAAAGAAGAGAAAGCGGAGTCTCTTGGACTCCGAGCAAACATCGACCATGCAATGTTTGTATGTAGATCAGAAAACATATATTCAGGACTACGCAGTCCCTAATGCTTGTCTTTCAGAAATTGTCCAAACCAGCTTACAAGTTCTCATGGCTCAGTACGGCAGGGCGACCGTCGATATGGACATACCCTAGTAGTTGCCGGTGTAGGCAGAATTGCCGTAGCCATAGCCGGTGGTCGGTGCGGGAGTATTGGTAGCCGTCTTCTTCCGGGAGAACATCCGGCCCAGAAGACCTGGCTTTTCTTCAGGGGTACCCATTTCCACATCGTGGGGCGTGGGATGGCCCGGGAGAATGTCGTCGCCGCTGCCGGTTTCAGGGTTGTTCTTCTTGTTGCGACGGAAGAGGCTCTTGCCCTGGGTGCCGTAGGTGTATCCGTTCGCCGGCGAGGGACCGAAGCGCTTCTCACGCTTGTGGTGTCGTGCATAAAGCACCTGGAAGAGGATCGAGACCAGGAAGAAGAAGCTAAAGAGGGGGTGGAATGTTAGTGGGGAATGCCATTTCAAGACAACTTTGATTTGTTTGGGGTTTCAAGGAGGACGGCATGACTGATGTTTGAAACTTACATTCCAATAATCGAGACAGCAAATGCAACCTTTTGCAATTCACAGATGAAACCGTAGGTCACGTTTGAGGCCGACTCGTCGTTGCTGTCGCCTGACCCGAGAGGGGTCTTCACGTTACCGGAGCACTTCTGGGTGCCGTCACGCGTCATCACGGCGATGGCCACCATGGCACCCACGAAGCAGACATCGAGCACGACAGCCAGAAAGGCAAAGAAGGCGACTCCCCCCAGACAGCAGGTGAAGAGGATTCCCAGTAAACCATAGAGGGTGGCAGCGCCCGACAGACCCTCGGTCGCTTTCATCCACTGCGGGATGGTCTGGTCATGGCGAGTTTGGACGGCGAGGAAGTAGGAGAAGATGCCGAGGATGACGGCGGCGTCCAAAAACTGGAGCACGCGAATGGCTAGGTTAAAGAAGCGAAGAACCACGCCGCCAAAACCCATCCTGATGGGAGGACTCTTGGTCTGAAGGCTGGATGATAAGAGGTGATTTCGTCGGTGTTTCGCCGACGTAATAATTGTCCGTTGTATAAAAGGCGGGCTAGCGAGGGCGGGAGTGTAAAATCCGAAGGCGGAAGGGTTATATATTGATTGAAAAGGAGGGGGGGAAGCAAGAGGTTGGCCAACTGTGGGCAGCAAGGCTTAGTTTCAAAGTTTTCTTTTTTCCCTCGACACAAAGATATAGAGTTTTCAGGAGGGAAAAAGGTTCGAACTTTGAAGGCAGCAAAATTGCATTGTCGACGGAGGTTCCAGGGGACGCACCGCAGGCATTGAGGGAGGGTGAAGATCGGTGGAGGTATTTTCCTTGAATGTCTGGGCGAGTGGTGGAACCCAGGGGGGAATCAATAAATCTCACGGGCCCTTCAAGGAGGCCATCGGTGACCATCGCAGACCATCCTCATGACGATCCACGGGTGACGACAAGAGCGCAGAGGGTCTGATTGGGAGAATTGGGGGATTTTCCACCCGCGACGGCGAAAGCGATTGACCCGATGATGTCACCCTTGATGTGTCCTGTCCCGTGATTGGCCGCAGACGACGCGGTGACTCAGCATCCACCGAGACGTGTCCCGTCACATGGTTAAGGCCGCCATTTCAGGCAACCACGCCCCTGGGATTACCTCATCAGGGTCTGTCCAAGCCACAGCCCCAGCCCGAGCACCGCCACTCGTGCCTGCTCTCACGTCACGATGAAGTCTATTCGTCCCAACGGATTAAAAATAGATGCCAGAGGTATACAAAGAATGGTCATGATTCATCATTAGACAGTCTGGACATCGGATGCGATGCTCAACCAGCGCTCGAGACCCGTTCTTGACCCACCCCCTCGGGGTGATCGAAGAGCATTTCTGTCAAAGATGGCCAGCTCGTTCGACATCGAATTCGGGCCTCGTATCCCGTTGATCCAAGGGAGATAATCCTGGTACTATCCAAGACTGTACGTGTATAGAGTTGTCCGACGATCGGGCCTGAGGCAGAGAATTGTAGGTCCCACCTGCCTGATCGAGAAACAAATGTCTTTGCTTCTCGTTTCACTTCCTCATGGAACTCACTACGCTCACTAGCTCACAACTTCACTTCTTCCTTGCTCCTTGTTCCTTTCAGCTTCTCACAACCCATCGCTCTTACCTGCCTCTATCGACAAGAGGCGAATGTAGTCTGGGGCTGCACTTTTTGGAAAAGACATCCCATGCCACAATCTCATTTGTCCGACTCACCACGCGAATCATATGCCTGGAAGTCGTCGCTGCCTTGACTGGATGGTCATAGTAGGCACCCATCACCACGCTCGAGATCGCTCATACTTCAAAGCCTACATTCCGGTGGGCCAAAACCTCCCTGATCCCACGTTCGGGGAGGTACGAGAGATCGGTGTGATTGGGACGGTGGAGCTTTCTGTGCGCACTGGCCCGGAACGCAACTCTCCTAGGAATCCGGACTCTATTCTTGGAAAATGTCCTGCATATTCCCGGCGCTTTTTCAAATGGATTCTACCCTTTTGTTTATGCTCGCGGCGCGCAAATCTTTAGGTCAACTTATAAAGCAGGACTAGACAGATACCAGCCCCCTCTCTAGTATGCTTCATCCTTCCGTAGCTTCTAGAGGCTAATTCGGCGGGAACTGAAGAGGGCGAATGTCGACGGACTGCAACACATTGATATTTCTTTCGATGCGAATGAAACAACATTGCCATGGATGCCAGAGACTGCACGGTGAGTTTGTGACAAGCCCAACCTCCAAGCCAATCCTTACCCAAGGATAACGGTTTCATGATATTGTCTTCCCCAATACGTTTGCATCATGATCTTATCTCTGCTTGGATGGACACACCGAAGTTTTCACTCAACCAAGACTAACCCGAAGTTTCATTACAGAAGATCGTGCTGAGAACCGTCCTGAAGACCCTCAAAGCGACATTAACTGTGTTATGACAGTAGGACATCGACTGCTGTGAATGGAACTCTGGGCTGAACGAGAACGACGACGTTGTGAGGGTGAACATGGCACGACCAGGGCAACACCTCTACTTGAACATCATTTAGTGGGAATGAGCTGCTATCCAGACGGCGTCTTAGAAACATCAGGTTTAGCATGACCTTCGCGGCTACATTGCGTACGGAAGAGTGTATAAGACAAGCAGCGAGATCGATGTCGATGATCGGTTTACTGGATTTGAAGGATTGCTCCTAAAGGGTTCGAAATCAGACCTCCGATCCATGGCGGTTGCCATTGACCTGTTGCCCTATAGACGGGTTGCTGCTTTTCCAGGTTTACGGGAATGTGACACGTTCAGCTTGAGTCTCGTTTCGCAATAAAAACTGGGGCGGGATGTTGTACAAGATAGGCGGATCGAGGAAATATTCGATATACGATGGATCTTGTCCGCATGGTTCCCTCTTCGTCAGCATCCTTCCCTGTTATTCCGGCCGGGGCCTGTAAGCCTTAACCGGTTCAATGGAGTTTATGATTATTCCAGTATTTTACAATCTAATGCTAGAAGTGAGCATATCTTTCCAAGAATTTCATTACAAAGTAGTTTATATTACACGGAGGCCTGCACATCGACCAGGATCTTGCAATGCTCGCCTCGATCATCCACCAGCGCTTGGAACCCTTTCTCAACCACATCGTCCAGCTTGACTATGGATGTGATCATTCTGTCTGGTTTCAATTGGCCTGAACAGACACATTAGTAACCTCATACGCAAACAGACAAGGTAGCATTAACATACCATAATTAAGAGCTCGAATCACATCCTGAAACGCACTTTCATCATACAACGCAGCCCCCGTATACTGCACTTCATTATACATCAGCTCATTAACCGGCATAGAAGGCTGTTTCTCCCACACCGCGATATTCACAATCGTGCCATGCGTCCGACAGGCGTCGACCTCTCCACACAGCGCCTGTTCCACGCCCGCCGAATCAAAGACAACATGGGCGCCCAGCCCGTTCGTCAGATTCCGGATCTGCTCTGTGACATCCTCCGTCTTGGGATCGATGGCGTGCGTGGCGCCATATTCCAGCGCGAATTCGCGTCGTCGCGCCATCGGCTCGGCGACGGTGATCGTCTTCGCTCCTTGCATCTTGAGTACTTGCACGATGCCGATCCCGACGGGTCCGCCGCCTACTACTAGGACGTGTTGGTTGGGTTTGAAGGGCGAGACGTTGACGGCGTGCCAGGCCACTGCGAGGGGTTCTATTAGGGCTGCGGATTCGAGTGATATGTTGTCTGGGATGGGGTAGAAATGGGTTGCGGGGGCGACTTGTTTGTGGGCTAGGCCGCCGCCGTATCCTGTTTCCATGTCCAGTGTTAGCCTTTATGTCGATGGGCGGGACATACACATGTCCGTGTCCATGCACATGCGCATGCCCCGTGTACGTGTACGTGCTGTATAGAGAAGGACATACCAGACAGCCCAATAAACCCAATATTCTCACAACAGTGCTCATAGCCACTCCTGCACGAAGGACACGTTCCATCATAGATAGTCGGCCGGATCACGACTCTCTGGCCCTTCGAGACATGCGTGACCCCTTCGCCGACTTCCTCGACAATCCCCGAGAACTCATGTCCTAGCGTCACCGGCGCCGTCACTCCCGTGATCTTATGAGGTTCTTGCGGAACTAGCACAGGTCCTGCTGTGTATTCGTGGATATCTATCACTCATCACGGCAGTCGTTAGCTGCTTCTGTCATGCCATATGTTAGGATTTGGGTATGGTGTTATCTTACCACTACCGCATATCCCCACATAAGCTGGCCGTACCTAAATCGATTGCATCGCGTCAGCATCCATTTACTAGTTTGCTAGCACATCCGTGACAGAGGGTCCAGAGCGGAAGCCCCGGAAGAAAACCAAGCATACCTTCACCTGGCCTTTGCCACAGACCGGCTCTTCGATCTCTTCGATGCGAATATCGCCGGGACCGTGGAAACGGACTGCTTTCATAGGTGCGGTGGCCTTTAGGGCGGTTCGGTATGTGTTGTGATTGAGCTCTGTGTTGAGCATGGTGTCTTAGATAGGAGATTTCCAATTCTCGGTTGTTGACTGCTGGCTATGTGCTCGGGTGTGTGTAGTGTAGTGTTTTAGTGTTTCTTGTGTGCATCTCACTTGAGATATGAACTGATGCGCAATATTATCGAGGATAATTGGAAACTTGCTTAGTACTGGCTGCCTCCTAGTATATAAAGCATCGTACTTGGGACTGACTGCCGTAGACGTTGCGATGACGTATTCTTGACTATACAATAGTGAGCGGTCAATGGTCTTATATTGTATAGTGTACTTAGGTAGGTACCTAAGCATGGCATTACATGCGTACCGTTGGATTGGTTGGAAATAATATGTAGGAATAATGTAATGTACGTAGTTACCACGTATGACGTGGACATGGGTACAATGACTAGGTACAGGCAAAATCACTTGACCACCAACCAGGTATCCATTAGATCAGAGCAAGTACACAGATGATTCGTCCGGAGCTTAAAGGAAGAGAAGGGCATAGGTTGGTTAAAATAGCGTTGATAAAGCGTCACCGATTCCAAGGTGCACGCCAGCGCTTGGGATGCGTTTCTTGGTATGAACCGGTGGCGTCAAATAGCCGGGCGGGTGAGGATTCCGTGGAAGCTTGGCTGATTTCAACTGTTCTCCTGTGATATGCGGAGCGACTGGAGCCACAGAATCCAAGTCCCGGGGTGAGTCGAATCGGAAAGGGGGACAGGAAAGATTAGGTTATCCTTGATTCCCACGGAGGATGAAAGCGGAAGGGGAAAGGGGCCGCCAATGAGATGAAGGTACAGAGAACGTCCGGTCTGGTGTACTCTGTTAATAGGTGATTGTCAAGATAGTCGGATACTTGTTCAGGACGATTCTTCTTCCTCCTCCTCGCGCATTTGATCAACGAAAGCGCGCATAATTGATTCCAGACCCTCGTTGCGGCGGGCAAGAAGCATTACATCGGAAACGTTGATGGTGGAGCGGCCGGCATGTCTGAATCGGGTAACCCGAGGATGTCAGCCAACTTGATACCAGCATTGAAGAAGCAGCGAAGCAGCACTCGGTTTTGCCAAATCAAGATAGAGATTGCAACCAAGGATAAGAGATCCAGTTGTACTCATCAATCTTGATATTACCAAGCTCTGTACATCCCAAAAATGCACTGCACTTACTTAGCGAACGACTCCAGATCTTGGCTCACGGTTTCTGGTTGAATGGGACAAGAGTCAGCGCAAAGCCACAATGACCATCCAATGACGCAGACCGCGCAATACATGATGATCGTTGGATGGGATGTTGATTCTGCCTGGATAGCGATGTGCTCATACCTATCTGGGCCCAGACCATCTCCGTGAGAGCGCCAATGAACTGAGGCGTGGCGTTGACACCGAGCTTGAGGGTTTCCTCATCGACAATCTTCCCAATAGAGAGCCACAGTGCCGATTTCAAGCGCTGGAGCGATGGATTGGTGATGAGCAGTTGAACATAGCGATGAGGTAGTTTATTGTCCATGAAAATTGCGACTTACCTCTTCGAGACCCACTTCTTCTACATCCTGGTCCATTTTGAAGGCGGGAAGTTGGAAATGAATGAGTATGCTAGTAGGTATTACGACCGAAGCGAGATAGACTGAAAGATCGTAAAGACCGAAGCATCGAGGCCCCTCCAGACAGCATCGCGCGTCGATGCTTGGGAGACGCGCGCCTGCACGTGATTGACTGCGGCCTCAGGTTCCGGAAGGTCCATTTATCCGCCGCGATGACGCTAACCCGTAAACGGCCCTTCCAGGTACTCAACACCTTTCGACGGGAGAATAGAAGAACTACAATTCTATCAGCAATCATATATTGACTTCCCAGTCGAGATAAGGAGGTCTCTGATCAGGGTCACCGGTATCCTGGAAGCCTAGGTACTTCCTGTTTCGTTCCAGGACCCTCCAGCCGACCTATCCGCTCTTCCCGTTCCCTTCTCCGGACTAGATATTCTTTCTACTCCACTCTCCACCAATTTATTCCCTCATCAATCTACGCTACGGAACCTCAACGGGGTTGTTTTTTTTCTCCTCTGCTGAGAAAATACACTCCCTTCCTCCTCACCACCACCTCCTCCACAAACCCCCTCCCTCCCAACCAAAATGGCCACACCCACCACCGACCCCAGCGACGTGGTCGCCGACGCCCTCAACGACTTTTTCGGCCAACTCTACACCTTCTGCGAGACGATCTTCGGCCGCTTCTTCAAAAACCTCTACCTCTCCTTCGCCGAAGTATCCGTGAACCGCTGGACAAAAGTAATCCTCTCCGTGGTCGGCTACATCCTTGTCCGTCCGTACATCGAAAAACTCTTCGCGCATCTGCACGACAAGAACCACCGCAAGGAGCAGGAGAAGGTGCGCGCCGCCAGGGAGGCCGCCGCCGCCAACGGGGAGGCCAAGATGTCGGCGAATGAGCTCCGCGGGGGTCGTCGGGCGGCGGACACCAGCAGCAGTGGCGGGAGGGTGCTTGGGGAGGTTGAGAACACGGACGATGAGATTGATGAGGAGCAGGAGGATGTTGCGACGGCTAGTGGGGTGCCGGAGCTGGGGAAGAATGCGCGGAAGAGGCAGAAGAAGCAGATGAGGAATTTGGAGAAGGATGCGCAGGCGCAGGCGAGTACGCATAACTTGTCGGAGGAGCAGCTCATGGAGTTGTTGGATTGGAGTGAGTCGGAGGATGAGGGGAAGAAGAAGGGTGTGAAGAAGGATGAATGAATGAGAGGGGGAAGATGATTCAATGCATGGGGTTTCCTCTATCCTGCGTGAATTGATTTGTGCTAGTCATGCTCAGGCTGATTTTACCATGCAGGGATGGGTTTGGGGTAATACTTTTTTTTTAATCTTTTGAATCTTCTAATGCTTGTATTAGTCACTGAAAGTGGTGGTGGTTGTCTTGCGCTCCCTCGCATGTGCATTTTTAATAGTGCTGTTGAGATCTTGGACTGATGATTATATGCTCTCCAAATCCCCAAAATTATATATCATTAATTATACGAACGTGAAAAATGGATCGAGACTGCTGGTAAACAAAGGATTATACAATCACTGACATATCCTGGTAGCTATGTGCACTTGTGTAGCTAATTTCTATTGCCTCGTGAAGTGTCATAGCCCCAAGTCAAAATGTTCATAACACATACAACCCCTTGTACAGAGAATCCTGGTGATAAAATTAACGGTGTCTCTAATGCAACCTCCGAAGCGCTTCGATCATAATCTTAACATCATGTACGTTCATCAACCCAACCGTGTTCACGATCTCCTCCTGCAAACTTGGCTCGCAGGTCAAGAATCGCTCAATTAGCTCTCCATCCACAAAACGATACGGCTCTTTGGATTCCCGGACCATGTTACGGAATCCTCGGAATTCATTAAATGGTAGATCTCCCAGAGATTCTAGCTTATTTGCCATGGTGGCCTGTAGGCGCATGAGGAAGTCTTGATGTTCGGGGTTGATAATGGCGAAGAGGTAAATCGAACCCTCCACCTGTTCGGAAGAGTTATTGTTAGACCATGACTTCAGTCGCGCGTAGGAAAGGGATGATCGCTTACCGTTCCCAAGAACGCTCTCGGAGTAACAGTGACGCTCGCCAATTGTTGGATGTTGACAGGCCTGATGCGATTGACCATTTCACCCAAGGATATTTCCCCGGTCACTTCTAAGCGGCGCTTGTCGTCCTCCTCGACGCCGCTAAGGTTGCGTCGAAGCACGATTAGGTTTCCCTCTGCGTCACTTTCCAGGAACGTATCCTGGCCAATACAGGCAACACATGTGGCCCACACTGTCTGGAAGTGACGGGCAACCTCGGTCAACGAATCGGGCATACCGTTTTCGCCTTCTTTGTATTCAACCAGACACACACTCTTCATCAGATCCGAAACAACAATCAGGTTGTCTGTGACAGTCACATCGACCGGGGCGGTTGACGTCCGATAACTAGCTAATTTTTCAAGCTTGGTCGCCCCGAAGTTGTTGCTGACAACGTCATAGATCACAACCTTGCCCGAGTGTTAGAGACTAACAATCTTTCTTTTGAACCAGCTGAGGGACTTACCGTTTTCACAAGCGCAGCCACGATCTTTGTGCCCAACATGGCCAAGGCGCGGCAGGCTCCTTTGACAGGGAGTTCGGCGACTGTGGTCAACTTACGACCATTATCGACTTCGAAGATGAGAATTCGCCCTCGAATGGTTTCCTCCTCTTCGCCATCCATGTAGGTCGTTCCCACAATGAATCGATCCTTGAACGTATCCCGGCCATGCTCGTCTTTACCGGCAGGGAACTCGGCGCGAATGACACTCTCGACCAATTCCTCTGGTCGCAGATCGTATCGATCTAGAGGCCGGAAGAGAATCTCATCTGCGAGCACAAACTGGCTTTTGACTATTTCTACCCCCTCTTCCAGCTTTCGCTCGATGGTGCCAATACCAAAGGCCTTCTCTGGAGGAGAGTAGGCGACTCGGCGTGCAGTAGCTCCGATTGGAAGAGTTTGAATCTGTGTCGTTCTCTCTTTGTCGATCAACGCAATCTTCAACTCCCGGGGTGTAGCAACGGCGATTGATCCAAGATACGCCTCCGAGCTGAAATGACACACGCGAGAGGCTCCTTCTGAGTTTACTGCGGAGTATATAATGCGGCCCTCTGACCCATATATCAGGCTTGGGTTCTCGCACGTCGCAAAGACGTTGTACAGACCATCGCCTCTAGGTAACCTCTTGAATGTTGGCTGTTCTGATCCAAGGATGAGTTTGTTCACACCAGTTAAAGAGTAGTCGGTGGTATTAAACGAAAAGGTGATAACGCTGCCATCCGCCATGGATATGAAGAGTGTCGGCGGGCTATCGACAAGCACATTCGTGACGAGGACGGATCGTGGGAAAGCTTCACCGGCGGGCCCAAGCGACGTAGTGTGCAGCTCAGTCAAGTCCTGTAGCTTCAGAACAGAGATCTGCGCTTGTTGAGGGAACGCAACAATACAGACTTCTGTCGGAGATGACGGCACTGTGACGCCGGAAATCTGATTATCGGCACCGAAATCTTTCTGCGTAATGACTTGCACCTCGTTCCTAATATCCAACACAGTGACGAAGATTCCACCAATGACCAAGACCATTGCTTCCTCGTTCGCAGAGGCAGCAGTTATTACCGACGTGCTTGGTGGAGACCATTCATGTATGACCATGCCACCCTCTACATCGGCAATAAGAACCCTCTGCTCTGTCACTTGCAATATACGCCCACCAGGGAGATTGGCAGCGAGTAGTGTGCTTTCTCCGAGACTGAGTCCCAGAAACTGTTCCAATTCTTCGACTTCGCCATCGGCACTGAATCGGAACACTCGTGTTTCGTCAACAAACGTGACCAGGAGCGTATCCAAGAACTCTCCGCCTGTGCCAACCTGCAGTCCCCACAGGTCAGTGATAAGCTCCATCTCCCCAAGGACACCCAGTTCTTCCATTCCCACGCCGCTGCGCACACTCCGAAGGGTCCCATCGTCAAAGGCACCCGAGCCCGTCACTATCCGAGCCTGGCCAGACGAGAATTCATGGGTTTGACTGTCACTAGAGCGGTTCCCGAGGTCCATTATCGTGAAGTCTAGGATGGGGGCAATATTCGATAAGCTCTGGATGACTTCAAACGAGCCATTGCCGATCCGAAGAACCTGGGAGTCTCCCTGATGAGATGCCACAAATATGACACCGCCGCCAAGATAAACCAGAGCAGACGCCCGAGACGTCTTCCCCAGGAGGTCAAGCTTCCAATCCTGAACTTCATTGTTGGCGTCCAAGACCAGCATCAGGAAGAATAGTCTTCCATAGTCATCAGCCAGTAGCCAGCGCTGACTGTCCACTTGCTCCCAAGCCACGAACATCGTCGCCTCATCTAGCAACCGTGAGATGATCTCATTATTATCATCATCGATATATTTGATTGACATCTCTCCAAGAATGAGCAGCCCACCTATATTCTGTCAGTACTCATCATTCCCGGAAAGAAAAGCACCTAAGCGCAAGTAGACTGGAGGAAAAACACACCCAGCGGCGCAGGCACGGGAATAAGATGCGAAGCCCCAAGGTCCAACTCCTGTACGAAATCCTCCACATGCGCAAGGGTCGCATCCGCACTTGTACTCGTCGTGGCCGGCGTATATTCCAATTCGCGCACCTTCATCTTCACCTTCTTCTCATTATCCTCGTACAGCAGCGCCAAGCGTGGCGGGCCCGACTGCACATGCAAGAACGCCGACGACCGCACGAACAGCTCATCGATCCGAGCCGTGGTCATCTCGCCCAACTCGCCCACCTTAGGAGCATCCGGACCGGAGGGCAACGCGGGCGCCCGTCCCCTCCTCCGAGCAGGGAGCTGGACAATCGGAACCACCGCCACAAGGCCCTCGTATATCTCCAGTGTCATGAAGCGGCCGCTAGGGTCCACCAAGCAGCGATTCCCCGTTTGTGATTCCCGCGACGAAGGGTCCGAGATGTCGACGTAATTCCGTTCTGTGCGAACCTGCTGTTTCGAAGCGTCCCAGGATAATGTGAAGTATGAGTAGCGATCGGTGCCGACGAAAAGGTGGTCTGTAGGGGAATCGGCGGGTTTGGAGAGCCCCGTCAACATGGTAACTCGGGCATTGACGGCGCATGATGCGGCGAGGCTGAGGCCATCCGGCGTGAGGGTGTAGAACTCGAGTCGATTCGCTTTCGCGACCACAAGAGATTCTTCTTCGGGGTCGAGAAAGTTGAGCTTCAAGGCGTGGCGAATGCTACTCGCTCTGTGGATGGGCACGACGTAGGCCATCTTGGAGAATTGAGCTGCGGTCCGTGGTGATCAGTCGAGGGGTTGGCTGTGTGCAGTAGAGACTGCTGCGGGGATCGAGCCCTGCGAAAATGGAAGGTATAGGCCGATAGAGTTCGGGGTGGGATTCGGGACATCGATTCACGTTTAATGCAAGGCGGGAGGAGACATATTATGGCGGCGGGGATGGAGGAGAAGAGAGTGACGAAGGACGGCGGCAGCGAAGCAGCTTCTGCCAAGACCAGCCTTCCTTGCGGCGATGACGATTTCCGCCGTTAACTCCGGTTCGCTACGCCCGAGATTCTTTGGTTGGAACATAGCAGCAATGTCTATTCTTCTAATGTTTCTAACAATAACGGATAAATGATTTAATTACATGACAATAATAATCCCGAAACCGAGGTACATGTCCTGCACATACTGCATCATATCTTTTCGGTTCAGTATTTTTTTTTTTTCTTTTTTGTGTTCAAGTCCCAAATATATCTCCAACTCGTCACTCACTGCAGCGAAGAGACGATCGCCTCAATTTCACCTGCAACACCATTCACCAGCTGGTGAACCTCTTCTTCCGCAAGAAGTCCCCCCTCGACACGAACTCCAAAGCCGATCGTATCGGTCTTCGGGTCCGGTCCAATATCAATGTAGACATTCTCACTGGGGAGAAGAGAAGTATCCAATTCCGACACCGAGGTAGCTTTTAAGCCCGGTAGAGGTTCAGCGGGAATAAAGTCGGTGGGAACACCGATTCGAAGCGGCAGGAAGAGATCGCCGTCGTTGTTTAGCTCCTTGTCAGGCGTGGCATCGTTGGCGGAGGGCACTCCGTTCTGCATCCAGAGTAGATTGACCCAGGCGTTGAAGAGTGGAGTTGCGGTTTGTTCAGCACCGGCCCACCGAAGGACATCCATGAGAGAACTCTGCTCGAATGAGACACGCTCCGCGAGGGAGGCTTGAAGGGCCTGCGCCTTATCTACGAGACTAGAATCAGAAACTGCGTCCGAGACGGTGAATGGGTTGACATTGAGACAAGGTCCGGTGAGTTTCTCGATGTCGGTGAATGACGCCGATCGACCGGTTTGATACAGACCCATGGTCGGGCTAGTGACTCCGGTCATGCGCGCAAGGCAGCGAGCGACGGCAAGCAAGACCACAGTCTGCAGACTGAGCCCTGCAGAACGGCACAAAGTCTCAAGCTGGGATACATTCTTGACCTTCTCCCAGGCCCCAACGAATACTTGATCGGGAAGCTGGCTTCCGGTCCGTTCCGCAGTATTCTTGATGAGGGTGCGCTCGCCAGAACCGATGGCGGAAGTCCAGTAGGTCTTTTCGTCAAGGTCGCGAAGGGAGCGAACAGAGAAATCGACAAAGGACGCGAAGTCGGGGTTAGTGTCTAGTGATTGGCCGCGGTAGAGGCCTTCAAGCTCAGACACGAACATGGGCATTGTCCACGCGTCATATGCAGCGTGATTAACAAGGACAAGGATTCCGTCCCGGTCGCTGGCCTTCAAGAGGCGAAGACGAACAGGGGGAACAAACAGGGAGGATGGGTTCAATGCTTCTTTCTTTGCCTGAGCCTGAGCTGCCTCGGTGATAGTGGCATCGGAATTGATCACCTTGAAGGTTTCGTTGTCTCGCACTGCCTCCTTCATAATGACCTGAACAGCCTCCGAAGACGAGATGGCTGCGAAACAGGTTCGGAGGACAGGATGTCTTTGACGAAGTTGATACCAAGCGTCCTCTAGCCTTGCCGCGTCGATACGTTCCGAGCTGAAGTAGGGCCATGCGGGCTCAAACAGCTTTCTTCCAGACTTCAACCAGCTGACCAGGTGGTAAAATTGACCTCCGAGACAAGGTAGAATTGTCTCAATAGAATCCTTGTTAAGTCCAAGCTTCTCGACAACTGTCTTCTCCGTACGCTCATAATCCGCGAAAAGTGAGCCCTGGGGCTTCACGGCCTGCTCCTCCATGGGTCGCACACGTTGACTGATACCACGCAGGGTATTTCCTTGAAGAATGTCAGCAACGCCAGTCCTGATTCCCTTCGATCGGCAGATGGACGCAATGCGAATGGCCGACAGTGAATCCAAGCCAATGCTGAAGATGCTGGTGCTTGGTTTGATATTGTCCACTGAAAGCCCAGCAACCTCTGCAAGTACAGACTGGATAGTACTTTCGTGGGCAGGAGCTTCCGAATCGTCAATTGAGTTCTCCTGTGCACCAGGCGCAGATAGTCTAAGTGGCAGTTCGCCCAGTCGTTCAGGCATGACGGTTGCACATCTCGTGGGATGCTCAATAATGTCCCGGAAGACGGAACCAAACTCGGTCAAGAAATCGTCAAGGTTCTGTTGCGACAGGTGTTGCCCGTTGCATGATGCCCTAGCGACAATGCCATCTTTTCCATGATCAACCTCCACATTCAATTTGTACTCAGCCTGCGCGGCGTATTCCTCGCTTTCGTAGGGCTTCCAAATCTCCTGGGTCTCCAATATACCCCCGGCAAAGTCGGCACTCTTCTGGAAAACGAAGAGCGTGTCGAATAGAGAAGTAGAGGTCAGCTCATTAGCCTTTCTCAATGAGTTCTGGACGACTCGTAGTGGCGCATGCTGGTAAACTTGAGCATCTGCCGTGAGCTGCTGCAAGCGCGAAGCCATGGCCTTGTTGCTCAGGAATCTGGGCTCGAAGGTGACTCTCTGGGCGACCGTGTTAAACAACGGACCAAGCGTTCGCTCAGCTCCTGGAGTTGGCAAAGAACGCCCTGCAAGTACTTGGCCAAACGCGACATCGCGCTTTCCGAGAACGCGGGCCAAAACCTTGGCATATGCGAGGAGCGCAATGCTCTGAACGGTGACTTGCATAGCCTTGCACGATTCGATGATTGTAGGTAGATTAAGGTCGACGCGGTGTTCCGAGAGGAACATGCGCCCCGAAGCCTGATCGGCAGGCAGCTGAGGAACTTCAACAGCTTCGTAGCCCGAGAGCTTCTCGGTCCAGAACTTGCATGAATCCTCTTGTCCGTTCAGAATATGTTCGACTGTTTCCGAGAACTGTGGCCTCTCGAGCTGAGCTTCGCCGCTGTACGCAATGGCGAGGTCCTCGAAGAAGAAAGGCAACGAGGCACCGTCATAGAGAGCGTGGTGCATGACAACGACCAAGAGTCTACCCTCCGGCTGAGTGACTAGAACTGTTCGGATAGGTGGAACCTCAAACGACGATTCCTCGCTGAATGAAAAGAGAGCCTCGACTTCAGCAAGAGCATCGGCGTCAGAAGGAAGGCTGATCTCGGTCCATTCGAAAGGAGGCTGCGTGTGGACAGCCCCAATCCATGAGTGTCCAAGCTCTGCAACGAGATGGAAAGAAGTGCGCAGGATATCATTGGCCTGGATGACATTAAGGACGGCGTTCTTCAATTGAGCGGTGTCCACAGAGTCGGCGAGTCTGACCGGGTGAGGATGAACATAGACTTGGCCGTCAGAGCCAAGGGTTTGAGTGATCATTCCGGATTGCAAAGGAGTGCATTCAAACACAGTCGAGATCGAGTCACCCTCACCAAGCAGGCGAACGTGTTTCTGGTAGGTATCGGCTGGGATAGCAGCTCTCTTGGTGCCGTTCACTCCGTTTGTCTGGGTTGGTTCTTCACTTGAGCTCTGCTCGATGTGTTGAGCCAATGCGCCCACACAAGAGAAGCGCATGACATCGGAAGAGGCAACATGGAATCCAGCTTCCCTAAGCTTTTGAGAGAATTGGATAGCAGTAACGGAATCAACGCCGAGACTAATGAAGGAAGCTCCCTTAGAAACATCCGCCAAAGACAGACCGCAGAAGTCCTTGGTCATTTCGCGAACTGTAGATTCAGTAGTAGACCAAGTCGTCTCGTCCCACTGAGTGGCCTGGGAACGAGTGCCAGTTCCCTCAGTTTGAGGAAGATTGAAGTTGTCCAACGAGAGAATTTCGCCGGAAACAACACTGGATAAAACGGCATCCATCTTTTCAAGGAACTCCTCGCCATTGTAAGCAGCGCTGAAAATGGATGAGAATGCACAGTTCAGGTTGATACTGTCGGTGGCGCTATTGGCCTCGACCTCGACAGCAAGAGGGTACTCCGCAGGCATCTGGCTGTCCAATTCGCGCCAGATGTTGTGCTCAGAGGGCGTCGTCGCTCGGATGTAAGAGAAGAGACAATCAAACAGAGGCGTTTCAGATTTAAGCCAGCGCTGCATGTGTCTCAGGGAGGTGTGCTGGAACTCGAGCGATCGAACTGTGGATTTCTGGACGGACTCAATCACTTCAGCAACAGTGCTAAGATCATTGGTATTCAATCGTCCAGGAATGGTCGTAATACAGGGCAGAATAACGGAATCAGCCCCAGGAACAGCGACTGCTCGGCCAGAAAGAACAAGTCCGTAGGTCACATCGGAAACCCCAACGGCATCGGCCAGCAGAAGAGCGAAAATGGCTTGTACCAGGGATGGAACAGTTGTCTGGAGGCTCGCTGACCGACGTTCCAGATCAGAAAGCTTGTTGCCGAGAGTCCTGGTAACGAATTTAGGATGCTCCAGGAAGTTGAAATCAGAGCGGAACAAGGTAGGTCGACAGTCTCCCAGATATTCTGTCCAGTGCTTCTTGGCCTTTTCGGTATCCTGAGTGTAGACATGCTCGATGAATGCGGCCGGCGAACCTCTCTGCGGGACCGGGCTCTTGACATATTGTGTCGCAACGTCTTCCAGCAGCATGGAGAAGGATTCACCATCGTAAAGAGCGTGGTGAATGGAGATGAAGAGTGCCAATGGCTGGTTGGTAGTTGAAGATTTAGCCAAATGGAATCGCACCGGGGGAACTGTGGAGATGTTGGAAATAATGTCACGGGACACTTGTGTTTGCCGGGTTTTGAGTTGCGCGATAGATTTGTCTAAGCTCCCGTAGGCTTCTTCGTCCCATCGGATCCCATGAGAATCAGCAGAGAAAACGACCTGGACAACCTCCTTCTCTAGAGGAGAGAACGCAGTCCTCATGATCTCGTTGTCCTGGGCGACAGTTTGCCATGCGGCCTTCAACTGCGCCGCGTCGACATGGTCTTCGAGCCGAAGAACGATATGGTTGATGTAGAGTTGATCGCCTTCATTGTTAATCGAACGTGCCACCAGACCCTCCTGAAGTGGCAAGCAAGGCCTGACAGATGCTACCGTCGACAGGTCAACCTCGGAGGGAGCATTCTGGCGGTATGACGATTCCATATCTGCGAGGTGTTGACGCAGCTTAGACACAGTAGCCTCGGAGCTGGATGAAGAGGTAGTCCTGGGTAGACGAGCGAGTTGCTCGATAACCGGGTTGCTCATGACTAGGGCCACGGTGGCGGCGTATCCGATCTTTCGAAGCTTGATAGAGAGACCGATAGCGCTAAGACTGTCCAGACCAACCTCGAAGATGTTTGTCAGGGGTCCAATGGCGGAGGGGTCGGTGGAAATAACGGTGCATATTTCCTTAACCACGGCCTCTTCGTCGACAGTCAGCGGTCGACTGTTGGCGGCGCCGTCTATGCTTCCTGCGTTGTTTCCTTGAAGCACAGCAGCGAGAGGAAGGCTGAAGAACAGGGCATGGAGTTCCTTCAGATTCGCCTTTCCAGACATTGGCGCCAGCGGGATGTAGGTAATGGGCAAGATCAGTTCTGGAACCATGTATCCCGGCAGCTTCTTTTTGCAGATGTCTTGTAGTTCCTTGCCAAGAGTTGCGAAATCGGATTGGACGAACGCAACCTCGCCGCCCTTTGTACGCTGACGAGCGTCCGATCGTGCAATGAACGAAATAAGCTGCACTCTGCTAAGGCCTGGGTGCTTGGCAACACTTGTGACAACGTCAATTCCAACGGTTGAGGATGCTCGAAGCACTTCAGACACTTCTCCAAGCTCCAATCTCTGCCCACGAATCTTCGTCTGGTCATCGCCACGACCCAAGTACTCCACGGAGTCATCAAACATCAAACGCCCTATGTCACCGGTCCTGTACATCTTTTCGCCATTGGGACCTGTAGTGAAACCTGTGGCATCCGGCCTGTTGTGATATCCCCTACCAACGAGATCTCCACTGAAGCAAAGTTCACCGGTTTGGCCCTTGAGCGCGTAGGTTGTAGTGCCGGGAACGAAAACATGGCAGACACAGGCAGTCAAGGGGGGTCCGATGTTACGCAGGTTTGTGTCACGACCAACGTGGGCAAATGTGCAGCCAATTGTCACCTCGGTTGGGCCGTAGGCATTGGCCAGGCAGATATGAGAAGTAGCCCATGCATCCAACACCTTTTGAGATATTTTTTCACCGCCAACACTCATGTAGACCAACTTAGGACAGTGCTCAGGAAGAATGTTTGCCTGGTCAACCAAAGAAGGCACGAAACTCGCGTGAGTAATTTCCCATTTTCCGAGAGTAACCTGCAGATCATCGAGGATCATTGTTCGGGGAGCTGTCACAGTTGCCATTCCCTGGCGCCAGGGGAAGAACATCTCGACAAGATGAGGGTCGAAGGCCCTGCTAGCTTGGGCAAGATGTCTGCCGGTGCCACCCAGTGTCAGAGTTCTGGGTGCAGCCTTGATAATGAAGTCGGTGAAGGACTCAATGAATGATGAAAGATTGGCCCTAGTGATCATGACACCTTTAGGCTTGCCTGTAGACCCGGAAGTGAACAGAAGATAAGACAGATCATCCGGATGAGATTGGTAGTCGCGATCTTCAGCGGGCATGGGTGCCACCAGCTTTTGATATCCCGGATCGTCGGTACAGTAGATCTGGCACGTCTGAGGAATACGGGAGAAGGACGCCAAGAATGTTGATTCCGTGAAAACAATAGGACAATCACCATCCTCGATCAAGAAGGCCTTGCGATCAGCCGGAAGACCTTCGTCAATTGGCAGATAAGTATTTCCGGATTTGAAGATGCCAATAATGACTGGGTACGAGGGAATGTTGCGTCCACAACAGACTGCGATCATCCTGTTCTTATGACCGAAGGAGGCAATGAAAGCGGCCACACGGTTGGCTTCAGCATTTAGGGTGCCATATGTCATGATTTCCTTCTCGATGCCGGTAGGAGCAATTTTGGTTGCCACTTCAACGGCGGTCCACTCCGGATGTTCTTTGGCATTGAGTTCCAACCAATACGTCGGAGCAGTGTATATGGAGTTTGCGACCATGTCGGTGACTGCCCGGTTCGAGACTGCGCGCAGGTCTGCGGGGATATGATTGCCTAGATTGGACACCTGCTCATCGGGGAATTCCAGCATCGCGCTAACCATAGCATCGATTTGACGGACGAAAAGTGACAATTGATGCTTGTTCATCAAAGCAATGTCCGAGGATGCCTCCAAGATGAGCGAGCCATCAGCACGTTGAAACACGTTCATGGCCATCGGGTGCTCGACATGCAAGCCAATCTGATCCTCAAGATCTTGCCAGATTTGTGGCAGCGAGCTAGTGTGTTCCTCGCCGGCCACGTGGAAGTTGAAAACAGCCGGGTACAAAGGCTCTCCACGAGGTCGGTTAAGCATTTTGCGAACATCATGAGCATGCACGTGGCGGTATTTCCATGACTGAACAGAAAATCGATGCTGTTCAGCCAAAAGCTGCCGCACAGTTCCTTCGGGATGGAATGGAATCGGCACAACAGATATCAACGGTCCAACATTATCTTCAAGATCTGCATGCAGAACACGATCGGAGAGTGTCTCGGCAAAGACAGTAGCTGGAATGCTGAGATATCCAACAGACACAAAGCCCCATGCTGCTCTGATGATGGATGCAATGGATGACACTCCTAGTTGAGCTGCGGCAGCCTGAAGTTTGGAGACGGGCTCGGACAGGACACATTCTTCGGCGATGAATCGGTGTTCCTGGACCTCGCCTGGCTGCAATCTAATTCCAGTGAGATCGGGCCAGACCGGCACTTCCAGCCCAGAGAACTTCTCTAGTTCGGAAGCCCAGAAGCTGCGTGTATCCTTGCTTCTTTGCTCCGTGGGGAGAATGACGGAAAGAGCATCACTGAGCTGGTGCCTCGAAGGAGGCTTATAGGCATAGGCAGAACGCACGTCATCCATGATTAGACCAAGGGAAGGACCATCATGAATGGAATGGTGGATTGTGAGGAACATGGTTCTTTCATCGCCCTTGTCGAGGACAGTCACGGCCCATGGAGGGCCTTGGAAGTAGCTGCTCTGGTGCTTTTGCATAATCTGTTCAATACGGCTGTCCCGCAGCTCGACCCAGTTTTGTTCGTTGCATTCGAGATGTTGCCAGTCAACATCGGGGAGCTTGTACATCACCTGCAACATAGAAAAGTCAGGGCTTTCCTTCTTGACACCAGTTTCAACCTCAGCCAGCGGGATAAAGCCAGTTCTCAACGCCTCGGTCTTTTGGCACACGGAGAACCAAGCCTGCTTCAGTCTATTGATATCCACGGAGCGGTCGAGGGAGAAGAAGTGGTTGCTCCAATACATGTTGTAAGTTCCCATAGTCTCACTGAGCAAACTCTCCTGAATCGTAGTTGCTCGGACAGTGAAAAAGTCATCCTTCACCTTAGCAGATACTGCATCGTGCCAAACATTGTTGAAGGCATTCAGATCGAATGTGTTTTCGGTGGCCTTAGAGGAATCTGCAGTGGAGGCTAGCTTGATAAGGTCTTGGACGGTGACGCAGTTTAGAACTTCCACAACTGAAAGCTGATAGCCGGCTTCCTTCAATCTGGAAGCGAGACGAATGGCACGAATAGAATCGATACCTAAACTACCCAGTCGACCAGCCTTCGTGATGATAGATGGTGATATATCAGCGAGCAATGCGATCATGTTGACAATGTTTGCTGCTGCCGCAGCATCGGCTGGATCTTCAGATGGCTGATCGACAGCACCGATTTCGGGATTCAGGTTGCCCTCCCAATTGTCAATGTCAACTTCGGCATAGGCTGCCTGGAGAGCCCGACGATCGGTCTTGGCGGATGGAGTTCTGGGAATGTTCTTCACAACCAGATAAACGGAGGGGATCATATGGTCGGGCAGGGTAGCTTGTGCTTGATCGCTAGCAGCGCGAGCAGCTTCAAGAGCTTTGTCATTGAGGATAAGAAGCTGTCCGTCATCTTCAGGGCCTGCGGCGTTCGGCGCAGCGAGGAAAGAAACAACCACCTTCGAAGGCCTATCGGGACGGCTGAGAATGAGTGTCTCAACATTCTCGACAAGAGGGTGGCAGTCGCCGAGTGAGAAGCTAATCTCACTCAACTCAACTCGAATACCACCAAGTTTGACCAAGTCATCAACCCGGTTAATGTACTCAAGCGATCCATCTGCGAGCATGCGAACCAAGTCACCAGTGTAGTACAGAGTTTGTCCAGCTTCCTCATTCCACACGTACTTGGCTTTGGTGACATCCTCTTGGTTGAGATAACCAGGGGAAAGCTGCGGACCACCCAAGGCTAATTCTCCAACGGCGTTCTTCATCACCATGCGCTGATTCTTGGTCACAAAAACGGAAACGGTGTCCATAGGCCATCCGATGTTTGCACTCTTGATATTCTTGTGCTCATTTCCAAATTCTCTGACAGTTGAAACAATAGTGACTTCAGCGGGACCATACGTGTTGAAAGCGCGCATATCAGTACCCCAGTCATCGGCGACAGGCTGGGTCAACTTTTCACCAATCATAGTGATCACCTTGAGTGTCTCACAGCTCTTTCTTGGAATGCCTGCTGAGAACGCGGGAGTGAGATGGGCGTGTGTCGCCTTGGTGAGGTTCGCAAGCTTAGGGAAAGAACCAAGCATGATTTCTCTCGAGGCAGAGATCAGAACACCCCCCAGTCCCCAGGTATAAAAGAAATCTTGGATTGACACATCAAACGTGTACTGCGAGAACTGCATGCATCGCACGGTGCTACCGTCGGCATTTTGCGGGATGTCCTTGAACAAAGACTTCATACTGGACACCGCCGCAGAATGCTTGATCGGCACACCCTTCGGGGCTCCTGTTGTGCCACTGGTCCAGATCAAATACGCCATATTGTCCGGGTTGCTTCTGTGCTTGGTGTTGCTTCGTTTCACTTCGTTGGCTTCAGGAGCCACCTGACAGAATTGACTGACGTCGACTACCTCAACACCAGAGGGGATGGAGCCTTCAGGCTGTGCGCCGTCCTTCGACGAGACCAAGAGAACCTTGGCGCCAGTTCGTGCTATGAGATCATGGCGACGTTGTGCAGGGGAAAGGGTATCAATGGGGCACCAGGCTCCTCCTGCCTTTAAGATACCCAGAATAGCGACATACAGTGCAGGGCTTTTCTCGATGCAGATAGGCAAAGGGGTGTTGGTCAGGGTGCCGCCAACCTGGAGAAGATGTTCCGCGAGGTTGTCGGCAATGGTGTTAAGCTGTGCGTAGGACCACGTGAGGTTCAGGGGACTGTTTTCATCATCCAAATCACCCTTGAAGATTAATGCCAGGTCATCGGGGTGAGATTCCGCGTGATCCTCGAATCTAGTATGAATCAAAGCACCTTCTGACACTTCTTCAACAGCGCTTGCTCCGGGGTTGAACGAAGACTTGAGCTCAGGCTGGGTGTGCGAGGAGGCGTCCTGGAAGTTCCCCTCTGGGCTTCCAAGAATGTACGTTACAATATCAGCCATAGACTTCAGCATTGCCTCAGCCGTCTGCGAATCAAGATGGGAATCGTTGAAGCTGGCACGGAAGGTCAATGAAGAATCGGCACCAGGCCAAACCTCAATCATGACCGCGAAATCGTTTGCCATCGGTGGGTGATCGATGGAGCTCCAGATGCCACTGGAACTGGATCCAGCATTGAAATCCTGGTAGGCCAATAGTGTGTCGTAGGGGAGGCGGCCATCGGCCGTCACCAGGGATCCTAAGCGAGGCTGCAGGTGCGAAAGAGTTTGCGTGTTTAAGGATGTTAGGTGACGCGCGACCGACTTGTTTGTCCAAACTCCTCGAGAGTCCTTCTGCACTTGGTTGACGGCCAAGCGAATAGGAACAGTTGTGAAGGTAGGACCAATGCAAATTTCCGACTCCGGATCAAGTCGGCCAGATACAACACTGCCCATGACAACGTCCTGGTCAGGGGTGCCAGTATAAGCAAGTAGAACCGAGGCCCAAGCTGCTTGAAGCACAGCCAGTGGAGTCGAGCCGATGCTCTTGGATTGTTTCTTCAGGTTGTCATAACTTGTCGAGGCAACGATTTCCACGCGGTCAGTTGTCTTAGTCGAAGGGGCTCGGTAGGGAGTTACTGATGGAAATAGGACGGGCGAGTACTGATCAAGATGCTTTGACCAAAATTGAGATGTCGTGTCATGATCAGCACTGAAGTGGTGCTTGACAATGTGCTCAAGGGACGTTCGGTTGGCCACTGGCTTCCCGGCATAAACGGAAGAAACGTCCTCGAGAAGCAGCTGCAGCGATCCTCCATCAAAGATTCCGTGGAACATGCTCAGTATAATCAGATTTCGGTCTTCTGATTTAACCAAAGAGAGCTTCCAAGGAGGCGTGCTTAGACTGATGGCGTCCTCCGCATTTCGCAGCGCCTTGTTCAAAGTTTCGTCTTCACTTTCGGCAGCGGCATCATAAACACTCCAATCCGATTGGGGTGCCGCCTTACTAGTAAGGACACATTGCGCAAATGGGGCCATGTCATCGTCGAGCCAGCAGAAGACGGTTCGGAAAGAGTCATAATTAGCAACCGTGGTTTGCCAAGCGGCTTGGATGCGCTCAACATCAACATCTGCCTCGAGTGGGAGAACGGAATGGTAAATATAGGATCGAGTTGCGAACGACTTATCAGCGGAGCTGCGCAAAAAGCTTGCCAGCATACCAGATTGCGTTGCCGTGGTAGGCAAGACACTTTGAAATTCTGCTGATGTTAAACCAAGTCGCTGAGCACATGTCTGGATGTTCCGGTCCGAGAAAGATTGCAAGTTCTGATGAAGGGTTGCGGATTGAGTGCCGTTGGCCAAAGCATCCCCGCTTAATTGAGGGCGCGCAAGGATAGTCGACACCAATCCCTTTGCAGTCCCCGATTGCAGGACATCGGCAACAGCTAAGCCTTCGATGGAATGGTCTCTCAGCTTCTGCAGTAGTCGCATGGCACCAAGACTGTCAATTCCCAGAGAGTAAAGGTCAGCCCCGGGCTTGATGTTGGAGAAATCTTCCTGTGTGGCCTCTGCAATAAGCTGAACAACGAGATCCTGAACCGAGGTAACGTCTTTGTCACCGGATGCTTCCCAGTCATCCTGCATGCCGTTCGACAATCCGGACTTCGGAGAAGCGAAAATTTGAAGGCCGCTCTGTTCACCTTGCTGCAGCTTGGCAGTAATTGCCTTGCGATCAACCTTGCCAGAACTCGATCTCGGGAGCGAGTTGAAAAAGGTGTAGGCGGACGGGCACATATAAGAGGAAAGATGACGCTGTGCGGCCTCTTGCGCCTGACGCACAATGTCTTGCTTTGTCGCATCGCTTGCGCCGTCCACCACAAGGCAGGCCACAATCTGCTCACTACCTTGTACGTTGTTGTCTCGCTTAGAAACAACCGTGACAATTTCCGTAATCCCCGGGACTGTCGCGAGCACAGATTCAACCTCGCTGAGCTCGAGACGACGACCGCTTATTTTCACCTGATCAGAGGTGATACGGCCCAGGAATTCAATGACCCGCGAACCACTTTCATCCCACACAACACGAGCCATGTCACCGGTGCGATAAAGGTAACCAAACTCGGAGCTGTGGACGAAGGACTTTGCGGTCTCCTTGGGCCGGTTCAAGTAGCCCTTGCTCACCTGAGGCCCTCCTATCGCTAGCTCACCGGTGAGACCAGCCGGAACGGCCTTGGGTTCGTGGCTGTTAGGATCCAAAACGAACATAGCGCAAGTAGGCAACTCCTTTCCGATGATAGAGCCACGAATGGAGTAGCCAAAAGGAGCAAGGAAGGTACAGTTGATGGCTCCCTCGGTAGGCCCGTAAGCGTTGACCAGCATTCTGGAGGGTCCGTCGGGAGAAGTGGGCTTAGAGGCGAAATTCTCAATCACAGTCCGGTTGAGTTTCTCACCCATTGTCCAAAGAGACTCAAGCGTCGTTAGGCGAGATGGTCTGAGGAGCGCAGCTAAACTGGGCGTTGCCATCATGACGGTAGCTCTGGCCTCATTGATGGTGGTTTCCAGGTCAGTCAACGTCAGGCTCCGGTCTGCAGAGCAAAGGGTAGCACCGCAGCTCAAGGTCACAAAGATCTCCATGAGGGAGGGGTCGAATGTCGGGGACGCGAATTGGAACCACCTAAAGTCACCAACCGCGTTGCCAGGTAGGGGAATAGCCGTGGCGTGGGAATGGATAGAGCAGGCACCAGCTAAATGGCTGACCTGGACACCCTTGGGCTTACCAGTCGAGCCACTGGTGAAGAGAAGATAAGCAGTCTGATCATTCTGGATATCCAATTTGCGCAGCTGGTCTTCTGAAGCTGGAGGCACTTCCTGAACACCACGTAGCTGCTTCCACCCGGTCACCTCTGCCACATCAACCCAGGAGTATAGGTTTGCACCGTCCAACTTCCAGGGACAAGAGGAGGGCTCAGTGGTGTTGCCAAGAACGATCGGAGAGCCAATGTCTTCGAGAATTTCCAGTACCCTCTGAGCAGGTGCATCCTGGGGAATCGGGGAGAATGCGCAACCGGCCTTGAGGATACCAAGATAGGAGATATAGAGCTCAGGGGATGTTGTCATATAAACAGGGATAATACGTCCGTAGTCCGCGGAGTTGCTACCGGCCAGAAGAGCTCGAATGTGGATGGCCAGGTTTGAAGCGGCCTTGTCCATGGCCGCGTAGGTGAGAATGCTGTGTTCCGCATCGGACGTTGATGAGGGTAAAGAATGCACAAAATCAAGTGCGATCGCATCCGGCTTTCTACGGGCCCAGCCCTCAAAAGCGGCATGAAGAAGGGATCGTTGGGAGCTGCTGGACCCAGCGTCTCCAGTCTGCTCGGAATCTATTGATGGGGGTATCATAAGGGATGGGAAATTAATTATCGATAGCTCGGGTTGGGGCGTCTCGAGTGAGAGGAACGTGGAAGAACCCGCCAGGCAGGACGACAGTGCGTTCAGCACCTGCTGCACTGCTTGGTCGGGGATAAGTCGCATCGGGTATGCAAAACTGATTGCAAGGGTGTTGGTGTTCGAAGTTGGTTTGATGCGTAGTTTGAAATGCTATGAGGGTCAGCGCAAGCGCAATTGTTCAAGCGCGGGGCAGCAAGGACCAACATTTTCTTGGACATTAGAGAGTTGCTTCTCGCCATTCTCAGGTTCGGAACTCGCTCCCAAGTCCAGAGAGAATTGAACTTCATCCTTGTTGTACGATGCTTCGTCGACGTGGCGAATTGTGCAGGTACTCAAATCGCCCGGTCGCTGAGTGGCCTCGGACCAAAACACGGAGGCACAGATGACCTCGCGCACCGCATCTGAGGCAGATGCCGAGGCCGTATGACGCGCCAGAAGGAACGCGACATCCTCGAGGCCGGTGAAGTTCGAGATAAAGCGGGCATAGCCCTGGATGAGGTCGTCGGCGACAATCTGAAAGTCTGCGCTGCAGAGAATTTCCGCCCATGGACTGTTTGCCACCACATCACCCAGCGGTCTATCGACGGCATAGGGGTCGATAGTATCCAGCGCAGGGACTTTAGTCACAGGGAGAATATCTGCATGCTGGGCGCCGTTGGCTTGTGGCTGAGGATTCGGGTTCACCAAGGCCGCGGAGCTTCGGTGCCCCTCATTGCTCGGAATTGTGCCTGCCATCGGTTTAGTCATGAATTACTGCGGGGTCACGCACCTGCGAACGGAGACAGCGAAACTCGTGGTGCTCAACAGCAGAGTTCTACACCTGAACGTAGTCAAAAAGGAATGGACGTCACTGTCGACGGAGGAGAGAGAGGAATACAGAGGATTAAAGATCTTTCTGCAAGGGCGCGCCAACCCACGCCTTTTCCTTCAACGATGGTCCTGCCGAGACGATCCAGTCATCGTCGGTTGAGGTGGGGCCCGAGGGTCCCATAGCAGAGTCATTGGATGCAGAGTGTTACAGTGGAGAAGAACACCTGAGCTACCGCGGTAGTAAGAAACTGCTAGTGATTGTGATGTGCGGTTGGCAGGTTTTCCCAGTTGCTGGTGTAGCGCGCGGGTGCCGCGAATCAGCAGTCAGACGACAATTCAGGTCCCGTCGGGTACAAAAAGTGTTAATGTGGGCCGCCCGCCGGCCTCTTATTTCTCCGGTCTTCGGCCACGTTTATCTGATTAGATCATCTGATTAGATTGATACCGTCATGACCCGTACGGTCCCTCTCGTACCGTTCCATTACGGTATCCTATTTCTGTCTCTTACACCATCGGGATGCGGAACGTGTAACCTATTCTCTTTCGCCGTTATTTTCAATTGACGGAACGATTATCGATCAACCTTCCTTGCGGTTGTAACCGACACAACGGGAGTCCCTTACTCATGATTCCAACGAGGGTTTCCATTTTCTTTTTTTTTTTTTTATTCAACTTGTCTTTTCTTGGCCCTTTTCCTCCCCTACACCGTAAACCATATCCGAGGCACTCCTTTCGGGTAATGACTACAATCAATGCCCAGAATACTAAACCCGCCATATATTAAATTCGTCCACGGCGGCGTTTCTTGGCCATGTAGATACCTCCGGAAGAGCTTTTTGGCTTACAATAGTCACAGTTTCCCTCGGGCTTCGTCCGCTAGGCCAACCGACGACTTTCAAGGACTCCACAAACTCCATATGTCTCACTTTGCCACCGTTTGGAGTTCTTGGAGATTCGCTAGGGCTTCGGCTTCCAGTTCGTAGACCGTACGGAGTACTCCGTATTATCGATGAGCAAATTGCCGGAGCAGATTGATAACAGAAATTCGTGAAGGCATCCCATCCCGCGTTCACAATTCAGACCACAAAAAAAACTTATCTGATCCGTAGTGGAGCGCTGAGACATTCCTTTGACCATGGGCTCGAATCCTGAATGCGTACCCCTCTTCGACCCGTTTGCCATGGCCCATGTCTCTCTGTCTATACGATCGATGTCGTTTAGTCGCCGGCACGCCGGGATCCCAATCCTTTGGTCTGCCAAGCTGCGGACTGCCCTTGTAGCCAGGACGATCCCTGTAGCTTCAAGTAATCCGCACCGAACCCGAGTGACAGATAGAGCACCCACTTTGGGCTTTGAAATCGCCTCTACTAGTAATTTCGGACTGCGCCGTCGATGGTCCACCATGTGTGCTATTGGGCTTTCCGTCGGAGTCGATTGTTGCCTTGTCTTTTCGGCTTGCGGGTGACGGGGTCCGAATAAATTTAGCAGAGCGAATTATCTAGATAATAGAACCGAATGTAGACAAGAGCATTATGCAGGGAACTTGCTGAGGTTACATTCTGCACACAGGGTGGCCTGGGCCATCGTTCGTGCACAAGCATAGAGAATGCCTGTGGCCAGATAGTCAAGGTTTTCCCCAGGAATTTACTTTCCGCTTGCAGGAAAGGCGGTCCGTTTTCTTGTTGCCTGTAACGTTCTTTTCCCTCGAAGAAATCGAATTCAAAACTCAAACGGAGAAGGATGTAACCGGATCCATAACACATGCTACTACGCAGTAGTACTTCCCTCCGTTCCGGTTTACCGTTTGTATCCTCAGGATTTGCTAAGTGGCAACCAATTGACACGCCCGTGCCAAATTGAACATTCTGCATGAGCAAATTATGAATAATGTAAGGTACACATAGGTAATATAGGATTGCATTCAACTATCCCGTTCTGGACTGTCAGGTTCCTTCCGAGTCCGAATAAGCCCGCAAGGCGCCGTCAGTGGTGTGCTTGATAATTTCCGATCCCGAGGTTCTAAGCCCACAATTGGTTATCTGATGAAATCCTCAAGCTTTAATGCAACGCCAAGGGACACCGAGAGCGCTCCCAGCACTATTGGAGGTGTGCGTGCATGCCCAGATGAATTATCCCATTGGCTTTGTAGTGGAGAAGTCTAAGCCGCCAAGAGGCATCGGGGGGCGAACCATGGTCTGGCTCCGAAATGGATCGTTATCTGATTCTTCCACCCCCTCTCGACAGGAACTCTAAGCGAAGTGGAATGAGAGGTAACAGTTGACGAAGTTATTTGGTTTGAAAGCTTCTAAAACACTGGGTCAGTTATGGGTGGGGAGGAGGGTGGTGAAGTAATGGCAAAGGCCGGATGTCTCCATCATAGGCCCCGTTGCTCGTTTGGGTACCGAATGCCGACCAGGAAGAGTCATGGACTGATCCTAGGGCTGGATGCTCGGAAACTTGGTTAAGTTCCGAGGTATGTCTTAGATTAGAGAGTGCTTGTTCCTTTATCTACTAGCTGATTCCAGCCGCGGTCGTTGCAATCCTTCGTCTATTATTCTTTCCCCTGTCGTTTATATTGTGAGAAAAACGTACAAAATGGCGGCCGTACGGCGTTTGCAGCAGACCATATCCCACGTCCAACCGACGCAGCCAACGGAGCAACTTTCAATCGTCTATGGCCCTACGCAACCGGAGCTTCTAGATATCACTCTCGGCGAGCTTCTCACCCTCCAAAGCATCCGATATGGCGACTATGAGTGTTTGGTGTTCCCGTGGACAGGGGCTCGATGGACATACGCAGACCTAAGCGATGAGGCAGACCGGGTGGCTCGGGGTCTATTGGCGATGGGTATTCAAAAGGGAGATCGCATAGGTATCATGGCCGGTAACTGCGAGCAATATATTTCAGTCTTCTTTGCCGCTGCCCGAGTCGGGGCTATCCTGGTGGTACTCAACAACACCTACACTCCCTCGGAGCTATATTACGCCTTGGACCATACCGGTAGGTGCATGCCTGACCGTCCCCAGGAAGCTTATCTGAACATTCTCTGCCTTACAGACTGTCGATTATTATTCCTAACACCTCGCATTGGTCGACATTCGCTGGAAGATGTTCTGGCAAAATTGGGTCCCCAACCCAAGCGGAAGGGATCATCGACGGCACTGGAGGAGATCGTCATTCTGCGGGGAGAATACCAGAACTTTGGAACGTACAACGACCTTATCCAGCGCGGCCTACCTCTCACTACGAACGCATTGTTGGATCGACAGGCCGAGTTGAGCCCCGACGACGTCTGTAACCTGCAGTTCACCAGTGGTTCAACAGGAAATCCTAAGGCCGCCATGTTGACGCATCAGTATGCCAGCCCCCAATATAGAATGACCCTCATATACAGACTACGCGGTCTGGTAATTTTCAAAACACTAACCTGCTACACCTCTGCAGCAACCTGGTCAACAATTCGCGATTCATTGGTGACCGGATGAGCCTTACGTCTTTCGATATCCTGTGTTGCCCTCCGCCATTGTTCCATTGTTTCGGGCTGGTGTTGGGCATGTTAGCTGTCGTTACTCATGGGTCGAAGATCGTCTTCCCCGGCGAAACCTTCGATCCCAAAGCCGTTCTCCACGCGATCTCCGATGAGAAATGCACAGCTCTCCACGGCGTGCCGACCATGTTCGAGGCGATCCTCAGTCTCCCAAAACCTCCGAACTTCGATACCCGTAACCTTCGCACGGGGATCATCGCCGGCGCACCGGTCCCTCGCCCATTGATGAAGCGACTCTTTGAAGAACTGAATATGACCCAATATACTAGCAGCTATGGTGTGTTGTCATGTTTCTCAAGTCACCTGAATGACTTAACTAATCATGAACATTCCTACGAATAGGTCTCACCGAAGCGTCGCCAACATGCTTCAACGCAGTTATCACCGACAGTATCGAAACCCGACTCCGGACCGTGGGCAAGGTCATGCCCCACGCGCGGGCCAAAATTATCGACGCACAAGGCAACATCGTTCCAGTAGGCGAGCGCGGAGAGCTCTGTATTGCAGGCTACCAATTGACGAAAGGATACTGGAACAATCCGGAAAAGACGGCCGAGACACTCACGACCGACGAGGCGGGTACCACGTGGCTCAAGACCGGCGACGAGGCTCTATTCGATCCACAAGGCCGTTGCACCATCACCGGGCGATTCAAGGACATAATCATACGTGGTAAGTTGGCCAAGCGGTCAGAGTTTTCCCGTTGTTTTTTTGCAGAACACCTCCACGATACATGCGGACGCTGGCTTGGAACCATACGGACTGACACCGTAACCGTCGTTACCACAGGTGGAGAAAACATCTACCCGTTGGAGATTGAAGAGCGGCTGGCCGCGCATCCAGCCATCGAAGTGGCCTCCGTGATCGGCATTCCTGACCAGAAATACGGCGAAGTTGTTGGAGCGTTTATCGCCGTGGCGCCGAGCCACGAGGGCAAGCGGCCGTCCGTCGAGGAATTGCGGACCTGGACACGCGAGACGCTGGGTCGTCACAAGGCGCCGCAGCATGTGTTCATCTTCGGTGAGGAAGGCGTGGATAGCACGGTCCCAGTGACGGGGAGCGGGAAGGTTCGGAAGGTGGATTTGCGCAAGATTGCTGCGCAGGTGCTTGAGCGGCGTGTCAACGCAAGTGTCGACGCAAGCTGAAAAGTCAAAGCCTGCGGATCATTTTTGGGCTTGCGCACGTCGAATCCCATATAGAGGAGCTGTATATACCTAGATCAATACCCTTTGTTTGCGACTGTTTGATTTCTCTTAGATTTGGCCGCACACACGCACGAATACGAACGTTTCTTGATTCCTACAATCTACACCTGATTTTTTTATCAAATTCAAGACAGTTTTCATGCGTCAAAATCCTGCCATCGATATCGATTTCATTTATTTTCCAACTACAGAGTCCAGCTATGAAAGCACACCAATGGCCATGGCACACCACTCTATGCTCCTACCTTCCTTCCACCCACAAGGCGCACCCTCATGCCTCAGAGCCCAGAGAAAAAAATTGCTTGGCTGATGACGACTATCAATCAGATTAGATAATCATCTTATCAGATGGATTGCTCTGATTGCACGGTTGCAACGGCAGGATTCGACGATCTCCACCACCAGCCAAGACTCCCCTGACGATAATTGCGGGCCTTCGCCAACCCGTCAAGAAAACAACCCGTGTGAAGAAAGAACCGGAAGACCCAAGGGACGAGCGATGAGAAAAAAGAGAAAAGTCACGAAAATGCAGCCCATCCTCCGGTTTCGGCACACTCATACCTCGACACTAAAGCTATGGGTCCCCCTTGGCTCTTTTCAACTTTTGGTGCCTTACATATACATACGCATACGTACTACTGGATACAGTACATGGTTACGTCCGACAGTTCGAGACTTTTGGACTTTTGCGAACTTTGAACTTTCAGCTCGCTCCGGGAGAGCCAAAATCAGATAAGTCGAGCCGAGCTTTGGCCGTACACTAAATGCTTACTCGTGGACTCTTGGCTCTTGAGCCTTCAGATTGAGATTCCCCTTCCCGAGGCCCGGGGCCTTTTTTTCTTCTGTTTTTTTTTTGGTCTTCTTCTTGGTTGGCCGTGCGGCATGCGCAGTGCCCAATCAACCTACCCGGTCTCTACGGTGTACCTACCCCCTCTTTCTTAGCGCGAGGGAACGACTCCGTTGAGGAGATGGGGTGAAGCGCAACGATAAACCAGACGGGCAGACCGGATGCAGAGCCCCGCTTTTCATAAATTTGCACATTGGAGACGCAATTGCACTCGGGTGCATTCGGTGCTTTCTCACTCAATAATGAGCGCAACAGAAAGCAAGAGAAAAACGGAGAAACCAAATAAAATTTTATCTCGCTAACACTAATCGCAAAGAAAAATAGGGGGAATATTATCGACATAGAAACCCAATCCCAAACAGGAAAGTCTTTTACATACAGCCCCACCCGACAATCCGACCGAGAGAAAGGCAGACAGACAGATAGAGGGGGCATCGGGGTATCTACAACTTCAACGCACGGAACGGATCGCGCTCGAGCTGATCAGACCCATTGAACCGGAACGGCGAAATATGGAAAAATTTCTCGCGACGGCACTTTACCAGCGCGGATCGCTTATGAGGGAGGTCGACGATCTTGTGGAGGTTGAAGCCCGTCGCGTGGTCATAGGCGAGGGGCGTGAGGTTGGTAAATTTGGGCTCTCCGACGATGTACTTGGTGCGAGGATCGTCGAGGAACATATAGTGCATGAGACTGCACCACCACGCCATTACCCGGTGTTGGCCACGGAAGCGGGTGTCTCCGACGAGCGAATGGCGACCACGGTCCCAGTCGTCGGCGTCATAGTGTGCGCCGAGGTGGTCCTCCTAAGGGAAACGAGCGGAGTTAGTCCGGTGCTAAGGGGGTAGGAAGATGGGCCAAAAGAGAGAGAGGGGAAAGGGAAAAAAGCAAAGGCTGGACGACGGAAAACATGGCCGGACAGGAATTGCGCGCTGGCTTGCTTACCTTGGCCCAGTAAATCTCATGGTAGGAGAAGAAGGTGTCGTTGAATTTGGCGAGCACGGTGATCTGGTGCGGGTCCTCGTGGATTTTGCGCAGATATTCACGATGCTGTTCCAGAGTGCCGGTCTCATTCCACCCCTGCGCGACCCGAGGATCGTTCTGCCATTTGTTGAATAGCTTGAGGTGCTCGTCGTTGGTATAATCCAGAGCCCAGATGGAGAAATACTCGTCGAGGTGGGGGATGTAACGGCTGTAAATCCTCGATCCCGGGGTGGGCTTGGCCGGTCGAACCGGGTGAATGGCGTGCACGCGCACGTCAGGGAACTTGGTGGTCAGGGTATGCTGGACAGGATGCAATGGATACGCAGTCAGAGGACGGCGCAGCGAGCGATAAATGTCACTATCTGCCACCCACACCGGCCGAGGCCCAAAGGGAGATCCCGCTCCTTGCCAGAAGGTGCTGCGATACACGACCAATTGACTCGAGAGGTCTGGGGAGTGAGGCGTCGGTTGGCCTGGAGGTGCCGACGGACTAGGATGCTCAATGGCAAGACCGACAGCCTGCAATTCTCGTGCAAGAAGATCTTTGCCTTCGCCTGCCAACACCACCCGGAAGATCTCGAAGTCGGACTGCAACGTCAGGAGCGCATAGATGATGTTCCAGATCTGTCCAACCGTCGGAGCATATTGTCCATCCCATGTCCAATGTGTGACGGGGCTTCTCTGTGCTCGCGCCCATGCGGAGTTGTTGCTCTCGGGCGGCGTGTTGGTCGCATCCGGGCGACTGAGGTCGGTGAATTTGAGGGAGTCATGGTGCAGGGGCTCGGGGGGAGGCGTGCCCTCGTCCGATCGAGGGGACCGGCGAAGCTGGAACTGTCGAACTCCATGCTGAACCGCAATGACCTGAAGGTCATAGGTGGTCTTGTATGGTTCGGGCAATCGAATCCAAGGTAGCTTGGTCTCAAAAGGGAACGCCATATTATGGAAAGGAAGAACGGTGTGCAGACAAAAATGGTACTGTGGATATGGAAAGGAGGGAGTGAAAGTGAAATGCTGCAGCCTCAGAAAAGATAACTTATTTCAATCCTTCATTCCATTCCTCGCAATGCAGGGGACCTCATAATGGACCCCATGGTCGCAGTCCAAGACCCTTGCAAACTCCATCTTAGTCCAACTACATCATTGGCAACCGTCAATTCTAGGCAGTGTTCGGGAGCCACAAGCAAGTCCTGTTAGCCAACCTCGGCTTCGTTATGGAGAAGACAAGCTGGAGCATGATAACATTTCCGAGACTCGATCCTTAGCCCAAGGTCCAGCGTGGTGGAGTTGCGACGGCTCGATTCGTGCGGGTTACCCATCTGTGTAATTCTCAACTCTCGATTGCAAAGATGTCCGTATTGTTTGTATGATGTGTAAGAAAAATCAGATACATACGATACATCTGGAAACTTATCGAGTGTAATTCGTTAACAATACCATTGTGTCAGGCTAGCCGAGTCATCGAGTTCTTCCCACAATGGGAATGATTTTCTTCAGCAGTTCATTTTTTCTCCGACCAGATTTAACATTCTCCCACAGTCTACGGCCTACATCCGGTGACTGACTAAATTAAATAGCGCATCGCTGTCCGAATTTGCTCCGTCGCTAGGAGGTTTTTCGTGATGTCTCAGAGTTAATTTGACCCTGATGATCAATTCATACGAAGGAAATGCAGGGTTACATTGCATTGCACACACGGCACTTTTGTTGAGAATGTCACAAGTCATGACTCTGAGGTGCATGTGGACTGGACGAGATCATTCACTCATAGACCCTGTCGCTAGGGCTTTGAAGGTGCTGTAGACAGTTCTTAGGCAAGGGCAACCACTTAGACATATGACCTACTCCCAGTACGGTGAACACTGTATGTTATACCGAGATCTCCTGCATGCGTCCAGCCGCGCTTCTAGATCTGGCATGTACGAAGCGACGACGGTAAAGGGACAGCTCGTCGAATGATCATTAAACTTTCTCTGACTCTTGCTTCACAATCCTTCTGGTTGCCTATGCATCGCTTATTAGCCTCATTCCACTTTTCACTTACTTTGGGGGGTTCGTCCTGGGTAGACTCGCAATATATATTTAGAGGCTGGTAGCCCGAATTCAACGAGCTGTTTCATAAAACCAAGGAGGGATGGTTACAAAATCTTTCTTTTCTACGGTAGTGAAACTGCTACACTGGGTTGCTCGAAGAAGAAACAACAGATAACAGAAATTTATAAAGGATCTAAATCCAGACTCTGAGGATGGCGACATCCCGACATCAGATAACTTTATTACGTTGACAACAGAACGTTGGCCTCTTAATTTCGGATCAGATAAAAAGTAACCTTGGACACGGGCGCAAAAATTGTCGATCGGTCGAACTTGGATTCCTGCCAAGATGGCCCTCGTATTCACCTTTTCGGTTCTCTTTTCTCAAGTTCCTAAAATCTAAACCCACCAGGAAAATTTTTTCTTCAGCATTCTTGAACTCAACCCCACCCTTTCACCATCGGGGTTTCTATTATGCAATCGACCGTGGGTTGTTTGTGTAGCCGACCACATCCGAACTCGCCTCGCCATCTGATAAGATGGGGTTCCGAGTGGGGCTGGTCATTTCCCAGGGTGACATCGGCTTCTGCCACCTTCCGGACTCGCACCATGTCCTGGCGACGATAATTCTCCTAATAATTCAAAATAATAATATGAAACCAGCAATCTGCTCCATGCGGACCCAAACATTCGAACCACGCCTGTGGAACATGCCTCTTCCAGCAGTGGTCCCAGCACTCGGATTGTTTGGAATCAATACTGTCTCCTAGCATATCAGCAGGCTTCCTCATTATCCGGCGCCAAAATGAGGGTATTCGCACCTGTTCAGAGTAAAAACATCCGTCGGCTCCACTCTTGATAAATCTTGATCCCTTGGCCTCGGGTCCTGCGCTTCCATTACGCCCGGAATGCTCGTTTGGCCCTTCGCCTTTAAGAACAACGCCCATTCTCGATCCCTCTGCTTTTTCTTCTCCATAGAATCCAATCTCCTCTCATCTTTCGCCTCCTGTTCTTGTTTTTCTACCCCCCTTTAGACTGTACATCTTTCTTTATCTAATATGATTTGTAAATCGCCCCTCATGCCCTCTAACGAAGCCTTCACCGCCATCCCCCGCACCGTCCGCGTTCTTATCGTCGGCGGATCGTATGGGGGATTGAGTTCAGCCCTTGCTCTTCTCGACCTTTGCGGTGGCCGTCTGGCTCGTTTCAACTTTAATGCCGACTCTCAGCCCCCTGAGAGCCAGATTCCTGTCGAAATCACTGTGGTGGACGAAAGGGATGGCTTCTGTGAGCACCCCACCTGCCCTGCCTCTGGATTTCCAGCCACCTGATGGTTCGCAAAACACTAACAAATATTCTACTGTGTCTTCCAGATCACCTGATTGGATCTCCTAAAGCCCTGGCTTGTGATCAATTTGCCTCGAAGACCTGGATCCGATTCCAAGATATTCCCGCGCTGCAGTCGCCAAACGTTCGCTTCCTCAGAGGTACCGTTAACGCGGTTAACTGTGAGGAGAAGTCGGCGCAAATTCTTGACCTCGACACGAAGGAACCTCGCGAGGAGCGCTATGACTTCTTGATTGCTAGCTCTGGTCTTCGTCGCGTGTTTCCTACGGTCCCTCAATCGTTGCTCAGACATCAGTTCCTTGAGGAGGCGAAGCGCCACAAGGAGGATATCCAGAAGGCGCATGATGGTGTGACGATTATTGGAGGAGGTAAGTCAACTTCACGTACAACGGTCTCAATTGCAACTAATATTTTAATAGGCGCTGTTGGTGTTGAGATGGCTGCAGAGCTCAAGGTCCTGGACCCCAAGCAGAAAGTGACTCTGATTCATTCGCGGGAGCGCTTGCTCTCTGCGGAGCCTCTGCCCGACGACTTCAAGGAGCGTGTGGCTTCCGTCCTCCGCGAAACCGGTGTTGAAGTCGTCTTGGGCCGCCGAGTGATTGAAACCACTGCCGTCGAGACGGAGGGAGAGAAGCGGACATGGCAACTCACGTTGTCGAACGGCATGCAGCTCAAGACCGGCCATGTCATGAACGCTGTTTCGAAATGCATCCCTACCTCGTCCTATCTGCCGAAGGAGACCCTGACGCAGGATGGTTACGTGGATATCCAGCCAACGTACGTTATTCTATTGTCACTGTATTTGCGCACGCTCTAACTATTGAAATAGCCTGCAATTCCCGGAACGCGCTCCCAACTCCGAAAGCCACTTTGCCATCGGTGATATCGCTTTGTGGGCCGGTATCAAGCGCTGTGGCGGTGCCATGCACATGGGTCACTATGCGGCCACCAACATCCACCAGATCATGCTGTCCCAGCGTACGGGTGTCAAGCCTGAATTCATGACCCTGCAGCAGACGCCGCCCGTGATTGGACTTGCTCTTGGCCACACGGCCGTCACCTACACCCCTGCTGAGGGGACTCGACACGGCGAGGAATTGATGGCCTCTATGTTTGGTGAGGATATGGGTCATACTAGTAAGTTGACCTTGGTGATAGCCCCTTAAAAAGCTATACTAACAGTCCTCAGTTTGCTGGAACTACATGAAGCTGTCGGAGCCGTGCCAATGTTAAACAACATCAGCGTCGACTAATCGAGAGGGCATTGCTGCTATCTGAAATCGAGGAAGCAGGTGCCGACCGCGAGACGCGATCTGATTTTATAATTCTCTTTCTTGTGTCCTTGTTGAGGATATCATTGTGTTTTGGAAATTGATGCTTCAGGAAAAGCATCCATTTGAAGCAGGTCTTGCATACAAGCATATTTTGTTATTTGTTGGGTCATTCTTGGGTTACTGGAGTTATGTGGTCATTTGAGCTTGGGTGGTAGTGTCTTATATTAGCACAATTATTTCAATACAAAGCATTTGGAACGACTTAAATATTCGGTTACAACGTGAATTCATACACCCAATTTATGATTATGATTAATACGCCAATGGTAAGCACAAAGCAAACTCAAATTAGAATGTCCTGCTAAGATTATAGGAGAACATGTCTGTCCACTTCAAGATATGATTTGTTTTCACGATGTATCAATCATAATTATCTATGCTTCCCCAAGCGCCTGCTTCCTGGATTTCGACTGCAGGTCTAAGTATGGCGCCTCACCCAGACTACAAACCCGATCTCCAGCCCGAGCTTCGGCATAGTCATAAGTCGCACAATGCCAGGTGGATCGGTTATCCCAGATAGCCATATCGTTCTTGTTCCACCTGAAGCGAACTTGGGCGTCGTGGTTTTGAGTCACAAGCTGTTGAAGTTAGGGCCATGTTTGCAGAGAATGAAACAGAATTCGACTTACGTTGAACAAGTAATGCAGCAACATATCTGACTCATCCTTAGTTACGCCGTTAATTCGCTTCGTGAAGCCCTTATTCACATAGACTGATTTCCATCCGGAGACCGCTATTCGACACTGTCAGTGAATCCCCAAGATAAGAAGGGGGCATCTATCTGAACATACGGTTAGTCCTGATCACGGGATGCACAGCCGTCAACTCCTCGCCCGAATTGAGCGGCGACCCTCGAATTCCCTTCCGCAGCGGATTCCCCAACCGCCTCGCCTCGTCATGAAAGAAGGTCGCGTCATGCGTCGCGGTCAACGTTTCTAGAAACGCTGCCATGTCCGGTGAAAGACGATCATAGACCTCGTACCCTGATGCCCAGAGCGTGTCTCCGCCTGTTACAGGCAAGGTGTGAATCTTCAGCATCGCGTAGTCCGACGGGACGCGTTCGAAACTGATGTCTGTGTGCCATCCGACGGAGGCGAATCGGCTGGTGTCGCTAAGTTGATGTGTGAGACCGCCTCCCTTCTTTTGTTTCTCGCTGCTAATCACGCTGATTTGGTCGCCTAGTTCGCTTCCTTCTTCCGTGAGAGGGTGGACATGCAGTCCTGATGATTCTGGCTGTTGGAGACTATGAGCTGGGATTATTTCTCGAGTATACGGTCGAGTGGTAGGCATGGCGAACTTACACATCCTGCCAGAACGGTCAATCTTTCTCCGAACTCCTTCATTTGTTGAGGCGTTACATCTTGGTTTCTCAGGAACAGAACACCTCGCTTGGAGACTGGATATAGTCAGCCCGATACAGTTCGCTTTCTTTGAAGAAGGCCCGGAAAGAGAGATCTCGGCGTACTTGTTACAGCAAGGTCGGTGATTATCTGGTCGCGTTGTTCCGATTTGAGGATTTCGGCGACTTGAAGTCCACTGTATTCGGTGCCAATGACAGGTGTCAAGTCGCTGTGAGGATACGAATCTAAGCTGCCGGAATATTCTAGAGGCTGGGAAATGCGAGGACGGGATTGTTCGTTGCCTCCCCGAATCGTCGAAGGAGTAGCATTCTCAACGGGAGCTGGCATGATGGAGCTTAATTTGGTGAGTTAACTTCGATTTGATTATGAGAATCAAGTTGGCAGCATTTACCAGAAGGATGGATGGGAATTAAATATATACCCGACGATGGATTTATTCGGTGGGGATCGAAGTTGCTATATATCTCCACGATGTTTTCTAGAAACGACTTCCACGACGTCGCTGCTTTGGAAACAAAGAGGTATTTTCCCCACTGCGATGCTATGCTATGATTGATTGACAAAATCCAAATTCAAGGTCGCAGTGTCTTATGATCGCTATCTGTTCACCTATCGCATGGCAGTCTCGTCTACAGTCGTCGGCAAAACGCAACGGGCACGAAGACACGAATCGGGTTGCCATTGTCTGATGAACATTCACCCCGCATTACCAATTCCTAAGGGGTGGCTTGCATCATCCATTATTAGCTGGCATAAGCCGGTGCTATCGTCGGCGGGGCGTCGGCGAAATTCTCGGAGGGCATTTGGGCCTGTGCCTGCCTGGACGATGAGGTGCTAACGCTGTTCTCCCCGACCCGCCGACGAATGAACGGTGTCCACCATCCTAGCCCATCCATTAAACTCGGTGCACCTGTTCAGTCCCTCCCGTCTATGTGTACAAATGGGTACTAACCTAAACCCTGGAGAACCTGGGGAAAGTGCATTAGCTGATTTCAGTCTCGCTGCATTGGCAGAACAGGAAAATGGAGTCGAAAGGGTATGCGTGGTTGAAGCGCCGAGGAATGCATCGCTACAAACCCTGTCAACCCACGATAATTTCTGGAAAAAGCCCCGATAGTTCAAAACGAAGACGCTAAGACGCCTTTTGGACCGCAGAAATTCCATTGGCTTGACAGTGTCTGATTCCTGTTTATTTCCGGCTAGGTCGCGCATCAAGTGCCATCTAGGCGATGATGTGCTCGTAGCGCGGCCTTGTGCAATCCCCTTAGCGTCGTTCAGCATTTAAGGTCTTACCTGACTATGATGGCTGCCAAAACACCGAATTTAATTGGCTAAGCATGTCAGTCACTTATTCAAAATGTTTACAACTCCGAAGTACAACGGACAACAAATTTCCTGTCGCCATCGCTCTAGGTATATATAAGTCGTGCAGCATGGCGATCGCTTCCTCCCTCAATCTGTTCGACTCTCGTGGTCTGAAATATCTTCAACTTGTGCCCAACTTTGATTCTTCCTGAACAGTTCAAGCTGCGCGGAAGAACCATGGCCGACATTGAACGGGGCTACAAAGGCCCAGAGGCATCGACTGGCGATGAAGATACCCAGTCCTCAAAGGGATCAGCAAACGTCGGGCAGGAACACCTTGCTGGTGTGACTCCTCCTCATGAGTCGTACGAGGGATACCATAGATTTGACCCGACAGCATCTTGGTCAGTCAAAGAGGAGCGCAAGGTGATATTCAAAACAGACATGTTCCTGCTGACCTGCTTGTGTCTCATGGTAAATCACGAAGCCCCCACCCACGATCTGGTCCGATGGCGAAATCAGAACTGACGTTTTGATAGTTCTTCGGGTTGCAACTGGATCGCGGAAATTTGTCCAATGCGCTGACAGACAATCTTCTCGATGATTTGAATCTAACAAGTAATGACTACAACAATGTGCGTTCAGTCCCGAAAAGGCGATTATCCTGTTACTGACGAAGGAATTGCTAGGGAACAACCATACAGCTTCTCTGCTTCTTAGCAGCGGAATTCCCTGTCCAGCTGTTGATCAAACGTTACGGCTTCAAGCGCGTCTTGCCGCTTATGATGCTTGGATGGAGTCTGGTATCGTGGACCCAGGCCTGGATGACAAGCAGATCCTCGTTCTACGTCACGCGAGCACTGATCGGAGCGTTCGAGGGAGGATTTATTCCCGGAACAATCTTATTTGCGACATATTTTTACAAGACGCGGGAGCTATCCGTCCGTTTGGCCTTCTTCTGGTCAACCCTAAATGTGCGGCTTTCTCAATCCCTTCGATTGTCCAAAGATCCGAAGACTAATTGCTTATCACGATATAGGTTGCACGCATCATTTCTTCTCTCCTCGCAGCAGGCATCCTCGAAATGCGAGATGTCAAGGGAAAACCAGGTTGGTTCTGGCTTTTCCTCATTGATGGTCTCATCACCTTCGTGATTGGTCTTGTCGTATGTACACAACCACCGCAATATCTGCATCTCCCCTGTCATACTCACCCTCTCGCAGAGCTATTTCTACCTTCCCAGCTCCCCAACCAACACCAAGAGCGTGCTCTGCCCTAAAGCATGGTACACCGAGCGCGAGGAAACCATCATGATTAACGTAAGAGCCACCTCCCTCCCTTCTTATAAACCACACCCCTAAACTAACCACTTCCAAAACGCAACAGCGCCTCCTCCGCGACGACCCCTCTAAAGGCCTCACGCACATCAACGAAGGCGCCACCCTCAAAGACGTTCTCAACGCCTGGAGCGACAAATCCATGTGGGGTCTCTATCTAATCGGCCTCGTCGCCTACATCCCCCAAGGCCCGGTCCAGGCCTACCTCTCCCTCACGCTCAAACGCCTCGGCTTCTCGACCTTCGACTCAAACATGCTCTCGATCCCGTCCGCCGTGCTACAGATTATCCTCATGCTCATCCTTTCCAAGAGCAGCGAGTTCTTCGGCGAGCGTACCTTCCACTGCTTCGTGGGTGAATTGTGGAGTTTGCCTCTCCTGGCCGCGCTGTTGGGTCTTCCGGCCCACGGGTACAATTGGCCTCGGTTTGCGATTACCACGCTCATCTCGGGATATCCGTATTTCCATCCGATTGTCTCGGCGTGGATCTCGGAGAATACGTTCGATGTTAAGAAGAGGGCGATTACTGCGGCGACGTATAATGTCATCGTGCAGGTTGGGTCGGTGATTTCGTCTCGTGAGTTGTTCCCTCCCTTCCTCCCCAGTGTGTTAGATATACGGAAATGATAAATTGGGGTGCTAACCAAATATCCCACTCGCAGAGATATACAGAGACTACGACAAACCGTATTACTACACCGGCAATAAGGTGCTTATCTCGATCTGCTGTCTCTCGCTGGCTGTGTTCGTCACTCAGCGCGAGTTTCTGCGGTATCTGAACAGACAGAAAGACAAGAAATGGAAAGCCATGTCTTCTGAGGAAAAGATCATTTATCAAGCTGATCAGACGGAGCGAGAGAAAGACGGGAACAAGAGATTGGATTTCCGTTTCAAGTATTGATTCGACGCGCTGTGTCAGAGTCGAGGAATTTCTAGCTTTCGTGTTTTGTACTATTTGGTTATGAAATGGTTATATATACTAATAATGGTATTTGTTGAATGGGAGACAATGGGTATTTACATGGGTATATCAGTTATGACATCGTTTAAGAAAGCATTCTTGACTCCATTCATCATATCGTAAGCGAGTTTGAAGCAGCCAGGGAGGCTCATATGAGAAAGCCCGGGCTCGCTATATTCTGGTCAACCACATCGTCACTGGTGGGCATGAAACTTTCGAATTGATACTGGTCTGGAATTTGCGATATGAAATCGCCAATCAGCATCTCCATTGGCCCAGAAGTTAGTGGGGGTGATAGTGAAGAGATCCCGGAGAAGATGTTCCAGGCATCATCCGAGACCGGTGGAGCTTGCGTCGTAGATAGAACGGCGTAGCCTGGGTCGTAAGAATATGCAGGGAAGAAAGAAGGTGGAGTGAGGCCTGTTCCGGTAAAGCTCGAGGAGATCATGTCCTTGTTCGATGCTGAGAATGGATGACTGCTGTATCCGTCTGCTTGTGCATTCTCCGCTATATTAGCGCTGTTTTGAAACTGGTCTGTATAGCCAATAGTCGGCAGGTCGTTGCCCCAGTTGGTCAAGGAGACGCTGTTGCTATGGCGCTCCGGAGCAGTGGAGAGTGGCCCAGAAGCTTCTTTATCTGCTGGCCCCTCTTCCGTGGAACCATTTTTATTAGGCCCGCTTGGGGGTCTACCTAGGGCTGGGGTATGTGGTGCTTTAATTGACTGCGATAAAGTAGGCCCGCTTCTAATTTGTGCTTCGGCCATTTTCTTGTACAGTATTTCAGCTAGTTCTTTATTTCCACCCCCTCGGAAGGTGGACAAGATGGAGTGCAATCGAGCTAGGATGCTGCTTGGGCGGCTTTCGCCGTCCCAGCTAGGCGCCTTTGGGAGCATTGCCATATTCATTACGGCGTCTGCAAGAGAGTTTGCGATCTCGTAAAGTTTCAACTCCTGGGAGGAATTTGTCAGGGCATGTTTGTGGACAGGTCATTCAGGACACTCACCATGCCAAGACCGTGGGCTTCTATCGCTGTTCTGGGTAGTTGAGAGACGATGTTCAAGAGCTCTTTGGCCACCATTACTGGAAAGGATGAACTTGAAGATGCGTTGGAGGATGGCGAAATAGGAGACTTCTTTGAAGATACCTTCCACAAAATCATTCTCATCCAGTGTCTGGTGACGCATAGGTCGGCTTTCTGTACATCCGAGATCTGGTCTAAAAGAACAGACCCATCTTGCAATTTGCCCTCGAGGAACTCGAAAAATCTTGTATCCAAGCTTTTGTCACCCTCAGCAATGGATTGCAGATCGGGACTCTCATCCTCGATGATGTCAAACATCTTCGACTGTTCGAAAAGCCGAAATAGATTGAGGAGCTTCAAAAATGCGGGCAAGACCTGGGGTTCGTCGTTGGAATCTAATTCGGGCGTCGAGATATTGGTTTTAAGCACTACAGGAAGCTTGTGCAGGATACAGACGCCTCTGAGGAGGAAAATAAAGTTAGAATCAAAGCCAGACGTATTGATTTAGGTTGAGTTCTTACCTCTCAGTCACGAAAAGTAACCACAACACACGTCGCCGAATCTGCTGCTCCTCAGGAGATAATCCTGAATAGGAGGCTTCGCGATGGAGGGACATCATCTGAGCAAGCGAGATAGCCTCCCTCAAGTAGAGTAAAGATTCACTGCCACCCGGATGTTGGTTCTCGTAGTAGACATGGAGAAAGAACGCAGTCCGCACATTATCAAGGCTCGCTTTGGACCGATAGTTGCTTGAATCTCGAACTTTCAGACACTCCAACACAAAAGTATCGGCGGTAACTGATTGATTGGTCTGGGGACTTTGTTCGAGTCTTAGCTGGGCAATTGTCGCAGCCGCGACCGATGTAGCTAAAGCATAGGCGTCTGAAGATGGGTCTTGGGGGTTTTGTAGAGTGGATATCACATCTTCGACATCGACAACCGGCCAAACGGGGTACATGCGAACGTGGTAAATGTAAAGCGGCGAGGCAATGATATTCGTCGGGATCCGCGACCTGCTTTTGCCCTTGGTTAATAACAGAGCACAGTGTCGCAAGATACTAATTCTGTAGGAACAAACAAATTAAGAATGAGCGAGAATTGGACGTACCTTGGTGCGCTCATGACATGAGTCTGTTCCAGATCTGGATGTGTGTCATCTGCATCAACCGCCTCCTCACTGAATGGCTCTGTGGATTGCGCCTCGATTCCGCGCTGTGTCTGTTCAATCAAATATTTCGTAGTCGAACGCAGTCGCTGCGGCCCCCGAGGGTGTTGGATCCGAAGGTAAGTGCATTTGATGCGCGCATTGTTACAAGCCCGGCATGGATTGCCACCACCACATTTGATCTTGCGGATCTTGCATCCGTCACAGGCCCGTTTCGTTATAGTTGTTCGACTGGAAGACATGATTGTGATTGCGGTTGTGTTTAGATCTCAGGTGCATTCTGGGTGTTTTCCGCTGGGCGCATGATTCCAAGACTTCACTTTTGGCGAATGATCCGGTGTGTACCGTGCGAGAAATCTGGGGTCGCGATAGTACTTGGGATAATTCGAGCGATCATTCCATTCTGTGCGGGGCAATGCTCGAAGCGCTTGGCTAAGAGGACTCGGCACGAGGGGTCGTCACGAAGCGATCAAACAAAACAAAAAGGGAAATATGTCTGTTTCTTCAAAACCGTTTGGATTTCCGTCAACCATGCAGCGAGAAAATTTGACCAGGAATTCCATTGAACTTCAGGCTAGTTCTGCGGTTCTCCATCAAGTGGATGATTGCGCTACTATCTCCACGGGGCACGCCATCGTCCGGACCCACAATGTACCTGGAAGACGATAAGCCCATCTTCATGAGTCAAAAGTACAAGTCAAAACATATGATGATTAATTCTGGACAAGGCGACAGATAATGGTTTGGAACCCAATGCATCTCAGGTTGTAGGTTCGACGAAGAGTGCAATGAGTGCTTGATGATTGATGGCAGAGAATGGGGTGAAATTTTGAAGATGGAGAGTCAGAGATCGCGATAGACCGCGGATTTGCACGTAGACCCTGCCTGATACTCAAGGCGTACAAGATGCGTCACCTGACAGGCTGGATGATTCTTCAGAGCTCCCAAGTTCCTTCTGCTTCCTATCCAGGTTCATATACCACAAGGCGATAACATCCTGTACTCAACGCAACAATCACGCTTTTCAACCCGCTATCACCCATTGGGTAAGCGTGCTTCAATCCTGGCAGGACTAGAACAGTTCGAGACTAAAGAGCAGACCCTCCGAGTATTCCTCCGAGGCCCAAACCCGCCGAAGCCCCGCGTTTACACGTTCAGGCAAATGTGCCATAATGATTGGTGCTGGTGGAAAGAGCGGACCCAAGCACCTTGTGAGCCTGCATTCATTCGCCAGTCTGCTTGGGCCAGTTTCTAGTCGACCAATGGTGTTTGATGCGGGATTGAGCTGCAAAAGCGAAGCGTAAAAGCTGTCGCGGGCAGAGGTTTAAAATGAGGCGTGACCCCTCACTGTCCTTCAAAAGCATCGACTTCATCCTACGCAGCTGGACCATCTTGCAATCAATCGGACTAGCTCGTTGAACTGCTGCACGAACAACAATGGCGTGGCCTAACAAGAACAGAGATATGCTTTACCGACGGGTCGGCAACTCCGGCTTGCATGTCTCCGCGATAGGTCTAGGAGGGTGGTTGACGTGAGTGTCCTGCTACCTGCGTCGCACGACAAGAAGAGCAACCAAATACTGACATCCTGCTTCTACCGAAAGGTTTGGTGGTCATGTCGAGAACGGTACAGGTCACACTCCAAATGGCAGATGTCGGTCATACTAACCCGACAATCTGCTGCAGAGACGACTTTCAATTGCATGAAACAAGCCTATGACTGCGGAGTCAACTTCTTCGACACAGCCGAAAGGTATACGCGATCAGCCATCTCGCAAGTATTTGGGCTAACGGTTTAGCTATGCTGGTGGTCAATCTGAAATCATCATGGGGCAAGCTATAAAGAAATTTGGCTGGAAGAGAAGCGACCTCGTTATTAGCACCAAGGTTAGTTCGCCGTCTTTACATGTCAATGGTCAACGAACATTAATTCGGACGATCTTGTTAGCTGAACTGGGGCCTTGCGAACGGTGAAATCCTGATCAATAACCACGGCCTTTCGAGGAAACACATCATCGAAGGAACAAGGGCGTCTCTTGGTCGCCTCCAGCTCGAATATGTTGATATCATCTATGCTCATCGTCCGGACCGGCTCACACCTATGGAAGAAACCGTGCGCGCCTTCAACTATGTGATTGAAAAAGGCTGGGCCTTCTACTGGGGAACATCCGAATGGTCGGCGGATGAGATCGCCGAAGCCTGTGGAATCGCGAAGTCGCTGGGGCTGATTGCACCCATTGTCGAACAACCTCTGTATAACATGCTGGATCGCGGAAGGGTCGAGGGACAGTTCCAGCGATTGTACTCCCGTTACGGAATCGGGCTGACCACTTTCTCGCCGCTGAAGATGGGACTTCTGAGCGGCAAATACAATGATGCGACAGCCGAGCCTCCGGCAGGCTCGAGGTTTGCTGAAAGTAACGACAAGTTCGCAAGCTCTGTTCGAAAGGATTGGGAAAATGAGCAATGGGCAGGTACCATTAAGAAGATCGTGGGCTTGAAGGTATGTGAAAGACCCAACCATCCGACGGATGGAATTCAGGGTATTTACTGGAATGTACAGGAACTGGCGGACAAATTTGGTGTCAAGTTGTCTCAACTAGCACTTGCATGGTGCTTGAAGAACGAAAACGTTTCATCTGTCATCACGGGTGCCTCGCGACCGGAACAAGTCGTTGACAACGTTGAAAGTCTGAAGCTATTGCCCAAGCTAACGCCGGAGATCATGGCAGAGATCGACACGTTCCTGCAAAATAAGCCAGCTGGGGATCCTGCTCGCCAAGATTAGTTTATGTTGGCTGGATAATTGTCCAGAAAGATGACCGAGAATACCGTAGACGAGCTCCAATGATGCAATCATCCTCATCCATTCAAATCTCCTTTTCATCCAATCGAACATAATATGATGTCAAAGGATAACTCATGCCGAATATCTGTGAACCGTCAGCATAAGGTAGACCCTTTCCCCGCGCACCAATACAGCCATACCAGGCAGGAGGCAAGAACGTAGCACAAACCAAACGCGCCTCGATCCCACCTCACCACCGCACCTTCCTCCTATGTATATCCATCAATGCACGCTTCGCCTCTCTCTCCTCCGTCTCCATCATCTCTCTTCTCGCTTTCTCCCTCATTTCTTCCTTTTGAAGGCAATCCCTACACTCCCCCATCACCGACCTCCCCACCACATCTCTCACCCCCAACCGAAAGTCATGACAACTCAAGCAAATCACATACGAGACACCTCGCACGACAATCTGCGCCCCAGGCCCATACCTCGGCTGCCCGACCCTCGGCTTCAGCCCACAATCGACACAGAATCGTTTACCCGCATCGCGACCATACCTCCCTCGTCGACGATGAACCATGCGGTCTGCGAACTCAGTTCTCGGGCGCAGTCGCAGACAGTACCGACATGCAAATACATCCTTGATGGCGGCGAAGTCTGTGTTCTCGGCGTCGATAAGCGCGTTGTGGTTGAGGCGCGGAATGAGGGTGTGGAAATAAGTGCAGGTGAGTTTTAGGTGGATGACCTCGGGGAAGAGGAGCAGGTTGAGGATTAGAAGGTGGATTTCAGTAGGGAGCGACATGAAAAGGGATGTGTTTGGATCTTTGCTATCCATTGTGAGATGCATCACTTGTAGAGAGCTTGGTTGTTGTTGAATTTGATAATTATGGGGGGAAAGGTTGATGGTGTGGGGATGCGGAGATGGGGAAGATGAGGTCATTCAAAACCTGGGCCGTTGGGTTGCCTGTTTCGGAATTGCCCTGATCGCTGGAATGGGACGCAGCGAACTTTTGCCTAGTAAGCAGTAAGAATGGAGTTGGCTTGATGGAAGATGGCCATCTGTTTCAGTTATAAGCTGTGTGACGTGCGTTGTTTCGTTTTGGTCCAGCACGTGTCCAAATATACATCCATATACATTGAATAAACATCTACTTCAGCGACTATACTACGCTTTCTGGGTGTGAGAAGTGGACTTTAACCATCGGTTCAGCATTCTACATGAGACTAGAAAAGGCAATAGTCAACACAAACTTCCTTCGATATATATTACTAAAAATCTGGTATATGTCCAACAACCTCGAGGTACAAGGAAGACATGAACATTCTCTGAAGAACAAAGCAAACTCACAAAAAGCATGCCTACCAACTAAAACAGGGTCCTCATGACGCAGTCTCTCCCATTTTCCTCATCTACTGCATCTCCCTCTTTGCCTTCTTCTGTTCCATCTCCTCCTGCGTCGGCAACCTAAACCCCGTCCTATTCAACTTATCCTTCAACCTGCGCGCATGCGCAATCATCAACGGAAACTCACCCTTCTCCAACGCAGCCCAAAACGGCCACAAATACTCGTGAAAGTCCGCCTGGCCCAGGAACCCTCTCGGTCCCTGCCCGCACTGTTTCAAATACCCCAACCGTAACATATACCCCCGAATCACCGTCTCCCGCTCTATGTCTACATCCCGAGCAGTCTGAAGAATCAGGGCCTCGGCGAAACGGACCGGTGCGAGAAGTCGAAACGGATACAGTTCGTCGGGGAGAGGCGCAAAAGCAGCCGGACTGCCGCCCAGCCTGGGGTCGTTGCTGAGCATGAAATCGGGATCGTTAGGCGCGGGTGATGTGTTAGGCGGGAGATGGAGTCTCGCAGCCAGAGCGGTTTGTTTGCGGAGGGAGATTACCTCGTCGACGCGGCTGATGTGGTGGAAGTGGATTGTGGGGAGGGGCTTGAAGGGGAATTCTTCGAACATGTGGCATGCGGATTCGGCGGCGCAGGATTTGAATCCGACGGTTGAGAGGGCTTTTTGGGCTTCGATAATGAGATGGTCTGGATTGACGAATTCGAATTCCTGGGAAAAGGTTGTTAGTTTAGCGAGGAGATGAAGAGTGTGAATGGGGTGAGTTTACCAAGTGATTTCGTGTTTCCGTCAACGGGGATTTCTCGATCCAGTCCCAGACAAAGCTTGGGATTTGGGCGTCATCGAAAAGTCGAGCTATTTCCGATGCTAGCTGAGGCCCTAGGCGCTGGCCGGGGAGCTCATAGGGAATGTCCCTTTTCGACTCTTGGGCTCGAGGCCGCGGCTGCTTTGATCTATGCCAGGACATCGTGGAATAGAATGGGCATGGAAATTTGACAACCAGATCGAACAGGGAAGATTGTCACTTTAAATAGGGCTGACTTATTTGCTCTTTTGGGGTTTCCCACCGAAACAAAGACATTATCGGGACATGTTTAACGAAAGGCCATTGTTCATTCTTTGATACTGCTTGTCACTAAGCTCGACGTTCCATATCTCTTACATTTCCAAAAAGGAACATGAACGGTTTCTCCACACATTGCTGAGAATATAAGATTATATCCCTTGGTATCTGAGGCAGTCGCCTAGGTATTTACATCTAGAACTAGATTGCATGGAAAGTTCACTAGACTCACAATATTGATACAAGATCGTCGAGCCACCTGGCCCTGACTGAAACAAAGAACAATATAGACTACAATGGACTTTCCACGGGAGATATTCGTTAATAATTGGTTGTGCAAATAGAAGGAAAGGCTCAGACGATTAAGCAAATACTGAATCAAGATCAGATATTTATCCAAGAAATATCCTGCAAAGACCATCCGTCATCTGATATCAACTAGCAGCTCAAACCTCCCTATCAAGACCCATATGTACGATTACGAAATTGGCAGACTCGCTCGACAAGCGAGAAAGTAATCGATCATTCTGTAGAGTTCGATTGTCGGTCCGATCAGCCACGTGAGTCTATACTAGACAATATTTTGAATTGCGGACACCAGGTTGTGAGAAACGGCATTTATACAGCAGACGTAGCGTAGGTCGGATCTTGACCAAAGGTCCGCAGGATGACGCCCCGCTGGTTCTGCAGATATTGGGAAAAGCTGGTCATTTGAATCTGATAATTGTCCAATTCCTCGAAATTGACCTGATATCCGACGTCATTGGCCCACAAATCCGCCCAAATTCTCGGGTTTCTAGCAGCAATCCGCTCTGCTTCATCCTTGGAATAAAACTGTAGACCGACTTCCTTCCCACTCGCGTGGCTTAGTGCACGCACGATCTCGGCCGGGCTGAGGCTCTCGACGCCGAGGTCAATCTCATGGCCATGGAAACGAGAAGGCTCGAGAATGGCGGCTGTCGCAAACTTGCCGACATCATCCGAATCAACCACAGTCATGCGAGTGTCGGGATGGTATGCTGTTAGAAATGTGTGACTGGCCACCAGTTCCGGGAACATGAACGAGACTTTGGGTTGATGGTAGTTGTCCATCAGAAATGCTGGTCGTAAGATAGTCCAGTGTTGGAACCCGGCGCTGCGCACCATCTTCTCGATCTGGTCTTTGTTGGTCCAGTACCATGCCAGCGGATACTCCGGACCCCAGTTCGGAAAGGTCTCATGTTTTCCGGTCATTGTCACGCTGCTGTAGACCATAGTTGTGACAGAGCCGGCGGCTTTGGCAGCATCAATGATGTTTTTGGCATAGGTGACCTCAAGGCTAGGATCCCGCGGACTAGGTAGGACGTTAAGAAAGACGGCATTTGCACGCGACATCGCAGCCTTCAAAACTGCGATGTCATCAAAGCTTCCTTGAAACAATCGTGCTCCCCGAGCCTGAAGATCAATGGCAGCTTGTGAGGACGTATCCCGAACGAGGGCATGAACCTGGGCTCCGGCATCCAGGAGCTGACGTGCAGTAGCTCCGCCTTGAGCGCCGGTAGCTCCGGTCACAAACGCGACAGCTGGGTCCGGTTGCATAATGAGTATGCAGAGCTTTCGAGAGAACTGTAGCGAAACGAAAGCTACCCACAAGAACAAAATGGAAGTAGGTTGAAGAAGAAATGGGGTTGAGTACTGTGAATAGCATGCGAGAAGGCGCAGGTTGTAGGGGCCTTTTATAGCTCTTCATCGTGACTATCTAGCCCATTCTTGGGTTATCACTGTCCGGTATAGAAGTAACCGATAGAAGCTCGAAGTGCATACTCTTTGTGGGAATGGCCAAGCTGTAAGAAGGGTGGATACGCGCCATTCCCGAATGGGTATGCAGCTCGAGAGAATTACTAATTGGCTTTGGCAATTGATGACCAATTTGCCTCCTTCATCTCCAGAAGACTTGAGAGACGAAGTTATCACTGCGTTCCCTATCGTACAGGGCGTAGCAATACCCACCATACTCTGCCCGGTTGTGCCGCCTATCCCTGTTGGCGCTATGGTTTATTGTGGGAGGCCGAGTAAAGCCTGTGCCGAATGCAGAGTGAAGAGGAGAAGAGTACGTTCTCCATCCCGAGCTTCAAGTGAATTCCGTATCGGTCCTAATACAACGCCTGTCTGGAACAGTGCGATCTGCGGAAGCCATCGTGTGGTCAATGTCTTAGAGCAGGCATACACTGTACTGGGTTCCGGGACATCCGATCTCTTCTCTTCCGTGATCAGAGCGTCCAGGTCAAACACAAGAGCAAGACTCGCACTGCTCCACCTATCAGCATTGCGAGCACAACCACTAATGCCGGCAGATCGAGGTCTAAGCCCTCCAAAAACTACCAGAATAGACTGATTATCCCCCTGATTAGCCCACCATTGCGGTCCTCGCCTTTCAGCAGTTCGTTGCTGTTTGACAATCAGGCCTTCCAATTCTTTATACATCACTATCTCGAGAAGGCCAACCCACTGTCTGGGGACAAGCCTAGCTGCTTTGCAACTGTCTTCTCCGAGGCACCCGTACAAGGGTATCTTCCTAATGCTGTGTATGCGGTAGGCATAGCCAGTCTGGCAAATCTACATCACTCAACTCGACTTCGGCACGCAGCCCATGAGAAATACTCGCTGGTAATCCGCGACATAAGGCTAGCACTGATGGATCGCAGCCACGCAACGTCGGACCAGATGCTGGTGGCCGTGATGCTCTTAAACTTGTAGGAGGTCAGTATTGAATGTCGCATGTCCCGGCCATCCGTAATGCCGGCCACTGACCACAACGGCAGACAGTAACCTGTGACGCCATTAGCCCTAACTCATGGAATCAACATGCAAAAGGCGCGTCGGCCATACTACAGCTCCGGGGTCTCGAGCAGTTGCAGGACGCGATAGGCCGGAATATCTTCTCGCATTTACGTGATGAAATTGTGGGTCTTTTTGTTGCTCTCCTCCGGAGCTACCTAGAGCAAACTTGCTTTCTAACACCCTATCAGCTTATTGATTGTCTTCAAGAGCGAAAGGCTGTTCCCAGTACGCTAGTCAATTGGATGGTCCAGGCTCGAAAGTTCGAAAGTGTTCTAGACAAGCCATCTGGTGAACTCGCGGACATAATAATTAGAACCTGCGCTCTGTTTTCCAAGGACAACGAATCTTCTGCGGACTCAGCTATCTTCCCGGAAGAGTCCATCTCAACTATCCTATCCATTGATCAAGACTTAGAAGCGTGGTCGACAAGCTACGAAGAGAAGTATATGGGTCCACCAGAACCTAAAGAGTCTACTCGCGATACCTATCTCTCCTCCCATCTCAAACATCACCGTATCTCCTCAAGCCCCTCAAATTTCCATACCCACAATCTCTGCTCTAGTGCTCGAATCATCCTGCACGAGAAAGCCAGAAACCTCGCGCGCCGACCCGTGGGCTCTAGTCTGGTTTCATCCTCCAACCTCCCATCCACTATCCCAGACTCATATCATCATCTTCGTACCGTCTCCGAAAAAGCCACTAAAAGCAGCGTTAGGAGCATATGCGATGCTTTTGCCCAAGTCCGACAATCCTTTTCAAGCAGGCAGGACACAACGCACGATATTCGGGCAGGTTGCTTTACGGCTCTTATTTGGCCGCTGTTCCTTGCGGGTACGACCTACATCACCTTGCCCAGCCAGCGCGACTGGATTGCGCAGCAGCTGAGAGAGATCGGAGACTTGACCGGTGTTCAACGGGCGCGGGTGGCGGCTTCGTTAGTACATAACAGCAGTATGGCCGATGGGTCAGTCCGTTGATAGTTCAGTTCTACGACGGCTGGCCGCGATGAGATCTGAATCAAATGGATCATCGGTCGAATATCGGTGCTAAGGATCGGAAACTGTAAATCATTTGTGCACATGGAATATGTATTCTTGTTCTTTATGGGTACTGGATTCATTCGAATACCTACGTCATACAAACCTTAAGATGACAAGGAACTTTCTCCAGCTTACGGCTTACCCAGCACACACCAGGTTGTGTATGGAGTTTAGAGGACCGGACCGCAGTTTTAAGTATCGTCGCCGGAATCTCCAGAGAACTTGCCGCGCACTCGAATTCCATCGCCATATCTCATCAATAACAAAGAAGCCGGTATCAACCCAACTGCGATGAACCCCAGAAGGCTGTTGCCCCAGCCTAGACCCAGGGTATCATACAGCGGCGCTCCAGCCAACGGTATCACCGTCCCAAAGGTACTTTTGATGGCAAGGTTGGCCGCCACGGCGCTAGCCGCGTAGTAGCTGAAGCCGTCGACCAAATACAGCTGCACACTGAGCTGGACGCACATAATTCCAAAGCCGACGAAGCTGGTTCCGATAATGGGAGCGATCCAGTGCACTTTATAATGGGCAGTCCAGCCGTACCAGAACAGCCCGATCGGAAGAACGATAACACCCGCCACGAGCGTAAAGAGACGGTGCTCGGGCTTGACGGACTTACTGAGGGACTTGCGTAGTTGGATGTATCGGTCCGACAGGGATGCGATTGTCAACTGTGCGAGACACGATCCAACCCCGAGTCCGACGTACGCTAGTCCGGCGTTGCTGGCGTCGAACCCGTATGTGGATTCGAACACCCGCGTGAAACTTGTAATGCAGATGTACATGTAAGTGTAGGATACGGAATTGTAGCCCGAAGCGATGGTCACGATCGGTGCCTGTACCATCATCCGGAGTGGCCTTGTGATAGCACGTTTGATCTTCACGCTTGCAGGTTGGCCATCGTCTGTGCTCGCTCGATGCATGACGCCAGTGATTCTCTCGAGCCTTGCTGCTTCATGTCGGAGAAGAGTGGGTGCATGTGATTCTCGCTGAAACAAGAAAGCCAGAATCATGACTAGACCTCCCTGATATGTGTTAGTTTCTTCGAGTTTTGTAAGAGAGCTAAGGCAGTTACTTACGATGATGACAACCACCCATGTTGTCCATCGCCAACCAGCACCGTAAACTATGTATCCTCCAAATATAGGCCCTAACGATCGACTAGATTAGCTGGACTATCAAATTTGCCGAGATACCCGTTAATCATACCTAAAACCTGGCTCTGTAAGATGGTCAGAATGTTGCTGGTGTCGTTTGATTTATTTTACATACCAGTGAATTTCCAATAGTCCAAGCAGTCAGAGCCGTTCCACGCTCCTCGACGACCATTAAATCGGCAATGATACCACCTCCGACGGTGCTGGGCACTGAGGCCGCAATTCCCATCAGGAACCGTGCAACGATAAGCATCGGCATGTTGACTGCCGCAGCGCATAGGATAGATGAGAACAAAAAGCCGACATTGGACACATGAGTGATCAACAACCGCCCATAACATTCGCTAATAGGAGGCAATATCAACGGCCCTATTACTGAGCCAATCAGGTAGACCGTCACCATGAACGATTCAATGGAGCCGCTGGAAACATCAAATTCTTCGAGGACGTCGGGAACCCCCGGGGCAAATATAGTGGACACAATCGCGCTGCACGTTGTTAGTATCCAGTTATAGTTTGAGGCAGCTGTTGCGTACCCATTGAAGCATGTCAGTGACGTGAGTCCAATGATGAACCATTTGCGAGACTTTGACCAGTTATGGGGATGGCCCGGATCAGCGTCCCCCTTCCAGTTCACAACGGTTTTTTCATCGTCATTGTTTGTCGTTTCGGTAGTCAGGCTGCTCTGCTTTTCTTCGTCCATTTTAACGCGTTGTAGAGCAAAATGTAGAGAACAGTGGTTAAAGGCCCTGATTTGCTTCATAGCAGACTTCCGAACCCCTTCATGGATAATAAGTCCTGACCATCTCTCTTTAGCTAGTTATAGAAGACGCATTGACAACATCAATCAAGAGCCCTCACACTAATAGACGAGAAAGGGATGTTCCTATTACCCAAAGGATCGTCGTCATACCCCGGCATATGGAATGCATACCTGAAAGCCCCTTGATCAACTACTTCAGTTACACCTCGCCTCGCCCATGAGAAGATTAGCTTTAGATCCATCAATGAGTCCGACTAATGCTAAACACACCCGATTGATCTGCTCCATAATCCGCGTGTCGTACTCTCGAGGATAAAATCTCCGAACCTAATGGCAAGAAGAAACCCCTGAGATGATACGTCATGGCAACATGTGGCCCGAAGAGATGCACTATCGATCTCGTACGGGGACTAATATTGTCGAGTCGCCTCAAACTCGCTAAAACCAGCCCTGCGTAGAAGGTTCTTGCAATGCCAGCAAACCTCTTGTTTTAGTTCACAGATTATCAGTAACGATGGAGCATTTTCATGGAGAGGGATTTAATAATCGAGACCAGGTTAGGAGTTAATAGTAACCCTACGTCAGCCATTGACGATCTTACCTAGTTATATAAGGTCGGAGAATTCCACCGCTCTTACGTCTTCACCCCTTGCAGTTAGCATCCTAGTGTCTCCATTCCCGGCGGATACTGGCCATCTTGTTCCAAATTGTCGATTCCGTCGCGATCATAAATCCTCCTGCGTCGGTTCACGGAGGGTTTCGCTGTGGGTAACTGCAGGACGCGTTGTTGTGCCTGACAGATGCTTTAGCGTCATGTGAAATATCAATTGTCGATGAGGAACAATTGACGTCATGATAGGATGATCCCGATGGGAAGCTTGATGACTGGCTTGTAATGCGATATGCAGTTTGAACTGCTCGCACTGATGTGGTGAGGAAAGGAAGTGGCTGGGAAGACGACAGACGCCAAATACCAGAAGAAGAAGGCACCCGTCACATGAGCAATCTTTGCGGATCAATTATGCTAACAAAAATCTTTCTTCTATTTTTATCCAACCTCTCTATGTGCAACACTGGCGACAACCTCACGATTCTTCATACTCCACCTTCTTAACGCGTTTAGCCTGCAATATCTTCACCGCAACAAAACACACCAGCCCAGCTGCATAAGTCCCTCCTGCAAATGCAATCAAACCGAAGTATTCGCCCTTGCTCTTGTTGATAATTTCTCCTGCGATCGGAACGCCTGTTAAAGCTCTACAAACCAGTTAGAATCTTGTTGATGGAAGATTTTATTCCCATGAGAGGGCAACAGCACAAGAAGATGACTTACCCCAGACTGACTATCGTATACACGGTAGTATAAAACCGCCCATACTCCTCCGTCGGACACAATTCGCCCACACAAACCGGCACGAGACTGAGATTACTCCCGCTAGCAAAACCAAACACGACGGAGAAGATCACGACAGCGACAATGTTTCCGTTTGCGGGCATCCAGATACCTAGGATGGCAACGAGACAAAGAATATTGGTGATGATCAACGTGTTAAAGCGACCGATCTTATCGGCGACAATTCCCGGAAGCCAACGACCTGGGAACGAGCCCGCGTTGAGAAAAACGACCATCAGGTATGCGAGTTTGTGCGAGATGCCGTTGGCGAGGGAATAAGAGGCAATATACTCGAGAGGAACAAAGAAGCCCCATTCGATGAAGAAGACGCCGGCTGTCGTCAAGGCGAGCAGGGGATCCTTGAGGATGGTCAGATCTGGAAGAAGGACCTTGGCCGATGTGGCCGGTTTAGGTGGTAGCCGGCCTTTCACCAAAATGCAGCCAGGAATCAGCAACACCAAGGTGATCAGGCCCACGACGCGAGTGGCCCAGGCGAATCCGAGGCGGGGCGATAGGTTTTCCAGAACGAGAGGAAAGATGACGCCGCCAACGCTACCGCCGCACATTGCCAAACCAGTGGCAGCTCCTCTCCGGCGCAGGAAGAAGTGGCCGACACTCGCGACAGGGACGATGAAGATGAACGATGTCCCCATGCCTCCGACAATACCCATCACCACGATAAAATGCCAGTATTTGCTGCAGAAACCCAACAGGATGAAGGTGAGAATGAGGAGCGCGGATCCTGTCCACATCAGTAAACGGGGTCCTTTGGCGTCGAACACGGGGCCAATCTGGATGCCGCAGAAGAATACCATGAAGTTGTACAGTCCGAAGATCCAGCCTATTTGGCCCTCACTTAGGGATTCGAGCTGGTGCGTTGATATCCATGCTTGGTAAATACCGATGCTGTTCATGAGGCCCAGGCCACCGGTGATAGCGCTGAAACTGCCGAGAACGACCAGGTTGGCGTTGAGGCCTCCTTCGGGGTAGACCTTGGAGGTGTCGACCTCCGTATCCTGGGCTTCTTTTGACATGACCGGATCCATTATTGAGAAAAAGTTTTGCTGCAGTCTGTTCAGCAAGAACACACCCAAGGCGTTGGGTCACTTTATACCTTGCCTGGTGGATCTCTTTCAAGTCCATGATAGAATTGGGCAGAAACTTGGATACCAATTACCAACTCTAATTGCCATATCGCGGAAAGGCCTCTACCAGAAATTTCTTTTTCTCCCAAACTGGTCACGGCCGCAGTATACTTCGGCATCGCATAAACCGCCGGTGGCCGACGGCCGACCAACCTTCGGCAGCGCCACATCTACTACTCTCGGCGAACCGACCAACTTCTACCCTCGTCCACGGCAAACCGCGCCAACTGCATCACAAATGCCGAGGGTTATATGGCATTGCAGATCTGCGATCGGGTGCTTCCGCACTCTTCAATAATACCGATCTTCACTTCTCGCGCGTCTCTCGGCGGATGACACATAGGTAGGTGAAAATTTCCGTTTGTATGTATAATGCCAAGATGAGCGTTTTCGTGCCTTCTATACCAGTTTCGAAACTAGATTAGGTGGCAAGGATGGGTGTATAGCTTAGATAGATCTAGAGGGTCAAGATTTACCGAATAAGCGATCCATGTTTGACATCATTCTTTTGTTCCCGATTGTTTCCTTGCTGATACCATCATAGATGCTTGGAGGTGTTGGACACAAGCACTGGACACGAGTACCGATGCCCTCCACCCAGACTATCTGTGGCTTCTCACGTTGACTTGACTGTCCGCAAGCGCGTCTTGAAAAATGCACCTCTCTACCTCCCAACCGCCGACGTGCGCTCACCGCATGTGACAGCGGCAGACGCCGATGATCCATCATAGAAAGTCCCGTATATGTGCAGTCCGGCTCAACGGCGATCACATTCTACAGCTGGCACGCCAAGCCAAAATATGCGCGCTGATAACAGGATCTATTGTAAGTCCCTGGCCGAGAATGCCGACTCCGCGAAGGGCGGCGGCTTCCACCGCCGGGCGGATGGTGTGGATTGGGCCGACCATCAAGCAGACGCGTGCATTAGAGCTCAAGCACCGTGCGTGAGGAATCGCCGTTGCCGCCATAGTCCCAGTAAGATGTGTATGTGTTTTCATGTACCTGGTCGTGCTGATCTGGTCTCGAATTAGGACACGATTCAACCTCGTCGACGCGGAGCGGGCCGGATCGGAAGTATCCTGTGATGGTCAAGGACAGGACCGGAGAAGATGGGATTGGTCCTGCTCATCAGATTTGGAGAGACGGGTAGAAAGTAACATGCGCCGGCTTGGATAAATCGACTTCGGCGACGACGGCATGCTCATCGATTACTGCGTTGGTCATACTCGGCATATCGAGGTCCAAGTGCTCGGCGACGGCACCAGCCGTGTCTCGTGCGCCGAGAAATGTTAATTTCCTTAGCAGCGGTGGAATTAGAAGATCTAGCGGGTCTAGGCTTTTCATCAATTCCTCAATAGGGACTCGTGTAGATGTGGGAGGTGGCCATCGTCGGAAGGTTCAACATCGACATGTTGACACAAGCTTATTTGCGATATCGACACCAAGGTGACAAGTTGGGGATCAGTGGCAGAGCTCGGGAATCCTTTCATAATTACTAGTTATTATAGAAGACGCTTCTACTCGTAATAGATGTTACAATCTTTCTTTCAGATCTACCTTGAACTTATATATAGCTACGCTGCTCGTTGTAAAAATAGCATCGGCTATTATCAACATACCTTGACTTTCCCCTCACCAGCTCACACTCACAATCTTCCAATATTCTTCCACTCTTTACCTTCGTGAAAGTGCCTCCGTGAAAGTGCCCCAAACCATCGAAATGTCTTCAGTCGGCCCACCTAGAGCACCAGTCCATGTCATTTCCTCGAAGAACCTCGAGTATTCTGGGATAGGAAATCATTTTCATTTTCTGGAGGACGAAATGGCGACATCTTCCCACATCCATGAAGTTCTCATCAGCATCACTAGTCCTACGCACCAGTCCCCTTTGATCGGACTGCATCACTGGAGCCCCAGACAAATACACTCATCCTACCTGTCCCCGCTCACCGTGAAACCGGAATATTTACGCGGCTATGAGGGCTTCCAGGAGCTGGGATCCTTTTGTTTGCCGAAAGAGTGTGCTTCGTCGATGGTCACCGTCCATGCGTACCTCAGCTGCTTGATACCAAAGTATGGAGAGGATATAGTTGCGCCATCGACTGAATCAGAGATTACGGCATCAATCACGGCGGGACTAGGAGCGAAAACCTGGCCGGCTTCGTCTACTGTGACAATACAACTATTCAAGATGTTGGTACGAGGCAACAGTCAAGAGGAACTTTTCACTGGGGGTGAGGTTGCGATTTGGAAATCAGTATGGCCTAAACGGAATTGACATCGGAGAGATAGCTTCTAGAATACCTGATCTTGACCTATGCCTGAATTATCATAAGGAAGTCAGCCCTGGAAGACTGTTTCTGTTGGTTCGCGGGATACCGGAAGAGAGAAAAGAGTATTTCACAGAGTGTCATGTTTCTCATACTCATTGGGAAGCTCTATACGACCCATCCTTCTACTTTTAGCTGATTGAATGTTTCGGGTGCGCCGGAACTGATTCCAGGTATTCCTTTCTCTGGCTTGTGTCTTGCTAATCACGGTGTCTTCTTATTATCGCTTTGATGGGAGGAAAATGAAGCATATCAGGAATACAATGCTTACGGTCGAAAGATGTGGCGCTTTATAACGAGATTCAGGTTGTTAGGATCGAGGTAAGCTATTAACTGCCGTCTCATCAATCCAAAACTTCTTTTTCCACTCGGCGTTGTTCATTGAGCTATGCATAAGCCTTTTAGCTGTCCCTAGAGGTCATTTAGGACAGGCGATGGATCTTTTGCGTGATCAGGATCAGTAGAACTTCCGTCATTATCGGGGTTGATAATCGAACAATGACTTCTTGCAGACCGCTGCATTGACAGGCTCTTGGTGGATGCTTTCCCAGGCTCTTAAGATTGAAGGTTGTTGGGCAAACTGACGAGAAAGAGATAACGTCCATGAAGGGCAATACGGACTTGGCCTTATTATATTCATTGTAAGGATCATACATAGTAAATTGAACATATAGTGTCATATCGCTACTGTCAAGAACACGTAAAGGGTATCATCATGTTGAACATTGATCATTAGGTGTATGTGTCATGCATAAAATGCATTTTCCATCCCTCATTTCCCCATTGAAGTAATGTTGCCAGATTATCCTTCTGACATCCCGAAAGTAGGCCTTGCCATGCTCTACCTGCAAGTAGGTCACATCACTCAAGCGAAGCGCTGGTATGTTGCAGCCTTAAAGGCCTCCAAGTCGCCAATTTCTTTGTCAAGCAACCGCAAAGCTTCACGAACGAATGGAACCCCCAATCCGCGTATTTGTAACGCCCACCGCAAACGTTCTACGTGACGAACATACTCGATAGCCTCATCACAGTCCGCACTCGTGGCCCATAGTAGTCCAGCAAAGGAGCCAATCATCGCCACCTGTGCCGGGGCGGAATATCCCCAGAATGACTGCGTGTGCTTAGGTTGTAGCATTTCCACAAGTTTTAAAGCTGAAAGAAGGCGCGCGCGAGCTGCAGTCCGGATGGTAGACCTGAGACTGGGCGGAGTGTCTGGTCGCAGGGCGCGAAGCACTGCACGATGCAAGGTGAGCTCGGCTGCCATGTGAGAGATATGCAAAGCGCCGTTGGCAGAAAGGCTTCGCACGTGTGCAGTCGTGTCCAGCTTCAAACATCCGGGTAGGTTGATGTACCACTGCCGAAGTTGCTGCGCGAAAGGCTCTGCGAGTGCCATGGTCTCAGTCGCGCCTAATCTGTCAAGTCTGCCCCCTTTCTTCGTTGCCCCGACAGAACAGAACGCATACTGCAGTTGACTGAATATTCTAGTCAGCTCGATAGCGTACAGAAACGAGACACGGCCAGTTGGCGCATTGATGCTTCCATAAGGTACATCCTCCGCCTTGATTGATATCTCATAGAAATCATCTACCGTGCAAGGCCGGACATCCCAGTCACTATCATTTTCGCCCTCCCCAGTTATGCGGTCGGAGATTAGGGATGGTCGGCCGTGACAAAGGACGCCCCATTTGTCCTGCATATAGAGGGCCCAGGCTAGACGCCGCCGTAATCCTCGCTCCCATCCCGGGATAGCCCAGTCACTACAATCGACGTGGATGCCTAATGTCTGGCCCAAGGCAACTAGCTGAGTGATAAGGGTGTTGTGTGCCCGTCTAACTTGCTGCAGCAACAACAATCCCGCTTGCAGGGTGGATAGTGTTGGCCGCTTCATATCATTCTCCATCACGCGCATCGCCAGATCTTCTAGTATCGCGATGTCCGGAGTCCTTTGTGCAGCTGCGAGTTCTTGATCGAATTGCTGTCAGTTGAGGGCTATAAGATATACCCCAGCTAGAAGTGGAGGAGAAAACTCGTGATAAGATCGCGCATACTTGTCAAGGAAGGTATCTTTGTGCAGAATCGGGAACGTAGGATGCACAATGTTGAAGTAGAGTTTCACTAAGATCGGACCCAGCGGCCGGATAATTCCTTCGATCTTATCCAGGTCCACGATGCGTTGCATCTCCAGCGCCGAATTACCGTCAGGGTAAGTCATGAAAGCCATTGATTTATCGAGGAGTCGTCGGCGGCACTCGAGCTTTGCCGGTGGGAGCAATCCTGAGCACGGCTCCAGGAGTGTTGGCTCATGGTAGCTAGACGGGCCAATGTACTCCGAATGCAGATACTCCAAACCTAGCGATCCATACGAAGCGAAGGGGTGAGCTGTACCGGTAGAATACTTGTTCCGTGCAGCCAATGTTGGGGTCGATGAGAGGGTGCTGCTGATGTGTTAGTCTTGCTGCAGCTCTGCCATCGCTAGTCTAGGGTACATACTCTGGGCCCGCGTTCCAGCCTGGCTGCAGAATGCCACTGGTTTTTGATCTTCGTGGCGTAGGTCCATGGATAAAAGTGCATTCAGTGTCCTCTTCCTCGCAAAGGGCACATCTTCCTCTGCCTATGTCACGATCGCAGCGAGATCTGCGCTGCCGACACTGGTCACACGGGCGATTGCATTTCTCAGCTCGCCTGACTTTCGGCATTGCTGAGGTCAATTATGTGAACATGAAAGGTATAAACAGAACGAGGGATTTGACAGAGATTTCGATGACATGAGACTAAACAGAAAGAAAGATGGGAGCTGATGGAAAGTGATATATGGGAGAGATAGTGAAGGATGAAGAGACACGGACAGAGAAATGAGGGTGAAGATGAGAGATGGAAGATGAGAAGAAGCATGGAGAAGAGAGAAGGGTGGAGGAGAGGAGATAGGAGGGGGAAGCGTTTGCAGCGAGCTCATCACGTGTTGGTAGTCCACCATTCACTGAACTCGAGTCATTAAACCAGTTCACAAGTAATCTCAATTTGGGTGAGTCTCAATATAACTTTTCATTTCTCATAACTCATACAAAGAACCACATTCCCTATACAATCCCATCTCATCCAACCCCTTAAGACGGAGGAGCAGAGCGCTTCTCCACGAACTTCTTCTCCCCAAACGCCTGCTTAACACCCTCCGTCTCAGTGACACGCTCATACCACGCCATCACACCGGGGAACTTAGCCCTGATCTCCGCATCAAGGGAGATCGAAAAGCCCCAGATAAACGCCGCGGCGACAGAGATATCCGCCAAGCTCAGTTTCTCGCCCTTAGCCAGCCAGGTTTGGCCGGAAAGCTGCTGCTCCAAGTGAGCCATGGAGCGCTCAATGCGAGTCAGGGCAGCGGTCTCGGTGGCCTCGTCGTACTTGTAGGTGTGGATGCCGAGACGCCAGAGACCCAGCTGCAAGACGGGGCTCAGGACCTCGCCATCTGAGAAGTCGACCCACTGGCGGATCACGGCGCGCTCGGCGGGCGTGGAGCCGAGGAGCTGCGAGGCGGCGGGACCGCTCTCGGCGATGAACTGGGTGATGGCGTTCGATTCGACGAGCTTGAGGCCGTCGGCGGTCTCGAAAGCAGGGACCTTGCCCAGGGGGAACTTGGCACGGAACTCTGGGGACACGTTGGTTTGGCCCATAGTGAAGTCGCCATGGGCGAGCTCGAGGCCATTGAGGTTGGCGGCGGCTTGGGCCTGGTTGGATGTTAGAATCAGGATACAATGGAATGTCGGAGGACTTTCAGGGGAAAAGGGAGGATAGTGCGAACCTTGACGACCCGAGAGTTGCCGGGGTAGCTGTAGATGGTGCCGAAAGGAGCCATTGTATTTGGTTGAATGATGAGTAACCGATCTATTCGAGGGAAGGAGAAACTACGGAAATGAACCTGAATATGGCCTTTAAGTAGCAATTTATAATAGCCCGGGCCTAATTCCGTCCCTTGGTTTGATTATGAAGGGAAAGACGGTGATGACAAATGGGCGCCGTGAGAGGGGCGATCCACTGTGGGGTAGAAGAGCATCGAAGCTGTCGGACGGAGAGTCAAGATGTTGAATAGGGGATGCACGATGTAGGACAACACTGGAAATATGAACTCGGAAGTACGGTAGATGTGGCACTAAATATACGACAGATTGATATTCAAATTAAAGTTGGACTATCAATGTTGGATGTGGCTTGCAGCCCGATTCCTCAATCCAGGGTCCGATGGCGCAACCTGTTCGATCTCCACTTCAGATGGCTTGATCTGACTGCATTTATCAATATAACAAGACACGCTATTCATTAAACTATTATTAGAGTATTCCTTCAAGTCGCTTATCCAGCTGCCACCTAAGGCACTAAATCCTTTATCTTGATAAGCTCAGCATTCAACACCGCTTCTCTGCGGAGGTACCGGGATTTTGATTCAACCCAGGTATCCACCAATTCCTTGTACATAGAGAGAAAAGGCGAGTCGCAGCGCAGCCCTATATGTGTGGTTCTACATGGTCTGTTTGATGCAGGGACAGAATTGCCGCTCAGTTAGTTAGTATCCAGGATAGCAAAGTGTCTGTCATTACCCGTCGTTGCAGCATGCACTACATCAAGTCGCCCGCTTAGTCCTTGCTCGTAGAGCTACTGATTCTTATCTGGCTTAGGCTGCAGGCGCTCTGAGCGATGCCTGAGGCAACACCGAGGCAGTAAGGCATGCGAGACAAGGCAGTGCAACGAGGCAAACGCCACGTTGAGCCATCACAAGGCCTACGCCTCACTTGCTTCTCCATTTTCCGTAGATAGTCGTTTATTCATAGATTATTTAATGGAATTGCTGATTATGCAGGAAGTTCTGCTTTATTTTTGACATCCCTAAACAGTAGGGCGTACAACTAACTTATTATATGAACGCCTAATGGTTGCAATTACACGTCGGGTTAATTATAAACAAAACTACGTCGTCAACATCGTATCGTCATCGCCACTGGCTTACAGACGAGCCGTTAACCCATCACGTTCCATGGATTTGGCGATTCGCGCACTAGCCCAGTCTGCAATGGCCATGTTGGTCACCATAGGGTTCACGCCGCTGGCACTGGGGAATACGGAGGCATCCACAACATATAATCCACGCGTTCCCCAGACATGACATTCGGGATCCACCACACTCGTCCGGGGGTTGGTGCCCATGCGGCAGCTTCCCATCTGATGTGCACACGCAAAGAGTGTCCGTTCCGGATCGAGGGTCTTGCGGCGTACTTCCGCAATCCACGTCTGGAGAGCGGCGTTGTTGATGCCCTCGGCCTCGTCCTCATCAGCCGGGTGTTCCGTCCGGATGAATGGTGGGATCTCGCGACAGGAAGTATGGAACTCTTTCGCGCCCGAGATATAGGCGATCTTCGCGGTTGCGACCAGAGACTCGACAATGTGTTTGCGATCGAATGCCGACACCGTATAGTCGACACGGCATCGTCCGTCATGTGGATCGGGGTAAACTCGGCCGCTACCCCGGTCTTTCGTCAACGTGATAAAGCCGGTCATACGTGACAGCTTCGCCGCCCACAACTTGTAATCCAGTCCGTCGCGCCAAGGAAATGCTGGAAGGAAAGCTGCCGGCAGCATAGTGAGACATTCAATCTTGACGCCGTGGCCGTGTCCGTCCTGGTCTTCGAACTCATTAACGACGGCCGTCAGGGCCCCTCCCTCCCACGGTCGAGTTTCCTCGTCAAAAACAGCGCCGCCGACGATGACTGGATCACAAGTTAGTTCTTCCGTTTCAGACCAAAGGAGTATTTTTGGAAGACCTACCTGGATGCAGGTGGAGATTGCGTCCTAGTTGGGAGTTTCTGATTCCGCTACGCATCAGAAGAAGCGGACTCTGAAGCGTCCCACACGAAACAACGACCTTCTTGGCTTTGATGATGACCTTTCGCTTGACCGAAGTATCTCCGGACCGGCCTAGGTATGCATCTCGGGACGTCCAGGTCCCTTCCACTCCCGAAGCCACTCGTCCCCCCTTCGTATTAGCGAATAGGACTTTGTGAACATTGAATCCTTCGATAAACACCGCACCGGCGCACGCTGCGTCGGCTAAAAAGGTCTCCGTGGGGCCCTGCTTTTCCGCTGAATGGCAGCCCATCGTGCAATGCCCGCAGTAGTGCTTGTGACCACCGGTATTTTGGGGCACGGGTTTTGCGGAATATCCCAGCTTTCTAGCTCCCTCCAGCAGAACATTGTTGGAAGTATTCTGAGTCGTGTGTTCTGCACTCACACCCATGCGATCACAAACTCGGTCCAGCGAATTTTGGAATTCCAAGGAGGTGAAAAAGGGCAGGCCGTAGTCCGCCCATTCCTGGCGAACGTAGCCCTGCGTTTGCAGCGCTGCCGACCAGTTGATAGTGCCGCCACCTCCCCAAGTCGAGCCAGCAAAGATCCCCATCGAGCCGTCGTCCGTGCCGGTGACGCCTGCAGCCTCAAACATACTCACGAAGCCCTCGTTGAAGTTCATGGGATAATGCTTTGATGAATAATGATAGGACTTCTCCACCACCATGACATTATAGCCGGCTTCGGCCAAGTTTTTGGCTGCAACACTGCCACCGCAGCCGCTACCCACTACGACAACATCCGTCTCGATGGTCTCCGGCTCCTCCCCAGGCGGGATCTGTAGGAAGTCGTACTTGAAGCCGTCTGCGGGTTTCCCGTGCACCGGGACACGAGGGAAGCCCAAAACCGGGCAAAGGGTCGGGCTGGACGTAATCCATGTCCTCTTCACGATGCCCGTCAAAGCTCGGTAGACAGCACGCAACGGCTTCAATCTAGAGGTTTCCCAGCCGCGAAAGACTCTGTCCCGAATTTCGTATGGCTGCTCTTGAAACGGGGTCGCCGAGCCGGTTAAGATAAGCGAGCCCGCTTTGGAGCTGGTTACCCAATGTTAGTACCCGCAGTAGTTGCTGCAGTTTCTGATACATACTTCAATAGATTCAAGATGAAGCTCAGTCCGTTCCTCCCTTGCTCGTTGACGTAGTCGGCAAACAGGCGCTGGAGTGTGTCCCGGAATTGGACATTGGAGGATGCATTTTCTTCCAGATACCGCATAGCCAGAGTGACTGCATCGGGGTCGTGGATGGAGCGTGCCAGCGTTTCAATCGTCGCGTTAAGTCTAGACTGGGGAATTATCTTGGCAGATTCGGCCTGCGACGCCGTGGGCCCTCGAATGGACGGAATCACGGTATCCGCTATCGACAAAAGCGTTGTCCATTGTAGCTCGGAGAAGACCTCCTTAGAGGAGACTGGGGGAAGCGACACATCCAGTGGCGTGTAGGGAATGGCCTGGTCAGTCATTGCAGACGGCCGTGACTACGAGCTAGAATCCGCAATGTCGCGTGTGGTGAAGGGTGGGATTAAAAGACAAATGGTATATCACGACGGGAAAGGATGAAGAAGAATAGGGGAAGGAAGAGACAACAACAGTCGGGTCGACCCAGAAATATAGGCTGCAGAGCCACCTGCCAATTGTCGCCGGGGTCCAATGCGCCTTCCGCGGCGTCACCCACTTTGTCCCAGAAGAGTAGGGCTTGCGAAGGACGCTGCGGGGAGTGCCACCAACTAACGCTGCTAGTGGAGGATCATCTCCGCGCTTGATCTTTATTCACTATCAGTATTCACCCTGGCCGACATTGCGCCAGCCCTCTAGAGGTTCCCAATTTACGGCAATAACGGGAGGGGGAAGACGCAGTAACCGAGGCAGCCACCAACGAAGATACGAGCTGGGCGCGAGTGGGGACAGTCGCCGGGGAATTCTCAATGATGGGACCATCAATCAGCCCATCTTTGGTTCCTGGATCGCATACGATCGCAAGTTGAAAGCGAGAGATCGTCGGGCGCCAATGGCACAAATTGCGGTCCATGCGGGGGAGATGAGCCGAGCTTATTCGCCGTCCATGTGAAGATGCCGCGGAAAGGGCCTATGGATTTGACTTATCAGGATGTGACCGTGATACGAATGTACAATGATAGATTCGATTCGTCTATAGTCCATTGTTCATGAAGACAACAGTAGTTATGCGCTCTGCAAGTCCGGCTCGAGAAGTGGCAAACAAGCCAGGAAAAGGGGCGAGTCACGTGGAAGCGATTCGATGTCACGTGCTTGTCTACCTCTCCCAAAACGGTAAGTAGGGCTTGTTTGCAGGGCTCGCATCACCTGACCACTTCATGATAGCAGCCAGGGGCTCAAAAGCGTCACGAAGACTGTTTCATTTGCTCAGTCACATAGGAAAAAACAGTGTTTGGAAGAGAGTGATGACAAGCATTATCATTTGGACCAGCCTGCATGCAGCAGTTCATCATCACCTTGACTCGGACTAGCCCGATCCCGTGACCCGTGGCTTCCACGCGACAATTCAATTGCGACGTTTCTGCTTCACCCCATGCACTTTCTACTCAGGCAAAACACTAGATCAAGCTTTCGCATTGGCTCGATAATTTCGGCCCGTCTATTTTTCTTTCCTCCCCAGGCGCATTGACATAGCTGGTTGGAACAACATCATGTCAGTATGGTTGCGATCGCAAAGCGCGGTCGCAACTGCAACTCCAATTCCCTCACATCGTTCGGAGGATTAATTATCAATTCTTAGCTCTGCTAGTTCTCCGTTTGCGATTCAATGCGCCTAAACTCGCCCTCTTCGACCTCTCGTATAACTGCGTGCTGAACGAACATCACAATGGCCACGCCGGGCTCCGCATCCCAGAGCGCCGTGTCGACTCCCTCGCCACAGAAAGCATACAAGTGCTTGTTACCCCAGGAAAGAGTGTTTTCCATTCAGATTGGGACTGAGCTCTTCCGTCTCTCGGGAGCGTCGATTGCCTCCGATGGTCAGTTGGTCCGATGTCGTCAACTGAGCCCGCGCTAAATGTTTTGGAGCCCCGTCATATTTCTCCCAATTCTTCGAAGAGCAGCTGCGGCAGAACGGAGACGGCGCGAACATTCGGACGTTATATATCGATCGAGATCCGGTAACGTTCAAGGATATCGTGCGACATTTACAGGGTATGGCCGTCTACCGAGAAGCCGCTCATGATAGCCCGAGTTAATCAGGAAGATTGGCATCAGGATACCATGTACGCCCTAGAGACAGTGCGCAGTTCGTGAAGCTGTTCGCGGATGCTCAATTCTACAGTTGTAAGTCCTGGCCATCTTAATGGTATGTCTCCTCATAAACTAATGCCGACTCTTAGTACCCCGGTTAAACTCACAACTATTCGAATCAGAGATCAGCATCCAGATCGGCGACCGCGATTTCCAAATCCCCCGCGACATCTTCTCCGGACCAGGCGACTCGCCCAACTTCTTCACTCTCGGCTTCGGTGCCTTCTTCGCTTCTCCCACGCAGACCTTCCCCGGCCTCGAGCGCATCGGCCTTCTACGTCCCCCGGCCATCGTTCCTCCCAGCATCCCCAATCGATCCGGCGAGGTTTTCGCCGACATCCTCCATCTCCTGCGCGGTTATCCGCTGCACATCCGCAGCGAAACCCACCGCGCCGAACTTCTGCGCGACTGTCGTTACTTCCATCTCCGCGGCCTCGAGCAGAAGCTCATCCCCCACGACATCAGCTTCAACCCCATCCGGCAGCGCTCCGAGATCATTATCCGGCTAGAAGACGTGCGGCGCTCCGGCATCAACTTCGCCCCCGATAACCCCACCGCTCCTCAATCCTCCCCTGGATGGGTCACATACTCCCGCCCCTTCATCGACGAACAGCCCCTCGACCTGATCGTTGAGATTGGCGACGAATGCACCCTCGTCGACCTCGCCCGCATGCGCGCCCAATTTCTCTCCCTCACCAAAACTCGCATTACCGCCCTCTTACAAGTGATCGCCAATAAAATCACCTCCACCACAACCACCCCAACTGCATCCGCCTCCCCATCCAGCAGTTCTCCCGCGTCCGAAACCTCCGCTATCCGCATCGAACGCGACGCCGACCTCACCGTCGACGGCCAATTCACATCCCACGCCGATATCTTCGGCAGTCCTGATCCCGCCGCGGCCGATTCCTCGGATCCACAGAATCCTCCCGCCAAGCGCCGTCGCGTCGACGGGTCGTCGGGCGGCGCGTCGGGGAAATGGATCGTTAGGACGGGGCAGTGGCGGTTGCGCGCGCAGCCGTCTACTGTTGTTCCGGGGGAGGTCGAGATCGTCTTGGTGGCAGTGAAGTTGGATGGTTATAGTGAGGCGAGGATGCGGAATCGGAAAAGGGGGTTCCTGGGGTCGTGATATAGGCCCGTAGGGCGGGGAGTTGGCAGATGAAGAGGTCGTTGACTATAGACGTTTGGTATACTTGAAGTGCAAGCTGCCTTACTTGGCAGATTTCTGATGGCTTCTACATAAGCTAACCAATTCATATACATGAAGTATTGTTTGGAGACCTCGTATTTAGTTCAATATTTACTAATCTAATGAATTACACTTATTCTGATTCTGATTCTACAACATTCGCTAATTTCCTTTCGCTGTTTTGGTCACTGCAGTAGCCATCGAACACTAGAAAATCCACCAAACCATTCTGCTGCATTGGAATTCTATATTAGGAGAAACATACTAGATGAATGGGTATGTCCAGTATTCGTGCATTCATTGAACAGCGGATCGTAGAACAGACACGCTCTATGGTACATGTACATACATACATACATAACTCAATCAGAGAATCCCTCCCACTCATCATCTTCCTCTTCTGCATCTTCATCCTGCTCCTCCTGATTATCCCCTCCAACAGCATCAACATCAACATCCCCATCTCTCACAAATCCAGCCACAAAAAACCCACCCAACCCTTCATCATCACCAGGCCAACACCTCAAACAACCTTCCAGATCTTCGTCCGTCAAATCCACTTTCTCCTGAGCAGCCACCGCCTCCTCCTCTCCATCATCACCATCATCACCATTAACAGACCGACGAACCAAATCAGTCTTCTCCTCCCTCACACCACGATGTTTCCACCGTCTCAACCCCTCAGGCTGCTCGTCCCGTCGAAGAACCCTCCATCCACGACGTTTCGCGACTTCCGAGGCCAGGACGCGCGACACGACGGCTTCGTTTTCCAATAGGTGAATCGAACACGTACTATATGTGATTCTAGTTGCGGAGGGGAAGGCGAGGGCGTGTTCGACGATGCGGGTCTGGAGGTTCGAGAGTTTGATGAGACGGTCGATGGACATGTGGGTGTTTGAGAGTTCGTTTTCGTCCGTTGCCGAGACGGTGTTCGGGTTGGGTTCTTGTTGTTGTTGGCCTTTCGAATGTTTTTTCCCAGGGGGAGGAGGAGCGGGGTGAGATTCGGTGTCGTCGTTTCGACGTTTCCGTTTCTTGCCCTGGGCGGGTCCGTTGGTCGTGCTGGCATCAGGAAGAACCAGGGTAGGAACGTCATCGCGGCCAATGATGCCGCTACCAGAGCAGGACGGGTCCAGGAGCAGGCTGGAGACGTTCTCGAAGCGAGGGTCCATCGGGTCGAGGGCGAGGAAGTCCTGGCCCTGGAGGACGGAAACGAAGGGATCGGCGCCGGCGGCAGCGACCATTTTCTGGAGCGTCTTTGCGCGCACCTTCGATGCGTCCATGGAGAAGATGTGCGAGCGCGGGAGGGCCCTGCCATCGTTTTGGGACTTGGCGGTCTTGGATAGCAGCGAGGCTAGATGGGTGGTTTTGTTTCCTGGGGCTGCGCAGCCGTCGATTAGATCGCCGGTCCAGGTTTCCTTTCCTTCCTGATCGCCGAGAAGAAGGTACGCGGGGAAGCAGGACGCCTTGTCCTGCAGGATGATCTCGCCGTTGCGATACGCAGCGGAAGTCGAGAACTCGGCGCCCGGGGCGACGGCCACGAGGTCCGGGATGTGCGGGTCGATGCGCAGACGCGGGGCCTCATCTTTGCTAACGACCAGCTCCGGCAGCGTGTCGACTTTGCTGTACGAGGCGAAAGTAGACTGCAGCTGGGCGTCGAGGTCAGTGCGCACATTATTGATCCGGACCCAGCGCGGGTAAATCGCGGAGACGGCGCCGTTGGCGGCGTCCTTTTCACGACGGATGGCGTGTTTCAGGTCGGCGACGGAGGCGCATCCGCGACGGACTCGCGCCTTGGTGAATTCGCCCCGTAGTCGCGTCTTGTGGCGCTCGATGGCCTGACGGAGGGGGTGGGCGGCCGGGGCTGCGATGCCGTTCTTTGCGAGCAGATGATCATGGACAAGGAGGAGTGCGAGATGCGGAGTAAGCTGGATGATTGTACTTTGTCAGTCAGCAGGTTTATCTTGCCGGGAAGAGGGTGTTGGGCCGGGGGTCGGTAAAGACGGTGTCAGTCAGCGCTAGTTCAATCATACACACCTTTGGTTCGAGCTTGATGATGCCCGCGGCCTCGATGACCTCCTTCAGCAGAATGTCCCATTTCGACGCCTCGATGATCAAAGCGTACAGCTGCGCCGGCGAGGCCTTGAGCGACCGAGAATTGTAGATGCGGGACTTGAACGAGCCACCAGTCGAGGCGGGGGCCGTCAAGACCGAGACAGCGTCGTAGTAGAGCGACATGGTTGTAGCATGTGCGAGTAGAACTGAGGATAGGAATTGCGATGCTTGACATTTTCGCCGTGGAAAAAAATCTGTTTGCACTGTTTGTCTTGTTTATCGGTGTTATCGATAATGGAGATAAAAGATACCGGTCATTCCCTCATACTCCCTCAAGTCCCTCAACCAAGTCCACATGGCCATCAATCAGTCGCGAGTGTTCCAGACCAGCCCAGAACCGACCTGTGCGGATCTCCAAGATTCACATGAATGCCCCAGCGAGGACCACCGTAGTGTACTGTACACTACACTACCTACATCATCTCCGCATGTCCCGCATCTACACTTCATCTGCTGCACAACACGAGAAGCACCTCCCACGTCATATGCAGAGCAACCCGGGGCCTCTTGATTCATACTTGCCCGCCCCGAACCGGAGTTTAAGCGCCGTTGCCTTGGAATAAAAGCTGACTACCTAGTATTCCACGTGCTCGGCCTGACATCTTCGATCTTCGCGGACAACACATCTTCCGAAGGCCTCCGTTGCGTCTACACATGTGGACTGTGTTTCTGTACGGTGTAGGTAGAGTGAGAACGATTAGGCCACATGATAGAACACAATACAACACATCCCTCCGTTTAGCCCCTCATCGGCATGCCGCGACAGACGACTGATTTGTCTGGTGGTGTCTACCTACCTAGTCCCAAGTACCCCTCTTTTTCCCCCGCACGCTCACCGACATGAAGAAGGTTTTTGTCACGGAACAATGAACCCAACCCGTCTGTAAGCGAGAACTATCCGACTTGTACCTTAAGGTATATGTAGCCCATTTCAACAATAAACCCTACCTATACCCAAATAGAGTGATGTGTAGATCAGCCCATGTACAATAGCTAAGGTACTCTCACTTTCAAACTCAATCTTGTACCCAACGCTCCAGTTCCAGCTCATGATAAGTTTGTATATACTATGTAGATACAGGATATGTATAGTCTAGTCTAGCTCCATCCAAAGACAAAAGACAAAGCCAACTCCCCGAGTCTAGATCCCTCCTAAAACCCTCCCTCCCATCGAGTCCCACCCAGAAAGAAGAACACACACACACACACACACACACACACACACACACAGAGTGGAAGCTCAGACACAGACACAAGACGCACGCACCCCCTGCCCAATCATCCCAAAAATACCTAGTTAATCAGTCCAGTCCGTCAGTCAGTTAATCTACATCTAGACCTTCCAACCAATCCAAAGACCAGGAATCGAACGACTCCTCATATGTATGTACTATACCTAGACAAGCCCCCCCCCCCCCCCCCCCTCCCCCACCCCAGCTTGTCCGTAATCACATGAATGGATAGCTTCCCGATGCCGCCTCACGCGCGCTATGCGATCCCGATCTCGACTCCCGTCGTACTTCCCGAGCTAGGAGGTACATACCTAGGGAGTAGTACTGTAAGGGAACGGAAGGGAAGGGAAGGCAGGGAACATCCGTGTTGCATCTAGCTTGGAAGGGATGGATGGGATGCATGTGATGTACGAGCCGCAAGATCGGCTAGCTGGCTATGGGCGATCTGGTCAGGATGGGTTGGTTCGGTGGTTATTTGTAGAGAGTACATAAGAGACGGTTAGATCAAATAGTGAACGTACAATACAACTGCAGGTAGTAATAGAGATTACGAATGTCTACATGAACAAGATGATAGCAAGAAAAATTAATTCAAGTCTGAAAAGCCAACACCTTCTATCCTAGGTAAACCATCCTGTTTGCGCCATAGAAAGCAAAAAAGAATAAAGTTGAAAACACGCGACCGCCGCTCGAAAGAAACAACAATTGACGGGGTATCCTGAGTATCAAGGAAAAGAAAAAATTAAAAAAGCAAAAAGCCCCCGCGCGTCGTAGAGTTCGAATCGCGGCATTAGGAGGAAACTCGGTCCCTCGAAGTAAGAAGTGTAAACCGTAAACCATAAGGCTTGAAGCAAAGAGCATGTGGACCGAAACTCCCAACAAATAACCGAAACAAGTGAAGCGCCCAAATAGTACAGATCAAGCAAAGGCATGTTCTAGAGCATTAAGTCGCAAAGGCTTGCAATCTAAGCGATGCCAGACAAAGCTGACAACATAAAGATAAGAAAGACGTATTGTCGTAAAGTCATCATGTTAGGCCCTTCAGGTCAATTAGAAGGTGCTCCAGTTCCAGCCGCGAGGAATGCTGGCGGCGATGTCGCCGGCTTGGCTCAGTGCAGCAGCGAGAGCCTTCTTGGAGTCCTCATCCTGCAAAGGATCGACGGGCTGGGCCGGAGCCTCTTCAACAGGTGTCTGAATGGGCTCGTTCTGAGTGTTGATCTGACTCTGGATCTTGGTCAAGCGCTCCGAACGAGATTCCTCCCAGCGCTGGTAGGCAACGTGGCAGAGGTCGCAAGCACGCGACTGGACGCCCTCGGGATGGAAGCGAGCATCCTGGTCGAGAGGAACGTTGTGAGGGGTGTGAGAAGAGCAGAAGACGTGACCACAGTGGCGGCAGTGATGACGGCGCAAGAAGAGGCCGAAAGAGGAGCGGCAAGTAGGCGAGTCGCAGTTGGGAGACGCAGAGTCCGCCTGTAGGAGAGGATCGTTAGCATCATATGCGGCGAAATGAAGTAACAGAGCGAGTAAGGGAAAACGATCCAATGCCAGGCCATGCCGATGACGCGCTGCGAAGATCACGCAATAATTCGCGAGCGACCAGTGACACTCACGTCATTGGAGGATATAAATCCATCGGCATCCCCCGCATGGAATCGAGTTCCCCTTATCTCACACCAACAGGAACAGAGGGAAATCAAACTTACTTTCCAGTGGTCGCGAGTCGGCATGCCGGTAACCTCGCCGAGGTGTTCCTTCTTCATGAATTCGTCCTCGGCCATCTTGCTGATGCTTCCGCTGCCATCGCTCTCGATGGTGGAGCGGCGGCTGATGGGCTGATGCACCTCAGTCTCGCTCAGGCTGTCCAGGGAACCGTGGACGCTGCGAGGGGGGGTGGGAGGAGACGGTTTCTGGGGACGCTCAGTCGGACGCAGCGCAGCGGGCACATAGAGGGGAGCCTTGGGCGGGCGCAACTGGCGAGTGTGAAGCGGAAGATATTGCTGACGAGGCGAGGTAGGGGAGTTATTGGCGGGCGTAGTGGTGGCCGAGTTGACGGGAGAAGGGTGGCCGTAGATGGAGATTTGATGGGCGGATGTGACCGGGGAGGTGGTGGTTGCAGTGACAACGTGAGTAGCCATGGTGACGGATCTCCGTTGTGTAGTTGATATTAAGAGTCGGAGTAGAGACAGAAGAAGAGATGATGGGAGAGGTTAAGAGAGGATAAGACTTCAGCGTGGTGACGATATTCCGGAAGCAGTGGATGATGTAGTAGTGAGGATGGAGTAGGTAGCAACGTCGGGGTAGTAGATTTAATAACAGTGGTTGAGGCGAGGAGAATGGAAAGGCGGTAACCAGTTAAGCATCGCTGGAGCGGCAGTGGCAACGGGCAGGGGGAAAAGTGGTGACGACGAGATGATAAAGTAAGACGGATAGTCAATAGATAGCAGATCAGATCTGGGTCGCTTGGAGGAATTCGCCCCGTTGTCCAGTGGCAGGTGGAAGGGGAGGAGAAAGGATGAATAGCGGGGAGAAGCGGGCTAAGTTAAGTAGGAAAGACTCGAATAGGACGGCGAAACGGCGGGATGGAATGGGCGCTTTTGGATTTTGCCATGCGCGGGTGGAGACGACTAGAATAATAATGATTTATATTAAAATCATTTGCAGAGGCAGCGCAGTTAGGTTGAGGCTAGAAAGTCCCGAAGAAACAGTGCCAGTGGGGCCGTTGGAGAGCAGATCGGAGGTGCCGGATTGGCTCTGCACCGGGAACGATGATGTTGCTCACTGATATTATTATTATTATTCTAAGTCTAATGAATATTTCATCTATCTACGACTGGACTCCGTCGTCGTGCCGACAATCCCGTCCTCCCGTCCGTCTGTACATTGAGGTACTCCGTAAAGTCTCAGAGTTTATCCCTGATCCCTGATCCCTAGAGGATGCTCGTGTCGTCTAGGACACTCAAAAAAAGGACGAAGGGAAAAAGAAAAGAAAAAGTCTCGGATGAATTCCAGGGAGGAACGCTTGACCAGATTGGGGGCGGCATTTTGCCGAGGTGGAAAGGGATGGGCGATGACTGGTTGACTCAACCGGTCGCACTCCACCCAGGAATTTGCCCGTCTTCCTTCTCGTCCCTCGTTTCTTTGTGCCGGACTTGGACTAGATTTGTTCGGAGGAATGGATACATCATGAGTGCTCAGTTATCATAACTCAATCTGTGATGACAATAGGGCCATGCAGACAACAATACACCGTGTAGTCTTCCCGACTATGACTCAAGGATACGTTAATATTTAAATCATAGGATGTATATCAGCAATCAGCATTGATCAAGAGATAATAATAAAAGAAAAACAAGAAACGGCGACGCACGGATTCGAGCTTACCGTCGCACTTGACTCCTTCGTCCTATTGGCGATGCAACCATCTCCAGGATACCCCTTTCTCCAAACCGTCAGTCATGATGACAACACAACCACCGCCCATCCCTGCCGTCCTTGACCGCTTTTTGTTCTTCCGCTCTCCTTCCCTTGGATTCCATGGAAGTATCTTGTTGACCGGCTCATCCTGTCTTCCTCCCCCGGCCATCCACGATGTAGTAATGATTACTTGGGCATCTCTATCCGGAGCATGACTCGTTTCCTTTTCAGGCGAGCCTCCCCACCTCCTGACTATCTCTCCACCGTGCGGTGTGTGCACTGCGGATGAAGTCCCATCGCCATCTCCAACACTCCACCGCGCTACTGGTTCGTACTCCGGACTACCAAAAAGACGAAAGTGCTGCGCGACGCGACCAGAGAGTGGCAGAGGCAGAGAGAGAGGAACGGACAGCGACCGACGCCTCTCGCCCTCATTCTGAGAATCGCCATTAGGGGCATCCTGATTGGCAACGGGGTTACAGTCGGGGAGGCCCACCGGGGATCCACGGGTCCCAACTCCCAAGTCCCAAGCCTGACCGCGATGGCTGCTTACTCCGTCAGGAAGAGTTCACGAGATCCTCGGCATTTGGCTTCATCGACGCAGTCCCTCGACCTTTATTGAATAATAGTCAATAAATCTGTAGGGAATCGGGGTGTACGGCAGGATGCGCGCATGGTTCTTTTCTGACATGCAGTTCCCAGATCCCCGGCCATTTACTTGCCTGTATATCGATTTCACTCCTTGCGAGAGCAGAGCGACACGGACCAGGAGATCAACTGGGTTCGCCTCGGTCAGGCGGTGGAAACATCAATCAACTGAACCAAGCTCGACTCGGTTAGATTCCCTCCTTGAACCGGCGGGTCTGGAAATTCGCCTCCGGATTGGCGGCTTCTTCATCTCTTTATCGCCGCGTGGTGATTGGCCGATGAGCATTGCTCACGTTCCCATTGGCCAGTGCCCAATCCCCTGCACGGACAGAGCCCGAGCATTTCTTTATTTCTTTATTTCTTTCGGGCAAACGCCTAGCGACGCCTTCCAGCTTAGGTTATGTAACGGATTCCTCCCGGCTAGTCCCGATGGGGCTAGCCCTTCCGGTGTTGCACCTCGGCCGTTGCGAGGAAGGCGCGTGCCTGAAATGGGTCGTCGGTGTTGGAAATTGCCCTCCACTCCGTCTCCGCGCTCCGTTTGCTGTCTTGGATATCAAATTATCAACATTATTCCCCTCCGTAGGGACCACCAACGGGAACATCAACATTAATCTTAAACATTCAGCCGCGGAGCCCTATACGCCGAGGCGCTTCAATCACTTTGTTTGCCATTACTCAACCGAATGCCACCGTTAATCTAATTTCCTTTGGCAGGCTGGTCCATAATCTTCTAAATAAAAAAAAAAAGCCACCAACCACCGACTTTCCTTACGGTCTACCCAGTACCCCAACAGGCAAATCAGCACGCGCCATTTTCCACTGACCATCAACTCCATCCGCGAAGCTTCCAGCGAACAATAGTCTAAATGATCTCCCTGGACCGCGGTTGGTCGTTCGTGTAAGACATCCGCCGTCTACCTAGTAGTAGTCTGGTACCTACCGACGGCGTACATGAAATCCTGGCCACCACCGCGCCGGGTCCAGAGTCCAGACCAGCGCGCCAGGGCGAATCTTGATAAGCAATGTTGCCTGGATGGACTATGGCTATGGAGCAGGGTTACATTGATAGGGATCAGGATCTCAGGATCTGTTTCTGTTTATTGGTTAGCGCGCTGGGCAAATTTAAACTACGCACCAGAGGTTCAATTCATTTACGTTTTCAGTCTTTAGTATTGTTCACTATTGACATGGATTAATTCAATTCCAACAACGGAGCGAACACGCTACTGTCGCTAAGTTAGCTGTACGGAGTAGATGTCGCTTGTATTCCATCCTCGGCCGTCGTCCGTCTCCGTGGTGAAATCAATCTAGGAGTCCGGATAATCTTAACTATGGAAAATCAAACCCCGATCGCATGCACTTCGTTCCAGCTCGGGGACTGCAGTCCGGCCCCTGCTTTCTACTTGCGTTCTTGCCTACACCTACGGATACTAGCTACACAGTAGTTAGTGCTACTAGGTACTTCTCGCTTCTGCGACGGTATCAGATTCAGATCCTAGCTGGGAGATCTCTCCTTTCTCGACCAGTGAATCAATCGGATTGACCTAAACCTAGGTTCAGTCACCTACGGTATATGTACCAGAAAGTTAAAGTTACTCCGTAGGTAAGATGAGACAGACAGCCCGAGAATCTTCCAGGAAGTATGTTATGTATCGGAAGCAGACGGAGTAAAACGCGATCGACAATTCTGAATCCAACGTTGCAGAACTCCTAAACGTATCGGAAACATCTGAAAAAGTGAGCGATGAACGTGTCACCATCTTGAACATGAATCAATCTACGGAGGTAAGAGTTGGAGAAGAGTTACGAAGACTGGACTCCTGGAGACTGGGTTTCGTCGCAACTCTCCGGTCTCACAAGTTACAACTTACAACCCCTGGAGCTCTGCAGATACAATTACAGCCACATTATCATTTCCACTTGCTGGGCAACAGGTGGGTCGGGAGGTAGACCGGTCGGGCGGACGGAAGGATCAGGACCGGATGCATCGCCATCCAGACACGAGAGGGGAGTAGAACGAGATGACAGCAAGACGAAGATTAAATTAACATTCACATAGAATTAGAATTCCTATTAGAATTTGATTGTTTGGAATTGACTTTGACTTCAAAAGTTGGAGTCAACTGTACATACACAGTACCTAGTAAATTCTAAATTTAAGTCTAAGTTCAAACTAATAAAGAATACGTGGTCGTACTGCGTAGTCTTGATATCATCACACATCTGGTCCTGCGTCTGCATCGGATTGACGCCCGGGATACGAGCCGATGGGTGCACAGCTTGCTTGGGACCTGGCCGGGCTGATGCAATAATCATGTCTCCTATCGTCGGGGGTTTCACGGAATACGATGGATGCACTACGGTGCACATACTTGACTTGAATTAATACGGGTAAGCAGAGCGATTTGACGTATTGTCGGGATATATTCCGTTGTTTGTCTGAGTCTCTGTACATAGTTGACCGGTGTTATGATATGATACGAGGTGATAACGCATATCATATACAGACACATATGCAGCCGATAGTCGATACTCGATAGCATCGAGTAACCGCCTATCGATAAAGACTATCGATAACACCAAAGTTATCACGATAACATTCCCATTCCCTGGACCTACGGACTACACCAAGAACAACTAGTAATACCTAGTTAGAACTGCTAGAGGCCAAGAAAAACAAACCCAGCAGAAAATCAACTCAAGCCAAGACCAAACCAACCAGTCACGAAGCAAACAATAATCCCTATCCTCAACCACGGGTCACAGTTCACACCGTCCAGCCCAACAGGGAAGACATCGTAGATCCATCCCAAACGAGAAATCCCGCAGAAGAGGCCACGAAGCCTGCCCGAAAGGCAAATTATTGGGAAACGGAAGTTCACCTACAGAACAACACTAGAGAATCCCGTACCGAGTTTCAAGCGACACCCTAGTCCCTGCAGCGGGATGTAGTCTCGACCTGGTAGGGTTTAGTTTACGGAGTACTAGAGTAGTAGTCCCTTTCCATTATTATTGTTATGTTATTTTTGTTAGCGATTCTCTGCCGTGTCTGTCGGTCAGCGTCTCCATTTTCCATCTCCAAGTCCCCAGTCCCCAGTGGCCAATTTTCTTCGACCTCTAGCCGACGAGTCCCGGGTAAATTAGACTATTTGACGGGGCCACCGTTTCGAACCATGGCTCACCACCTGCAGCCACCCACTTGATGGCTTGTCAGGTGGCGGTGGGACGCGCGGGAAATCTGAGTGGCTGGCAAGTTTGCAACAAAGTGGACAAGGGTGGTTTATTATTATCGTTTTGGGGAGATTGTTTGTGGAGGGTTTGTTTTTGTTTGGTCTTTGGCATTTTGGCTAAGCTGCTTGTTCTTTCTCTGTAAGGTCCACTGATGTACGGGGGACTCCGTTGGACTACAGCGTTGCTTTCGTGATCCTCAGTACTCCGTACAGTGCAAGCCAGCAGCACCGGCAGCTCGGCTCGGTGACTGCTGATCATTGTTTGTTTGGGGTGGTGCACACGATGCTTTACTTTGCTGGGTTCAACTTCTGCCCGAGGTCTGGCTCCCGAGATTAAACCACTTACTCCGTAGTCTGTTACGGAGTAGGTGGCCTCGCTGTTTCTCCTCGGGGAATCGAATATTCGGGATGTTTCATCTCCTTTTCGGTTTCTGCACGGAGGGAAGTTTCTCTCGGAGTCAGTTGGTGTTTGTCGGACTCGGATGCGCTTCCGTCGGGGTGTTTTCTTTATCTTACTGTACCAGATAGGATAGGTCTATTGTGTTTATTTGCAATATATGCAGTGATAAGCCGCCTGCAATATTTATCTACATGCTACAGATAGATATCAATTCATAGAATTAAAAACTTACATACAGACTACATTATATATACATCCAACGATCTATCTACAGTCTACACAGAATCGAGTCAGTGATCCATTAACGGGCAAATTACACCTAATACCCATCAATTTCAACTCAACTCAGCCTCAAATGTAGGAACTACCCTGCACTATAGAAATGCATCTAGGTCATATCAAATCCACACCATCGTATACATAGTTATTTAAAGCAACCGATCAGTAACCACAAGACAAACACCCTAGAGCCCCTGAGCACCTGCATAACCACATCGTCACATACATATACTACTGTAGATATGCATGTCGCATCCCCAACCCGCAGCATGTCATGTCATCTCGTACTTCTGTCCGCAGATCCTCAAACATCTAGATCTGCAGGTGATATCTACCTGCCTACCCGGTATGTATCAATTGGTGTGAATGTGATCGTATCCAGCAAACATCCAGTGCCCGGTTGCTGGCGTGCGGCTTCGCTCCCGATTTGTCGCCACATGCAGATGGCCGTGTCATGTTGATGTACAGTAACTAGCCCTACTTGGCTCTGCATGTAGATTGCAATGTGACAGGTAGCAAACAGTGACAGGTCGACTTTTATGTATAGGAGATGTCTGGTTGGTTGGTTTGTTGGTGCCGAAAGGTAAGTGTCCTTGGTGCAGCAGGGTCAGGGCCAGATCAGATCCATGGCCATGTCATGTGTGGGATTTAACCCGTACTTTGTAAATGTGAGGGGGAGGAGAGGAGAAGAACGATGGGGCAGCTGGGCGGTTGCGTTGCTGGGGTAGTGGCCTGGTGTTTTCTTTGCTTTTTCTGGATGGGTAGTTTGGTGTTTCGGTGGAGTTATGGTGTTGTTTGGGTGGCTGGTTGGACTAGATTAAGGTTCGGTAGCATTTATTGATTGTTTATTCATCCGTACTGTGTTTCTTTGTCTGAATTCGGTGTTTATAGTTATGTGTGTAGTGTCGTAGATGCTTGAGGTGTAGGTTAACGAGTACATGGTTCTCGTCACTTGATCTTGATTCGATGACGGTTATAGATACCTTTTATGAGACCTCTAGGTTGCATAGTAGCTATCGCTATGATTTAACCAGCCGATTCAAATATCCTTACATGTCATTTCATCACTAAGGCTACTGCACTACTCAACTAGCACTTTATATAACCTCAGAAGTATATCCGGATCTAATATCATGTACTACTCCGGACGGAGCCCTAACAGACTAGTCTTATAGCGATAATAGGATCCAGGACACTTGCTCCATCGCTTGTCTACGATTTTGTATTGAACCCAGTTCGTAAATTCATATTGATTGCATATCCAGCGGAAACTCTGACATAGATGCCATACGGTGTCCACCCACCCTACAACCGCACCGGCTCCTCATCCCTCGACACCAACAAATGGCCCTCCCTCACCAACGAATTCTTACACGTCCTCTTCTCCTTGAAATCCAACAAATTCGCCAACGTCACGCCCGCAATCTCACCCAGCGCCTCCTCCGTAAAGAACGCCTGATGCCCACACACCAACACATTCGGAAACGTCATCAACCGCATCAACGTATCATCATGGATGATCTCCCCGGAGTGGTCATTATAAAACAGCCCCCCTTCCTCCTCATACACATCCAACGCCAACCCACCCAACTGACCTCTCTTCAACGCCCCAATCGCCGCTTTCGTATCGATCAGCCCCCCGCGCGACGTATTCACCAACAACGCCCCCTGCTTCATCTTCGCCAGATTCTCCCCCCCAAGAAGATGCCGCGTACTCTCCGTCAACGGACAATGTAAACTGACAATATGGCTCTCGCGCAACAACTCGTCCAGCTCCACAAAAGCACCGTATTGTGTGAACTCGTCCCCCCCAAACGGATCATACGCCAGCAACCGACATCCAAACCCATTAAAGATCCTCGCCAGCGCCATCCCAATCCGCCCCACGCCGACCACCCCCACCGTCTTCCCGTGCAGCGTATGGCCCAGGAACCCCTCCAGGTTGAAATTGCCCTCCCGGACGCGGTTGTACGCGCGGTGCGTCTTCCGATTCAGCGTCTGGATCAGGGCGACGGCGAACTCGGCCACCGCTTCGGGGGAATACGAGGGGACGTTTGCGACGAAGAGGCCGAGCTCTTCGGCGGCTTGGAGGTCGACGTTGTTGTAGCCGGCGCAACGGAGGAGGATGGCGCGGGTGCCGTGGGCGTGGAGGCTTTTGAGCACGGGCGCGGTAAGGATGTCGTTGACGAAGACGCAGACGGCGGTGCTGCCGTAGGCGAGGGAGACGGTTTCGCTGGACAGAGCGAAGGAGTGGTAGGTTATGTCGCAGAGGGAGGGGTGGTGCGTTTGCAGGGTTGAGGTGAGGTATTGTTTGTCGTAGGATTTGGCGCTGAAGACGGCGAGTTTCATTTTGGATGTTGGATTTGGGAGGGGGGGGGGGGATTAGGATGGATGAGTTCGTGGGTGAGTGTAGATATCTGAAAAGGTGAGTCGTCGACTTTGTGGTATAAGTATACTGTCGGGTTGGATGACGTAGGGGATCGGACGTCAGACATCAGACCATCGTCGCATCCGGGGATGCTGGGCGGCTTGGCTCTGGGTTTGTTTCCCCGTATGAACGTTCTTTACTATGATAATAATATATTTATTACTGTTTAATACCAGTCGTGCACACTATGCTCTCTCAATCTGCCTTTGTAGCTAGTAACTACTGGTGGATATATATCCGTCAAATGTCATCGCATCTACTCATCCAGATAACATTCTCCACGCATTTCCAACCAACAGAAGAACCTTATTTCGAATTCTATCATCTGGCATTAAACCACAATAGCTACTCGGAACTGCTCCTCAAGCGCATGAAGGAATAAACAAGATATTCACCACTCTCACCCACCCATCCAGCCTCTCCCCCATCCCTCCATCAAAAATTCTACTATAAATAGCACGTCCACGATTAAAAGTAAAACTCAAGCAATATAATATCCTCTAGCCATTCCCATCCAAACCACCCCAACCCCCGCCGTAACAAACGGAAAAACCCCCTCCTTCAACCTAACCGTCCTCCAAACCAACAACTCACTCCCAAACAGCACCAACACGCCGACGAACGTCAACGCCGCAAGATCATAAAGCGGCCCATTCGTGATATGATACGCGGCAGCGAGCCGGATCGAACAGCTGTAGACGTTTTTGATGCCGTAGACGTGTGCGAGGAGGGCCGTTTTGGGCGGGGCAAGGGGGCCGGAGAATTGGCGGAGGGAGGCGCGGGGGTGGAGGTATGTGACGAGGGTGTGCGTTAGGCCGGTTAGGGAGATCTGTTTGGTTTCACAGTTGGGTTAGCCTTGCGGTGGGAATTGGGGTTCAAGGGTGTGTAGTATAGGGGTTGTTGGGTGGGTTGGCCTGTAGTCTTTGGATGTTGGGGGAATGGAAGGAGAAATACCAGGAGAAGGTAGTATGGAAGGAAGCCATGTTCGGTTGAGGGGAGGATGGTGGATGGCATTTCGTTTTTTAGGCGGTGGTGATGATGATGATTAGGGTGGGTTGATTTAAGGTGGTGAGGGATTTGGTGAATTCTTGAACCTGGCTAAGAATAAGCAGATAGGCAGTGGATTACTGTTTTATACTATGATCTTAAGCAGGTAGCACCATTCATTGTTCAGGATCTGTAGGATTCCACCGAAGAAGCTCAGAGCAATGCATCCCGCGGCTCTGTCGGTAAGCTTCTTCCCCAAATACCCAGGAAAATAGTATCACTAAGGCCAAAATGGCTGGACAAAGACTAGTCATCCACATCACTAGAGAGCCTGTTATCAAATTTACAAGTCTAACTCCATACAGTAGGAGGCCTAAGAAAGATGGATGGCGGATCCCATCCTGCAGGATCAACTCGTCTATTTCAGCATTATCCCAACTAGACAACCACTTATCCTGCCTAGAAAAGACAAATAACCAATCACAACTCCGCTACGTTACTCGACGGGTTGGGTTTCCTGACACTCCCCGGACGTTCGGTTTCATGGAGACTAGAAGATTCGGATTCGGATCGCGCAGTCTTCTCGAGGCCATACTCCAGTAAATCAGGGTTTCTGGAGGCATTGTTAGCGCTGAGTACGGAGCACAAAAAGAAGGGGACACGTACTTTTTCACGTAAAAGTAAATACCGAGAATTGATATGATGCTGCCTGCGGCGAATGCTGTCGCTAATGGAAACCCAATAGGGTACCGGGGACTGTCGGAGGTTCGCCACGCGCGGAGAGGGATGGTGGCGTGTCCGATATCTGGCGGGTGTTAGCTGTAAGCCGAGATATTGTCTCGCATGTAGACAGGTCGGCTGCCATACAAACTAAGGTTACAGATGCACCGACGAGAAGAGAGCGCGCTTCGGGCTCTTTCCTGAGAATCTCCCCGATCCAGGCGAGAAGAGCATATCTAGACCCGAGTCAGTTGTGCATTTAGAGGATGAAAGACGACATACCCCCAAGCAGCAGTTGCAAAGGTCAAAAAGTAAAAGGTCATGATGGTAGGTGTCGAGCTGGGCCACGCTGATAGAACCGCACAGGCAATGATTTGCAGAATCTATCCAGCTGAGTTAGCATCTGCCAGACCTGATAGAGGAAAGAACATACCGCAGGTCCGATTGAAACCTGAACACGCCAATTCTTCCAGTCACTGAGCGCGTTCAAGGCCACCGTGCTGACAATGGAGATAGCGTAGCCCCCGAGTGGGATCAAATTGACAGTGTAAGTGCTGTAAAGCGGCTGGCCATCGGCGCGAGTGAGTCCCTAGAGATGTCAGCCACATCCCACAAAACGCGCAGCAGACTTACTTTCAGATACAAGAGAAAATAAGAATTCGACCTTTGACTCCAGGCAAATTGCAAGTAGGCGGCGATGTACATCCAAGCCACGGGACTCAGTGTGATCTGCTTCGCTTTTCTGAACAACCGCCGATAGTCGATCAGTTTGGATGTCTCGGTCTTATACTCCTCCATGCGCTTGAGCGAAAGGCGACGCTCTGCATGGGTCAGCCACACGGCTCGTGTGATTGAAGGTGAGTCGGGAATGATGAGAAGACCGAGAAGGCCCCAGAATATGGTGATACAGCCGCTGCAGTCGTGGTTAGTATGGTTTGACGGCGAGACGGAGGGAAACTACCTGACTATGAACAGCCATTGCCATCCCTAATCCGATTAGCTTACTACGGCATCTGTGGCTTCCAGTCTTACCTGCAGTCCCGCGACACCATTCAAGTTCTTGTAAAGAGCAGCTTGCAGGATGCCCAGGAACATACTGCCGGCCTGTCCGCTGACTCCGAAAATAGCGAGTCTCATTCCCAATTCCGGTGGCGTATCTGGAATAATCAGTACGGAGTTCCATGCGGATGCTAACAGTACTCACACCAGTTGAATATAAGACTGACAATCCCGGGCCAGGAGGTCTAAAAAGTCAGCGCGGGCGTGATATTCATGTCGAGGTCACCTACCGATTCGAAAATGCCCAGGAAGAACCGAATAGCATATACTGCTTGTGCATTCTTCGCTGCATAGGTTCTAGTACCAAGTCAGTGCTCTCGAATCATAGACCATATATAGACGCTCGGGCAACCTACGCAAGAGTCAGACATCCCCAGATGATTTCGCACACCGGCAGAACGAGCGACGGCCGAATCAACGTCTGGATCATTTGCGACGGAACAATGGCCAGAGCATATCCGATTGAAAAGTACGTGGTGAACTCGACCAGCTCGTTGCCGTACAGGCTGAGCGACTCTTGCATCCCAGAGACGTATGCTTGCGTTGTCGCTGATTGATCCATATCCTGGATGGTCAGTACCTGCATGCACAAGAAATGCAAGGTCCGAAGTCTCTTACTTTGGTCAGACCGGCCACAAACATCCACACAAGTAACAGACAATCCAACTTGAGCACCAGCACGCGGTGCGGATCCTTAAAGATCCTCGAAAAGACATTGTATTTCGCGGCGGACGGCCGCGTATATCGATCCGAGTCCGAGTCCATCTTCCCCCGAACATACAAGAAACGACAACGATAGACCGATCAAGCCATCAAGGCGATCCATCCTAGAATATATACGGTCAAATAACAGCATGATGGTTGGAAATCTGTCGCCTCTATGACGTGCTCCGTGTGGTTGATCTTTCTACAATTCTCGACCCGTCCTCTGAAGCATCAACAGTCCAATCCGACGCTAACATGGGTAACACTGCAGCGTGTTGTGCGACCATCGGAATCCGCCCGATCAAAATTACTTTTTTGGCTGGATGTGCAGCGCAAGAGGGTCGAGATGCACTTCATCACTGGCAGACGCTGACGCCTTTCTTGGCTGCGATGAGCCGATGACGGTGGCCCGCCCGCCCGCAGCGTTAGTAGAATGGACCGTTATAAAGTCTCCCGCATGCCATGTGGGGGTGATCTGGATGATCGCGAAGTCGATATCATTATTTGGAGATCTTTGGAAGGGACATCATGACCACGCAACCGCTCTATCCTGAATATCTACCTGTCAGGCCGGAGGGTTTCACGCCGACACTGGATCTCGCCCCGTTCAAAGTCGACGAGCCGGGGTTGCGCGCGGATCCTGAGCTACCTGAGATTAAGACGGCGAAGTCGAAGTTGAAGAATATCACGCCTCGGATTGGCACTGAGATTCGGGATCTCCAATTGAGTCAGTTGTCGCCAGATGGTCTAGATCAGGTGGCATTGTTGGCCGCTCAGCGAGGCGTGCTTGTATTTGTGAGTATTTCGCCGTTTAACAAGGATAATTTTGTACTAACAGCTTCAGAGAGACCAAGACTTTGCCGACATTGGTCCCCAAAGACAGAAAGAGATTGCGACACATTTCGGTCCACTCCATAAGGTGCGCGCAGAACTAAAGCCAATATACTGTACAGGGCACATTTTCATACTCACACCCATGACACCAGCATCCAACAATGGGCTATCCCCAAGGCACAGGCCCCGAATTCCAAGTAGTATACGCCGACGAGAAAGTGTACGTCCCTCCCCCTCCCCCCTCACCATAATCTATATCATCCCTCAAGCCCACACATGTATACAAAGAGGAACCCTCCGCGATCTCCTCGGCCCCCGAACAAACTACGACCTCTGGCACATCGACCAAACATTCACACCCAACACGCCCGGCACGACCTTCTTCTGGGTCCTCGAGCCCCCCGCCTCCGGAGGTGGCGACACAGCCTTCACCTCTCTCACCTGGGCCTACCAAGCCCTCTCACCATCCTTTCGAGAAGGTCTCCACCGCTTAAAGCTGCTACACACGAGCGCCAGCGTCGGCGAGGTCGCGCGGATCGGACAAGAGCGCGCGCTGAAAGAGGCTGTCAAGACGGAACATCCGCTGGCGATTGCGCATCCGGTGACGCGGGAGCCGGTGCTGTTCGTGAACCCGACGATTGCGCGCCAGGTGGTGGGGTATAAGCCGAGTGAGTCGGAGATGTTGTTGGGGTTCTTGCATGAGCATATACGGTCGTTGGATTTTACGTGTCGCGTGTCGTGGGAGAAGGGGACGGTGGTGGTTTGGGATCAGGTATGCTTTCCCTTGCCTGTTAGTTTTGGGTTAAGGATGCTGGAGGTTGGGATGATGCTAATTGAGTGCCTTGGACAGAGAACTGCGGCGCATTCGGCGGTTCCGGATTTCATTGATGGCGAGAGAAGGCATATGGTGAGAATTATTCCGTATGGGAGTCAACCGCAGCCTGTAGGTTAGGCTATACCCCTAGTAAGAAGAGAAGGATCAAGCGCAAATGTTAAACTGACAAAAGGCAAGTATAAGTAAGCGTGTCGCCAATAGGAACAGCATCATAATTATTCATCAAGATGTTAATTAGACATGATAAAGACCAACATAAGATAGAAGAAAAAGAGGTCCCCATCTCCCCTATACCGGCCTTCTCTGCCTGTACATTCTGTCCTTTCTTCCTGTTTCTCTTCCTGTTTATTGCAAAAGGCGAAAATCCTGAATATGCGCGGCCTGACGCTCAAAACCCATCAAACGCAGCCTTGTAGTCGAATACATACAACTAATTCCCATCTCTATAGAAACGAATCAGCGCGAATAACCCTGCGTATACCAACTCGCAGCCTCCTGCACCCCATCAAAATAAACCCTCTCGCCCGTCATATGAATGCGATGATAATAATCCATCTCGGTATTCTGTCCGGTAAACGCCTTCGTCACCTTGCCCAGCTGCGCATTCACATGATACCCCTTCCCTTTGGAAGAGGGATTCGCGAAGTCGTAGTCGTCGCGGATGGTGAATGATTGGCCGGTCTCGATGACGTGGCCTGTGATGCCCTTGAAGGCGGGAGCGTATTTGACATCGCCCTAGTTTGAGAGGGAGTGGTTAGAAGGCGAGTAGGTTGATAGGGAAGGTTGGGGGTTCATGAATATGTGGGAGGGTTCATACACTGGGCGTGGGATAGTGCGTCACGTAGGAGTTTTGCGGGTTACCACCGCCGGGTCGGCTGGCCTCAAGAAACTTGTCTACTTTGAGGGTATGTCGACCGTTGCTGGTTACAAAGGCAAGGGCGTCTGTGCGGGGTTCCTTGCTTGGGATGATCTGTTCTCGACTCATGATTTGGTTTAACGATGTTCTTATGGGATAGGTAGAATGTGGTTGATAAGAGGGTTGTTGCGGAGAATGAAGATCAGACTTGCAGGAGGAACGGCCCCTTTTATATATCTCAGTTCCTCCCTCCTCTTCTATAATAGAGTCTCTTTTCAGCTCCGTATGAATACGAACGACGAGGCTAAGGGTGGTATAGGATCTGTCCTATAGCATCTGCACTGCACGAGGCTGACTAGGCAGTGTAAGACTTGGCATTAGGTATATCGCCAGCTCTACAAAGCCAATGAAAGATTATATACATATTGGTTCGGTTTTGCTTTTCTAGAGAGACCGCCGTAGCCGCCTACAGGCATCCCAGTCCATGATGAGGGCATCCTAGGCACTGAGCAACCAGAAGAAGATGTATCTCTTGTCAGCCCGCTCGTTGCTTAGCAGGAACTCGTCTTAACACGAAGAACAGATCGGAAATCCAGCAACATCACGACTTGGATGCATTCGCATTCAAAAAGCTTGCGTGATATCCTCGGATATGCAATTGACGAAGATCAATGATCAATAGAATAAGAGTACAGCGTTAAGTAAAGAGATGTCAGCAGTCAGGTCGTTCTCAAGACTGCATCTAAGATACTGCAGAAGAGGGCTGTGAGTAGTATCAAGATTGTGTGTTCTTTTGGAATCAAGCAATTTGTAATAGCTTCATTAATGTTACGGTAGACTTGCGCGGGCTAATATAAATGAGATAGGGTGAAGACTGAATTAGGGTTGGCAGAGGCTTAGGAAGGGTATCCAGCCAAATGAGTGAAACAACACAATCCAACAACAAGCTCTGTACAAAGAACCAAAAGATAGACATAGCTCTGGAGTATCCTGAATATTAGGCACGACTAATAAGATAGAAAGAAAACATTACAACAAAACATAACACATTATATCACAAGCATCACCAACCAACTAGTCCTATCCTCACAACGAAGCATCAAACTTCCCATCCACCTCCACCACCTTCGCAACCGCCTTCTTATACCCCTCTTCCTGCTGCAACCGGTCCACGTACTCCTGCAACTTCGGGTACTGCTCCTTCAAAGGCACTCGGCTGGCGGCCGCGATGACTGGGAAACTCATCATGATGTCGGCGGCCGTGAGCTGCTTTCCGCAGAGGAAGGGACCGCCGTCCGGCGCGGTCTTCAGTCGCTCTTCCAGGAAGGTGAAGTTGGCGTTGACGTTGGGCAGCACGAACATCTCTTCGACTTTGGACGCGACCAGGCGCGGGATGGGCTTAATGAAGAAGGGCATGCCGGGGGCATTTTTGACGGCTATATGAGACGGAGGTTAGTGTCTGTATGAAACGTAGCATTGATTCCGACCACATCCTCAACATAACAATGAATGATAGGGGGAAACATACTATCCATAACCAACTTAAACACCAAAAACGGCATCAACGTGCCCTCCGCATAATGCATGAAATACCGGAATCGCATCCACTCCTCGCTCTCCCCACCGACCTGGCCCTCCTTCCCCTCGGCGTAGCGCTTCGGGACCAACTTCCCGGCGCTATCGAAGTGATCACACAGATACTCGGAGATGGCGCCGGACTCGGCCAGCACGAGCGGCTTGTCGGTGTGCTCGGTCTCGATGGTGATGACGGGCGATTTGCCAAGCGGGTGGATTTTCTTGAGCTCCGGGGGAGCGAGCATGTCGGATCCGCGCTTGAAGGTCTTGAGTTCATATGAGACGCCGAGTTCTTCGAGGAGCCAGAGGATGCGCTGGGAGCGCGACTTCTCGAGCCTGTGTGGGTTTTGGTCAGTTGGTCAGTTGGGGGAGCAAAGGAGGGAGAGAGACGAACCAGTAGAGAGTAATCTTTGCGCCGTTGTTTGCGTCGGCCATGATGAAGATTGTGCGTTGTTTGTTGGGATAGAATAGTGATTGGAGGTACTTCGCAGGTAGCCACCAGCTGTTTATCCAAGGTACAGTACTCCTTTACTTATATACCTAGGTAATAGAGACCAGACTCTAGCAAGGGATCAATCAGGGGATCGTCGCGCTTATATTCTAGACTTCGAGCTCAACCGATCTGAATAATTGTCCTTTGCGCCAGTGTTGAGAAAGCCGGCAGATCAAGCACCACAGCCTCGGAGAAGAATGTCTGAGCCTGTGAAAGGCCACTGCGTCATTGAACCGGTGGGTCTACCGAGAACCTTCGCAACGCTAACTCAATTTTGCGATAGACCGGCTTGAGTGGTGGTGGTGGTGGCTGTAGTGGGAGTAGACCGATCTTCATGTCGTGGTCCATTCTGAGGGGACAGCATCAACCAGCTGATGGCTCGTGTTGCTCGTATTTCATCTCATCTCGACGGGGAAGATAGATGTAAAAAGAGAAAGAGTCGAGGAATCTTTTGCAATCGGATCGATGAAATACCCCGACTGCAGCCAATCACAGCATTGCCAATCCAGTGACCGCTGACTCAGCATTTTATCCCACGTGACCTCACGGGGAACTTCATCGCCCGAGCGCAAAGGGCCGTTTCGATGCTCAATTAGCTGTCGAGTTACGTCCCCAACACCGCAACCATGGCCGGCCCTAGCAAGTGTGAGTGATGTCCTGATCGAGAGTCAGTTGGTTCTTGAGCTAATTTTTTCCGCCTGCAGCTTTGATCCTTGATCCGGCCCTTCAGAAATACTACGGTACTTCCCTCCTCCCCCTCACACGTCTCGCTCTGTTTCGTCTCCGGCGGAGGGTTTAGATTTGAGGTCGACTGCTCCTGGATTTTCGATTGAGTCTGCAGATATAAATGTAGATGCGGAGGAAATGGATCCGACAGACGAAACCCCAGAGCAACGACCCTGATACTGACGTCTTCCCTCGCCAGAACTCAACGCAAACCGCTACAAGTACTTCCGCTGGACGCCGCGCCATGCCTGGTTCTCGTTCCTCTACATGGCCCTGATCCCCGGAACCCTGGGCTACCTTACCTACAAGACGGAGGTATGTTCTGTTCGAACTGGACGTTGAATCGGAGATAGATCCGGCAACTATGGACCTGTGGGCTGGATGGGCTAACTGATTGATTGCTGTGAATAGGGCAAATGGGAGTTCCGCGGAAAGAGGAGGGGCGATTCTATTCTCGAGTATTAAATCGGGTTTGGCTGGTTTGGGATGAGATGATGGAAAATGTGAGGATGGACGCGTGATATGGCTCGGTCGATCGAGCTGCTTGCTCGGAGGGTCTGCGTCGAACTGAATTTTCGATTTGTCGGTGCTGGTTGTGTATCTATTATTGAATATACCGCATGGGTTGGTTTTTGTTCTTCATTTGTGGATTTATGCTGCGAGCATGGGTGTCTGCTTTGCGTGACTGACGAGTAGGGTGTTTCGGTCCTGGACGCTGGCATTGTAGTTCTACTTTCTACCTGTAAGTCAAGTGACCTGATGTCTTCAGGAAGAATATCAATAGATGGAAGCAGAACTGTATGTCAAGTTCATTGATATGTATAAGAACCGGGTATCCCATTCCGGATCACAACTCCATGCAACTAGTCAATCCCTTAAACACTGGCACCAAACAAAAGGCGAACGACAGAAAGATACAGCACAGTAGGCAAATCGACAAAGCTCAACCAAAGCAATCAATCAACCACTCAATACGGTGCCCATCCTCGCCTCCCTCCACGACCCCCTCCTCCCTCCGGTAACCTCTCTCCCCGTTTCCAATCTCCCATGGGCATCATCCCACGATCACCCCCACGATCACCTCTTCCTCCCCTCCCGCCTCCAGACCTCCCAAACCCAGGCTCCCTAAACGCTCTCATCCCCCCTCCAACCGTCGAGCTCATCGCGCCCCGCCCAACCGTCAACGGCGGCGCAACGGACCCATCCTCCAACGGCGGCAACACCGCACAATCAACATAATCGCCAATCACGAACCGCATCTCCTGCAACGTCTTTTCGGCATCATGGCCCTGCAGACGCAGCGCCCGGGCCGCAGGTCCACCCTTCTTCTTGCCCGCGCCCTCGTCCTCCGCCTCATCTTCCCTCCCTTCCTCCTCAAGCCGTCGCTGCGTTTCGTCGCGATACGGACTCTCCCTCGGCCCCACGACCACACTCCCCATGTCCTTGCTTAGATAGCGCCCGCGCGCATCGGGCCCCATACTCGCCGCCGCCTTCGTGTCGGGGTAAATGAGTCGGAAGCAGAGTCTCGTGCCGACGGCCGGGTCGGGCAGAAGCGATGGTAACGCGGACGTGAGCAGCTGCGAGAGCTCGCGCAGGGTGCACGACTGCCAGGTGTAGATCTGCAGGTGCGGTGGGAGGTTGCTGGTAGCTTGTTGTTGTTGTTGCTGGGGCGGCGGGGATCGCGAGCGGATCGAGTTCGGTCCGCTGAGAGGGCCGCTGTAGTTGTGTGGGGGGCTGGGAGGGGCGAAGTCGGAGAGCGGGTGGAAGTTGTTGACGCGATAGAAGAGCTTTAGGTGGAAGGGGGTGGTGGATTGGCGGTCGATTTTGGGGGGTTTGGGCGCATCGCGAGCGGCCATTTTGGAAGATTTTTTTTCTTGATGATCGGGTGTTTTAGAGGTGAGTGGATGGGTGAGTGTTTGATTGTTGTGTTGATGTTGAGACTTGAGGTGGAGGATTGTCGCGGGTAGAGAATTGAGAGTGGTGGAGGGGATGGAGAAGCGCAATGGAGAGGTTGCAGGAAGAATGGAGGTGAAGCTTGTCGTTTTGTCACGGGGAAGAGAAGAGCTGAGCTCCGCCGCCGCAGAAGATCTTCTCCGCCTCCACTTCCACCTCCTTCTCTTTCCCTCTCTCTCCACTCTAACAAATCCATTCCACTCTGACCAACCGACCTGGTCTTCAGCTCTTTTACATTAATTTCATTTCTACTCCATACCGGCAATACCTATCTCTATACTAACGTGATCAAATCCCACACCACCCACCATGGATTTCGCCGCCTTAATGGCCAAAGAAATCTCCAAGGCCAAACCCGAAAAGAAAGCCGACACCTCATCCACCACCACCGCCCCAGAAAAGAAATACATGCGCCGCGCAGACATCGAAGCCGCGCGCGTAACCGCCTACAAAGAAGAACAAGAGCGACTCCAACGCGAGCGCGAAGAACGTCAAACCCAGAAACGCAAACACGAAGAAGAAGAAGCCGAGCGGCGGCTGCAGCGCGAAGAAAAGAAGCGCCGACTGGCTGAGGAGTCTCGGAAGCGGCGCGAGGAAGAAGAGGCGGAGCAGGAGCGACAACGGCGGAAGAGGTTGGGTTTGCCGGAGTTACCACCTGCTGGCGAGAAAGAAGACGACAGCGCCCTAGGTGAGCAGGAAGAGGATATCCCTGACGAGGAGCTGGTTGGGAAGTTGCGCGAGCTGGGCGAGCCGGTGTGTTTGTTTGGCGAGACGCATCGGGGTCGATTGCGTCGGTACCGCCGGGTCGTGCAGCGGGCGTCGGCGCCGCAGCAGAAGTTGTCGGATGGGCCGATTCCGACGACGTTGGAGTTGGTGCCGGAGGTGGAGATGAAGATCTCGACGACCCTGCCGAAGGATGTTGAGGGGCGTAAGTATCTGTTCAGGCAGCTGGCGTCGTATTTCAATATGGTGCTGAAGGAGTGGGAATTGGCGCTGGCGAAGCGGGATGCAACTGTGAAGCAGAGTCTGCAGGGACGACAGGCCTACAATGCGATGGTGCAGTCGAGGGATAATTTGAAGCCGCTGTTCCGGAAATTCGAGAAGGTCGATCTGGATGATGGTGTGCTGGAACACATTGTGGAAATCGCCCACAAGGCTCAGCAGCGGCGATATGTCGATGCAAATGATGCCTATTTACGACTAAGTATTGGAAAAGCGTATGTCTTATATTTTACTCTTACCCCTTCCAGTTCCTGACACATAGCTAACAATTCGCAGTGCATGGCCCATCGGTGTAACCATGGTTGGTATCCACGAACGTTCAGCTCGAGAGAAACTGCACCAGAGTGATCAGCAGGCCCACATTCTGAGCGATGAGATTACTCGAAAGTATCTGCAGAGTATTAAGCGATGCTTGAGCTTTGCGCAGACTCGCTGGCCCCCGGATGATCAGCTGCAGATCATGGGTTAGTGGCAGGACTGGTCTGATCTGTTAAGATGGGAGATAGTTATATTGTATAATAACGAGGATGAGATTTATACCCATTCATTTTCGACGTCGTACTACTGGTATATTTAACTGGTGGATAGACATACATGTGTTATGTTATCACTGATTGGAAACGAGCAAAGTGATCAAATCAATGTGAATAAATGCATTGTCTAACAATGTTGTAATCCCGCATACCATCTTGCTGTTATCAGTTGGCACTCGCTGCGTGTATGCGTTCAAGTATATACATAATCAAAGCCCCCCCAATAATACAAGCTAACTTCTATCAAACAAGCATACGTTCATATATCGTCTCAGACCGCAAGGTTCTATCATTTCCACATACCAATAAAAGACCTCCAAAGACTTCCAAAGAAGCCCGAATCCCGGAAAGAAGGGATCGTGTCATGCGTCTCGTGCTTTTCCAAACAAACATCCATCTTATTGCTAGGATAGATATCATGGCCATCTAGACCGTGCATCACGCTCAAGGGCGAATCCTGCGATCGAGCAGCGGTGACCGGTCTGCTCCTGGCCTTGGCCTCCCCGGTATACGCACCGATCAGCTTCCCTGCGGTTTGGACGCAGCTGCCGTGCGAAAAGCGGATGAGGGAGTCGCCCGTCAAACTGCCGATGATGAAGACGTCCTTTGCGACCTCCATGCTCTCAAGTACTTTCCCTCGAAGGGTCTGGCTTGAGATGGTAGGATTTATTTCACCCCTTTCATCAACGCCGACAACCTCTGAGAGAAGGGCAGGGTCAAGGTACCCCAGGCTTCCGCGGCGACCGGTCGCGTAGACCATGCCGCGTACAACGCGGGTGAATGTCGTTCCGTCGTCCTGGCGGAAGGTGATCGTTGCCGATTCTTTCTGAGCGTCGACAGATATAATTTCGGTGTTCGGGTGGCCGTCGTACACCTGATCCCAGGGACGGTCTCCGAGGAAGGAGCTTGAAACGGTTCGCTTCGTCCGGGCAGGACGCTTCGCCGTGCTGGAGCTATGGGCAACGGCGGCGCGCTTCATCAGACGGTACACGCCCGCATACTCGGGGTATGCATGCTGATGGCAGCCGCGCAAGGGGGACGGCCGATTCTCGGGGTCCCATTTAAAGATGTGGATGATCTTTTGATCTTTTGGTGCCGAGATGATGACATCCGCGGCGGAGAAGCCCGATCCGATGACAAGAAGCGGGATCCGAGGTGTTGGTTCCAGCGACACCAGTGGTTCTAGCATCGGACGGGGTTGTATAACCTGGGTGAAAATGCCACTGGCGAGAACCAGGTGCTTACAGTGGATGTTATGGGAGCGGATGTAGAAGCCGTTCGCAGTTCTCGAGATACCATCCAAGCGTTCGTGGCATCGGAAGACATCATCAATCTGCACGACCTTGGGATACGCACGGAAATAATCCACCGTCTCCTGCCGGCTAGGCCGCGTGAACGCCGGAAGGTCGTTGCCGGTAACTCTGCGGTAGTGCTCCGCGAAAGAATAGCCGGGCAAGGACAGCATGGACGCATAACTTAGGGTCTGGATATCCCAGCTCGCCGGCATCAAATTATCATTCCATTGGCCACCGGGTTGTGGTGTATTTCCGAAGACCAGGTGCGGAACGGCTTTTTCGGGCACATGTCGCCATTCGATGTTGGTGGTACTTCCGAGCTCCTCCACGTCGACGCTAGGTCGGACTAGGGTGTCGAGTAGCACATTGACGGGAAGGGCCTGGGTCGAATAAGACAGCCGAGACGCAGCAAAGTGTTCGGTCAGTGCGTCTACATCCGCATCGAGCAGTTCCGGGGCCGCTTTCAACTTGGCATGCAGGAGGGGGTCGGGATGGGGAGGATTGGAGGCGTAATAGGGTAGGTGACCATGCAGGATGAACGATAGGATCATGGCCGATGGCCCGTTCCCTGTCAGGATCGAGATTAGGTTCTATCACGACATGCCCATTGGCAGAGAATGGCCCCCGGATCTCCAAGGGAATGGCGACATACCGATGATAATGGTGTCAGTTTCCATTGAAGGCAATTTTTGAGCCTCCGTCCGCCCAGTCAGCGCGGAGCATTCTGTACGAGACATGCGATAGGAAGAGGACCTTCAATCCAACGGCTCAATGAGTGGAGAAGAGCAAGACAAGGACCTTCCGACGAAGGAAGTGCATGTGGACGGCCATCGAGAGCCTGAATCATGAGGGAACGACGAGAGAACAATGGGATCGTCTGGGGAGGCGAGGGGAGGAGTGAAGGATTCCGCAAATCGTCGCTCGCTGACAAAACCAGCTCCGGCTCAGCAAGAAATTCTGAGCCCGCACCGGCGGGGAATTCGATAGAAACTTGGTTGGATCGGGAAAGCCGGTGGTTTTCGGAGACTTGCGTGACTGGGGATCCATCCGAGCCCGGACTTTTTAGTTCAGACGGCTTCCCTAGACATCCAGGATTGACTTTCCCAGGCGGTTTTGAGAGATCAAACTCTGTTCATCATTCCTGTTGCCGTATTGCCATGAGGAAGACTACCATGGACAAAGGGAAGATCATCGGCATTATTGGAAGCGGGCGGCGGGGAACCAAATCAGTCCCGGCTTAGCTAATCCATCGATTCACTCGTCAACAAGTTGGCGAGTCACAGTTATGTCATTGTACCGATGTCCTGCAGATGTCAGACGATGGTGATAGTCTGACATATTGCAGAGCTGTTATATGTGGCTGTTGTATCCCTGTAACCAGCTAATATGTATCAAAATAACCCCATTCAAAAATAACAAATTCCTCGGCACCAATCGTGCTTAAAAAGCACACATGTAGAGTCATAAGATAGGTAGCCTAGTAAGGGATCCGTGAGCGTTGTCTTTTAGACCTGGTTAGCTTCATTTGAGCCTCAGAATGCTACTGTGTGATTGTAGCTCAGCGAAGAATTTCCTCCTTAGTCTTTGCATAAGATTCTCTAAAATCACGCACTTCGCTTTCCAGCCTTACAAGACTTTTCGACAGTTCGCCCACCTCTTTCTGAAGAAAAGCCCCTACCCTTCCGTTTTCTGCACTCAATGTGTCGATATTAAAGTTCTTTTTCAGTAAATTTTCGAATTCCTCTCGCTGCTCCGACACAAACTCTAAACTATGAGCAAAGTCAACACTGACTAGAAGGAGAAAAATTCTAGTCGACGCATGGACTGTTGCAATTGAAGCGCATAATTGCTTCACTGCAAATTATTAATACCACTGAGTGCTGGATAATGATGCCTCAGGACTCACTTGTCATAGTACGACCATATTCCCAAGTCTTGTATACGCAGACAATGCCTGAGCCTGCCGCCACAAGACCACCTCCAACCTTCAACCCAGTCTTCAAGAGCTGTAGAGATTGCGCCCCGCCAGGTATTGGACAAAAGTGTGCAGCCACTGCCACCAAACCTGAGACAACACTTGTGCTTCCATACAAGAGCACTCGTTCGAAAAGGGCGTCCGAGAAAGGAATTATTGCCTCCAGGAAAGGGTGAACAGCGCTTACAAGCTCTTGTAGATGGCGGACAATCGTTCTTGACTCGGATGCCGTTGGGTTCCTGACGGTAGGGTTGCTTGGCATTCCGAGATTGTCGACAGCTTGTATATATTCGATTTAGTGGTTACCATGAAGGAGATCGCCTCTAGGTGCTGGCTACTTACCAAGGAGCTTTACCTGCTCTTCAAGCTTGCGTGATGCGTCGAATAATGGGTCGCTTGCTTTCGAAAGCAGCTCTACCAGGGTCTGCTGGTCCAAGTGCTCAAGCGTTTCCTTATACTCCTGGACGTAAGCAACGAGCAAGCTCGATTTGACGTATTCCACATACATGCTTGATTCTGTCCCCAGCATCCAAAGCCCATCCACAAGCATGTTGGTGAGCAACTTTTAACATTTTGGCTAATACTTCCGAGATTGGTTTTGCAAACTCGTCAATGGTGTCCTTTGATATCCAAGTAAATATGTCTGTATCGTAAACAAACTGGTTTACGAGTAGCGCGTAATGGTTACTAATAGGATATTAGGGCACCAAAATGCGTTATAGTGGTAAATGATTGACTTACTAGAGATTTGATCCCTGATCTCCCCAAGAGGCCTGCTGTGGTGCTGGCCGAGCCTCATACCCTTGTCTCAGCTGGGTGAAGATGAAGACCAACCAAAAGGTCTTGTCTGTATCCTCTAAAGGAGGCACCGAATGCGGAAGTATGCCCAGATAACCCTTTTCGGCAACACATGTGTGTAAGGAGCTTGGACTCTTCCAATCTAACAGACTTTTGCACAAGCTTTTGATTTCTATACCCACATGTTCATCCCCTGAATCCATTGTACGATGAGTGAGGGTGACCTAAATATGATGGCGGGGGAGAGTTTCTAAGCCGTCTGATAAAGAAGCTGTATAGGAGACATACCTGGACACGAGTTCGGGCGACTTCATTCCTAGTGAGGCGATTACAACCTATGCAGCACCACCCGAAACCTTCAGCCTTTCTCAGTTCCGCCAGAGCATCAATAATGTGCCCATGGAGATCGTTTGGTGGCTCCGGGCTCGTATACAGAAGAACGAAGCGCACACTGAGGGTCTGCGGGGAACCCTTTGTTGGGGCAGTTGACATTATCATGAATTTGAAGGAATATAGATAATTCCACAGAAACGAGGCATGCCCTTGTTGATCAAGCCGGTGGAGAAAATGATTGTTTGGGCTTCGAAGGTTCGTTCTATCGAATACCCCACTTTACACACTAACCTGTGGGACTACAACCAGGTTCTCGATGGTTTTCCGTTCCGACAGCCCCTCCCTATAGGATTGGACCTCCGGCCTGCATACCTAAGGTACTCCCAAGTCTCCGAGTTGCCAAGAGAATTGAACACCGCCATTTATGCAGTATCCAGTTTGCTGAGCACTCAGAGTCGATCAATAGATCCCCATCTATCTCGCGTATAGCATACTAATAAGAACGTAACATCTAATGCGACATGTTACTTCGTTATCGGATGAGACTCTATTAGACAGTGCCTACTTGTTAATCAATAGCAGTCCTTGATTTCTGGGCACCTGACCTCTGGAAAGATATACATTCTTAATATTTATGCATCCTAAAAAGGAAAAGAGCCCTCTGTTTCAAAAACCCAACTAATCCCATCCATCACCGAGAGCACCACCAGGAAGAAACGCCTGTATCGCAGGATTCCCTCCGTGATATATCCGCAGATACTCGCAAATAGAAGGGCATTCGACTCTCGCTCGAAGTTCGATCCACCAGATACCGCGACCCGCCTTGCGGTACCACAGATACAGCAACACCAGCGCGACGGGGTCCTTCTGCCGCAACAAGTCCTCGAACGAGCCATAGATACACCGCGGGAAGAGCTGTGTCGGGCCCGTAGTAACCTCACTATCCGGGAGATCCAAGACATGTGAAACGGCATGAGCAGCATCGAAATACGGATTATCTTCCGCCGTAGATCCCTCATCGAGGGAACATATCCCAGCCAACGCGCATGGAATACCATCTACACCCCTCTCCGGCAAGGGGTATTGCATTTGCGCAAAAGTCGTGGCCATCACGCGGAACAGACTGTCTGGTCGGAGCGGGTTCACGATATGCCACAGGGACATCTTCCCCTTGCTGAGACGTAGCCAGTCCAGATGGGCGTGGTCGCAGGGATTCAAGGGCCATGATTCTTCGGGTGTGGTGGCGTCAGGGGAGGAGAAGGATAGGATGGCCAGCGCGGCTGCTGTGCCCCAGATTGGGTCCCTGTCTTTTGGGTGGATCGGTTCTCGGAGTCGTTCGTTGAGAAGGGCGGTGCTTTGGGACCAGTGGTAGCATTCTGATAGACTGCGGCTATGGCCTACTGGGTTGTTTAGACGGCGGTCGTACGAATAGGCCACGGCTAGGGAGGCGTGCATTAAACAGGGGTACTGTAGGCGATCTATCAGCCAAATTGAGACTTGTAAAATGTAGTTCCGCTTCCAGCGTGTCAGGTGCTTGACAGGCCGAAAGTATACATTCGGACTTACTGTGAAAGCTAGTCTCAGGAGCCTCCGATTAACGTATCTCATATCAGGGTCATTCGGGGTGATGAGACTATCTCCAAGATACCGGGTGATGAAATCCTGACACTTTGAGTTCAGTTGAAAGCATGTGGATTCGTCCGACGTCCAGACAGCACTGGCAACAGGGGGATGAAGTTGTGATTTTCCTCGAACCATCAATTGCCTTCCCTTGTCACCAGCAGCGATGGGCTGTAGATCGGGAACATTAGACATGAAGTTGCATATTACCCCGAATGCACTACATCTCTTGCAATGAGGCTTGCCTTCGTCGCACTATGATATCAGATAATACGTTCAGCCAAGCACTAGACTAATATATACGCAAGAGAGAGTCATCTACCTACCTTGAGTTTTCGAAGCTTGCAATTTCGGCAACCAAATCGTGACCTGCGCTGAGTCCTATGCTGGCGAGCTTCATTTGGGCAAGCCGAGGCCATACTTGATCAACTAGCCAATGCGTCGCGCAGCTTGTCTGAGGGATTTTCCCAAGCTGGAAGTAGATTCATTGACGTGGAGAAAGGGCCCCATATCGTAGACGCTAAAACTTCACGCTAACCGTCGCTCGGATGCAGAGGTCGCTGATTGGCGGTGTGATCTGATCCTACCATCTACTTCATCAACAAAAGATGGCAGAGAGTGAGTAACTTGGAATTGATGACTCGAGAATATAAAAAGATGGGTTTTCCTCTAGACCCTAGAGAAAGATCGTAATGTCTGCAGCATCAGAACCACAAATCCTTGACTTGCTTTGAACACTAGTCTCGTTTTTATATATCATCAAACCTCCCTTTGAAACCACCTACTACTTCTAAGAATATCATAACTACAAATGTCCACCCACCTCGCCGCCATATCCCCCGCCAAAGGCCAGCCCTTTGAGCTCCAAACCCGTCCTACCCCAAAGCCTGGACCCGACGAGCTCCTCATCGCCGTCAAGTCCGTGGCCCTGAACCCGGCAGACGCCATCATGCGTGACCAAGGCCTCTTCATACCCACCTACCCCGCGGTCCTTGGCTTCGACATGTCCGGATTAGTGCTCGAGGTCGGCAGCAACGTTCCTACCAGTACATCTGAAGAGGGTCAGACCCTGTCCTTCCGACCGGAGACCCGCGTCGCCGCCTACGCCGCCTTGGTCTGGAAGTCCTGCGATCCAGACTACGGGCCCTTCCAAGAACGATGCCTCGTCCCTTGGCAGCATGCAGTGCCCCTTCCGGACGAAAACATGTCTTGGAACCTTGCAGCGACCTTGCCCGTTGCCGTCGAGGTGCCCCTGAACGCGTGGGATATGATGGGGATCCCTCGGATGGGCGAAGTCAGTGCTTCTGCGCCACCCAATGCTGGCTCTCCCGGTATCGATGACACCAAGGGAAAGACGCAGAAAGGTACCGTGGCCAAAAACGAAGCGCTCCTCATTTGGGGCGCATCCTCGAGCGTCGGCACCATGGGCGTGCAAACAGCCCGACTACTACGGGAAGATCCCAACTCTGCTTTCGCGGCCGTGTACGCCACGGCTGGATCGGCGAACAAAAGCTATGTGGCTGCATTGGGCGCAGACCGCGTGTTCGACTACAAAGACTCACATGTCGTGGATGCGATCGTCTCGGCGGCCAAGGAGGACGGGTTCGTGATCCGGCATTGTTTTCTGGCTACTGGGCAACTGGCGATATGTCAGGCTGTGCTGAAGGCATTTCTGGAAGATGGCGAAGATAGGAAGACAGCAAAGATTGGATCGGCACCCCCCGTTCCTCCAGATGCGGAGATCGTGGACGGTGTGGAGACGATATTTGTAGTTCCCTCGATGGTAGAAGGGGAGAGGTTGAAGCAGTTCCAATACTGGATTGGGACGTGGTTGAGGGAGAACCTGATTAAGGGAACCATCAAGCCGAGTCCGGAGCCGAGCGTCGTGGGAAAGGGCTTGGGAGCTATTGATTCTGGGTTGGATATACTTCTCCGGGGTGTGAGTTGTAAGAAGTTGGTTGTTGAAGTTGCGGAGTGAGCAGGCTGCCTAGGCAAGTCGCAAGAGCACCTCAGGCTCCAGGCTGCTCTGCTATTTCCGGGTGGTTCCGCGGGAGCGGCTTCAAGTATCAGAGATAGAGAGCGTTATTATAATTCAAAGATATTGGACATTGATCAACATTATCTTTCATTTTCGTTCAAGGACCTTAATTAAGGCTATTTTCACTTTCAACTTCAATTGGATTAGAGCAGGTATATTGGTAACCGTGGAATGAGATGATATGAGAATGACGATAACAAGTTGTAGTCTGATCTTGAAAGAATATAGATTCAAATCAAGCAGCACCTTGCATATACTACTTGGGCTTGTCGATCTCGGACGGAGCAATTTCCGCCTTGCGGGGATTTGCCCCCTTTTCGGAAATTAGGGCCTAGGGCTGACAAGTCCTCGAGCCCCAGACCCTACTTTCCCAAAAAGAGAACTGGCTGACGCGTTGGACCAGGCCTTGTCCGACCGGAGGAAGACCTGCCAAAGCACCTCCGCGGAATTCGAAAGAAAAGTGGTTAGAATCAAAGGGACCGGAATTATCGGCGCTGCCATGATCGCGTCGCTTAGTCGCTCGTGTCGCCCGTTCTGTTCTTCCTAGAGGCTAGGTAGTTAGCTGGCTACGCTACGTCTGTCGGAGTTGGTTCCTGAGGTTTCTCCGCAGGGTCCCTCCGCCGCAAGTATGTACCATCTGGCCAAGTCTTTGTATATGCAGGCCACCAGCAAAGAAGGTACGTTATTGAACTTTCTCTCTTACACATTTACTCTGTGGATGCGCATCGGCAGAGGTGCAGCGCAGCGCAGCGCAGCGCAGCGCAGTCGCAAAACAAACCTAAACTAACATCCCTCTCCCCTACCTAGAATACTCCGTTCTTCTCCTCGGTCTCGACAACGCTGGCAAGACAACGCTCCTCTCCCAGATCAAAGCCCTCTTCCAACCCCGTCCCGATGGCACCCCAGCCCCGAACCCAGGCAAGACCGTGCCCACGGTCGGCCAGAACGTGACCACCATCTCCCTACCCGACATGTACCTGAAGATCTGGGACGTGGGCGGACAACTCACGATGCGAAACCTCTGGCAAAGCTACTACGCCAGCTGTCACGCGATCGTGTTCGTCGTCGACAGCACCGACGTCGGCCAAGATCCCGACGTGACCCGTCTACCTTCTTCGTCTTCGGCTGCGAATAACCGCCGACGGAGCTCGTCGGGAAGTGATCCCGCCGATGCCTTCACGGAGGAGATGGTGGGCATTGATGCTCCCGGGAGTGACTTTGGTCGGCTGGATGAGTGTCGACAAGTGTTGGAGTCGGTGTTACAGCATGCCGATGTCGCGGGGGTGCCGATCCTAGTGTTGGCGAACAAACAGGACCGCGAGGATTCGGTGGAGGTGGTGCGCATTAAGGAAGGGTTTGTGCGCAAGGTCTTTGAGGGCGATACCGGGACTGCGCTGCGTGATAGTCGCGTGTTGCCCGTTAGTGCTTTGCTCGGGTCGGGTGTCCAGGAGGCTGTCGAGTGGGTGCAGACTCGTGTGCGGTGGAATAAAGACGCCAGACCTCCACTGATGAGGTGATGTGATGCGTCTTTCCCCCTAATTTCTGGCTGCGGGCCTCAGACAAAGCCTACTCCGTGCGATGGCCGGTCGCGACTCTTGCTGATCGACGGGGATGTCTCTTTTTGGGCGCTGGGGAGGGAATCTATTTTGCTTTTTGATTTGTTTAATGAATGCGATGATACCTATGTTTCTTTCTGTGATACTATGCGTTTCGACCTGTTCATATGTTCTAATTCTATAGATAATTTTGATTCTTGATTCTTGAAGCAAGATGGCTGTTCACGTGCTATATAACCAAAAGTAACCTTACCAAAGCCTCACCACCGTTAGCGCAACTCTATAGATCAAAATAGAAATACCTTAGAAGAATTCCGTAGGTTTACGAGAAGCAATCGACCGAACTAGACCACCTTCTCTCAAGCCTAATTACATCTCACCCTACAGATATCCTGGAAGATTGGGCGCGATCGAAGTTATCGTCCACGCCACCGGAAACGGCGTTGCCATCGGATCGTCAACAACGACGTCACCCGCTGTGCGAGCATGGAAAGACAAGGATGTTCGACACTTGATGACGCTCTGTCCTGTTGTCAGCGACCAGACTACCGTGGAAAAGGTACCGTGGGGATGGGATTCGATGAAGTCAGCTTCTTCGAGAGTCACCTCACCTTGACGTCATGGGGATGGGTGTTGGAAACCCTGGTCAATGAGGGATGGTTTGGGGAGAGGAGGGTTATAAAGGGTGGTGGTTGGACGTTCAGTAGTGGTTTCCATAACCATAAATTACAAGTCTACGATTCAATAACTTTGCTAAAAGTCCATCTATCTTCTTGCGACCTTTTCCGCTATCTCAAATCTCCTACAACACCACCGCAATGACCAGCATTCACAAGGCCAACCCCGAGAACAACAACAAGCAGGGTTTCCATCCCTCTGCTGGCAACTCGGCCCCTCTAACCGACAAGGGTGTATGTTCTGCATGACCGCTTCCATTTAATCGACGATACTAACAATCCTCACAGCACCAGCCCGGCCGTAAGGTCGCCCCCCAGGACTTCGCTCCCGAGAACGAGCCCCAGGTGTACCCTCCTGGAACCGCACCTGCTAGCAACTCCTACACCCCCAACCCCGTCAACGAGCCCGGGAGCCAGGCCTTGAACCCCAATGTCGAGCGTGGCCACGGCAAGGAATCGGTCAAGACCAAGGCCAGTGACACGTTGATGGGCGCCACTTCTCAGGACGTTCACACGGGTCTGGGACAGCCTGTATCTGGACAGTCCAGCACCGAGATCCGTCACGATGGCCAGCACGGCCGAAAGAACCCCGGCCGTGGTCTAGAGGGCGTTGGTGCCTCTCAGGAGGGCAACTTTGAGCGCACCATCCCTAGCCAGCGTGGAATTGACCGGGACCAGGCTAAGCCTAACCAGCGTGGCGACAAGGGTGCTCTAGCTGCCGAGGATAGAGAGCCTGAGAGCGCGAGCACTCTGGATAAAGAGTGGAACTACGAGCCCCAGACTCAGAGACAACGACACCAGGCCTAATTTGTTACGGATAATGATGTACTATACGAGTGATTTCGATTAGCATGCATGATATTAAAAGATCTTCACAATAACTTACTTCGAGAGTCACGTTATGTAGGAAAACTGGATGATCGGGTATCATCTCAGGACGTAGTCTCTATCCGATCTCGTTCATTTCGGTTGGTCGTATTTTGGTCGTTCTTCTGGTGTAGCTTTTTAGGCCAGCTGCGTGCAATGTCGATATTCGATCGAGGAAACCACATTTCCAAGAAGACGTAGAGTAAAAAGTCAATCACTACACACAGACAAAACAATTTGCCAGCCCAGACTCCGCAACCGTAATACCGCTTCAGCCGGTCAATCAGAGCAAAACTTCGCACGCGATCACCACTAGCTTCCCAGCCTTGCCCGGGATAGTATCCGTAGAATTCCTCGGGTGTGATTCCACCAGATATACCCATGTAAACACGCTCTGTGCGCTGGGCGACATCTGTCCAGGAGTACATCATCTTCACTTGGTCGTGAAATCGATCAGTGCGCACCTTGTTAGAGCGAAGAGCGGCGATGGCCTTGCCTGTAGCCATGACAATATCGTCTTCTTCGGGTTTCGCGTAGGTTGTCATATGCTGGGGCAGCACTTCAGGGATGCCACCAACACGGGTGCAAACGACGTAGAGTCCACAACTGGCCGCTTCAACAATGACGGTTCCAAAGGCTTCCGTCAAACTAGGATGAAGATAAATGTGTCCTCGAACCATCACGTCCCGCACTTCCTCATGCCGGACAGGGCCGAGCATTTCCACTTTGTCTTGCAAGACATTGCGCTCGAGCATTTGCTCCAGATCAATGGCTTTAGGTCCTGAGCCGGCAATGATAAATCGCACGTTGGGTTGTGACGCTAGAATTCGAGGTATAGCGGCGATTAAGAGATCTGTGCCCTTGTTGTAGAAAAGTCGCGAAATGACGACAATGTAGATGATGTCATTAGGACCTATTGGCGCCGGGATGGGTTGTAGTTCCTGCATTGGCCCAGATGAACGATCATTCGTACGGGGCGTAGAGGATAGTGGTCGGAAGTTCTCCGCGACAACGGCATTGGGAATTACAGAGACCATTAAAGGGTCCAAGGACGCCCGGAGCACGGTGTTTTCTTTGCTACTCCAAGTTAGCGGCCAGAATACGATGGATGAAGCGATAGAGCGCATACCATGTATGGCTGACACATATAACATGATCGACGTCACTCAAAGCGAACTTGAGTAGTTTGTTCGTCAGGATAGATCCCGCATCGGCAAATCCAAATAGAGAGTGATCGGTGAACACTGTCCGCAATCCCATAGTGCGCGCGTGAAGAATTGCTTCATGGCAGAAGCAACTCAAGCTTGCATGGCCGTGGACGATCTGAATTTGCTCTCGGATGACGATGTTGCGAAATATAGGGAAAAAGGAGAACACCGTCGGCATCGTCGTTTCGCGGTATATGACGAGGAAGGGGACATGGTAGACTTTGAGACCATTCGTGAGATACCGAACTCCGGTGCGCCCCTTGTATGCATGTGTAATGATTATGACTTTATGACCGCGATCGATGAGTTTCTGGAGCGCGATAAGCATTGGTCTGAGGTTGAGGCGTTCGTATCCTTACGGTCGACAATTGGTAGATGTGACTTTCAACCCCACCTGCGATAGTTAGTGAAGGGGTTATTGAATAAATAAGGACATGATTACTCACCTGGTTGTGGAAAGAAAAAGTCACTGACCATACTGCGCCGATTGTCAGTTAGACCAGTTCATCTGTGATCTTGAATGCAACTCACGCAATGTTGTAAGGCATCTTGGCTGTTACCCTCGGGAAGAGACGAGCCAAAGAATGATAAGAAAGATTGTGATATTTCTGTGTCCATGGCCAGACTCGACGACCCAAGAGCAGAATATGCCGCAATCAGGAAGGCCGATCAGCTGTCCAAGTCGAATCGAAGATGAGACCTCCATGAAGCATCCCCCCGAAAGGGTCCAGGCCTTGGGCGGCGGTGATGGCGGTGTAGCTGTTCTGCCGGTTGAATATTCCCCGCTAGAGAGAAAATATTCGGAGAAGCTCTTCGCAACGTCCCCGAGACATTCAGTCCACTCACTTTCTTCACCCTGCGCTTGCGGCGCGCCTAAACCCTTGACGATGGCCCGCGATAAGCTGGATAGCCATGGTTCTTCCAAAAAGGCCTCCTCGACACCCTTGAGCGAAAAGAAATCACACAAAAGAAAGAGAGACCAAGATGGCGCCGCCGCCGTCTCCTCGACGCCCACTCCTAGCAAGAAGTCGAAGAAAACCGAAAGTCCATCGTCCACTCCTACCACCCTTAAAGACAAACCGAAAAAGAAAAGAAAGCCCGCAGTCTCTCCGGACAGTAGTGATCAGGAAGAGTCGACCTCGAAGGAGAGTCCTGTCCCGTCGCGGAGCGGCAAAACAGCTTCTTCAAGTAAGGACGACGGCAACGCTAAGACAACGAAGAAATCGAAGAAGATCAAACGAAAGAGCGCAGGAAATGATGTTGACCAATCTGAGGAGGACGCGAATCTAGTGGAGATGAAGGACGCGGACGACGACGAGGTGGAAACACAGAAACAGTCGGAGGACGTGGAATCCCCCTCGAAGCCCGCCAAGAACAAATTCTCGGGAATTCTGTCCAAGTTTGAACGGTCGGCCAAGGTGAAGAAGGCGAAAAAGACAACAGAACATGACAAAGACGAAGCTGAGGATGCCGGGGTTATGACTGCTGAGCCAGTCATAGCGCAAGGACTAGAGCCTCTACCACAGCCAGAGGTGGCTCCCGAGGAGACGGAGAAGCCGACGTATTCATCACTTCCCCCATGGCTGGCCAACCCTCTACGAGCGTCTGCGGATGAGCGAACGAAATTCTCCGACCTAGGAATCGAGTCCAACCTTCTGCGAATCCTGGAGGACAATGGCTACAAAGACGCATTTGCTGTTCAGTCGACAGTAATTCCTCTGCTTCTTCCCGGGCCGAAGAAACACTCTGGTGATCTTTGTATTTCCGCTGCCACTGGATCGGGAAAGACCTTGTCTTACGTTTTGCCCCTGGTCACTGATTTGAAGCCAATGCCAGCCCCACGGCTGAGAGGAGTCATTGTAGTCCCCACACGAGAGCTGGTTAAACAGGCCAGAGAAGCATGCGAGCTTTGCGCCGCTGGTTCGGGCTTGAGGGTTGCCTCGGCGGTCGGAAATGTGGCCATCAAGGATGAGCAGCGGTCATTGATGCGCATTGACCAAGCGTACGGCCCGGAGACTTTCAAGCAGAGACAGAGCTTCAAACTCGTCGACGAGGACTGGACGAATTTCAGCTTGCAAGACTTCATTACCGAAGCTGATGATGAGAGTGAATCCCTACCGGGCTATGTTCACAAGACCGAACCTAATGTCGATATCCTAATTTGCACGCCTGGTCGTCTTGTTGACCACCTGCGCTACACCAAGGGATTTACTCTAAAACATCTGGAGTGGCTGGTAATTGATGAGGCCGATCGACTGCTTAACGAGAGTTTCCAGGAATGGGTTGACGTTGTGATGAACTCGTTGGATGCGCGGAAAGCAGCAGACTCGTTTGGCTTCAGCGGAACGTTCCTATCTGAGCTTGGTCTTCCTATACAGAGCAAGGAGCCCAGAAAGATCGTCCTCAGTGCAACTATGACACGAGACATATCCAAACTGAACACACTCCGCTTGTCGAATCCTCAACTTGTTATTGTCGGCTCGGAGCAGGGCCCGACGGGTGAAAATGGGGACGAGCAGGACCGCTCAGATGAGCAATTCACCCTTCCTCCGACACTCAAGGAATTCTCTATTCCTGTTGGGGATGGGGCGAAGAAGCCTCTTCATCTTCTTAGCCTTCTGCGGTCGCACGTCAAGGTTGAGGCGAGCAACAAACCGAAGAGCGCCCTTTCTGACGACACATCTGACTCGGGCACTTCCAGCTCGGAGGACTCGGACTCTGATGACACAAGCTCTGATGGGTCCAGCTCCGATGATTCTGATTCTGATGACACGAGCTCCGACGAATCCAGCTCTGATGATTCGGATTCAGATTCTGAGGATGACACTTCTTCGTCGGGTTCGGATTCAGACTCGGACGCATCTGACAGCTCATCTGAGTCGGAAGACGAAGCGGTTGAAAAGAAGAAGCGCGGCCCAGCACGCACCACGGTACTGGTCTTCACGAAATCGTCGGAATCGGCGTCCCGACTTTCCCGCCTACTTGCTCTACTTGACCCTTCGCTGGCCACGACAATCGGCACCATCATTAAGTCGAACAAATCATCAGCATCCCGCAAAACGCTTACCGCCTACCGTCAAGGCAAGATTTCCATCATCATCGCCACGGACCGTGCCTCGCGTGGTCTTGACCTGCCGTCTCTTTCTCACGTGGTCAATTACGATGTGCCATCCAGCGTCACGACTTACGTGCACCGTGTTGGCCGAACTGCAAGAGCTGGCAAGGAAGGAAGCGCTTGGACGCTTGTGGCACACCGGGAGGGTAGATGGTTCGAGAAGGAGATCGCCAAGGGCTCCGACGGAAAAATCACACGACTTGTCAAGGTGGACCGGGTCAACGTGAAACTGGATGGCATGGAGGATGCGAAGTCGAGATACGGAAGAGCTCTGGAGGCCTTGGAAAGCGAAGTGAAAGCCGGTGCAGTAGTGAAATCGGCGAAGACAGAGGCATAATTATCTGAATACCCGCAAAACAAATGGCAATAGATATAAATACATTCTTCTAAAGATTCCGTCCAAGCTCATTCCCTTGAATCAACCCTACCCCCATCCTCATCCTCCATTACTCACTCTCCCCCTCTACCTTCAAAACCGCCTTAACAGCCTCATCTATATCCCCCACATCCCCTGCCCCCTGATAAACATGCGCCCACCTAACCACGCCCTGCCCATCGACCGCAAAATCCCCAGCAGTCTGCCACCGACTCCCGCTCTCCGTCGGCCGATTCCAGATCCCCTCGCTCCAACCCAACGACACCACCGACGCGATCGTCGACGGACTCAAAACATGCCACGTCGACGAGACGCCCAGTCCCCAGGCCGCATAGACCTCGCGCTCCTCGTCCACGACAAGCCGGATCGGGTTCTGCTCGCTAGGACGCAGAGGGTGGTTCTGATCTGTGATTAACGCCTCTTGCCATGCTTCTGTGGCTTTCTTTGAGGAATGGCTGACTGCGATGCCGACGACCGAGTTGTTTTGGATGGCTGGGTGGTCGTTTAGGGTGCGGTAGGCTTTTTCGGCGACTGGGTTGGCTATTAGTCTTCGTTTGATCGGTTGGGAGGATAACTAAGCGAAGTAGGAGAGAGAGAAGGGGGATATATACAAGGACATCCACAATGTCGGAGAAATATCACGATGGCGGGCTTTTTATCCTCCGTCGGGAGTGTCAGGGCCGGATGGTTCGGTGCCTGGGTGCCCACTTTCGGGGGTTCTGCAATTTTCCCGGTTGTGGGTATATTCCAGGAGGCGAGTTCTTGCCAGAATGACATTTTGGGGGTGATCAATTTGTTATAGTCGGGGTTGTTGTTTTGGCGTTGAGGGTTTTGCGATGGGGGAGTGCAAGACTAAGGTATGACGTTAGTCTCCACCCGTGGTTCGATCTTCCTCGACTGAAGTACCACGTTTAAGAGAGAGGAAAGTATAGGTAGTCTAGATGGTGAGCTTTTCCTTTACTGTGTAATTTATGTTTTAGTACTCTTGAAGTTTTCACTATGGCATTATTCCTAATATACCTTGTTCTACCAAACAGGTGTCAAATATGACATATATCTCATGGCGTCTTACTGTGCTATAGCCCTACCAAAGGAACCACCGAAGCAACCCCATTTACAACAAATTTCAATGAAGAGGGATGAAGTGGGCCATCACTCACCTGCAAGGTCATCGTGGCCTGAATGCACCCTCGGATGGGAGGCATGTTTCCGGTGCACTCAGCGAGGACTCGGCGTAGAGCATCGATGTCGGCGATGTCGCAAATGGCAGCCTGAAGGTGCACGTGCATTGCGCGTAGATCGTCCATCAGTTTGTGGGCTGCAGAACTCCTCGGCCCAGACCGGGAGAGGAGGAGGAGGTTTCGGGCTCCACGCTCTGCCATCCAGCGTGCAATGCAGCGGCCAATACCGCCGAATCCGCCAGCAATCACGTATGTAGCATTGGCGTGGAAGGAATAAGGGGCGCTGCTGGTAATTATGGCCTAAATTTCAGGGTTAGGGCTATGGCCCGTATATCCCTGAAAGAGGTGGACACAATCTTACCGGAACGATCGCAGCCGAGTCAGCTTCCACTACAACACTTCCGCTGACCTCGCCAGTAGTCAGGGCTGAGAGAGCCTCGCAAATGTCCGAAATGGGAATTACCCGAAGCGGCCTGGAAGGATGAAAGCTTTCCTTGTCAAACAGGCTCATAACAGTCCCAAGTGTCTGTTCGACTTGATTAGCACGCTCGATCATCCATAAAGACACATCGAAGGCCGAGAATGTTGAGCCCCTAGTAAAGGTATCGAGGAGCAAATCTAAGCCTTTGTTTTGCTAGCTAGAATATCTCTCTTGCCAATGCCCACCAATCGTCCATACGGTGCCAGACAGTCACAGGAAGCAAAGAGCATATCGCCGTCTAACGAATTCAGCACAACATCAACGCCGCGGCCATGAGTGATATGTTATAACGCCCATGGAAACGGAGGCGTTCTTGCAGGAGAAGATCCGGCGATCAGGTATATGATACTCGGCCATCAGTAGCTCCTTCTCAGCCTCGGAGGCAACGGTCACCAATATCTCTGCGCCGAGTCGCTGGCTAACCTGAATGGCTGCCTGGCCGGTAACCCCCGCTGCAGCATGGTCCATGGATCAGAATTGTGTCTCCTGCACCCAGACGGGAAATGTTCACAATGCTCTCCCACGTGGCCACAAAGGGCATCATCATGGCTACCGCTTTATGCATGGGCTGTCCTGTTTGTGCCCCATGCCACAGGCGTATATGGCACGCTTCTTCTCAAAAAGAAATATGATACAGCCCGTATGCTAATATTACGTTGGAGGTCTTCGCGGCTTTCAGACCGGACCAGCCCTGCTTCACCAGTTAAACGCCCTCTTGGCTGTATCAAATGAAATGAGTTCATCCTGGATACTTCCAGGACTAGGGGAGGCCTCGTTACAAGACGGTGCAAATGCATTATTGTGAGACGAGAGTAAGCACGCATGTAAGAGACGCACTACAGCTTTGGAGAAACCTATCAATCTAATCCAGCCACTCCCTGATCCAGCCGCGCAACCACTCAGGACGAATTGCCTGAAGCTCCCTCAACCCCTTGCTAATTACTGCAGTCCTATCAGTCGAAAGCCGCGCCACATTCGGGGTGTCGACTCGACCGGCATCCGTCAGTAGCTGCTCGTAGAACCCCACCAGCTTGACCGCAGGATTCCGGTCAATGTCATCTCGCACTCGCTCAGAAGAAATCAAAGCCTGTAATTCCCCAACCCATTCTTGTAAAGAAACTACGCTGACTTTCCCGGTTTGCGCATTTCGACTGCTTCTCTGCAACTCTTCTACAACGACGGGAATCAAATCCTTCCAGTCGACACGACGCGGATTCACGCAGTGGAAGACCCGAGCCCCCCCGGGGCTCCCTTCAATTGCGTGCCTGCGGAGATCTCCAGTAGCAGTGGCAATTGAAAGTTCAACCAAGATCGGCGCAAGGATATCCACGGGGATCCAGTCGATCTCATCAAACTGCCCTTTGCCGCCCCCAAATGAGGCAGGCAAGGCCCCCAGATAGAGCGAGCTAACGATCAAGCTAGGCACCCATTCAGCCTTATTCCAACCACGCGGATCGGTGGCAGTCCCGGAGAGTTGACCGATGCGCGCAACCGCGACGGGGATAGAGAGTTTCCGGGACGCGTAGTCTAGGATCCGCTCGGCGAGATACTTGCTTTCCCCGTAGCCCATGGCTGCTGTACAAAACGGGTCGGTGATGATTTCCTCGGGAATCCACGCGGCTGCGCCAGGCAGGGCATTGTATGAGCTGACGGCGGCGATGGAGGATAGGAACAGGAGAGGTGGACGGCATCTTCCATTCCGCGTGAGAATTATCAGGTTCAGCAGTCCGACAAGGCTCGACTGAAAGTATTGCAACGGTTGAATGAAGTTCACTGGCCAGGCGACGTGAATAATTTGCGTTGCGGAGCTAACCAGGACGTTGTAGTCGTCAGAATCGAGACCAAGCCTGTCTTTGCATAGGTCTGCTGTAAGAAAGGTGACTCTCTCCTCGCAGAGAGCGTGAGTGAGTTTCTTTTGCTTGTTGCTCGCGGCTTGAGAGGACCTGGGGTCCTCATCCTGAGGACGAGCCCGGTTAAGACAGTAGATGTGCGAAATCCCTGGATCAGCTAGGAGATATTCGAGGAGGAATGACCCCACGGTACCTGTCGAGCCTGTCAGGATGATAACCTGTGGAACAGGGACGGCTTGCCCTGCTATATCCGCAGGCTTTTGGACAGAAGCGAGTTGGTCAATTTGTTGCTCGTAACTCTGGAGCAGGCGTGACATGCTAATCATGCGATCATCCCCGTTGGGTGCAGGAGTTTCGGAGTAGACCATGTTCGCTAATTGATTCACTGACGCGCTCGCATATATGGCGCTTGGCGGGAGAATTACACCGAGGCTAGACCGGATGGCAGCAGCAAGACGCAATGCCTGCAATGAGTCCATGCCCAATGTGAAGAAATCGGCGTCATTCTCGAACTCGCTCCAGGAAGTCACTTCCACAACAAGTGTCCGTAAAATCTGAGATGCATCCTGCAGGCTACTGAGTTTCTTCTTGGGAGGGTCCTGTGTCTGCCTCTCCTCGTAAAGAGCGTTAATTTCATCTTGGTAGAGCTGGATAGTTCCCGCGCGCTGCACGGTGCCCTTCCCAGCCCTCAGCATGGGTTTTGCTGCATCCAGAACCAGGATCTTGGATCTTGACACTCGTGCGTGTGCTGGACACTGAGCATTAGCCTCTTCAACAGCTGGCCAGATCGCCTCGATTAGCTCGGCTTTTGCCGCGTCGCCCAAGGCCTCCGTAGTCGCGGGCTCGATCAACAAACAGGCCTCGAAGCGCTGATTGCCGGCAACAAGCGCAGACCGGACATCCGGATACCGTGAAACCTGCTGCTCAAATGTCACCGGGTTCGTCTTCTCGCCGTTTAGAAATACAACAATATCGTCACGGCGACCGCGGTGTCTCCAGAGGTTTGGAAGTGTCGGGTGGGGGCTAAACAAGTCCCTTGTCTCGTACTCGTCGAGGTCTGTGAACATTGCAAAGACAGGCTGTGCCTCGGGATTTTGGGTTGATCTCACGAGGACAAGCTCGTGCAGGTCGTCCATGCGCTGCCGGAACTCCGGCTGCGCGGTTGGGTGGATGTAGAGATACTGCCAGGTCTCCGTGAAGGAGGAATCGGCGATCCGCAGCTGAGGCAGAGCAGCGAATTCACTTGAGCCCAGCCCCGAGAATACGGGGACTTTGGATGAAACTATCTTGCCGACGGTTGATGGGAGGGCACCGCCCGTGTAGAAGAGATACTGGAGCTTGCTAGCGACGAGGTCGAGGGCAGCCGGATCTTTGCTGAGGTCATCGAGGATGACAGGGACGAGGAACGCCCAGTCGAACTTGCCGTATTTGACGGCCTCCAGGAATGCATCTGTCGATGGGGGACGGCCAGGAAGAGGCAAGACCGGGACGCTCCTGCTGTATATTGCTAGGACCATCCCGAAACCAATACCAGCAATCTAAGGTTCTGCTCTTAGATTTATGATTGGAAACGATGGAAGATTGAGCTTACATGGAAAGCCGGAAGGAAGGAGAACCACTCTCCTTGTAAAAAGTATTGATCGATGCGCGTCATGCCATCGGGAGCGGGCAGGGTGTTGGCTGCATAGATTCGCCAGACAAACTCGTGGGTATAGATCAAAGGCTTCGGAATGCCTTACACCATGTTAATATATGATAACAGCATGAATGCTTCATGCACATACCTGTAGACCCAGAAGTGTGCAGGACAAAGGCAGGCTCGTTCCGGGCTGCTTCAAATGACTTTTCATATGGGTACGCAGGAGCATCCTCACTCGAGAGAAGATCATTCAAAGATGGGATACGGATGACCTTGATTGGGTATTCGCATACGATGCTCGAAACAAACGGTGGCTCGGGATCGGTGGTCACCAAGACGCGTGCTTCCAAGCGCGAGAGAAGATGCTTCTGAGCCGCAATGCTGTTTCTGGGAGAAGGGAAAAATGACTGGTGAGTCGGTTGTTAGCCACAACTGATATGCGGTTATATCATTCATTTGATGTCCAACCTTGTACCCCGTCTTGACAGCTGCTAGGAGAATGATATGGTACCGAATATCGCCGGGACCCATATATGCGAGGGTATCGAATAATGGGCTTTTCCCAATGGTTGCTTCAAGGAGCCATGCCATGAAATTCACGGCATTGCGCACCTGTGAGTAGGTTGCTTCCCTGAATCCCTGTTCGTAGGAGGTTGGCGAGACAGGGAACTTGGCCCATACTTGGTCTGGGTGGCGTGCTGCGCGGTGGTCAAGCAGGGCAGGAAGGAGCCTTGGTTCCTCGAAGTCCTGGGAGTTGCTCATGTTGGGCAGTGCAGTCAGTTAGTATCGTAGACGTATGGAGTGCGTGTTTGAGAATACTTTCAACGGGCGAGCAGCTGAATTTATCCCAGAGGGTGGATCGCTTTCAGCTGCCATTACCTACTTGGCGGTGTGCCCATCCTACAAACAGGGACTGGCGATGCGAAACCTCATCCCGTGAGTTGCCAGCTCCAATGGGATATTGTTGGCTACGGATGTTTGCATCCGTGCATCAACCCCGGTCTCTCAGACAAAGAATGTTATGCCACGCTAATACCATACGGGCTGAGCCTCTGTGGTACAACCATACTAGTGCTTACTCGAGATCAACGTTGCACATCAGCAATCAGACCAGGACTAGGTGTGTTGGAATGAATTACCCCGGATAGAGCACATCTGGCGTGGTAGCAGTTGGTTTGTCTCTCTAATCAGCGAACATATGTTTACCGCTGCGCCTATCCGTCTTCTCTTGGCGGTTGTTCATAGTCCATGGTCTCCATTCTTCTTGTCAAAAGCACGAGTTTCTCAAGGCAGAAGTAATTCTAATTTCACATGGCGCAAGGACCTGCCTTCCCGACTTGAGATCACTACTTTAGAGAATCCTAGTTCATACTCTAGTTAAGGAGGCCATCATCCCGAATCTCGAATCGGACTGCCGTTTACTACGCATTTGCAACGAAATATAATACCTACATAGGTGAACATTTATGACACGCACCAATGTTACGAAAGTTCCTCTGAGGTAATGAAGGTGATGTGTATGTAGACAAGTACCATACTTGTCCGGATGTACTGCATGCTCATGTAGCTCCATCTTCTCAGCCTTGCATGTATACCAGAAGATTACTGGTGCAAGAGAACGACTTGTAGAGATACACACGGGGTATCGCGGCGGGAATCCCGCGTGGAAAAGTAGTGGTCAGCCATCTACGTGGTAGTACTTTATATTCAGGTTTCATGGCGAAGGATGGGAGTACAAACCTGACAAGGTTGGAGTAATCACCGAGACAGCCAGTCATGTAGGGCCTAGGCAATCCGGTGGGCTCTTCCAGTCCAGTATCATAATCGTCCCTCGTCCAACTCGGAGCCCCGCCCACATGCAACTAACGATACTATCTACAGGGGGGTCTGGAAATCGTCACCAACACCCTCATTTTCAGCTGCGGGTTATAGTGTCCAAGGCTCACTATGCCGAAGAAGTATTCGTCATGTCAACAACCTCTTGCATACAATGCACTCAGAACTGCGGCATAATCCATTTCCTCATAACCTTTCTTCGCAAACACGGGTCTCGACTGCGGGACGCAGTCTCCTAGAAGGATTGGCAGTGGCCTGCCTCTATAGCATTCTGGCCTTGTCCCACTTCAGTCCCCTGCGGACTGCGAGGAGCCGATTCGCGGAGACAAGATAGAGCCTTTTCACTCTCATGAAAAGGGGTTGAGTTGCTATGGCTGTCTTATATCATGTAGCAATTTGTCCAAGCAGACGAATTGATCTGTTCCTATCACTTTTGTCAAGAGTATTGGCAGTCGTAATAAAGCCAAAGAAATTAGCCCAGAAATGTCAGAAGAGAGGTAGGTATTGATATAGTTCCAAGGGTATGATCTATGATACAACTATTCCAAAAAGGATCTCATTTTTCTTTCTTTGTTCTTTTAAGTTTAGCGCAATAATGCTATTTAGGCCATGCTAAGGTCTATTCAGTAAGGAGAAAATGGCGAAGGGTAGGTACTAAAACAGAAAGAGCAAGTGCCTGAACTAGGTGGAGAATCAGATACGTATGAACGGGTCTTGATAGATGCGAAACCATATTGTACGCTCTAGGCATCTTTCTGCCGACTTGCCTTGATAGAGATTTCGGGTGCCGGGGGGTGAGCAATGGTAATGATCAAGAGGAATCGATTCCTGAATCTATTCTTAATCAACTAAGCAAGGAGAAGATGTTCAAATTCATTCTATATCGAATTAAGAGAACCGATCTCATTAATCTTTCCACTCGGTCTGTAGAATGAATTTCTTCATCTAAGGGCCACTAGAACTTGTCTTCAGCTAAAAGTTTGGCGGATTGCCTTGGGCATCTAGATCTTCTACAGCCGACTTGATCTCCGCACGACATTGTGTCATGATCGACACAGGCAGCACCGTTCCGTCTATACTCTAACCTTATATAGACCGACTCGAGTTTCTCCACAAATCCCAGGAAACCATATCGGATAGAGCCCGAGAAGTATTGCCGTGCAGCCGTGCAGCATGCCTAGTATATCATGGCCACGGCCCACGATAGAAGCGGGGATGTCCACCTCCAATCCATCCACCATGGCCTTGTCAAGTAGCTTTTCCATATACATCGCGATCATATTATGTCCATTATTTTGCCATGCAGTGATATTCAACCCCCAGAATGCGTTTCAGTCTCTCGATAATCAGAACACATCTGTTCCCATCAGCTTAAAGCCTCTGCTCAACAATCGTGCATTCGGCCTCAAGCCAAACGAGTCGAATTTTGATGGCTACGGAAGTAAGCCAATCGAACAAACCCATATATTCAGTCTCTAACCTAGATATCGCAGATGCATACCCAGCCCAGCACCTCCCACCCTCCAGCTTCACCTACGGGGGTATAACCTACAATTTCCCCACCTACAACACATCCGGCCCCGACAACGTCCTCGCGCAAGGTCAGAAAATCACCATCCGCAACTCCAAATATCTCAGCGTGCACATGCTCGCAGCCTCCGAGTCCGGTATGGCATCCGGAACCATCAACGCGACCTACGCGGACGGTAGCACCGCCTCTGCTCCCGTGCTCGTACCCGCGTGGTGGAGCTGGCCATATCCCGCCGGCGGAGATCTGATCTTTCCGTATTTTCTGGGGAATGAATCGATTGACTATAACCGGTCGAATATCTTCCATGCGGTCAATTGGTTGGATTCTTCGAAGGAGTTGGTCGCGCTGACTCTGCCAAATGTGACGGGTGGGTCGGCGACTGAGCCTGGTGGGGAGGATATAGGGACACGACTGCATGTTTTTGCTCTATCTTTGTTGGCTTCTCGGGATGAAGGGGATGGCGAAGGTCTCAGGTTGAAGGTGCAGTATGCGCGATCGACCAGGAAATGGATAGAAGGGACCGATCAGATTCAGATCGTTGAGGTGTTGGTTAACAATGTGGGAGGGCAGTTCCTGCTGCGAAATCATTCGGTGAGTTTGAAAATTGACTCGCCTGGTGTTCAGACTGTCTCCCCGGCACGGATTAAGCGCCTTGCACCTGGTGATCGGGTCATTGTGGAGATAGGCGTGAAGAATAAGCCGGGTGTTAAACCTGGAAGTCAAGGACCAGCTAGTGTGGTGATTTGGGGACACGGAGTGCATGCTAGGAGGTATACGTTCAACGCAACATATGGTATTCCGGCCTATGAACCAACATACGAATCTATCTACGCACATGAGTCGCCAAGCTGGTACAACAATGCCAAATATGGGATCTTTATTCACTGGGGACCATACTCCGTGCCTGGATGGGGAAATTCGGGAGAGAATGAGAACTATGCTGAATGGTAGGTACTCGTCCACAACACCTCACACTCATCTTCTAAAGTCGACGAAGGTACTGGTGGAATCTCAACGAGGGTCCAAACACATCAGTTGCGACCTACGAGTACCATTTAGACAAGTATGGACCTAATCTCGTTTACGACGACTTCATCCAGAATTTCACCGCAGAGGCATGGGATCCCAAAGAATGGGTGGATCTGTTTGCGGATGCAGGCGCAAATTACTTTGTTCAAGTGAGCAAGCATCACGATGGGTACGCCTTATTCGATCTTCCGGCGAATGTCACGGAGCGCACTTCGGTGCTTATGCCGCCGTATCGAGACCTGATCAAAGTATACCCATAGGAGAAACATAGACTGCGGATAGACAGAACGCTAATGCTTATCGCCAGGAGCTTTTCGATGCCGCATCGACATACCAACCGCACCTTCATCGAGCAGTATACTACTCTTTACCAGAATGGTTCCACCCAGACTACCAGAAATACGGATTTGGGTCCTGGCCAGGAGGTAAGACCAGAAAGACATCTCCAATCCGCCCTCACTAACAACCTCGCAAGGCAACGCCACAAACCCCTTCACGAACGCCTCCCTCCCCTACGCCGGATACGTCCCTCTAACCGACTATATCTCCGACAAGATCCTCCCAGAGATGCAAGCCCTCGCCAACCTCGGCACCGAAATAATGTGGTGCGACATCGGCGGCCCAAACCGCACCACCGAGTTCGCAGCGCAATGGTTCAACGCCGCCGCGCAAGCCAACAAACAGGTCGTCATGAACGCGCGCTGCGGACTCCCAGGGGACTTTGACACGCCTGAATATGCGCGCTACGAGGCCGTGCAGACCCGAAAGTGGGAAACCTCCTTGGGCATGGACCCGTATAGCTACGGGTATAACCGCGCGACGCCGCTAGCGCGATACATGAATGCCAGCGCGATCGTGACCAGCTTGGTGGATATTGTGAGTAAGAATGGGAACTTTCTGCTGGATATCGGGCCGATGGCGGATGGGCGGATCTTGGATGTTGAGGCGAGGCATCTGAGGGAGGCGGGGGAGTGGATTGGAAGTCATGGGGAGGCGGTGTTTAATACGACTTATTGGTTTGTGAGTCCTGATGAGGGGGAGGTGAGGTTTACGACGACGTTGGATGCGTTTTATATTGTTTCGTTGACGAGGCCGGTGGATAGGTTGGTGCTGAGATATCCGGTGCCTTGGGTTGAAGGGGATCGTGTCACGGTGGTTGGAGGGAGAATGCATGGGAATGTGGTGCCTAGTAGAAGGATGAATGATGGTAGCTTGTTCTTGGAGGTTAGCGAAGAGGTCGCGGAGGCAGATCAGTATGCATGGGCGTTCAAGATCGAGTACTGATGCTGTCGGACGCTGCGGTGCATTGTATCTTTTCGAGTATACCAAACCAGGGCAAGATTAGGGCTACATCCAACCTTTGATAAACAGCAATAGCGAGCTTAAATACAACTCCAATAAAGTAGCAAGACGCCTATCCTACAACGCCTAATCATGAAATCCTCTAAGCATAAACCTCCACATCACAGACTTGAACTCCTCAAACTGCAGTATCCTTCACCAAGTAAACCCTCTCATGACCCGGTTTCACCTCCACCTTTCTCTTCACCTGGAATCCATGGCTCTCATACAGTTCTTTCTGATGCGGAGTCGCAATCGCCAACACAGGCATGCATTCAACTGCAGCCTGCTTAACTCCCCAATGCACCAGGCCCTGCTCCACGTTCTGACCCTCGTAACCACTACTCACGACAAGCATCTGTATCGCTATAAGAATAAGCAGTCAGTATCTAGCCGAAACCAACCACTAGATTAACCAAACCTACGTGCCAGTCAGGTGTGCCTCAAGACCCACCCACCCAGCCAGAAAAAGAAAAAAAAAAAAAAAAAAAAAAACTTACTATAAAACTTCCCTTCCTTCCCACACTCCCCCTGCACTTCTCTCTCAATCTCACTCGTACTGAAATACTGCTCACAAATCTCCCAACCCAGGGGCCATTGCCTCTTTGGCCAATATTTCTTGACATCATCGTGCGCCGACCCAAGCTCCCCGGGAGCGGGCATTCGCTAGTACGCGAACGCGACAATCTTACTTGGCTCTCCGGGCAGGTTCGCTTTCATGAGAACGTCCTTGGCATCAGCGGGTCTGTAGTCGTGGGTGATGATCTGGTTGAAGTGGTCGGTGAGATATGGAACGACGGCATCGGTGGGCTGGACATGTCCGGGCCAGTATGTTTCGTGAATTAAGTGATTGTGAGGGACGGATTCGTAAAACATGTTGGCGAGGGCGGTTCCCTCGCTGATTGTGGTTTGGATGTCAAGGGGGGTGGACATTTTGGTGGGTGGGAGGGGTATGGGATCTGTTTTTGTGGTAGTGAGGTCTGTAGTTGTTTGTTAGATGTGGCTGTGCGTAAAGGAGGTGTCTGTCTTCAATGGGGCGATGGGGGGTTTGCGTTATATACTCTCTGCTCGAGAGACGTTTAATATCGCCACATCGACGTTTTTGTGAAGTACGGAGTATCAGTTCCGAAACTTTTTCACGGTTCCCTAGATAAGTTCTTCGACTACTCTAATGACAGTCGAAGGATTCGGGTTCCGATGCCCAGAAAGACCCTCTATAGAGTGACAATGTGTTTATCAACGGGCCTCTTGAAGAGTGCAGAGGATGCGAGTTATGTTATTTACTCATGGTGATCAAGGAAAAGACATTTCATGTTATGGTCACCTCACCGAGGGAGAAGGGCTAGGATACAACGAATGCGTAACTGCCAGGCTTTACCTATTTTGATATCTAAAATGAGTCAGATATCCAGGGAGCATGAATAACCTAGAAATATTGTCATGGATGCTTTTTGGGGGTGCCTCAGATTCGAAGGTGACTGCCTATTTGAGCATCGAATATAGGGCTGGAAAGTTGCATACTGTGAAGCGCCATATATTGTGGCTTTGTGGACTCCGTTTGTGTTCCTGTATAGCTCTATAGAAGACAAGAAGCCTCATTTGTCGTGTATCATACGTATTTGGTTAAACACCCTTAACCCTCCTCTCACTCCTAACCACTTCCACCCTCTCGTCATCCCTCACACTCCCCTCTGACTGACTCTCCGCGTCGCTTTCACTCGCCCCCCTCCCCACGCCCTTCCTATCCAAATATACAATCAACCCAATAAACGGTAACGTCATTGCCCCCGTCACCAAACTCGCAATATACCCCTTCTCAAAGTGCGGCGCATCAGTAACCGGATAAAACACCAGCGGCCACCACGTCACGAACGCAAAGTCAAATGAGTTCATGAACCCGGTCGAGATGGCACGTAACTGAATATCATGGCTCGTGACGTCCGCCATCCACGAGTACCACAACGCCTGGGGCGCGTATGTCGTGCCGAGGAGGTAAAACGCGAAGAAGTGGCCGGCGTCTTTGGCCGGGTTAGCGACGAGAATGGCGCTGCCGATGATGAAGGTTATTCCAATGGCAACGGAGCATTCCCATCGTGAGCGGAGATGGTCGGATATCGCGGCGTATAGCACCGTTCCGACGATAGCTGTCGCATAGATTCCTGTTGGGTAGTTGTTTTGTTGGATCACGGTGTAGCCACGAGAGGCCATCCAGAGGGCCATTACGTTGTTGCTGAGGGATTGGACGCAGACGGAGTACACTATTGTGGAGATTAGTGCGTTGCGCTATAGGTTTAATTAAAGAGAACTGACGCATGAAGATCAAGGGTAGGAGATAGAATTGCCAGCTGAGGAAGACTCGTCGAAGGACGGTCCAGTCCCATGATTGTTCAGGCACTTTACCCAAACGCTCTGCTGCGTGTTCCTTTTCGTCGTGGTTGAGATACCAAGCTGCTCGATGAGCAGGGAGGTCGGGGATGAAGAACCATCCTGCACTATGTTAGGCCTTGCTATAGCTGTTTCTGATAAAGCCAAGTATACTCACCAAATAGCGCAACCGGGATAGTCATGACCGATACAATGATAAAAATCCATCGCCAGGCCGGCAACCCTCCCTTGCCAGCCAAGGCCTGCAGCAAACCAGCCTGAATCCAACCACCAGCCATACTCCCAACATGCCCGAAGCAGCAGAACACCGCTGCCCGTTTCCCCAGCTCGGACTTGCGGTACCAGGAACCGAGTATGAAATGGCCCCCGACACTTCAGGAAAGATCAGAATTGGCTATCATAAGTTTATCGGGTGTTACTACTTACTAGGCAATGGCCGAGAACCCACCCTCGATCGCATTCAATAGTATGACCTGCCATGCCGCCGTCAACTTATACGTGACAAGCGTCAATACACTCCAGATGACGTTCGCCGTGACAAAGACATATTTCGGGCGCAGGACCGTCAATAGACTTGTTCCTGGGATCTGGCACACCGCATACACGACCATATACGCGGTGCTCATGTAGTTGTAGTCCTTTCCTTCGAAATGCAGCGCCTCCTTCATCCCACTGATATAAGCTGATGAGTAGCTGGCTCTGGTGATACCGAACAGAAACCAGATCAGTGAGAAGTAAGGGAGCAAAGTAAAGTCCAGCTTCGATAGGAGGGCTCGATCTTTGGCATCATGGCCCCAGAGGACTATGGCAATTCTTTCGCGACTGAGCCAGCCCATCTCTGATGGTGGTGATGTGCTGTGATGATTAAGATAAGATATCTGACATGGAGGGTCGCACGTCTAATAAATGCTTGGCCGGTCGATGACACAAAAGCGAACCGGGATGAGATGCGACCGGCTAAGAATGCAGGATCCCGTAGGGGCGTTGATGAACTTCCCCTCATGATAGCTTCGAACTGTTCGTCCTACCACGCGGCTCGGTGATGGCGCCATGAAGCAGGTCGATTCCACCATTGATAACTGCATAAAGAGGACAAAACGGACGATTTTATGATATACATGACGGAGCATATTATAAAATACAGTTTAGACCCCATGGAATTTAGAACTGAACAGCCCGATCAACCTCGAACTCCGCCCTGATCGACGCCGTCACGTCAACCCAGTACTCGGACACCGGCTCTGATAAAGGCAGTAGCTCCCTGCCCAGTCGGTATCCGGCGTCGCCAATATACCAGAATCCCTTAAAGAAGTGCAGACCCAGAGCATACAGCGAAAACACCAGACGTGCCGGGAATTCCTTGGCCTGGAGCAACCCCATGAATGAATCGTTCAATGACAACGGCCACAGGAACACATTCCGACCCTGAGTCTCGACTGTATATTTGCTATCCATACCATCCATCAACGTCTGGCATGCTACCCTGCAGACCTCAAATCGGGGTTGAACTGGTTCTGTTTGGAGCTTCTCCAGTACCAAAGCAGCCATCCGACAGATAGTTGGCCCTGGGATCACGGGTCTAGAGTTGCCATTAGCGAGGAAAGGGAGGGCAGGACAGAATACCAATACTAACAGAGGACGATCGTCGCGCCGAGGGATGTCCCGACTGAGTTGTGATTCCGTCATTATACCCGACCGAATATTCAGGCTCTCCATGGCATCATGGAAAAAGAGACACCCTTGCAGCAGTGTCCTTGTCTGAAGGACATCGGCCAGATGGCTCGATTGTATCTTATGGCCGACAAGCGCAATGCGCGCGATCGCAAACAGGGCAATATAGATCGAGCATACCAAAGCCGGCCACAGAGTGGAAGTAGAGACGTGTCCCACAACCTTCCTGAACTCCGAACAAGCCTTGTTGTTGTAATGCGAGCCGATTCCCAGCCAGGTCTGCCGGCTGTTGGGTTCTAGATACGCAAGATGCAACGCTGTGAATGCCAGGACGCTGTCTAGAACATAGGCATGGGCAGTGGCTGCCTCGGGAAATACGTTGTGCCACTGGTTGTAATCATCAGGACTGGACACGCTATTGCTTGTACTGGTGTAATAGTGATGAAGGAGTTTGGCCTCCAGCAGACGGTTGGATGACGCATCGTGCGACTGAGGCTTTGGACTAGGACTTTGGGCGGGTACCACAGAATCCCCGTACATGCAGTCGAGATTCCGATTAAAGCAGAATCCGCATTGTGGCACTGATTCGTCGCACTATGACCGACTTAGTCGATATGTCTTTGTCTTTTATCTACGGATTAAGGACGTGGAAGAATTGATAACGGACGGAATCAGGCGGGTACCTTGACATGTCTTTTTTTGCATTCCGAGCAACCTCGTCTGGATTTCTTGTGGGCGCGTCTTCGGAGCATGACGGAGAGGGTTCTAGGCCGAAGTTCCGAGTCGACGCAGAAGGCCTGTGTGACGGTCTGACAGAGCACCTGCAGAGGCTAAAAGGATGCAAATTGGCAACGAGGCGGATCTGCGGAGAAGCGCAGCCGAATTCGGTTTAGCAGGTGCCTCGGAATACGTACGGGTCAGCGCCAAGACCGCTTTGTTCACTGAGTGGAGTTTATTTTGCTTCCCTACTCACTACTCCGGGGTAGAGCCTTCAAACCCTCATGAAAAGACAATCCAGGCATACTCTGTTACTCTAGAAACTATAATTCCAATTGTATGATCAAGGGCTGTCACAAAGACATTAGACAGAGGAATAACGGTGACTTTGCAAGGTTAACTAAAGCACCCGTGGTCCGTGGTCTATAAAAATGGATTCCTAACGCCTCTAGGAGATGAGCAAACCTCCTCATTAATTTCCCAGCCTTTAATAGCTTTTTGAAATAAATCAATTTAAGACAGTATTCTAATTGGGTAGGTCATTCCGCGCCCTCTACCTCGCTATCCCCTTTAGTGCAGTGTTGTCGTCATATCAGCGTCGCTCCTTAGACCATCACCTAACCAACTCCTTTTCTTTCACCATTGTACTCGACAGTTATACTCCGTAGTAGCGGAGCAAATTCCCAAGGGCGATCGAGCCCCACTGCCCGAGCATCCACAACCACCTCTGCTTCTGCTTCAAAATCGAGAACCCGGTTGAGATCCAGGTTGACTTTCAGGTCAGCATCTTGTCAAGGCTATTGGGGACAAGGCAGATTCAACGCTATACCTTTAAGACTCAATATCACAATAATAAATGATAAGGTCATACTGGGACTATCACGACTGGATACCCAATCGCCAAATAACTTGACCCTTTTACCATTCATTTAATCACCAATTTCTTTTGGCCCTAGCTAGAGTGGTAGATTAGTGACTATGGGAACTGGATATCGTAGAATAGAAAATTATGTTCCTATTTTAAATAACATAGTCAAACTTACAGTTGCACTATGGTGCAGTGAGCTATGCAAATAGTTCAACAACTAAAGGCACTATTTACTTGGCGATTCGGGTTAGATAACCTCTTCTCACCGAAACGAAGTTTCCTTCTTCAAGAAAATATTTTCGGCCAGAAGGCTTCCTCGGTATCTGATTACTGGATACAATTTTTGGGTTCTTTACCACTCACAACAAGACATGTCGGGCCAGAAACGCCAACAACAGGGGAAAGAAGGGAAGGGCATAGAAAGCGACGCAAGATAATTCATACCCCAGAAGATTTACAGGGAGACTTACATATTCCGATTTCCTCCCATTATCTCGACTACGCACCAGCCTCCGATAATTGTCGATGTAACGTGGAGAATCTGAGTGGATGCAAACTTGGTTTAAATTAGGTCCCACCAGGTGGACAATCCCGCAGTTTCCACTTGATCGAAAGCTCGGATTTGTTATCTTATACTTTAGTCTTTAATGCCAACAGGTGGACTTGAATCTTGGTTATGTTTGTTATGTCTATATGGTAAGTGCGCCGAGAAAATGTCTCACTAGTATGAGTACTTTTTTGAGCAAACGATGATATGGTAAACCACGACCATCGGAGTACTCTGCAGTAACCTCTGGAAAATTGGGTGGATCGAAACCACATCAATCTCCCCATCCCTTCAAATCATAGATAGTTTACCGAGTATGATCTCACCGGGGCTATGCACTTCTGTTGCTTCTTGTGTTTGGTCCCCCTCCCAGGCAGAGTAGCACACTAGACTTGTAGTCTTTTATCACCCTGCTATACGATCTCATTGAGGTACCTCCATGTTACTGTATTCAATGGCAATGTACGGACGTTAGGGTGGCATTTCTTTGCACTTTGCCCTGGCTTGTTTGGCGATACTGACTGCTCTTTAGGTATGCCTGGCCATGCCTCGGGCTTCCTTTGAATTAATGGAATACCTATCGAAGGTATGAGATAGCCACGAAAATACCAGTAACAGGCGTCACTGGTTGGTTGGCACTAGTTAGTGGTACATAACGTTTTCAAGCACCGAGCCGCGCCTACCACCGAGCCGCGCCCTTTCCACCAAAACTCCTACTTTCTTCATTTAACGCGTCTTTTCTCATCACCACAATTCAATATGCCTCTTTCTAAAGAATCGCGCATTCAGATGGCTATTTCAGCCTATCAGAAAGGCCAGGTTAAATCAATTAAACGCGCTGTGGCCCTTTTCGCTGTTCTTGAAAGTACCCTACGCGACCGGCTTCATGGAGTTAAATCACGATCGGAAACACGCGCCAACGGCTATAAACTGACTGAATTTGAAGAGCAATTGCTTTTAAAGCGATTACTAGATGCAGATACACGAGGATTTCCAATTCGGCCTGAATTTCTGCGTGGAATGGCCCAAGTACTGTTTTGCAATCGGTTAAAAGACCCTACTGCAGCTATTGGAATTAACTGGCCCTATAAATTCGTTAAACGCCATTCTGAGCTTCGTACGCAATATAATAGACGCATTATTTATCAGCGTGCAAAGCAGGAAAATCCAAAGGTTATAGACCTGTGGTTTGAGACTGTGCGAGCGATTATTTAAGAACACGGCATACATGAAGATGACATCTGGAATTTCGACGAAATTGGCTTTGCAATGAGAGTCTGTTCTATTTCAAAAGTGATTACTGCAGTTGAGCGAAGCGAGCGATCGTGCAGAGTCATTCAAAACAATTGTAAATGGATTACAATCATCAAAACAATCAGATCAAGAGATGTATATCTATTGCCAGTCATTATATTGAAAGCAAGCGTTCAACAGGCTGTCTGATTCCAAGAATCTAAGCTGCCTCGCGACTGGTGGATTTCTACTAGTCAGAATGGCTGGACGATTGATGAAATAGGCCTTTTTTGGCTGAAAAATGTCTTTGAACCGCTTTCTAAGCGCTATATAATTAATACAAAGCGCTTGTTTATTCTTAATAGTTATAGTAGTCATTTGACTGCTGAATTTAATGATTTTTGTAAACAGAATGCAATAATATGTCTCTGCATGCTTGTTTACGCTTCACATCTTCTTCAATCGTTTGATGTGAGTGTTTTTGGCCCGCTTAAAAAGACGTACAGAAAGCTTCTTGAAGACCGTATGACTGTTGATAACAATCACATTGATAAAGAAGACTTTCTATCGCTATATCCGGATGCACATAAGCAAATCTTTACTGCAGTCAATATCTGCAGCGGTTTTAGAGGAGCAGGGCTTAAGTCGTTTGATCCAGAGCATGTTCTCTCTACGCTTATCTTTCAACTACGTACACCTACATCATCACTAGTTGAAGGCTCAATTTCCTCTGCTTTTCAAATTCCGCAGAATACTCGCCAGCTAGATCGAAAGGTTCGAAGCCTGCAGAGCAGCCTTAATAGAAAGCGACAGCTTTCTAGCAGTCCTATTGCGCATATTCAATATCTTGAGAAAGCAGCGCAAATGGCGATGCAAACTACCCTTCTTTTGCAGCAAGAAATTAGGGCCGTACGCGCTGAAAATGGACGACAACGTCAAAAAAAAGGCAAGAAGACGTGCTGAGATAGGTAATGACCGCCTTTTTAATGTACAGGAAGGTGAAAATCGCGTTCAGCAGCTTGATACACAGTTTAATGAGCAGCCTGCAGAATCTACTCCAGTGCCTCGTCGACGAGCTCCGCAGCGCTGTAGTGGGTGTGGGACAGTCGGACATACAATTCGGAATTGCCCTAGTAGATGGCTATAATGTCATATATTTAATTAGTTAGATTTAATGGCGTTGGTGGTTGAAAAGCCCTAGGAAGTAGGAGTTTTGGTGGAAAGGGCGCAGCTCGGTGGTAGGCGCGGCTCGGTGGTTGAAAACGTTAACGTAATCAACCACCGAGCGACGAATACCACCGAGCGACGAATTTTTACCCCATCCACTACAACCTCTTTCCAACGCGTCAATTTCCACCACTACCATTGAAAATGCCATTATCTCAAGAAAGCAGAATGCAGATGGCTATCTCGGCTTATAAAAACAAGACAATTAAATCAATATTGAAGGCTGCAGATACTTTTAACGTGTCTGAAGCAACTCTACGCGCTCGCCTCAAAGGAAGACAATCACGCGGCGAAGTACGCGCCAATGGACATAAATTGACTGAATTTGAAGAGGAATCTCTTGTGAAGCAGCTTCTTGATGCAGACAAACGAGGATTTCCAATCCGACCGGAGTTTATGCGTGCAATGGCCCAATTACTACTTTATGAGCGTCTACGGGATCCTACTATAGTTCTGGGTATCAATTGGGCCTACAAATTTACCAAACGCCATCCTCAGCTATCAACTCAATATAGCCGACGTATTACATATCAACGTGCAAAGCAAGAGGATCCACGGGTCATAATACCATGGTTTCAAACGGTCCATAAAGCTATCCAAGAACACGGCATACATGAAGATGATATCTGGAATTTTGATGAGACTGGCTTTGCAATGGGGCTCTGCTCAACTGCTAAAGTTATTACTGCGGTAGAACGCAGCGAGCGACCACGCAGAGTCATTCAGGGTAACCGTGAATGGGTCACAATCATTGAAACTGTCAGTTCAAAAGGCGTGCATATACCACCAGTTATTATACTTAAAGCGGGCAATCAACAAGCTGCCTGGTTTCAAGAACCTAAGCTTAGTAAAGACTGGTGGATTGCAACTAGTCAGAATGGCTGGACAACAGATGAGATAGGCCTTCGCTGGTTAAAGGAGGTGTTTGAACCATCCTCTAGACGCTCTATGACTGGTGCTAAGCGGTTGCTTATTCTAGATGGCCATAGTAGCCATCTGACTGCTGAATTTGATGATTTCTGCAAGCAGAATGCAATTATCTGTCTCTGCATGCCTGCGCATGCCTCTCATCTACTACAACCACTTGATGTTGGTGTTTTTGGTCCGCTCAAACGTGCATATGGAAAACTGCTTGAAAACCGTATGATTGCCGGCAACAACCATATTGATAAAGAGGACTTTCTATCTCTATATCCAGAGGCAAGAGAAAAGGTCTTTACTACGAGTAATATATGCAGTGGATTTGCAGGAGCAGGACTTAGACCACTAAGTCAAGAACGAGTTCTTACAAAAATTACTTTTCAACTTCGGACACCTACACCACCCCTACTAGCTGAAGGGTCGATTTCCTCTGCTTTTCAGACTCCACAGAATACCCGCCAGCTAGATCGAAAGATACGCAGTCTACAGAACAGTCTTAGTGCTAAGAGAAAGCTTTCTAGCAGTCCAATTGCTCATATTCAGCATCTTGAGAAAGCTGCACAGATGACAATGCATACCAACCTTCTTTTACAGCAAGAAATCAAGAATTTACGAGCCGAAAATGAGCGAAAATATAAAAAGAAGTCAAGAAGGCGTGCTCTAATAGGGAATGATGTCCTTCTATCTATTCAGGAAGGCCAAAATCGCGTTCAGCAGCTTGATACGCAGGTTAATGAGCAACCCGAGCAATCTACTCCTGTACCTCGTCGACGAGCTCCGCAACGCTGCAGTGGCTGTGGGATAATTGGACATACTATACGAAATTGCCCTAGTAAATAGCTATCATTTCATATAATTATTTAGTCGAATTCAATGGTGTTGGTGGTTAAAATACCACAAGTTGTAGTGGATGGGGTAAAAATTCGTCGCTCGGTGGTATTCGTCGCTCGGTGGTTGATTACGTTACATAGCGACATTTACGTAACCTCGGGGAATTTCCGCCGCCCACCTGATTAAAACTTAGCGCATCCCACCGTTAGCGAACCATGCAGGGTTCATACTCCGTAGATATTTGGAGGTCATAATCAGAACCACCCTCCCCAAGGCAAGGGTTAATGCTGTTTGCACCATTGACATAATCGCGCGTGATGGAAGCCGAACCATTAGAGAGTGAAAAGTTGCTCATTAGCAAAGATGATTGGTCTGGGAGTGAACCAGCGTCGCCCACAGGTTTACCATTGATGCAGGAAGATGATCCGTCTATAAAGAGCGACAACACCTCCCTTCGCTCAACTGTCACTTATTATCTGCTGAGCATCTTCGTTTGGGCACCGGCAAGGTAGTAACCCATTTCTCCTCCTTTTCGAGCCTATTTTCTGGCTTCGAGCTGAACATACCTCAGGTTCCTTATTTATTACTTGCCTCCGCTAGAACATATATTACCAGCACCTCCTGCTGTCTCTCGGGAGTACCAGCTGAAAATGAAGTTCCTCTCGTCCCTTTTGCTGCTCCTGGCGGGTGTCGACGCAATCAATACTCATCCTGTGGCCGCGGAGCAGTTTACGCGTGAGCTGGAGGTAGCCAGTCCCAACCCGTCTGGGCTTGCGCTGCGTGATCTCCAACAAAGAGCACCGAACTGCAGGCGCATAGATCATTTCATCTCCAGAATCACATCGGTCAAAGCCCAGTACGTAAAAGACCCCCTTGGCGAGGCACACCGTTTGCATCCGACTATTAACCCCAACAGGATTGCCTTCGTTACCTTCGGCCCCGAAGCCGCCAAGTACATTTGTCGCGCCATAACACATGATGACCCCTCGTGTGATGACTGGGCTCAGGGAATCAGATACGCCCTTGGACTCATCTTTGCAATCTTTGGCAAAGACGGCGCAGAGCCAGCAGTTCGTCCTGATAGCCCAGCTCGCAGAATAGATGCAAAGAGCTATCTGAACATTGCTACCAGTGCTTTAAAAGAAAGCAGCTTGCAATTTGCCAGCATCGAGGCGGACGATAACTTGTCCGGCATCGAGAAGCGGTCCTCGGATGAGCCAGATCTGGTCGAGAGATTCCTTATCCGCGGCTTGTACCATGCTGAGCTAGGCAGCGATGCGACGAATATCTGGGTCAACCATTACAGTAATGGCGACAACACCCTGCAAATTGCTCCGGAGGATGGTCAGCAGGACGGCAACTCTACTCTGACCAGGCGCTGGGATAAGCCTGGCTTCAAGATTGCTTACACCACGAGAAAGAAGTCGCCACTCAATGAGCAGGACTCCCTGAAGATGGCTAGACATATTAGTTTGAAATGGCAGAGCATGACTCTTGGAAATGATATCTCGGAGTTCATTGGGTTTGTGGAGACAGGCCACACGGCGAACTTCTATTTCCGCATTATTCCTGAACACAACGGCTACGGGTTGAACTACGAGAGTGTCGATGTCTGTGGCGGTATGGCGGGGATGTTATAAGATGTATAGTATATTGTGAGTTGGGAGCTTCAACGCCTCCTCAGACATAGAATTAGATAGTGATATGTTCTGCTTTATACACTTGGAGGACATTCACAGTCTATTACTGTTCCGAATACATTCCATCAAACATGAATCTACCACCAAAAATTTATCCCAAGGTGGCATTGTGGGTAGGCTGTTCCCTACAAGCTCCGAAGAAAAGGCAATCCTTATCAAAATTTTGCTTCAAATAAATTACATCGATATGATGCTTCATTGGTTCCTCAAGATTCCCTTTCGCTTCGGTATCAGACTAGTACAAAATCCATTCTAGTTCATGTCCTCGGGCATCCTTGCCTTACTTCGCGGCAATTAATGAAAGAATAGACCTGAAGCACTATAGGAGACAGAATGCAGATGAACCTTGTCTGTTTTGTGATCAATAAACTTCAAAAACCTACGAGGCTATAGCCACGGTCTTTATGTACATTATTACCATAATTCACCAAATCGGCCTAGGGCAAACTGAGGCCACGCTTTCAGATCATAAAGCCACGCCAAATTCGGTTAGTGGGAGGTTGCTGGCGTGCCTGCCTGAGGCCCCCTATCCAGCGAGTTTCCCTCGCCTTCTCGCCTGCCGAGCAAACAAGCATCAGCCACGCCCCCAAAGCCAATCCCTTGGCATCAACAAAAGGTTTTGCCGAACTTTTGCCATCAATTTGAAGGGCTCATTGTATACGGGAAAATGCATTTATCCTGAATACACCCAGAATCTTATCCTTTCCCAGTAAAGCAATGATGGACGCGAGTTGAATGCAGTTCGCACTAGGTGCGCTCTAATCGGATAAATACAGCGACGGGGCCAGTGGAGATACTGCCAGTTGAATGAATATGTCGTCCAGTCGATTATGAATCCTGCAAGTATCTGGTTCACGCCACGATGGGACCAGCCCCCTTGTACCTGCTAATTCTTGTCTCATAATCGCCTTGTTCGGTTGCCGGGAATCGAGGGGTGTGAGTCCTGGTGTTACCTTATCCCTTGAAGGGGCCAAAGGCCGAATAGGCTCAAAATGGTCGTTTGAAGCGATTTCTTCAATCGTAGACTTGCGAATTGACCAATTTCGAAAGAAATTACCCGGTAGAGCTTTCGGAATACCTACCATTACGCGAAAATTATCATGATGTTTGACTCTCGCGACCTCATAGGAGAATGTCTGTGACGTCAGTACGACCAAGACAGTATTCAGGCTGAATACAGACCGACGTGCAGGAACAAGACAGCAAACCCAGGCCTGGCTTTGCTCAAAGTCGGAGAATCCCCGCGTTGGATATGTGATCGACTGCGGGACTTGCTGTATTTGGCGGCAGCTGTGGGGTGCGGAGTCGGGGTATTTGGACATTTTTGCCTGGGCTGCTTTCCTTGCACGAAAAGCAGATCTTCTTGACGGTTTATGAATATGAATTCTCGATCCTATAAATTGGCTGTTGGCCTGCTGTGAAGCATGCAGGAGCTCAAGCGCCGCCGCGGACTATCCTGCCATGCCTCCTTTCAGCTCAATCGCTGCCGCCCTGGCAGCTTTCCTACCCACTGCATTGGCTCAAGCAAACAAGAGCTACGTCGATTACAACGTTGAGTCGAACCCGGATCTTTTCCCTCAATGTGTGGCTACGATTGACCTGGGGTTCCCCGATTGTGAAAATGGCCCCCTCAGCAAGACCCTCGTGTGTGACACATCAGCCCGGCCCCATGATCGTGCCGCCGCCCTCATTTCGTTGTTCACTTTCGAAGAGCTTGTGAACAACACTGGCAATACAAGTCCAGGTGTTCCGAGATTGGGACTTCCTCCATATCAAGTTTGGGGAGAATCTCTCCATGGCATCTTCCACGCCAATAACACTCCAGAAGGCGATTACAGCTGGGCGACGTCTTTCCCCCAGCCTATATTGACAATGGCAGCGTTGAACCGAACCCTGATTCACCAGATCGGAAGCATCATTTCTACCCAAGGCCGCGCCTTTAGCAATGTCGGTCGTTTCCCTCTCGACACCTACTCCCCCAACATCAACAGTTTCCGTCATCCTGTTTGGGGTCGCGGTCAAGAGACGCCCGGAGAGGATGCTTATTGCTTGAGCTCGGCATATGCATATGAGTACATTACTGGAATCCAAGGCGGTGTTGACCCGGAGCATTTGAAGCTGGTGGCAACGGCGAAGCATTATGCTGGATATGACATAGAAAATTGGAATGATCATTCCCGCCTGGGCAATGACATGCAAATTACCCAGCAAGACCTCTCTGAATACTACACGCCGCAGTTTCTCGTCGCAGCCCGCGATGCTAAGGTCCACAGTGTGATGTGCTCCTACAATGCGGTAAACGGCGTACCCAGTTGCTCCAATTCTTTCTTCCTGCAGACCCTCCTCCGGGACACATTTGGTTTCGTGGAGGATGGCTACGTTTCGGGTGACTGTGGTGCCGTGTACAATGTGTTCAATCCTCACCAGTACGCTGCTAACGAATCTGCCGCTGCTGCCGACTCTATCCGTGCCGGCACCGACATCGACTGCGGCACATCCTATCAGTACTATTTCAGCGAGTCCTTTGACGAGAACCTATTGTCACGACAGGATATCGAGAAGGGGGTTATTCGCTTGTATACCAACCTGGTGCGACTGGGATACTTTGATGGCAATAGCAGCAAGTACCGCGACTTGACCTGGTCCGATGTTGTGGAAACCGATGCTTGGAACATTGCCTATGAGGCTGCAGTGGAAGGAATTGTGCTTTTGAAGAACGACGGCACTCTTCCACTTTCCGACTCGACCAGCAGTGTTGCACTTATTGGTCCCTGGGCCAACGCTACAACACAGATGCAGGGTAACTATTTCGGACCTGCGCCTTACCTGACAAGTACTTTGGATGCACTCAAGGCCTCGGACCTGGATGTCAACTACGCGTTCGGGACCAACATCACTTCTGATTCTGACGAGGATTTCTCGGAGGCACTGTCGGCAGCAAAGAAATCTGACGTTATCATCTTCGCTGGCGGCATTGACAACACTCTTGAATCGGAGACCCTAGACCGAGCCAACATCACCTGGCCGGGCAAGCAGCTTGATCTAATCGAACAACTGAGTCGCTTAGAAAAGCCGCTAATTGTCCTCCAGATGGGTGCCGGGCAGGTCGATTCCTCGTCGCTCAAGACTAACAAGAACGTGAACGCCTTGCTCTGGGGAGGGTACCCGGGTCAGTCCGGTGGTCAGGCCCTTTTGGATATCATCACCGGCAAGCGCGCACCGGCTGGTCGCCTTGTTACCACTCAATACCACGCAAAGTACGCGGAAGAGTTCCCTGCCATTGACATGGGCCTTCGTCCGAACGGAAGCAACCCTGGACAGACGTATATCTGGTACACGGGGACCCCAGTCTACGAGTTTGGGCACGGCCTTTTCTACACAACATTTCGTGAATCACCGGCTGGTGGTGCCAGGAATGGCTCGTCGTTCAATATCGACAATCTCCTCACCCAGCCTCATCCCGGTTATGCCACCGTCGAGCAGAAACCATTCCTCAATTTCACCGCCCGCATCACCAACACAGGCAAGACGGCTTCGGATTACACGGGCATGCTCTTCGCCAACACTACCGCCGGGCCTGCACCATACCCGAATAAATGGCTTGTCGGATTCGACCGACTCGCGACTTTGGAGCCCGGGTCATCTCAGACCTTCACGGTTCCAGTGCCCATCGATAGCGTGGCGCGTACGGATGAGCAGGGCAACCGGGTCCTGTATCCAGGACGGTATCACTTAGCATTGAACAATGAGCGGTCAGTTGTACTTCCATTCACCTTAACTGGCGAGGCCACGATCATCTCGAAATGGCCATCGGAGCAGCAGCAGATATCTGCAGCCTAGGTGGAACTGAAGGTTGTAAATACACCTACCCTCGTCCGATCATGATGTAACTCTAGGCTCTATGAGAAAGCTCCTGAGATGTCTATACGTCGTCTTGATAGTCAATAATAGAATACTTGTGAATGTCCTTGTCTACCAGCTCTCATTTGTTCGAAATACCTAGGGATCCCCTATTCACTCGCCCTTTCTAGTTTAGGCTTAGCTGGTCCAGTGACCCACAAATTCTAGCCATCGCGGCTTCGTCTTCATCTTCATCACTCCATCTCATCTCATCGGACTCCCAAATTTGACAAATTCAGTCGGTTTGTTCCTAGAACTTATTCATTGGGCTTGACCAGCTATAAAAATGATTTCCTTTCCGACAAATTTTGGAATGGTTGAATACAATGTGGGGTTTGAGCGAAACACTTGCTACCCGATCGTCAGTTCCCAAGTCAATTAACATTAGGGGTTTATCAGCTCTAGGACAATGCGTTCAATGAGCTGGCAGGAAACATCAACCCGCGAAACTCGCGAGTTTACAATCTCTACGACTGACATTCAGTGGCCGTTCAAGAGGTGACCCGCAACTCTGTATGAGCAGAAAAAGAGAATCGTTTCCCCTAAATATTGTCGAATGCCAATCTTGAGCAATTATTCGTCATCGATGTTTCTACGCTTCATTCGCACCGGAACCTTGCCCGCTGCATTCAGAGTCCCCAAGCCATATCCCTTCATATCCATTTTCAACGACCGAACGTCTGCCAGGACTTCACAATCAAACAATGAGACCATCATTGCTGCTGTTAATATGATCTCACGTTTCGCGAAATGACGACCCGGGCACATGCGGGGACCTCCACCATAAGGAATCCACGATCCCTCAACGTCCTCAGGGGCGAACTTTGCTTGGGATGCCGTGTGTGGGTCGTGAACTGGGGTTGAGGGCGATTTGACCCGCATGTTATGCTTTCTAGGTCCACTAGTCTCGTCGCCTGCTGCTTTCATGAACCTATCGGCCCAAAATGTATCGAGGCCATGTTCATCGCTTGCGCCCGTGTTCCATACGTTCTTGTCCATATGCGCTGGAGTCGAACTCATGAAGAGCGTCTTCCCAGCCGGTATGAACCAGTCCCTAATTTTCAAGTTGTACTTCTTAGGTGCTCGCACGATGAAAACATGCACGCGCAGTCTCAATACTTCTGCGTATATTGACTGCATAAGATGCGACTGCAGTAGACGGTCGATGTCAAAAAGGGTGTCGGGATCATCGTTTCTGCAAACCTTGAGCTCCTCCCTTACTCTGGTAAGAAGGGCTGGGTCTTGGAAGATTTCTAACGTCGTCCAAAACGCTGCCACAATGGCATTGCGTACGGATCTATGTCATCCAATCAGAAAAGTGCGCCACGGTATATGAGCGATGTCATCATGGAACTTACGCCCAGATAGCTCCAAAGTCTTCAGATGCAATTGCATCATAATCCATGCCGTCCATGTCCATGAACACGCCTTGCCGATCCCTGAAAAAGCTGCTGCCCCAGAAAGGGTCATCTCCACTTGGCTCAACTGTGGATGGGTGAAAGTTTTGTCTTGCGAATGCTTGCCAATCTTTGATGGCGGCAAGCAGCCGGTCTCGCGTTGCGTATACCTTCGGTGCGAAAATCCTCGGTGTGCCCTTGAAAAGTACGCCGGCCTCACGATCCATCTTCCAGAAATCTTTCAGGAAGTTTGGACTGCGTTTCAAGAGATATTTACCACATAGAGCGTTCACGGTAGCAGTTGAGATTTCTGTCTCGAAGAACCCCAGAAAGTCCGGCCAATGCTCCCATTCCGAGCCAAGCGTATGACCTTTAAGACGCTTCGTCACATCGGTATGATATCGTCGCCAGAACGGTGCGAAGCCACTACCTGCGAGAAATCGAGCAATATTTTGATAGGTTTTGAAGTCCACCCGGTTTCTGGCCTCTACCGTGCTTCCAGGATACGGCCGGAGGCTACCTCCTGAATCGTCTTTGTCATAGATTTCCAGCGCTTTGTCTGCCATCCCAAATGCATTTCGGAGGCTGAATTTATGGATCACTGTTGACGTGGACGTCCAGGAGTTACGAAACACATGCTTGATATTCTCGGCTCCCTGGACGATATATACGTCTTTCGAGAATATGGAAAGGCGGATTGGATCCGGCATCCGAAATATCCTATCCTGATTGTCAGAGCCCCCCTTATGAAACGAGGAACAGAATCCTTACCTTGAGTTCATTATGAGCTCGAGCGGGTTACTGAACAAAAAGGAGAGTATCAACGGTATGAATCCGATCACAGGTATCCATTGTGGAAGTTTTGGCGGCTGCTTGTTCGATGACTGCTGCCGTGATATCGAATCGAAATTTCTCTGCATCACAGCCCTGTTGACCAAGCAAATGACCAGACAGACGGCGATGCATGCGACAAGCAAGCCATTATCATATCCTGGGGAGTGTAGTGGAAGAGGTAATGTGACCCAAGATTGATCTGCCACGCCTGTTTTTGCAGCATGAAAAAAGGCCTTTGGAGTGTCCAAATGGCTGTCATTGAAACCTTCGAGCTCCATGTTTACAGTGAATCCAGCTCAAGGCCTGTGGTTCACAACATGCGCTAGGGCTGGCAGAGCCTACTTTTATATCGTCGCATCCTGGTGGACCAGAGCGTTAATGTAGTATCGGGGAATTTTATCCTAGTCACTCGGCGACGCTCGCAACGGTTATTGGTTCAAGTGAACCTCAATTGTCGCTCCGACGGACTCGTGCTATCCACGGAGCCAGTTACGCAAGCAATCGCAGTTATTAGAATTCCGGAATGGCCGTATCGGTTGGTGGCTAAATCTACATGGTTCTTTCAAATTGCGAACCCAAGGTTCCCGGCGCCACAAGGCTGAAAATGCCGCAAGCGAATCTGAGCTGAAAAGCGCTCACTACAGTCATTTTCGTTTTCTCGGCCCAAATATCATGTATTCCCTCACTAGCCTATGATACATACATGGTGGGACCCAATGAAACGCAATGCAACAGGACATGTGCTATCGATCAATCTCGAAGTAACCTATTCCCATATCATTGTTGCCGATCGTGACGCTTATATCTAGTTCCTGACATTGAAGAAGTCTGGAACAGCAAGATGCGGGTCTCCAAACTGTGGATCAGGCAACCGGATGGAAGCTGCCGGATGCAACCTCAACTCAAATCACACATCGGGCCTATGATCAGCCGAAAATCGTTTTCAGCCTTTTTCTAGCTCCAGGATGGAGACTCATTGGTGCCTATGGAACACTCATTTATATCATGAAGCCGTTTGCTGGACATTGAGGATCAATCAAATCGCAGCACTGGCAACCGCTACTCCGTCCATCAGAACTCAATGGCTAGAATTAACCCAAGATACACTACAATAACCCAACATGCTAGTCAACACATAGTCTAGCCTTGGGATGCGGTTAGGAAGGAATATTGTTGAACGGTGTGAACAAATGCCCCAAGCACCGGTCTTGCGGCTCTCCGCATGGGTATTGCTAACCGGACTATCATCAACTCCGAAGGCGAGTCCCTGTATATTTACTTTTTCCGGGAATCAAACCTGGGGGCTATATCCCAATAGCCATTCACGAAGCTTCCTGGCCGAGACCAGCGTCACACCGTACATCAGCAATGGATGTGGATGGTATGCACATGACATATGCACTTGTGACATGGACGTTGCCAGCCTTTACCTATCTGTCAGAACGCCACGGCACCTAAGGTTTATGTATATTTCCTACGCTTTGATTGCATGTCGTTTACTACGCCAACACACACTGGTAACACGTTTACTTGCCACATCGCAAGCGTGCTTGGGTAAAAGTTGACACTCAAGTCTATAACGGATTAGGTTTCAGTTAGTCATGGAGTTTAAACTCCATCGAGTTCAATGGTTTGATGAAGATCATCGCGCGTCAAAGACAACCAAAATTCCTACGTCATGACAGACTTCGGGCTAGGTTTCCAAGCGGACATGAGATCGGCGTCTGAGAATATTCGGAAGTTTACCCGAAGAAGACACGGAAGGTGTTTGGATTCCACCCGTTAATCGCTCATTTTAGCACCAGCCTCATCCAGAGTTCAAGTTGAGCGAAAATAAACGAAGAGAAACTCAATCGGCCGTCCCAAATTGTCCGAACCAACCGCCTCCTCGTCTATCTAATTCGCCTTCAAGAATCTCGCCTCACCTTGACGGGTTTCATGTCGACGAACCTCACCTCACTTGGGCCCTTGCTCGCCATGCTGCCAACAGTCGAAGCTCTCACTCGCCAGACCATTTCATAACTTTATTTTCGCCAACAGACCACCTCTCATCCGATAGACCTTGGGTATTGTCCACTCAGCAAGCTCTGTGTGTAGTTGGTGATCTGGAGATTCAGTGCGCGATATTCCTTTACGATGCAGTGCTACCATTTTAGATTGGGAGACCCCATCATCGCCTCAAACATGGAACGCCTATTTGGCTCTACACTCACATGTGGTGTAATCTGATAGTGATCCGCTTATCCATCGAGGTCGATGAGGCTCGTGCGAAGAGGAGCAAGGTTACGCGTGGATATGGCGAGAAGGTATTTTCCTAGGAAGTACTTGGTGCCCATGCGCATCCGGAGGTTGTGGATCCATTCATTTTTCGTAGTCAGCCTGGTCTAATCATCAAAAGAACGGCTGTTCCTTGTGATGCTTTCGATTGGAACTTGTTGGGTTCGTTAGCAGGAAAGGAGATGTTGTCCAAGAGGACATCTAGATCTACAAGCAAACTGACATGAAAGCAAAAATAACAGCTACCTGGCCTAGTCTCTCCAGAACACTATAGCCTCCAGAACACTATAGCGCCCAGATGTGTTGCTTGATCATAGGATAGATAAGCCATGTTGAGCGGCAAAGCAACCGATTTCTCCGAGGACTTGCATGTCCAAGGCCTCTCTGGACGAAATTTATGCGGCTGACAGAAACCTCCGTTACCTAGACCAGTCTTCTGATAAATTCTATCAACACCCAGTTAGATCCAAAATCTGGAGGATTCCCCCTCCGTAAACCCTAGTCTAGCTACACCCGTTTTAGGGCTTACGGCTACTTACCCCTCCCCTTCCTTCCCTTGTCTCCCCACGTCAACGTCAACGTCAACGCCAACACAGTGAATGCATCTCATCTCATCTCATCTCACCCTCCTCTCCTCCCCCTCCATGTCAGCCTTCAACCCCCTCAAAATCGAAATGGAAATCCACTCCCGAGCCTTCTCCGGCAGAATCCCAAATCCCCACGCCTGCACCGCATGCGGCCAATAAGCCGTCACCAGCGCCCGCTGACCACCCAATCTTCGCCCAAGCGCTGATGCCGCTGCTGACGCCAACCCTGATGCTGATCCTGATACTGGTTCTGATGCTGATGATGGTGCCGGGCCAACGTACCGCAGCGCCGCGCGCGCCATGGCTCTAGACGTCGGTACAAACCACCCCGGGGTAAGCCTGTGTCCGTCGCTCTGCACGTTCCCGCATACCACGCCCAGTACACTTACGGGTGTTTTCTCGGCTAGCATCTCCGCGTGCAAGGAGCGGGTGAAGGCGTCGACGTAGGCTTTTGAGGCCGCGTAGACGGATAGATAAGGGAGGCCTGTTGCGGAGAGGGAGGATATGTTGAGGATGAGACATGGCAGTAAACCTCCCTCCTCCCTCTCCTTCTTGTTCTGGGTGGATAGAAACCGAGGCAATATGATGCGATTGATCTGCGTCATGAAATGCGCGTTCACATTCATCACCCGAGAGACTTCTTTGTCCGAGAAATCGGCGAGACGCTGATACGTATATCGCGTCTGGCCTGCTTGTCCGCCGACATTGTTGATGAGGACCCGGAGCGATATACCCTGCAGTACTTTGGCCAGGGAATCTTCTAGCGTGGTAGTGGAGGAGGCGGCGGCATCGTATTGGAAGATGCGGATGGAGCGATGCGGGAAAGAAAGACGGAGTTGGGTCCGTGCGTGTTCGAGCTCTTGGGTGTCTTTACCGTGGATGATCACGTTGAAACCCCTAGATAAGAGCTCTTGGGCAAACCCAAACCCGATGCCGGCGGTGGAGCCGGTTATGAGGGCCCAGGATTCGGCGGCATTGGGGTTGGAGGAGAGGTATTGCGGGAGAGACGAGGGGAGGAGGTAAATGGTGGCGTGAAGGACGAGTTTGGTGAGGATGTAGATGTGGAGGAGGAGGCCGGAGAGGTAGAGGGTTAGGTGGAGCATGGCTGTTGTGCTATGCTCTAGGTTGCTGGATGATGTGTTATGGATAGCTCGGCGGCTGTTTTTATAAGCTGGTTGTGGTGTTATTGATTATTTGCTCCGTTGAACGTGAGCATCCGCCGTGCTGACGTCGGAGCTCTATGCTTTGGTTTCATCTTTGGTCCTTCTCAGTACCTTCCTTGTTTGGGATGCAATGCTTTCTCGGAGTCCGTTCGGGCCTGTTTCCCGAGGTGGGCTAGGTTGGTCTATTCTAGTTCTAGTGCCTCTTGTCTCAACAAAGAATGGCTCTCAGTCCCAAGTGCTTCTGGACCGCCGGTCTAGCATGGTTTCTCATAGCTCCGATAGATACAGACTATAGTAAAAGGTTATCAGACCCGCCGATAATAGCAATTCGATCTGTATTACTTACTATTCAGAATTAGGATTCAAAACGCATTCAGGAAGATAAAGGACCCCAGTAAGAATTCCCCTGAGGCTGCGAATTCGATTTGGTTCGATAAAACTCCTCTAACATGCTAATGCCGTAAACCAGCACGTCGCCGTAGAGCTGACTTTTTGAGACCAGTATCTGCGTGGGATGGCGATAGCTGACTTCATGGCGATCATTCACGCCATCAAGTAGCAGGTGGGGTCTCGGTCGAGATGTAGATCAGGAATCAGCAACGTGGTGAGTGGAGGAATCCGGATGAGGCCAACCCTGAATAGGCAGGTAAATAGGTAGCAAATATGGGGGCTATATAGACAGCTGTTATAGTCTTCATGCAAAGCACGAAAGGCTCCAGGTAAGATATCGCGAATCGGCTTCGCGTATTTCTTCCATTCCTGCCAAGAAGGTCGAGGCTGCGGTCCATTGCCTGGTGCATGACACTGAAGTACCCCTCGAGGGGAGCTGGATGCTTCTGCCTATCGAGAAGCTGGGATGCCTGTCTAGTCCAGCTCAGCGTAGCTCAGAAAGCGAAGGATTCGAAACATCGCCAGACAGTACGAGGCAGTAGTAGTGCTTACTTACTCACGGTAAACCACCGAACGAGCACGCGCGATAACATCGGTCCTCACTTTCTCGCTACTGCCGAGATGATGCTGACAATGACTCGGATGGCGACGACGAAGCTGCTCAAAAGCGTGTACAGACTCAGTGTGTTGGAGACATAGCCAATGGTTTTAGTATCCGGAGGTAAAACGGGTGAGCCGAAATGTCCGCCATGTTGATCAGGGCAAGAACACGTCACGTTGAAGAACAGGGCTTGCGAATTGGCTGGATTAGAAAGGCCATCAGCTTAAGATGTTGGGGAAAGTATAACAAGGCTCTGTAAGCCACGCTGCCAGTAGGCTACCTTCCTCTCATCTATAATTCAGCCTGGTCGAATTTGCCGATCCAATAAGGTTGGTCAGATCACTCTGAGATGATGGACTAGTCGCGACGCGGACACGTCTGTTCCGATGCAGGAGCTGATTGGCTTTGGCCATTAATAAAACTACCCCGGACTATAATTGAGAGCCGGACGTCATGCAAGGACATGTTGGGGGCAGGGGTTGAGGCTGAGTTGTGAGTTCCATGCTTCTTGCTGACATCCACCAATTCTATGTTTCCCTTTCCCCTGTAAGCAGTTTGACACACGCAGGATTGACTCACCTTCTAGATGCATTATCTCCTCGTATCAGAACCTGCTCACCAGCGGGATTGCCATTGACATTGTGGCTATAACGCGCTCTTTGCACGCTTCTGGGCCAGCCTTTTTTTTTCTTTTGCAGATGAGCGCTTTGACTCATCCAGGCCAGGGGAATGTCACATAAGATCCTACGAATCAACAACCAAATGTCTCAGGCGTATCGAACGATGCTTATCCTATGACGACCTTTCGGGTTGCTGACGGTCGATGAGCTCGACGAGGTACAAATCCAGAAATAAAAGGAAGGTACCTGCAAGTGTGGATGCGTGACATGTATGCTCATCAACTGCTTCAACACAAGCAGAGCTACACCTGAGCCATGGCCCTATTTCTGAAGGCCGCCTTGGCCCCGAGCAATAGTTTCCTTTTTCCAATCGTCGCTCTTTGTTCGTCCCTGTTGCTATGGCGCTTTTGGAGGTTCGTGATTCGTCCAAAGCTGCGTCCGCTCGACCCTAAGGAGCTTCCATATTGGATTCCGATAGTTGGTAAGGAATCCCACTCAATGTATAGCTCTGAAAGTCCATACTGACGCTTAACCAGGACATGCTGCTGCGTTCTTCAACAACTCATACGTGTTGCTGAGAAATGGCGAGTAAGTCTTATGTTCCTGACCCTGTATCGACATGGCAACAGCGATATACTCACCAGAGCTCAGCAAATACTTCCGCGGCTCCAAAGAGTCATACGCTGTTGAGGTCATGGGTCAGACAATCTATGTAGTGACATCCGCCCGCGACAGCGCCGAGATCTACAAGAACACCACCACGATGTCCTTTGAGATCTTCGTGCGCAAATTCATCCGAAGCTGCGGAGCTAGCGACGAACTTCTAGACCGACTGTACGGCGCGCCTCCTCTCGCCGGTGATGTCGAGAGTCGGTCACTCGGCGATAAAACGCATGACTTTCATGGCATGCAGCTCTTCCCGGGTGGTCATCTACCGGAATTCACGGCCATCTTCAAAGAATTCCTAGAGGACTCAGTTCGGATGGATAGGCTACCGGGAAAGCGTTATATCACGGCTTCTGGGGAAGGCTGGGTGAATCTGAGACTGATGAAGTTTGTCTCCGATTATTTCGTGGACGCGGGCCAACGGACGTATTTCGGTAAACGTCTGGGTGAGATTGATCCGGATCTGATCTGGACATTCCTCGAGCTGGAAGACCGAAGTTGGCAGATTCTGTACGAGATTCCCGCGGTGTTTGCGAGGAAGGCGCACGCGGCAAGAGACGGGATTATCGATGCTATTCAGAAATGGTTCGAGACGCCGCCTGAAGATCGGCCGGATGGATCGTGGTGGATGAACACGATGGAGGCAGAGATGAAGGCCTTGGGGTTCAACACTCGCGAGATGGCCACGACGGTGGTTCCGATTTATATTGGGTATGTCAACTCCTGGGCTCTTTTGCTCCTAGTTTTCTTTCACTGCCCATACTTGTCCGATGAATAGTGCTTACCGTCATCTAGGAGCAACACCAGCACCCGGAAAGCCTGTTTCTGGCTCCTTGCCTTCCTTCTCTTCAACCCCGAACTCATCGAAATTGTACGTGAGGAGACCAAACCCGCGCTGAGTAACGGCCCCGTGGACCTCGAATACCTCAAGAACAACTGTCCCCAGCTCAACGCCATCTGGATGGAAACCCTTCGCATGGCCACCTCCGCCGCGTCCTTCCGCTTCCTAACCGAGGACACCATGGTCGGTGGCAATCTCCTGAGGAAGGGAAACCGAGTACTCGTGCCCAGTCGTCAATTGCACTACGACACAGACGCGTTCGGCGACGACGTCCAGGCCTTCAACCCGGAGCGGTTTCTAACGGGGAACAAGCTGACCATGGGCCGGAACTGGAAGCCTTTTGGTGGTGGAAAAAATCAGTGTCCTGGGCGGTTTGTGGCCCAGCAGCAAACATTCTTGTTCGTCACCTTGTTGCTGCATCGTTTCGATATCGAGATGTTGCCTGGTCAGAGCTTTCCTAGGTGGGCGGAGGGGGACCCATTTCCGGGCATGATGCCAGCGAAGAATGGTGATGATTTGATTGTTAGGGTGACTGAAAGGAAGGCGGTATAGTAGTATATAGACTTTTGTCAAGATTGATGCAAGAACAAGTCTTCACCTTCCGAATAGTTTCCTCTTTCTGCTGAATACTCCCTCCTTTGACGCTATACCGCATTCGGTGCACGAGAGCGACACCAACCCAAAGTAGACTAGCGTCTCTCTATACTTGGCTCTTCTTTTCCGCCTCACTTCTCTCTCTCTTCCCTTCTCTTCCCATTCGGCGCACTCGGAGATGGTACCTGCTTTTATCTAAAATCAACAGAGTATCATTGAACCGTGCCCAATGTACAAGCCTGTTCCAGCCAGGCCCAAGAAAACAGACATTGTCCGATCGCGCACCGGCTGCCAAGGCTGTCGCGAACGCAAAACCAAGGTCAGTCGCCAATCTCAAGTACTTCCCAGCAACTAACGTAGAATAGTGTGATGAGCAAAAGCCGACATGTGGGACATGCGCCAGGCTGGGGAAAGTCTGTCGGGATCGGGATCGAGAGTTCCGATTCCGTGTGACGACTGGACGTGCAGAGGCCACGGACCGGTCCTCCACGAGTCAAGCGTTCGAGTTGACAGGCTCCGATGGTAGTGCGTTTGCAGATCTTGATCTGATCAGGTCCCTTCAGCACACTGAGAGAGACATTTTCTACTCCACGTACTGGGAAGGTCAATGTCTCCCAGCCCTTCACCCGATCTTTCATTCCACGTCTCGCCACATCACCAACAATGTGATGCTAAGGGATGCCATACTGGCCTTATCATCCTGTAATCTAAGCCGTCTGCATGCGGAACAGAGAACTCAGTCAACTACTTCCATGGGCCTCTTTAGTCCCAGCCTCATCCATCAGACTAGAAGCCAACTCTACTACTCTTCGGCTATCAGGCGATTCGCATCCTTGAACCAGCTCGAGTATCAAGCCAACCCTACCCTCTCACTGACGGTTCTGGTTCTATTCGCATACATCGAATCTTCCATGGGAAACTTTCATGGCTTCTCATGCCATGTACAGGGCCTGTCGAAACTGTTCATCAATATTCATGACGCAGTTCTCAGCTCCACTTTCACACCCTTACTATCCGCGTGGATGCAAGTACGCTTCGTGGTCTGGTGGGCTCGGGCCTACTTCAGCTCCATTGAAGTGCATCAGCAACTCCCTTCCATCACCTTACCCCCATCGCTGAACGCACCCTGTACCTCGCTCCACGAGCGACGAGTCACTATCCTCAGTATCATGTGCGAAGCCCATCGAATCAGCTTCCAAGCGGCACTCAAGCACTGGTCCAGCGATGCCACATGTCCTGACCCCAATCCCACAGAGACCCCCAACCCTCAAGTCCTCCTCGCCGAGCAATCCCACCGTCTCGACGAATGGCTCTCCCACCTCCCTCCCTCCGAACAACCCATCCCTCCCACCCAAAGTACCCCTTCTCCCGCCCACCAAACCAACGAGCCCATCATCTTTCCCTCCCACGACGCAGCCCTTAACTTCGCTTACTCCCTCGTCGCCCGCATCATGACCTCCCCCTCCTTCCTCGCCACCCTCCCCTCCACCAACCCCAAGGACCTGGGCCACGAATGCTCCGCCTCAACACCCTTCCTCACCCTCCTCCTCCGCATTCTAAGCGGAATAAACCTCCACACCTCCCTCGTCCAAAACACCTACACAATCGGCTTCTCCAGCCTCCTCCTCGCATCTCTCCTCCGATGCCAGGATCCCTCACTCAGTCTCGAAATCCAGTCCTGGTTACAGAAACTCAACGATGTGCATCCGACAGAAGAGGGCGCGTTTCCCGTCTATCAGGCGCTGAGGGTCGCGAGGGCTGTGCATCGTCAGAGAACAGAGCATGGGTTTGATGTGTTTGCGATTAGTTTGCCCGTTGATGATGGTGGTGGATGGCCGAAGTTCAGCGCGTATAATAGTCAGAGGATTGAGGGGTTGGTGTTGCATGGGAAATGGAGGGGGAGTGGGAGGCTGGGGGAGGTGAGGGTTTGGGTTTGAGAATTGAGGTTTGGTAGTTGTTCTGATGTTATAGTATAGGTACTTGGTAGGGATTTGTGGATGTAGGACGATGTCGATTCGAATGATGTCAACTAGCCATATGTCTGTGAAGATGATTGTTGAAGAGATATTCCTATATGTCAAACGACAATGCTTCATTAAGACAACCAAGTTTCCTTATCCACACGCAATTAGTTTCTATTGAATCTCAAAGGCTCAATATTATCTGACAAAACGAGATAGAAAGTACATTATACCGCTAGCATATATGAAAAACCAAAACATCATCCTAGATCATCTCATCTATCGTGATCGCATTGCACTGCATGTAATTACCCCCCCTTCTTTATAGAACGTGTATATCCTCAAATCCCCAGATACTATATTCATCACCCCGAAGCTGAATCAATCATCTCGATCAACTCCTCATACTCACCCGTATTCCTTAACATATCCCAAAAGATACCCTGTTGTTTAACCAACTCCGCAGGAGAGTCGTTCCTATCATATATCAAGTCAGCATGCATCACACATACCAAGAACCTTTTCCAATAAAGGCAAAAGGAAGGCGAAAAGGCAAAACAACCCCCACCACCACAAACAGGAGCACATAAATAGATATAATAGAGAGAACATACTCAACAATCTCCCCCTCACTCATAACCAAAACCCGATCATAATCCATGATCGTCCGCAACCGATGCGCAATCGCAATGATCGTACAATCCGGAAACATCGCCCTCAGGACCCGCTGCATGTGCATGTCTGTCTCGTGGTCCACGGACGCGGTCGCCTCGTCGAGTAGCACGACTTTCGAGCGCCGACACATGGCGCGTGCGAGACTGAGTACTTGGCGCTGGCCTTGGCTGAAGTTTTCGCCGTTCGCTGCTACAGGTGTCGATAGTGTTAGGGGGCGGGTGAATGTCGTGGAGGTGGGTTTGCTAGGGCTGGTTGGGTCGGATGGGTGGTCGTCGTCGTTGTCGTTCTTGTGGGTGGTTTCTGGGACGTGGATCGAGGAGGTACAAGCGGCCAGGGCGGACTGGAGTTCTGTGTCGCTGGAATCGCCAAAGGGATCGAGGTTGGAGTGGACGTCGCCGGAGAAAAGGACAGGTTCCTGCGGGATGAGAGTAACGCTGGTGCGAAGGCGGTTAAGGAGGATGGAGCTGATGTCGACGCCATCGATGGTGATTTTGCCCTGGGCGAGGTCCACAAAACGTAGCAGAGACAGACCGAGGGTGCTTTTGCCGCTGCCGGTGCGGCCGACGATGCCGATTCGTTCGCCGGGATTGGCAACGAAGGAGACGTTGCGCAGAACGTCCGGTCCATCGCGATGATAGCGCGCCGTAACGTTGTGGAATTCCACCCGGCCCGATACCGGCCAGCTGGCGGGGACAGAGTGGGCGAGGGCCTGCTTGTCTGTGAGATGTTCTTCCGGTTCGATCGCGGCGTACTCGCCCATGCGTTGGAATGAGTTGAGCTCGACTTCGAGCTCGTTCATCGATCGGACGAGTGTTAGGATGGTTTGGCTGAGGCCGATGGCGTTGGTTAACGAGAATCCCACCAGTCCCGCAGATCCCGACCAGAAGTAGGCCACGCATCCTGCAGCGGCGGCCACCGAGGCGGCGCAGAAATCAGAGCGGACCGATACCCAGCGGTTACAGTTATATTGTGTTTCGGCGGAGCGAGCATGCACGGCCAGCCTTTCGGCCAGCAGACGCTGAAAGACCTCATCCATACCCTCCCGAGCACGGATTACGCTCAACCCGGCTAGAGAATCAGTAAAGTGAGAGAAGACGGGAGAATAGTTGATCGAAACGAGGCGCTTGATGGAGACCTGCGCGCGAGTGTACATCTCCCCGATCACGAATCCAGCGGTGCAGATGACGGCGGCCGGCAGGGCGAAGATAGGCATGATCGATGCAACGCTGGCGATCCGCAGCAGAAAGCGTAGCCCGTTTTCGATCGACATGCGCAACCAGTCAATAAGCACCGTGTCCATAGACCGCGTATCATTGCCGAAGCGGTTGATTGCACGTCCGATCGGATTCTCATCGAACCAGGTAATCGGCGCAGACAGGACTGCTGTCACCAGTCGCTGATGCATCTTCTTGGCAGCAACCCAGCTTCCGTACTGATAGACCAGATTATTAGTTAGCTGCAGCAAGAGAAATGCAATGATCGAAATGGCGTATATGGCCAAGTAGAAGATAGAATTCGGGTGTTCGTCTTCTTCGTAAGTGCCAGTCCAAATAGACAGCCAATATGTGATACCAAAGTACGCCAGCTGCACGGTGATAGTGACGAGAATCGCCAGCGGCGCGTACAATGGTCCACCAAACAACATCATATACCGAAAGACTAATCACCGTATTGTCAGAACCGTACAGCTCAATATATAGATGGAGAACTTACACATTGTGCGAGGGACCCGTCCAGTAGCAGTGGTCTCCTTAGCCAAGCGCCGGTCCTGTGTCACAGATGGCGGATCCTGAACCACAACCGGCGCAATGTTGGTCATGGGCTCCGACGGAATATCCTCCGTCTCCACCCTCTGCGGCTCATTGAGCGGTGTCGACGTTCCTGTGCCCAGCGTAGGAGTGCTGCACGGCGTCGGCAGCAAAGACGGCTGAACGCTGGTAGGTGACTTGACAGAAACCACCTTTCCATGCTCCAAACGTACCGTCAACTGCGCATCCTGAAGGGCGGCTGGATAGCGCGTAACAAGCACCACCGTCCGGTCTGAGAGCAACCCTGAGCGGAAACACTTGTCATAGACAAGCGTGGTCGTGTGCGTGTCAAGGGCAGAGAATATGTCGTCGAGAAGAAGCGTGCTGGAGCGAGAATACAAAGCTCGCGCAAGAGACACCCGTTGTTTCTGGCCTCCTGAAAGCGAGGTCCCTCTCTCGCCCACCACTGTGAGATCACCAGCCGGGAGCTGGCGAAGATCCTGCGCCAGACCACTGGCCTCGACAACGATGCTATAACGCATCTCGTCGAATGCGCTATAGAAGAGAATGTTCTGACGAACCGTATCGTTCTGCAGCCAGGGCGCCTGAGGCACATAGGCCACGTCGCGAGGGCAGGAGGCAGTACCAGATTCCAGAACAGTTTCTCCCAGCAACGACAAGAGTAACGACGTTTTGCCACTCCCTGTGGGCCCTGTCACTACATTGAGGGCCCGAGGCTTGAAGTGGACGGACACATCCTGTAGCCTGAACGCAGCAATGGGCGTACGCTTGAAGGTCGCCTGGTTGAGCTCCAACGGCCCATCAGGGTGCCGTTTGATCTCGCCTGCAGTGTCAAAGAATCGGTCCACGCGCCGCAAAGACTCCGCTCCCTGAGCAGTGTACCGGCTGACGTTGGATAGCCAAACAAACTGAGACCTGAGTGTTTCCATAATGGACAAGGAAGTGAATGCAATCGGTGCTCGCAGAGGAAGGTCAGTGAAAAGAACCACAGTCGAGAACATCACCAGTAAGCTCATCATCGGCAAAAGATCCCCGGCCATCGAGATGGCAGCTGCGAAGACACTCCGCCGCCAGAGGCGACGTTGCTCGACACCTCGGACTCCGTTGATCGAATCCATGGCCGCATTCTCCCATCCGAAATACTTCAAGGTGCGAATAGAATTCAGATACTCGGAGATCTTGAACAGACGCACATCCGTCGCTTGCATAACCGACCGTTGAATCTTCGACACCTTGCGAGACGCCAATGCAGGCAAGGGAGTCAAGATCAACATAGTCAGAACGCCGAGCAACGAAGGCCACCCGATGATCCGATAGAGAAACACAAGCGCAAAAGTGATCGATATCGGTGCCGATGTCGAAACGTGGAAGATATCCCGCGAGTTGTAAATGGCGTCGACATCATACGACATCAGCGTAGTCAAATTGGCCTGACTCGACTTCGAGGCCCCCTTGGACGTATCCGCCTTCCGCGACGACTTAGCCTTCTTATCCGAATTCGACATATCCACCGAATCATCGTATATATACGACCTCATCGCCGTTTGATAGATCTCCTGGACCAAGGAAACATTAACCCTAACCAGCAGCCGAGTCGCCGTGAAGATATACTGCTGGTAGCAGAGCGAACGCATCACGGGGCCGACGAACAGCAAAGAGATCCAAACGGCAGGATGCACGACAGCCGACTCATCATCTTCAAAGTACGCCAGCAGCCGCAACATGGCATAGGGCGCGACGAACTCCACCACCGCCGTCGTCGCCGACCAGCACATCATCGTCTTGATCTCCGTCTTGAGCAACTGGCACAGCGTACGGAACGTCTTGCCGCCTTTCAACCGCTGCTTCTTGATCTTCTTCAGCCATCTCGAGGGCTCATCGTACGACGGTAATGGCGGTAGATCGTCCATCGTCAGATCCTTTTGACATCCCCGCAGAATCACATACGTGATCCATTCGTACGAGCAGTAGTACGAGAACAGAGAGCACGTTTCCTCCGGAGACCTCCCATCATCCGTCCACAGTTGCTCTCCAGTCTCCGAGTCAGGAAGAAACGAAGGCGAAGACCGACGCGGCCGTGGCGTCGCCAACGCTATCGCCACCACAGCCGCTAAACAACCCAACAGCGCCGCCGCGATCGGTCTTGGACGATACGTCGCGCCGACGATAACCATGGGAACGACATCCTGCACAACGCCCAGCGCCAGCGCGGCCAGCGCAATCACATTCACATGAACATACAACTGGGCACGAGCGTCCCGATACTTCTTCCTGCACGCGATCCGAGCCACGCCCAACACGACCAAATAACTCAGCAGAAGCGCTCGCTTCCAACTCGCCCCATCATCCTGCAACTCTACCCAGCTGAGAACGCACGCCGCAATGCACGCGACCAGATGCGCCACCGCGTAGGGCAGCGAGAGCACGATCTCAGACCCGCGGGGATCGTTGTCGTCATTCCCAGGTTCTGTATGAAGCCGGTACTTGGGTCTTCGGAACCCGGAAACAGACCGGAGCAGAATGGACATGACGCCCATGATCCCTGAGGCGAACAAGACGACCAGGTGGAGATTACCTATGGCTATCAAAGCCGAAAGCTTTTGCGTTCTATACCGCCATAGTTCCCTGGGAGAGCGGTTTAGCAATTAATTCAATTACGACAAACCGAGGAGTTGAACTGTTGAAATAGATAGCTAACCTCTGCATTGAGCCACCATCAAGGTTGGAAAGAGTCTCGTCTGCTGCAACCTGCCGTGTCGAAGGAAAGATCGCTTGCTGGGGAACCCCATAGATGGACTCCATAGCGGGAAGCACAAGGGCGATAGACACGCGGGATCGGCCCTCATAAGCGTACAGCCAAGCCGGAACTCGTTAGAGGCTGGCAATCCCGCATCGGAGGGAAAGGCTTGCGTTTAGGGATTGCTATCGGCACTGTCTGGGCACGCAAGGGGGGCAGGGATATGTCCATCGTCCAGCTGGAAACAACACGAAAAAGCGGAATTGTCGGAGGAGTCAAAATTTCGACGTTCGTCACTTTATCGCGGGGCTTAGTCATCGGCATACCATGATGCAATTCCACCGGGTTATAGCAAAACATGCGCGATCAATTAGTTCGACGTCCTCTGAGCAATCAGATCCTGGCTTAATATATCCTCGGGGCTTGATTTGCGGCATTTATGGAGTTCATCGGAGTTGCGCCGACGTTCGGCGTGTGCTGCATGAGAGTTACCCCGATTATGATGCTTTTGCCAACTTTGGCTATATATTTCCTGGAATGAGCAAGGCTGAGCAACAGAATCCAACGAGTCTGGTTATCTCCAAAAGGACCCTAATTGCTCAAAATAATATTCCGTTGGTACAGGAGGTAAAATCAGTATCAGCACTAGAATAACAATAATGAGGACCCCATTAGAACCCGTAGTCATCCAATGGCGAACGGCCGTTTCGATATCTCCACAAGCGACTCAGGTGCCAGGCCGGATCATTGTGGCGGCAGTGAACAGCTGGTCGAGCACTGACAGGATCCTCTACGATGAAGGCCACGAAAACATTATGCACGCTTGAAAACCCCGGAGCAGCAAGGGGGAACATGGGATCGAGATAATGCTGGACAAACAGATGGCCAGAACCCTGCCTCTGGAAGAGATGGCCGAGGTACCGATTTCTCAGGTTAATGAAATGTATAACTCCCCATTGACACACGAAGTCCCGCGAGTTGGCATAATGTTCGATGAAGGGAAAGCGTTGCCAACCGGCTTCGCCCCCGCTAATTGGAGGGGGAATGGGTCGCTGTGATGCTGCTATAGCAGCTGCGCTTTGTCCTACCTCATCAATCATGCTGAATGATCGTGGACGGGTCCTCGCCTCCGCTTGCGGTTGAGCATTTTGAGGCGCCACTGAATTAAGGATAACCTTCTGAAATTGACCGGCTGCGGGCCCTCGGTCTCTGGGCCGCGGCAGGCTGGTATGACCGTCTTCCCCTGGAAACAGCCGCCGTGGATCATTGAAATGATTTGCGGCATTGCCAAATGTGTAAATCTCCAACTTCTGCAGATGCTCCTGAGATATCTCACCCACGAGCCAGTCAACGATTAGACTTGTCGCTATGCCTCCCTGGCTGTGAGCGATGAGGATCAACTTGTGGCAATCGTCATCCCAAAGAGTCTCCTTGATGAGCTCGTACGAATCTCTCACGTCTTGCGTTGCATAGCAGAAGTTCCGTTGAATCAGGCATTTGATTAAATCGAAAACAAGACCCGATCTGTAGAAGACATTAGCAGGCCTACAGTCAGACTCCGCAGTGCTGTGAACTAAGTAGCATACGTAGGACTATGGATTCCTTTGACAGGCCGAAGGAATATCTGAGAGAGGCGGTTGACACTGTTCTGCATCCAATGGGTTCTGTTGGCGGTTAAAGAGGCCTCTATGTTAGCGTTCAACGTAAACTGTCGAGGAGATAAAGTGGTCCAAGTTACCCAACTGTAACTCCATTGATAAAGATCCAACGTTCGTGGATATGATTTCTTTGGGCCGCTAATGGGAGGGTTGAATGCAATATCCGGGACCCGGTGTTCAAGGTAAAGCTGCAGATGAGCTCATTTATTGCTAAAGCCATAAAGACGTAGACCACGAAAAGGGGCACTGGCATCCAAAGGAAACCGAGAATAGGTAGTGATATCAAGAAAGAAACTTGGTAAAAAAAGAGAATGACATGGACTGCGATAACAAAAAGATTGTCCACTGTAAGGCTTAATTCGTCTACTGGCCCACTCGGATGATCCACTGGATAGAACAACCAGGGAATATACCGGCTGAACTTCACGGCCAATACGATGTCACTGAAGAGTAACTTCCACGGAGAGGCCGTATAAGGCAAGGGCGTGTCCTTGGTGTTGACAGGCCTTGACGCACGAAAGACGTCAGCCATGCCTGGGAGTGTCTCTATGAATGGGATAGATAAAGGAGTGTACGGAGCTGGAGCGTGCGAACAAAATGTGGAGAGACCTTCTATTCGAGCTTCGGAAGATGTCAAAGAGGAAATTTGGTGGTTCCTTCCCAGTTCCTACAGCCTTCTTTGCGGCTATTCATGGAAAGAGTCATCGACCCACCTTTGATGGAAGACTGTGGCTTTGTTACTCAACAACAAGGAAACAAACATTTTGGGTGCATCATACAGTTTCCAAACAGCTCCATGCGACGCAATATGGAATCGTCATTTTCGATGCATCCCCTCCATTTGTAACTACCGTGGCTCTAGGGCCAGCATCTTGAAAATAGTAGGTGTAGCATTCAAACTCTAGACATGCAAGACGTGATCAATGGACGATGCCATTGTCCAGTGTTGGTGGAACAAAGAAAGCCAGGCTATACGGGGACCTTCACCCGTATAATACGCCGCAAAGGCAATTCCCTGTCCTTTCTTTGTGTTTGTCCCTTTGTTCAATGTTCACACGAAGTTGATTCGCACTGATAATGGCATTATACCGGGAAATGTTTGCAGACCCAAGAAGTCGATATGGCTCGCCGGATATATAATCTTTTGTTGTACCGGCTTCTGAAAGAGCCTTTTTGTATCGTCAGCTTCAAATTTCTTCAAACATCTTCAATTTCCCATAACCATGATCATTGATCTGCGCGTATCCCCTGACAGAGAACGAAGATACCAACATTCAGAACTTGAAGCAAGTCGTATCCAGTGTCATAGCAACACCAATCACTGCAACAACCAGTTGAAGCCCAAGACACAAGCTTGGATCTTGTGTCAATAGACGGACCTCCATAACGTCGACATTCTGTTATGCCATCGAGATCGGAAAAGTCTATAATTCAAAGGGCAATCATGTCGTCAATCCAGCAGACGTACCCTCTGACGGTCGGCGATTTGACGAAAGAACAGCTAAATCAGCTCATTGAAGTGCTGAACATCGACACCGTCTCCCCTGAGGGAGATACTTCGGTGGAAGGGCGGATCAAGGATGCAATCAGAAAGCTTCCCTGGGATCTGCGCCGTCATGCCTTAACTCGAATTGTGCCAAACGCTATTATCCAACCGGCCATCTTGTGCGACCGACACACCGGCATGAACCCCTACGTGGTCAACCACATTTTTATTCTGATCAAGCGCGAGGTGACCGAGCATTTGAAACATCTCGAGCGATACACCGGCGAGATCGCTTCTGAAGTCAGGCTACTACTGACTGAGCTCAAAGGGATCCGGGGTTTATGGCGCAGTGATCCAAATTTGAAGTCGTATCTGAAGTACATGAAAGTCTCGCATCAGCATAGCGGTTGCGAGGCATGCATGCTGGCGCAGATTATCCAAACACCAACCTGGCTGCAAAACCTTCGCACGGCCCTGTTGAGCCGTACGAGAACGCGAGCCAGGCCCAATAAGCCTCACCGACCACCGCAGCTTCTGAGGTTTGTCGACGGGGGCATCAACACACACCCTCATCTCGTTACCGACTTGTTCTATCAGAGTGGCCAAATGGCATATTCCCTGAAAGACGTGAGAAAGGCGGCGGTCCAGCAATACAGACAAGCATGGCAAGGTAATGACCACGAGGATGACAGGAGTGAAGATGAACAAAATCCTGACGACAGCTATAGCAAACGCCAGACCATCCATGTTTACTGGCATCAAGAGGGGAGAGAGCAATCGGGAACGGTGGATAGATTAGGCAGCGAAACCGCTGTCGAAACGTCGAGCTCCATGACTGCCGTTGACGATGGCGACCAATTGCAAGCCATGCACGGGAGAACGACGTCTAGAAAGACAACACCCAGTGAGGCTCTAATCAACGAGATCATCGCAGAATATGCTGGGTTGACAGGAACGCCAGACATGGAGGATGCACGACAGAGCTTCCTGGTCTTGCAGCCTGATCTGGCCCCTCCCACTCCATTGTGCGTCACCAAACCGGGACCGAATAGTCCTTCGATTGTTTCTCCCACCAGCACGTACGTCATCAGCCCGTATGCCACCAGTTCAGGGGCCACCAGCAGCTCAGTTGCCACGACCCCATATGCTACCAGTTCAGATGCCAACATCTCACCTGCCACAAGTCCAGAAGAGATCATCAGCCTGTGTGCCACGAGCCCTTATGGTGCGACTGAACCGCGCAAGCCCTCTTTTGCAGTACGCAATAGCAGCACAGGAGGATGGAAGTGCGGACATTCCACTCCGCGAGACGCCATCGACTGGGAAAAGATCATCCATAAGCCCAGCCCTCTGGACGATCTCTCTGCACGAGCCGCCTCGGCCTTCCGCGACATCAATGGAACCGCTGAGCGCATCGCGGTTGAATACCAAGATATTCTCACTCCGCACCAGAAGCTCGAATACTCTGACTCGGAGTATTCCGTCTCGCCGGGTGAGGAACACTCCCGTCCACCTACCACCTGGGAACTACTCTGTGACAATATGAACATCGAGCAACCCCATCCTCAGCTTAAAGAAACAAAGAGAGGAAAGGGGCTGGTGAAGATGTTTAAGAAGACACCTCGCATCGAGGTTGCCAGGGCGTGAGGAAGTTCTTTGTAAATATGCTGGTATTCTGTTCTCCTGGTTCGATATCCCCATATTTAATTATATAATGGCATACCATGAGGCGTTTTCGTGAGCTTGGATATATCAGGTTTCCTGTTTATCGGATTTTGGTTTGGTTAATTATTCCTGCACCGCCGGTAGTAAATAATCATTCTCATATACAATAGCTCGAGATGAAGACAATGAAAAGAGAAAGAGCAGGACCTTCCAAAAATACAAGAAGTGTAATATGAATTTGCTGAAATTGATTATCGTATGAAATATAAAATTAAACAATGTAAGAATGAAAGTAAAAGTTTGTCATACCCGATAATCATGACCGACAATTATTAACACAGAGTAGCGAAAGGTGCAATAGAAAGTAATCCTGCAGTGGCGAGGAGACGACCCGCAGCTCCTAGAAAACCACCGTGATGCCGTGAATAGTTTGTTGAAAGAGAAGAGGGGAAATTAAAATATCAGTAGAAGAGATAAGGGTGGATAAAAGAGTGTGGGATTGTTTCATTGACGTCTTGTTTACAAGACACTGCTGGCAACGCCGTGGTTGGAGCCCTTCAAACTGTCGACGCGCGGTGACAGTGTGACCGTCTTTCGACGCAGGCGAGTGCGGGTGCTTGAGTCCGTAGACTCGTCGGTAGAAACGATTGAGGGGGTCATCGTTGTGGTCTCGGTCTGAGTTTCGGCGGCCAAAGCTGCCTCGTCCTCAACCTTTCTCTGAGCGGACTCCCGAGATCGTTCGTACCGAAGCGTGACGTCGCCTTTCCATTGAGTGTTCAGCAGGCGGTCCCAGAAGATGAAGAACGGTTGAGAGAAGTTGGTCTTGATTCCCCAACTCTGGTGATGGATGTCGTGGTAAGCGGCATTGTTGGATGTGAGATGTTGCAAGGGATCCCAGGGGAAGGCATATCCGCAATGATCATCGACGGTCTTGATGGTGGAGAAGGTAAAGAACCACATGGCCTGGCGGTTGGTCATCCGAGCCGTCAGGAAGGCAACGCCGGTGCCGGCGGTGTCGAGCAGGAAACCCTCGACAGGGTGGTTGTAGAGAGCACCAAACGCATACGGCACATAAAGACGGTGGTGACGCGAGTGGAAAGTGACTACCAATCCCGTTAGAACGCAAAAGGCAAGGTGAACTGGAGAGAGATAAATGAACACTTACCATACAGCCAGCGGTTGAGATGCATGGCGCGGTGAAGGAAATACTGCCAGGTGTCGACGACGCATACACCCCAGACGAACTGCAGCGCCGGAACGAAGTACCAGTAGATGAAGCTACCGGCTGCCAGCTCCCAGGCGGCAAAGGCAGGAACCACGCTCTCAGCGCCGTCGTCCAGAATCACGGACTGCGTGAGTCCGGGATAGCGACCACCGGCCAGGATTCCTCCCAAGACGGTATGACCACTCAGAGCGAGGCTCTTCGACATACCCAGAGCGTCGATGCCGAACAAGGCCAACAAACGGGGCAAGCCTCGCTGCAAGAGCCGGAGGCGACGCGCCCAAACCGCAACATCGTATTCTTCCTTGCCGATATATTCCGGAGGGTCGAAGTATCCCATTGCGAAGCCCGCAATGGTTTGAATGATTTGCTGAAGAACGACGTCCCTGACCACATCCCAGCGAGACACGTGGTTGCGCTTCAGAACCTCTGCGGGGGTGTGTAGGCGGTACTGTGGAAAGAGATCTTTGGTATCGATGTAATGGTAGACCATAGATAAGGCCCAGTACGCCACAATCGGGAGGATCAGCGACACTATGTTATCGGGAACCGGAGCCCATAGCGGGGGACGTGGGCTTAAGGTGTATGTCGGAAGAGGAGGGAGGTCATATACAGCGGAGGCGTTGGCTGCCATGGTGAGGATGGCAAAACGACCGAAGTCTGACGTGTTGGTAAAAAAGCAAAAGGTGTTTAAAATGCCTTTCCAGAGAATCAACACATCGGACTGCTTCGATTGATAGCCGGACAGTCCCGAACGGGGGGGTTAATGGCGGATGGCGAGGGTAAGGAGATCTCAACTCGACGGAGGAATTAAATTTTCCAAGTACGGAGTATATAGAAAAGAAGTTGTCCCTGGAACAATCGGAACCTTTCCCAAGGCGGTCCACAATCAGGGGACGCGATAGCCGGAACCGATAGGACGATGATTAATCAGGGAAGGGGAGGCCGGAAAGGAGGGAGTGAGTGGTTGTTGACGACGAGTAAGCGGAAGGAAAAGAAAGAGAAACAGAAGCCAGGTAGGAAGAGAAAAAGGAGTGTGGTCACCAAGCCCGGGAGATTAAGTATCCAAATGGAAAGCAAAGGAACGCAAGGTGATGGAAGTCGGGTGGAAAGTAAGGTGGATGAATGGAATGAGGTGAAAGAAGTGGCACCACAGGAAGGCAATGCCGGCCGATATCTGATCGATCGCTGGTGGGTATTTGAGGTATGATACCAGTATTCTGGAGTTGCCTTTCGGGGGATTAGGTAGGATCCATGGGTGGTAACGGTGTATGGTACTGTCACCTCCTCCGTGCCCGTACTGAGTAAGTGGATGCTGCCTGACCCATCAGGCATTCCTCACCCTCCCAGAACTAGCCTGAGTGCCTTGCTGCCTCAGTCATCAATTCTGCAGTCTCCATTCGCCTCAGAGTCCAGTCCATTCTGTTTCGGTGTCCTTCCGAATAGATACTCGCTATTCACTATGTTGTGTTACACCATATTCTGTCCTCTCATTCTACCCTCATCGGTTTCCCCGAATTTGCCACCAATGCCCATCGGCCGGTTTGTTTTGTTAGCTGACTTCCCTTGGTTGCCAGGCCCAAACCACAAGGGCCAGACGACTCGCCCACTCCCGAAGCGGTTTAGCGGCTGCGGTTTGCCCCTCGAAAATCCGAGGGAAAAAAAAATTAAAAAAGGAAAAAAGAAACCCCCACCAAAGCCGTGGGCAACCAGACGGCGCCGCTAAATAATAATCTTCAAATTTCCCCTCTCCGGCGGATCTCTTCCCTTCTTCTTTTCTTCCTTTCTGTTCTCCAGCCCCCGTGCCACTCCTCTGTCTTTTCCTCATTCTTGTCTTCTTCTGGGATACTTCCTTTCTCATACCTTCAAAATGATCATTTTCACGGTATGTACTACTTCCTCTTTGTTTGCTTTCCGATTCTACCCTTTTACCCCGCCTCTTGGAGAGAAAAAAATGCAGAAAATGGGAACATGGAAGCATTGCCTTATCACAAATCACATTCTCTTACTGTTTGCATGTCACTAACATCATTGCCTGCATAGGATATCGTTTCTGGAGACGAGGTTCTCTCCGACACCTTCAAGCTCCAGGAGGTCGACAAGGTCTTCTACCAGTGCGACTGCCGCAAGTACCTCAAGAAGCAGAACGAGGACTTCCAGCTCGAGGGTGCCAACCCCTCCGCTGAGGAAGGTGGTGATAACGACGGTGGTGAGGGTGAGGCCGTCATGGTCCACGACATCGAGGACCAGTTCCGTCTCGTCTGGCTCAAGACCGAGGAGGGTCTCAAGCCCTCCAAGGACGCCTTCAAGTCCCACCTTAAGAGTATGTACCCTCTATCACATGATGCTGTGTGCGATGCGACAAGTCGAGTGAACCATTTTAACTAACATCGTCTTTGCTGCAATTTAGACTACATGAAGAAGGTCCTCGCCAAGCTCACCGAGAAGGGTGCTCCCCAGGAGACCATCGATGAGTTCAAGGCCAACGCCCCCGCCGCTGTCAAGAAGATCCTCGGCAACTACGACAACTACGATGTCCTCATGGGCCAGTCCATGGACGGTGATGCTATGTACGTTTTTCCTTGATAAATGGTGGCACTTCAACCCTGCCCAGTCACAATCGCTAATGTATCCTCCACTACAGGCACATCCTCATTGACTTCCGTGAGGACGGTGTCACCCCCTACGCCACCCTCTGGAAGCACGGTCTTGAGGAGGTCAAGGTCTAAACGCCTTTCCCCTTACAGCCGCTGTGAACCGTCTCATGCATTTGAAAAAAAGAAACTGACGGGTCGGAGTTTTGCGAACGTCTTAATTCTCCCAGAGCAAGGGACGGGGACGGATGGGAACGACTCAACCCCCCAGAAGATGAAGATTCCATTTTCTTAATCCTATTTGGAAAAGGGAAAAAAATCGGATCTTCAACCCTGGACATCTCCCCACCCGTTTCCTACCTTTACAACATGTTCTGTCTCATCTGAATCCATCCTTGGCTTCTTCACCCACCTTTTTCTTTACGTCTCGCAATCTTTCTATATCCTGCTTGATCAGAGTCACGCCTCATGAAATCCCATAGCTTGTTACGTCTTATATCGTCTTCCTGATAGGATATTCTACCTAGCCTAGCTTCTAAGCTCATACCATCTACGTTTAGGTATTCATTTTTTCTTCGGAATCTGATGCCAAAGTCAATCCTACAATTGTATTCTACGCCCGGTCCCCTGGGTAACAATCAAACACAGTAGAAATGTAAATATCTCAACCGTCACTCTAAATCCAACCAATCATCCCATCCATCGCAAAAAGAACCTATATACAAAAACATCCCCAGAAGGCAATAGACAGACAGGATATATACGCTAGAATACATCAAATCTCATAAACCACCCAACCAAAACAGACCAATCTTTCATCCATCGTAAAGGTCTACAACCAGTCGAAGAAGAAAAGAAACAAAATAACAGGAATCATGAGAGGAGAAAAACCACACACAGCAAAACACATAACTTGAAAAGACAAATCAACAATATCCATACCAATCCGGACCCTTCACATCATCCATCGGGATCGAGGTCTCCTCGCTCCCACCACCACCAGCCTGACTACTCCCCGGCCCTCTTAAGCTGCCAAGGTCTCCAAACTCGAATCCCGACACGGGGTCCAGTTCCATGAGTTCGTCTGCCACGGGGAGATGCTGGCCGAAGACGGCGTCCCATTGGTCCCAGTCGAAATTCAGGTTCGGGTCGACCATTGACGGCGGGGTCGGGACGGCGGCCATAGGAGGCTGCTGGGCGGAAGGTGAGGCGGTGTCCATGAAGGGGAGGAGGGTGGACGGGGATGGGGATGGCGCGCTGGCAGATGGGGCGTATTGGGATTGAGGAACGGGGGTGGGGACGGGGACGTTGTTGAGGGGCGGGAGGATTTGAGAGGTGAGAGGAGATGTCGCTAGAGCGGTGTCGATAGAACGAGGGTTTGAGTTTGTGGCAGGGGTTTGGGGGAACGGCGGAGTAGATGCTGAGGGAGGCGTTGTGGGGACGTGCGGAGTGTTGGTGGGCGGAGGGAGTTGGTTTCGAAGAGGGCTGGGTCGTAGTGAAGACGCGGGATTGGGGAGCACATGAGACCGAGTCATGTTGTAGAACATCTTTGAGAAATCGGAGAGTTGCCGTCGAGATGACAGTGACGAGACGGGGGGCGAGCCGGCATTGTTGGCGTAGTAGGGGTCACTAGCGCAAGGATATTCGTCAGGCGCAGCGGCGACTCCTGCTTGTACTTGCGCTTGTTCGGTCCAGAGCTTCTGTGGGTCAAGACCGGCTTTTTGCCATGCATTTTGGCGTAGCCTGCGTATCATATCCCAGGCTTCACGGCCGCCATCCTTCAAGGGTCGTTGAGTAGAGATGCCGTCCTCGCCGCCGACAACACCTCCGTCCGGGCCTGTCAGTGAGAAGATCTTGTCGATGAATGCACGAGATTTGGGAGCCTCGGGGCTAGAAGGTCGCTCGTGGAGATCGATGAGCATGATCATGGCTGCATGCATTGGCTGGTGATTCCCGGGCCAACTCCAGTGAAAAGGTTGAAACTCAGGGTCGGTGGCAAGAGAGATGAATTTCTCCATGAAACCGTGGCAATGACGGAGAGCACTGTATGTGTCAGAATCATCAACACTGTAGAACAGAAACCGAACAACCATACCTTTGCCTGGCAGCTGGCCATATCCGACTCTTCGCGTTCTTGAGAAATGGTTGATAGGCAACACAAAAGGCCTTATCTGAGTCAACTTGGTTTGTCCACATGAGTACAAGGCTTCAAAGCCTACCTTATCAATGAATAATGAAAGCAGAATTCTCGCCCACTTATGGAAGGACACAAGAACAGGCGTATGATACTGTTCCAGGCAGCCGGCAGGTCCTTTCCCTGGTAGCTCTGTGTCGCTGGAACGAATCTCTGGGGACTGAGGGAAGGAATAAGATCTATCAGGTGAGCTGTAGGAAACTGTTGGTTCCGGGATGCGGTTTATTATCGAATTAAGCTGTAGCTGAAGGTCGAGAAGGATTGACCGAAGTTCTTCCATGTCTCTCCGAGTAATTGGTTTGATGCCCAGCTGGATCCTCAATATCCGTCGGACAGCGCCTTGATAAACAATTAGTATCTGTCATATTTCAATTTGTTCAAAAACTCACAAGCCATGACATATTTCCCCCGAGCTGACAGATAGTATACGTTTACTGTAGAAGGCCCACCACAGACAGTCGGATCATCAGGATTATCAGGCGGCCGCATGCCCGCCGCAACCATGCGTTCGTAGTTTTCGGCCTTGGGAGTGCCGAGCAGTGTATCCTTGACTTCGCTAGCTTCGCGGACATCCCAGAAGTTTTCGTCGCTGACTAGGGGCGGAAGTCCACTTGACATGGCTACAACGCCATCCATATGCACGATATGCCACCATATCCGTCGGCGATATTCCGCTTCGTAGGCTTGGATCCCAAACTTGGCGGGGTCGCGGTGTAGTCCCATCGTCTGTGCCACTCTCATTGCCAAGCTCACAAACAAGCTGCTGGTCAGTGGCTCTTCTTCCTTGGACAGGATCGTCTGCACCAGGAGATACGCAGCCAGACCCTGTAATGACGGGCTTCGAGGGAATGAGATCTTGGTCAGCCACCGAGTGACCTCCTCGTGGAACGTTTTCGACAGAGCAGATCGTGAGGTAATATTAAACTCGGCCTTGATTATTCGTATAGATACCGTAATCGACCCGCCATACCAGATGGCGTAGAGGAGTGGTATAAACGAGGGATCCGGACACGGCTCACCGGAATAGCTACCGTAATCATACCAATTCCAAAAAGCATTGTATAATTTCAGAATTGTTGGCGGATGGATGACCGGGCTGATCGCATGAATTCCGGACATGAAGCCTTGGTATAGAATATGGCTTTGTCGTTTGGTAGGGACATGATCCAGCATTTCCGGCTCCACAGTCTTATCGATCACCGAAGGCGATTCACTGGAAGGAAACAACACCGACCTCTGGAAGGCCTCCCCGGTGGTTATTCGGCCATCCGTGGCAGTCCCTCCGGGACTGTCATCCATTTTCCACTGGCTGGTCGGCGTGCGCATCATCGAATCCGAAACCGTTTCCTCCATCGATCCTTCATTGACAGTTGAGTCATTGTGCGACCGGTTCTGATCTCGTAGTAGTTGATTGAGTTCATTAATCTGTGCGATCAATTAGTATTCTTCCCAATACACATTAGTCTTCAGCCATACCTCATTCGATATATAAGCCCAGTATGTTGTTCCGACATATCTACTCCTGCGTTAGATCGTATCCCCGTCATGATAATAGAAACAACATACCTCGACCTCCCCCCGTCCTCCAAGCTCAAATGACCGAGGTTCAAACTCCCAATCGGATCCACCAGATCCGTCGCATGTCCAGCAGGAATCGGGAACTCGTCGCCACCCGAATCTGCCGCGCGACGCGGACTGTTCGGACGAGAATTTCCCGATTTCAACGGCAGCCCGTTAGCCTGACGGGCATCCTTCCTGGCAGCCTCCAAACTGACATTCTGCGCTAGCAGCTGCTTCTGCACAGTGTCCAACGGCTGGTTGGTCTTGCTCAGTCGCTCGATCATCGACGTGAGCTTGTCCAACCGCGCTTCGATCCCATGCGCCCCGGTCTTCTGCTCCGACGATCCCGCCTGCTTCAAATGGCTATAGACCGACTGCAGATCATCGACCTCGTCGTCCACCGGTCCCGACATCTCTCGTCTCCGCTTGACCCCGTGGCCCTCTTTTGTTTGGCTGCGCGATTCATCCTTGGGCATCGCATCGTAAATGCACTCGTTTCCGGTCTTTAGGCAGTTTCCGCACGTCGGGTGGACCTAGAGAGACGCATCAGTATCCGAAGGATTCCCCTTACAAGCAAGTAATCCCCATTCTGGACATTAGCCTACCTTGTCACATTTGACCTTCCGCCGTCGACATGTGTGGCAACTGTAACTGGCGCGGTTTCGCGTGATCTGACGGCCACTGCCCTTTCCCGTAGAGGACCTAGACGACCCATGCATGACGCTCGACGCGGCGGGAGAATCGGGATTCATGGGTATCTGGGCATTCGATCCGGGATTGGAGGCCCCATAGCCGGGGTCTCTACTTCTCGGACTCGGATTCATGATTGCGCGATCGCAGTGGCGGGGTTGTGAAGGCCGGCGGCGCAATCGCACGGTCGGTTCATGGGGGGTTGTGCAAGGAGTGGGATTGTTGATTAATAATTATTTCGAACTGATGAACTGGCGAAAGAGAGGGGCTCAATTCCCAGAAAACGACATGCAGGTCTAACGAGCTAAGGGATTCCAGAAGGACGTTCCTGTCTGCGGCGGGTTGACGTTTGGATCTCCGGGGTAAAGCTCGCGATCGACTCCCTCGGCCAATGAGAGGTGCCTTAATCGGCAGCCGGCGATTGTCCCGGCGCTGGCAATTCCGAGACTTCCTCTTGATACTCAGAGTGAGATCATATGGAATAGGTCATATTGGACAGGTTTACGTTTATAATCAGTACTCAGAATCCTCCGGTTGTGAAATAAACTGGATATTCGAGCTGTGCACACGGTAAATATACCCTACGAATTACGTCGATATGGATCAACTGCCCAGAGTCGTGCTAGCCATAGCACGTCATAAATCCATCTTCGATTCCATCTTGGTATCAGAGAACAGCAAATATGCCCTCTATCAGGTGTAAATAACAAACGCCTCACGCCCGTGCAATGCAACCAGAAACGCACATTAATATGGACAGTGAATCAGAATTTCTCGGAGTGTCCCATATCCCATACAGCCATCAGATCGGGCGCATCATGTCTTATTTCTTCTTCTTGTCCTTCTTCTTCTTTTCGCCGCTGCCTCCGGACGGCTCGCCGCCCATGCCGCCCATACCGCCCATCATCCCGGCCAAATCGGGCATCCCGGGAATTTGAGGCATTCCCGGCATACCCTGCATGTTCTGCATCTCCGACATGGCGTCCTTGAGCGGGTTGTCGCTTACTCCGCCACCACTGTAGGCCGGGGAGTGTATGGGTAGGATGGAACCAATCTTCCACCCACGAGGAGCCGCCGGTGCGGCAGGAAGCTTCTCCGGCATGGGAAGTCCTCTGATCCGCAGGTTGTAGGGGGATTTCTCAGTGGTCGGGTGGGCTTTGAGATATTGAGCCACGAGGATATAGAGATGGTGTTCTAGTTCAAAGTTAGACACCACAGTCGACACAATCGAGGTCATGAAGCGCAAAGATTGGACATAGATGATACTCACTGTTCTTAATTTTCGGGTTGGCCAACTTCCCGTTCTCATCCTTCAGTAGCACACGCACTCGCCCCGGGTTCGCCCAATCCTTCGGGTGAAACTTCTCCGGCTCGAAGCCTACCGTCAACCCCAGCATCTGCGCCGCATCGACGATCTCTCTGGCCAGAGGGTTCTCAACGGCGTGTTCCGAGCCGACTTTCCGGCCTCCGGCGCGCGACCGCGACTTGTCGAAGTAGATCGGGTACAGGCATTGGAAGTGTTTGGGGATATCGCGCTGCGGTTCGGGGGCCTGTCTCATGGGTATCGAAGACGAGGCAGGAGCAGGAATGTTGGCGGCGGACAGGAGAGATTCATTGGTGTAGTCGGAGGGAGCAACTTCCTCCGGATCTGAGTCGTCGTACACCTCCTCGACTTGCGCGTTTCGAGACATGGTGACTGTCGGAGATGGAATTTACAGTTTTCAATCTTTCGACAACCGGAACTAGTAGAAGGGAGAACCGGTGGGGTGCGCAAGGAGGGACTGAATTGGCGGAGGTTGACGCTGAAGCCCAGTCTGGCCTTTCTGTGTGAGGGAGATTTAGTGGCCGCGGAGAGCCACCGCCTACATGGGGCAACGGGCACATGACCTCGAGTTGTTGCCGGCAGAAAGTGCACGAGCCTGGGCGGTCAGTTGGCCTTGGCGGTGAATCTGAATTATCTCACCCTGTTTAGGTTTAGCTCGACTCTTGTACATACTCCTGATGCCCTGCAATCTTTCTGCTCTTCTCACTTCTCACTTCTCTTGTCCGACGATCTATCCTTATAAGAGAATTGAAGAGAAAGAACTGTTCGAATATCGCTAGCTTGCATCACCCGGAGGAGGTATATGTATCAATCCCTCACTTGCTCATGAAGCTCTCCGTTGGAGATATATTCGTGCACCTTAGTTGGGGATGATGAACGAACCTCTTGATGCCTGTCTTTGAATTTACCTGAGATATCATAAACGTCTATTCAACTAGCAAAGCGACATGCAAGACCTGTTTAAGCCGTTCATTGTTTCAAATCGATTTGCGGAATTCGCGTCCTCATCGTAAACATGGCAGTTCTCGTCAACGCATTTGTAGACTGTCATTAGATGAGCATCAAGGTAAGAGAGTAAACTTGTAATTAGACTGTACAACGCTTGCCTAGATCTAGTCCGTAGTGTTTTAGGATGTAAATTACAATCCCATCGACCAAGCCTTGCAGATTGTGTGAAAACTGACGTGACACATTGAAAATAGTTTTAGCTAATACCTCACTATCATACTATGAGTCAAATCGTATGCCATAGATAATCGAGCAGCAGTCAAAAAAGCAATCTACGTATTACTACCTAGATAACCGAGGGCTTGATCGGGACGTCGGCGTATGCGGCCAACCATCCGCTCGGGATCTCCATCGGCATGCCGAGTGCGGGCATACCCCACATTGTTATCTATGGAGTGTACGTAGTTCCCATGTAGATATCTACAATATTTAAGAGGGCAATCAATTCCTTCACAGAATCAACTGCATTCTAACTCTCTCCATCATATCGCCCATCCATCCTCTTACCAAAAGCCCGCAACAATGACCACCAACCCAAGCAAGTACTTACACCCCTCAATCCTATACTCCATCTAACCGCCAAACCCAGCGGACCTCATCACCCCCCAAAGCGCCATCCTCCATCGCCACACGCATTTCATTCCTAAAAAAGCCGTCGGCGGCAAAGGCAGCTACATCTTCCTCGAAGACGGCACTAAGTTCCTTGACTCGACCGGCGGCGCAGCCGTCTCGTGTCTAGGCCACGGCCACGAGAAAGTCAGTCAAGCGGTGATCCAGCAGATCGAGCAGCTTTCGTACTGCCATTCTGCGTTCTTCGGGACCGATGTGGCGGAGGAACTGGCGAGATTCTTGACTGAGTCGACGGGTGGGAAGTTGTCGAAGTTGTATGTTGTTAGTTCGGGTGTGTTTATGCCTCCCTTTCTTACCTCCGCTTTCCTATATCCGACCTCAACAGAGCAAAGCATGAGGTATCCAAACCGTGACACAGACTCACATATCACATAAAACAGGCTCGGAAGCCGTCGAAGCAGCCCTCAAACTAGCCCGCCAATACTACCTCGAACTCCCCGTCCCTCAGCCCCAACGCACCCGCTTCATCGCCCGATCTCCCTCCTACCACGGCATCACGCTCGGTGCCCTAGGTGCCGGCGGCCACGTTCTTCGTCGAGAGCCCTTCGAGCCACTTCTCGCGCAGAACACATCCCACGTCTCGCCGTGCTACGCCTATAGAGGGAAATTGGATGGGGAGTCGGACGTCGAGTATGTCGAAAGGCTGGCAGCTGAACTAGATGCTGAGTTCCTGCGCGTCGGACCGCAGAATGTTTGCGCTTTTATTGCGGAGACGGTTGTCGGCGCGGTATGTCATCTTCCTCCCACGCCACTATCTCACCATACTCTTCCCTAAACATATACTGAGCAATTAAAGTAACAAATGAACTAATGATAAACAGGCCCTCGGCGCCGTGCCCCCCGTCCCCGGCTACCTCTCCGCCATGAAACGCATCTGCAAAAAACACGGCGCCCTGTTCATCCTCGACGAAGTAATGTCCGGCATGGGCCGCACGGGCACGCTCCACGCCTGGGAACCCGAATCCGTGATCCCAGACCTCCAAACCATCGGCAAAGGTCTCGGGGGCGGATACGTCCCCGTCTCAGGTGTCTTGATTGGCGACGAGATCGTACGGACGTTGGATCGTGGCTCTGGTGCGTTCCGCCACGGTCAGACGTACCAGGGTCATCCGGTTTCTTGTGCTGCGGCGCTGGCGACGCAGAGAGTTATTAGGGAGGAGGGGTTGTTGGAGAATGTTAGGGTTTTGGGGGCTTATTTGGGAGAGAGGTTATGGGCGAGGCTTGGGGCGTGTAGGTTTGTGGGGGATGTTAGAGGGAGGGGTTTGTTTTGGGGGGTGAGTTCTCTCTATTTCTTTACTAATCGGGGTTGTTTTTGTTTCTTGTTGATTGCTTTTGGATGGATTCGGTGCTTGGATTTGGTTATGGGTTTGGGCTAATATGAATCCTACAGATTGAATTTGTCCAAAATCGCACAACCAAAGAACCCTTCCCGACGTCTGCGAACGTGGCATTCCGGATTCAAGAGACGGGACTGGATCCAGCGTTTTCGATCTCGTTGTATGCGGCGTCGGGCACTGTGGATGGCACGCGTGGTGATCATGTTCTTCTGGCGCCGCCCTATAACGTCACCAGGGAGGAGATCGATTTGATTGTGGAGAGGACGGGGAGGGTAATTGAAAGTGTTTTTGAGAGAGTGGAGAGGGAGATGGAGATGACTACGTCTGGGACTGATTGAGATGGGAGGCGATAGCTAGGGTTAGATGCTATGAAGAGAAGGGCACGTTCAGCTGCGGTTCGCGTCGATTCGATTACTGATATTCAATGCAAGACCATGGAGATAGATACAAATCCATTCAATAAGCTAGATACTAACAGCCTCCAGTAGGTCCAGGATATCCTTTGCGAACAAGAAAAGATAAGATCAAAAAAGATCCAGCAGTAACTAATGGTACACACATTAACACAAACGCTTGCTTCATTTTCATGCCTTGGCCTCAATCGCCGCGCCCTTGGAAGAAACCGGTGTCTCTTGAACAAACTCCTTCGTTTCGCCGTTTCCATTCGTGGTAGATGCCGGGGTCGTCTCGGTCCACATATTCGCAACCGTTTCTACGGCTCGCTCGATCACCACGCGCACCCGGTCTCTCATCACGGCATTCGCGCACTCGACCTCTAGATCTTCCAGCCACACCCGCGCGACGTGCTTGTCAACCTTGATCTCAATACCCGGAACGGGGATCCCGAGGGCCTGCAGACGAGCCAGCTCAGCGAGTTCGGCTTTCGCGATGCTGGTGTCGTCCGAGGTTTCAGAGTTGGGAGTTTGCTCGGTAGAGTCAGGGTCGGGTTTCGGTGTGGGCGTGGAAGTTTCGTTCTTGGCCGCGCCGTTGGCGGGCTGCTTTGGGAGACGCGGACGCTCGATGGGAGAGATATCGGATCCGAATTGCGCCTCCAGCATCATGAGAAGACGCGTGAATCGCTCTTCAGCGTCAACTTGAGAGTGGGGGTTGGGGAGTTCGAGTTCGCCATGGTGATGGTGGTGGTGATGATGATGATGTTGCTTGGCAGATTCTGTTCACAGTTGTAAGTATAGAAACATGGTTTGCTGCAGATTCATTGGTCTTACGCTTAACAGAGGCAGGACTGCTCTCAACTGTGAGAAGCACCGCCATGACAGCATCAGCAACTCCGTCGTTCATCATATTACCCTCCCACTCGAGCTCCACTTCTCGCGTCCGAGAGTGGTATCGGATGATAACACAGCCCATGACAAGGTAGGTCTGAGTCCCCTCGATCGGAATCTCTTCATCGGCAGGCTCATGCTTCATTTCATCGTTCTCTTCGAGCTTGCCGTCCACGTTCTCTTGCTTGGCGTTGGCCTTCTGGCTGCCGATCTCCTCAATCGCGCCAAAAGTACCTTCCAGTGCCCATTTGATAAGATCCATGCTGGCAGAGCTCAGCGTGATGTGCTGCTTGCATGTGATGGTCGTGGTCGTGAGGCCGGCATATTCGCGGAGGTCGTCCGGTGCCATCAATGACAGGTCAAAGCCGTTCTGGACCAGCACGCCGGCCATCAGGCTGCTGTCGTCCTCCTCCGATGGGGGAGCGATTTGAGCTAGCTTGCCCACAACCTTTGCGATTTTGTCCTTTTTGAACGGGATGCGGACCTCGTCGCAGTTGGCGGGCGTGTAGACTTTTACCTTCACTGTCTTGTCTGCGTTGAGACTAAGCAGCTTAGATTTTAGTCGCATCATTTGGTGCTTTTCGCCATGGACCAAGATCTAGCGAAGTTAGTATGTGAAATAGGGATATGTGTCGGATGGGAGGGCACATACGACCACAGGCGCGGCGACTTCCTCAATGAAGTTGCGGTTCTCGACACCGTCCACATGAGCAGCAAAGCTGACTTCGTCTACGGTACATCTTCGTGGAATCATCACTTTCTGATCTTCTTCGTTACCCGTCATGTTCCGTCTTGCTATGCCGGCCGCCGCGCGCGACATAACCGCCGGGATCTGTTCGGGCTCGTTCAATAGCTGCTTGGCCATCGTGCCCTCGACGCTGTAACCCGTCATGACCACGCCGTTGCGTTCATTGGGGGCCCACCGTTCCAGCAGTTCTCGACTTGTTCCCGTTTGAAGCATACCAGGCGATGCGAGCATGACACACCCGCCTACATCATCGAAGCGCTCCAGACTTCGCAAACTTCGCACGAATCTAAAGTCCCAGGGTCCTGCGCTGACACTTTTATCGCCACTGGCCTCAGCCTCGGCCATGCGTTGCCGGAATAGTCGCTTAATGTTATCGTTCATGGCACCGATGTATGTCTGGTAAACGACCATGCATCGTCGCGCAGTGTTACCAATGTAGTAGATGGGCATTTTCTGGAGCTCCGGGTGTTTCTCCCAGTATTCGTCCAGAATAAGCAGCAGCTCTTGCGCACGACCCAGCGCGAACACCGGCATAAGAACTCGGCCGCCGCGGTTCAGCACGCCGGTGATCGACTTCATCAGGGCGGCCTCGCGCTCCAAACGGGGCGGGTTGGAAGAAATTCCGAACGTCGACTCGGTGATCAACACGTCAATCTTGATACCCTTGGGGACTTCGGCAGGGATAAGATGTCGGTCTTCCTCTCGGGAATAGTCACCGGTGAACAGAATGTTCAGACCAGCGATGGAAACCAGGAACATGGCAGCACCGAGGACATGGCCGGCAGGGAAGGGAGTAATGCGGATGCTGTTGATCGTGTGGGTGGTGTTGAAATCGATGGTTTCGATGAGTGGGAGCGTAGAGAGATGGTCATGTTCCGTGTAGAGGGTGGTGCGCTGATCCGAGGACGAAGCTGTATTGCTAACTCGTACATTGTCCTGGATCAGCCATTTGTAGATGGCCTTCGTCGCATGCGTCATGAACACACGGCCTTTGAAGTTGGTCTTGCTGAGAACATAGGGGAGGGCGGAGGAGTGGTCGACGTGGAAACTAATTCATAGATCTGTTAGCCCACTGCTCAATACCTGGCAAGGCGGATTGTCGTCGCCATGGGGCGGAGGTGGAGGCCACGCAAATACAAGGATACAGTAACCGGGCACAAGAAGTATGAAGCTAGTATGAATTGCATTGCGATTCTCGTATACATGGTCTGGAATGAAAGATCCCTCGAGGAAAAAGCAAGACCCAATACTGGTCTTCGTGCCCCAACCCCCAATAGACCCATTCGAACAAGGTATGACCGCGGAGCAGGGCGAATTATGCAGATTTGGTGGGGAAGGGAGGTCAACGTACTGACTGATCAGGAGAATATCAACCGTACTCAAGTCGAACTCGTCAAAGAAGGGGAGAGCCGAAAAGCCTTCTTTCGCAGGGTGCATGCCGGCATCGAGCTATAAACAGCCTGGGTTAGCAATGTCCCCGAATAGCAAAGGGTATAGAATCCACAAACCATGACCGTTTTCCCTTTATATTGAATGATATGACACGAGCGACCGACTTCATTTCCTCCGCCTAGGCAGTAAAATGCTACCTCATCAGAGGGATCGACCGGTTCATCGTCAACGGCGGCATTTAGAGCCGAGGCCTTCCGTTTTGTCGCCATTCTGAGAGATTAGAAGCAGGGATTCGAATGAGCGAAGATTCCCCTTAAGATAAATAGCAGGTCAACAGCAATACTGTCAATGTGTCAAAGAAAAACTGATGGAAATGTTAAGATGCGCAATATGGATATGGGCCTTGTTCTTGCGGTGTTCAAATCACGCGATAGAGACAAGCCATGGCCGGCGCAGAACGCGATAAAGTAAGCAAGCTGTATGCGACACAGTCGCAAGCCAGGGACCCTCTGAGAAAACCCTGTGCAGCAGCTGGAGGAGATGACTCTTCCTTTCAACAAGCATCCCCGGGTCAATTGCGGTGATTATTTGGGATCAAAGAAAAGGCAGCCCATTGTCCTTAGGTAAGCCCCACGTGACCGTGCGGGATCTCAAGCAAACCTCGTTCTCAGGAAGCTCCCTTTCCGTCCGCGATTTGCACGGTCAACCCCGGTTTATTCCCCGCGCACACGACTTTGCCATCGTTGGGGTGTTCCTCACGGAGGCTTATCACGATTGTATGCCGAGAGCGATGTTTTGAGATGATTACACCTGGTGCGGGCGGCGGTTCGAGCATTCCGCTCACATTTGCAACTCACGCGCGGGCGTGCCCTGATTCCTACCGACGTGACAGAATTTAACGGGTTTCCCATCTTGAAAGGACCGACTATTCCAGGAAAGAGGAACATTCACCATGGCGCAAACACAGCCGCAGCAGTTTTCCCAGTCATTCTCACCGCCGGGGTCTTCACCCTCGCCGGGAGCTCCATCGCCAGTGAATGGTGGCGTACCTCCACCTCCCAAACGACAGCGTCTCTCACCTCTCCCTCAATCTCCCTACGCCTCACCGAGCTTTGGAACCCTGCAACTTCCTCAGAACCTCCCTCCAAATCTTCCTCAGAATCTCCCTCAGAATCAGCTCGCTACCTCGGCCAACGCCATCAATGTGAACGGAATGCCTCAAACACCTGTCTCGGCACCGGCACCGGCACCGGCACCTCCAGGAGCCATGGGGCCTCCATCTCGACCTGCGGATAAGGCCACGGATGCTGCGGAACTCACAGATGTTTTGGCCTCGTCGGGTATCGATGTCAGAGAAGAAGAGGCTTTTCTCACAAGCAGCTATTCTGGTCCGGGTGTGCAGGTTCAGCAGCCACCGCGTCTCCAACCACAGCAGCATCACCATCAGCCCCCTCTACCGCAACAGCAGCCTCAACCTCCCCTCAACACCTCTTTCACCTCACAAACCTCGACCGGAACGGTAACTTCGCAACCTAGCTTCGGCGAATCCTCACAGTTCAAACCGCCCACGGGTCAAGAATCTCCTCTCACCGAGCCGTCAACCCAGCCGCCGGCGCCCTTTAAAGACCCGAACGAACCGACCCGAGAAGATAGCGAGGCGGCTAGACGTGCACAATACCATCTACAGGAACCGTTTCTCTTGACCAAGGTCTTGGAACAGAAGCTGCAACGGCGTGGGTTTGAGCTGGGCGTCCGCATCCCGGCGGAAGGCCTGTTCCATCCGGTGCCGGGCCGTCAAGCACCGATCGAAGTGACCGGACCCGACGGCTCGTCTATTGTGCGTACGGGTCAAACCATTCTCAACCAGGAGGGGGCGCCGTTGGTGGACATACTGAATTTGATGTCGCTATCATGCGAAGAGCGGCTGCGAACGGTAGTTGATTACTCCTCCACACTGGCACGAAGCCGTCGTGAGCATTCCCACGGGGAGGTTCCTCTTGAATGGGACGAAATAGCCGTGCCATCTCCCACTGCGAACGGGACCGGAGGGAGTCCCAAGACTCCGCTCAAGAGTATGTCGACATTCCCCCCCCCCCCCCATCAACATGAAGGAAAGTAAAGGAACAAAGTGTGCTAACCAATCTGAAATAGGATCCCAATCAGCCACCGAGCAACCGATCCCCAAAAGCATTCCAGAGAAATACCGGATGCTTATGGATAAGGATAACTCCAGCGAGGAAAGCCGTGCGGCTAAACGAGCCAAGCGCGATGCCAACGCCATCCTGGGCGAGAGTGCAGGAAACAAATCCGAGTCGACCGACATGCCGGGCTCCGGCGCGTCTACGCCAACGATGGGTGAACGAGCGCCCTCTATCGATAAGAAGGGAATGTCGAAGAAGGAAGCACGTAAGTTGGTGGATGCCAAAGCCAGCGAGGCTCAACAGCATAAACAGTCGGTGGAGACGGCACGACTAGCAACCAACAGCATGTTGTCACACCGTATGTTTGGACAAAAGAAGTCCTACTCGTGGCTCAATCCGCGCCCGGCCGGCGGCAGCGGATTGTCTACACCGTCCCGAACCAACGCGGCCACGCCCAGCGCGACTCCCGATAAGACCGGTCGCTCTGGGGAACCAGCGACAGTACCGGCCAAGCGACTGGGGACGTGGCGAGAAGACAAGGAGAAAGGAGCGGGGGTCCAAGTTCGGGATATCCTGTTCATGCTGGAGCTGGACGGACGAGGAGCCCGGCACGTGCAGAAGGCATATTCCAAGGATCTCAAAGAAGATCGCACGGACTGAATCTACCTCTCTTCTTCTACATAACACGCCTGATAATCTAGACTGAGGGTCGAATCTGTTCCACTATTTCCGCACGGTTACTGCGCAGGACCGTGGTCATTGGCGTTGCGGGTTGGATTATTTATTATCATTTCACTTCATGGATGTGTTCTTTTTATTTTGATCTATTAATCACTGCGAGCATTTGCGAGAGGCGGGTCGGGGGAAACCACAACATTGGCGCGCATTGTCCTTGATGATTCCAGACCTGATCGATCTGTACCCGCTGTTTGACTCTGGCTCTAATGATGTGTGCGATACGGAGGGATTATCTTGTCGATAATAAGGAACTGACCTTACTGATAACCCTGCGGTAAGGGCGAGAAGAACAATGCACAATCTACAAGAAGATAATATCATCGTAGAATAATCTGCACGGTCCTGGCCTCCAGCACCAACCGATATTAAACGTGCTTTAATCAACAGAATTAATCCAATTAATTGGAGTGCACGCTAGTTCCGACCAGGCCTAGTGCCCGAGATCGGGCTACGGGGAAGCAGACACGCCCGACGCGCAGAAGATTGCCCTGCGCAACGCTCGCCTTCTGTTCTTCTTCCCTCCCTTTCCCCTCTTCTTCTTCTCTCACTCTCTCTGCCCTTCTCATCAACCATATCAACCACACTCGTCGGATTTTGACCTCCTTGGGAAACCACCACAATGCAGCACAATCTGCGCCAACTGACGCGATGATGTCAGGGCCACCCAAGGCGCAGGCAAGAAAAAGCGGAGGGGCTCCACCCGGCGTGATTGGTCCTTGGCGAACGAGGCTAAGGGATCTAGCGGTCCTGTATGTATGTAGGAGGACTGTAGGTAGGTGTACGTCGGTGTCCATCCGTACGTCGGTCTGTCTGTCTGTCTGGAATGTCTGGCCGTAAGGGCCGATCAGGGCGGTTCTGGAATGAGACCTCCATTTCGAGCCTGGTGAGTGACCGCGGCTGCTGGTCTGCTGGACGATATTTGCCACCCTGGGAACGAGGGATTATTCTACAGTCTTACTTATCTGTGAGACTACAGATGGGAGTGAATGATTCTGTTTTCATTTATGCTAATAAATCTTCCGAGTCAAATACATCAGCATCATACCTCATGCTTCAGTGAAACCGGGTGAAACTCTCCGCGGCCAACAGCCCGGCCAGACTGCGCCTGAGGCCGTTTCGCCTCCGGGGCTGGACTTTCCTGGAAATAACAACCTTCTTTAAGGACATGGATTCTTGAATCCTCAACAGTACAGAGTACCAAATTACATGTTATAATCTTATGCGGGCGATCTGCGCGCACGGAATCCCGGGATGTAAGCCTGTCTGTAGTATTCTTCCGGACAGAGTCTACGTGAATATACAGTACTTTTCAGTTCAGTTGTCATGGGTCGTCAAGACAGTAAATACTGAACTTTACTCAGTACTGACTGGCCTTGAACTTCGCTTTCTATACTCTGTACGGAGTAGAGCGTGTGGGGATTATTATGGTAAAGTGCGGCGTCGTAACCGAAGGTCTCCTCGCCTTCGCCTCTCCGCCGTACAGAAGGACGCAAATGAATGGCTTCATTTCTTTCTGTTACTCCCTTGACTGTAATTATCTGTTTTTTTTCTAATTTCTCTTATGTTTCTCCTCATTCTACTTATCTGATTGACTTCATTTGTTTGAATTCCCTGGTCCTCTCCAGTTCCCCGTCCCAAATTCCCGGCCGCGAACCAGAAATTCGGAATCGCCTCTCGCTCTCTCTCGCTCCTCCGTCTCCAATGTTCGCCTTCCAATTCAATCGTGCGGTCATTGTCGCTCCCAAGCAAATGAGACAAACTTGCTGAAATCCTCCCGTATCGTCAACCCTCTACTTCGCCCCGACCGCCCTCTGTCCATTGGGATCCCCACGCCTGACGTTTTCCTTCCCTTTTTCCTTTCTCATTCTCTCTCTTGCCCTCTCCCTCTCCCTCTCCTCCGTCTCCTCCTTTTCCCTCTTGTCGAGTCCGGGCGTTTCGCATTCTCCGTCGGTCTTCTCTCCTCCCCTTCCCAAATCCGACTGGGACGCCAACACGAGCATCCCCGGGTTTGCCGACCTGGTGCTTCGAGTCCCCTGTCTCATCCTCTTTTTCTGTCTAATTACTCGTCTCGTTTCTTCTCCCTTTTCTCTTTATTTTTATATTTTCTGGCCCGTCAAAAAGATCGTCCGAATTGATTGATTCTCGGCGGCCTACTGCGATCCGACTGGAACGGTTGGAGGAAACCCTTCCACCCTCCAATAAACCCTGTTCCCTCTCTCTCACTCTCTTTCTGTCCTTTTACCTCCCTCTCTTTCTTCTCTCCTCCGCGGCTCGTCCAAACCGATCGAGGTTCTGGATCCATCATGTCGACACCATCCACGGCCACTGCGACACACCCTACCACTCATCACCAGCAACACTACGGATACCCCCATCATCAGACCTACCAACCAAACGTATCCTATCCGACCACCTCCGCCGCAGGTTCTCGCCTAGCCTCGTCCGCTTACCCCTACGCCGTAAACCCTTCGACCGCTACTCTTCCCTACGCTCAATCTCCGAAACTCGCCCCCCCTGCGCCCCCCACACCCACCACGACGACGGTCCCGACGACGACGGCTGCGACGGTAGCGACGATGCCCCCGACCCAGAATGGCGTCGCCGCGAGGGCGACTTCCGGACAGAATGGCCGCAAGAAAAAGCCGGACTGGGGCGAATTCTATAAAAATGGTATACCCAAAGAAGTCATTGTCATTGACGACACGCCTCCGCCGGAGCAGTCAAAGGGCGGCTCTGCTCGCAGTTTTGCGACGACGTCCACCGTGACGGCTCCCAACGGCGCCGCTCAACCACCGCTGCCCGCCGGTAAAAAACGGCGTACGGGGATGGAGTCTGCCTACGACGTGGCCTACTACGATCGTCCCTCATATTCCATTAACCCGCAGCGATACGGGGAAGATTCTTCGGCCGCCTCGCTGTCAACGGATCGGACGACGTCCATGCACACCACCGCGCCTACCTCCCTGTCCCAGGGCAGTTCAGGTGCCGGCAATGGCATCTTCTACGAGGATGCCAACGTGGGTCAGAAGCGAAAGCGAGTCACGACGCGAAAGGCCGTTCGCGATGAGCAGAAACGAAAGGAGCTGGAGAGCGTTGGCGATGCGTTCTTGAGCTACGTGCCTCCGCCTAAACCGCCTATCAAGGCGAAGGACGTGCCTGTACCTGTTGTTCGAGATGTAAGTGTTTCCTAAATTTTTGCAATCTTGTTGATCTGCCCGCTGACCTTTATGTACAGTACGCCGGCCGAACCGAGAAGTTTGACGATGATGACGGTCACTACATTGTGAATCCTAATACTCCTCTCACAGACCGATGTAAGTGTCGAAATTCGGGGCTGGTTGGATAATAGCTGACATCCCAGACACGATTATCAAACTCCTCGGACAGGGGACGTTTGGAAAGGTGGTAGAAGCATACGATAAACACCGCAAGGCTCGCTGCGCGGTCAAGATCATTCGTTCGATTCAGAAATATCGGGATGCATCTCGCATCGAACTTCGAGTATTATCAACGCTGGCCTCGAACGACAAGCAGAACCGGAACAAGTGTATCCATCTGCGTGACTGTTTCGACTACCGCAGTCACATCTGCATCGTCACTGACCTGCTGGGGCAGAGTGTCTTTGATTTCTTAAAAGGCAACGGCTTTGTACCGTTCCCCAGTAGTCAGATTCAAAACTTTGCCCGTCAGCTGTTTACTAGCGTTGCCTGTGAGTCCGCTCCCTCCCTCGAGACAACGGTCGGATGTATGCTCATCTACGTCCAGTCCTTCATGACCTTAACCTCATCCACACCGACTTGAAACCCGAGAACATCCTCCTTGTCAACAACGCCTACCAAACCTTTACCTACAACCGGACCATTCCCTCCTCCTCGCAGGCCATCTCACGAAGTGCCCGTCAGCGACGGGTCTTGCTGGACAGCGAAATCCGTCTGATCGATTTCGGCTCGGCCACCTTTGACGACGAGTACCACTCTTCGGTCGTGTCCACCCGCCACTACCGAGCCCCAGAGATCATCTTGAACTTGGGGTGGAGCTTTCCGTGCGATATCTGGAGTATCGGGTGCATCCTGGTCGAGTTCTTCACGGGGGATGCACTTTTCCAGACCCATGACAACCTGGAGCATTTAGCGATGATGGAAGCTGTCATTGGGGACCGCATTGATACCCGACTGGTGAGACAGGTGATGCAAGGAGGTCGAAGTGGCAGTCAGAACCAGTCAGCCAAGTACGTATTATCTCTGCCATAGCTCGAACATTATCTAACTGATGCAGATATTTTGTCCGTAATAAACTCGACTATCCGAATGACGAAACGACTCGTGCTTCGCGGAAGTATGTGAAAGCGATGAAACAGCTGAACGTGAGTTTTTCTCCACAAAGACTTTTTTGTCTTGTTTAAAGAAACTGACACCGGTAGGAGTTTATCCCCACGAATAACAAATTCCACCAACAGTTCCTGGACCTCTTAAAGCAAATCTTCGTTTACGACCCGAAGGCCCGTATCACGGCCAAGGAGGCGTTGAAGCACCCTTGGTTCAAGGAATCTCTCGTGGACGATGGCACCGAAGCCCTGCGAATTGGGGAACAGCTGCAACGCAACAACCAACGCCGCTGACCCGAGTTTCAGACTTCGGATTGTTCACTTGATGTATGGATACAGGTACAGTTACGATAGATGGTTCGTCTTGGATAATATGTGCATCGAGACAACCACACGCACCGCGTGACGACGATGGGATTTACAAAAGGTCTCCTTGGACTTTATGGAGTTGTGGCCCTTTTGGGACTATGGTGTATGGGGTTCAGTGCTCATCCAGGACCTTGCGAAGCTTCACACGGCGGTCCGACCTTGACCCAGGCCAGGAGGATAAAAGCATCGGATGAAATTTAGGTCATTGATGACAGCACATTATGTTTATCTGTTTCATCGAATTTTTCGACTTGGGTTGGCCTGATTTGGGCATGTGGGATATTTTTTATGGTTTATACTCATCACTTATATGCTTGTTCTTTTTTTCTTCTCATCATGTCGATGAATTATTTTGACCTGCTCGGATCTATTCCTTTCTCTGGGGTGGCGCTGGTGATTTGTTGATACAGGTTTATTGCATACCTACTACCTAGTTATTTTCTTCTATATCCTGTCTTTTATGGTTTGAGGCCTTGGAGGTGGTTGGGAGGCCCGGATAGTGCGAATTTATATACCTCTTTGTTCTACGTCACGTAGGTGATGGACAGATCTTCTGACTGACTCCACGGACAGTACCCCGTATATAGAGTAGTATACCCCAATTTCATGCATCCTGGTCACTAACATCCATGCAGATCACACAATCTCTAGTGTCAATTGTTGGAGACTAGCCCAGGACTAACCCCATGGATGCATAATTAAACCATACCTCCCCGCTTCTCCATCTCTCATCCATTTTCTCTTCCCATGGAACTCACCATCGCCGAGTATCACGACGCTCTGCGTGCTGGGCGCACCACCTGCGCGCGCACCGTCTCCGACTATCTCGCCCGCATCGCCTTGTACAATCCCACCCTTCGCGCCCTCATCACCATTACCCCGCACGCCCTCGATGACGCCCAGCGCAAGGACCGAGACGGTCTGCCTCACCCGCTACCACCTCTCCACGGCGTCCCCGTCATCCTGAAAGACACCTACGCCACGGCCTGCATGCCCACCACCTCAGGCGTGCGCGCCCTCCGCGCCCTCACGACCAAGATAGACGCCCCCGTCGTGCAGCGCCTCCTCGCCGCAGGCGCCATCCTCCTCGCCAAGGCCAACCTGCACGAGTTCTCCCTCGAAGGCGTCACCCTGTCCTCGCTCGGCGGTCAGACCCTGAACCCGTACGATCTGTCCCGCACCCCGGGCGGCTCGTCCGGCGGCACGGCGGCCGCGTTGGCGGCTAATTTCGCTCTGGTGGGCTGCGGCGGTGATACGGTCAACTCGATGCGCTCGCCGGCGTCGGCGTGTTCGGTTGTTGGGCTCCGGCCGAGTAAAGGACGCGTCGAGGGGACGGGGATTATGCCGGTGTCGTGGACGCAGGATGTCGCGGGGCCGATGGCTAGGACGGTGAGGGATGTGCGGGTTTTGTTTGATGTGATGAAGAATCCGGAGGAGGGTCTGTCGTCCATACCTGAGCCTGTGTCTATACCTGTGCATATCCCCCTCCCCCTCCCCTTAAAACCCCCCGTCGCAGACACAAATACAAACCCCGTCTATAAAATCGGCATCTTAACCGATTACTTTCCCAACGAAACCACACCAGACGGGCCCATCGTCCTGCAAACCATCACACAAGCCCTACATCTCGTCACCTCCAAAACCTCCAACAGGATCCAGTTCGTGCCTCTCCCGCACCAACCAACCTGGGACGTTGCACGGCTTCGCGCAGAGGCTGATACCCAGGCATTTGAGTTCCGGACTGCGATGGATGAGTTCCTGAACTCGTCGATTGTGGAGTATACGCCGCATCGAAGCCTGAAGGATGTTACTTCTAGTGGGGAGTTTTGTGAGGAGGCCGTCACCCCGGCGTTTTGGGAGACGCAGCAGGGCCAGAGCCAGCAGGACCAGAAAGAGAAGTGTGAAAACGACAAACAGAAGGATGAGTTCACACCAACAAGCCCGCAATACCATACTCGCCTCTCCATCATCGCATCTCTCAAAGAATCCGTCTCGTCTTGTTTTGATGCTCTCGATCTCTCTGCCATTGTGTATCCGCATCAACGCCAGCTTGTGGCTCGCGTGGGCGAAACCGTTCAGCCGGGGAGGAATGGCATTCTGGCTGCGTTGGTGGGATGGCCGGCGGTTTGCATTCCGGGTATGTTTTCTTTTCCTTTTCTTACTTTGCTCTCTACCCTGCGCTATCCCTCTTTTGCCTTTGTCTAGATACCTGTGATCATGATATATATGAGATAATATGCGAGGAGAGATCCAGCTGACCACAACCACCAACCACTCCCTATGCATCACGTATCAGGGGTTGGTTGGTGATACAAAACATACAGCAGGCTTCAGTCCTCCCAGTGACACCGCGCCATTAGGCGTTCCGATCGGACTAGAACTCATGGGTCGATTCGGACAGGATGAGTGGATCCTGGAGTTAGGGGAGGTGTTTGAGGGGATTGTGAATGGACGGAAGGCGCCTTTGTTGGAGGGTGTGGGTGGGTTGTGTAGGGAATGAATAGCGAGGTGTGGGGAGAGAGGAGTATGTAAATAGTTGTCTGGGTAGGTAGGTGCATGAGCAGGTGTGAGGTTCATGAGTTTATGGTCTAAATGTCAGGAGGGTACATTGTACGTGCCAGATTTCAATCCATCATTGATGGACAGGTAGTGCTTATGTCTGTCTGTACTCAGTTAGGGCTCAGCCGCTGAGAAGTTGATATCAGATTTGGAGATATTAGGTATCCGTGATTATACTATTTCTGCATAAACATACAACTTTGAGAACCACGATAAGAAGATATAGATAGAGAGAGAGAGTCCTATGCATTTTATATGCTATCAATTGATGTATTCCAAAATGCAGTATAGGATCTATCTACTCCAACCACCATCCCCCTTACCTTTCTACTTTTCAGTAGTACACCTACCTACCTACCTACCTACAAAAAGCAATACATAGACCCTCACTCAACCCACCAACTGACCCAAAACACGAACCAACCAAATGAATCAACCAACCCAAAGAAAAAAAAAATCCTAAAACCGATACTCAAACTCAAAATTCCCCCTCCCCTCACTATCCAAAAACTCCCCCGTCCTCACAAACCCACATTTCTCCAACACCCGCATACTCGCCTCATTCCGCGCGTCGGTGCAAGCTGCCAGGACTGGTTTTATCTTCATCTTTCCTTCCGCGGTGGATCCATTCACCGAGTCAGAGACAGTGTCGGTTCCGGTACTGGGAGATCCAGATGTAGAGCCAGACCCAGATGCAGACCCAGTATTGGAAGAAGAAGAAGAAGAAGAAGAGAACGCAAAACCCAACAACCCCTCCTCCCCCACAGCCCGAATCCACCCCCTCACCACCTCCGTCGCGATCCCCCGTCCCCACGCAGAAGGATGGAATCCGTATCCGAGTTCCCAGCGCCGTTCGGGAGAGTTCGGCGTCAAGGGGGACGTATTGAGGCCGAGACCCGTCATGCCGATGATCCTGTCTTGGTTTTGAGGGGGGCCGAATTTGACGTCGGTTTTGGCTTGCTTGGTGGTGGTGGTGGTGTCACTGATCGTGTTGTTCAGGGGGGAAGATGAAGATGCTGGCACAGGGAGGCGTTCCTGGATGACGTAGCCGATAGGGGAGATGTTGTCGTTGATGTTGATCGAGGTCGGAGGGCCATCGAAGTGGTTGTATTTCGAGGCCCAGGCGTGGGTTTCGGCCACGGAGGGGTCGGGGGCGTGGTTTATACTAGGCGGTTTTCTCGTTAGTATTGTTGTGAATGTTCCATTGACAGTGGCATTGATGGGTGTGTGTTATGTGCATGTATAGCATGGGTATACAGGTGTATACTCGCCCATACTCGCCGAGGTAATCCAACCCCAATGTAATCCCAATCCAAAGTAAGAACCAACACAAGATACCAATACAAACACGCACATACTACGCACGCACAACTCATACTCCCTAGCCACAAGAACAGATCTAAAACATACCTATACTTCATCACATGCTCGCATCCCCGAGTCTCAAAAATCGCCGCGGCGTGCAGGTCCGCGTTCATAGGCACAAAGGTGAGCCGCGCAGTGTGGAAGGATGGTGGGAAGGACATTTTTCTTTTCTAATTTTAATTCCCTTTCGGATATGGGCTAGGAATTGAGTTGAAGGTTGGTAGGAGAGATGAATGAGTGGATGGTGTGATAGTTGGTGTTTTTGGAGGGGTTCAGTGGAGAAGAGAACTGGATAGGGAGGTTGGGTTGGGTTCCGATTGCAAGGTCAATTGAATTGACTGTGGAGTTGGATAAGATCGGAGGAAAGAGAGAGCCTTATATACATTTGTTAAGTCTAGATAGACTGTACAGAGGCTCTGACTCATTGGTTAGTGAGGCGAGTCACTAACGGGGCTAAATTAAGGCCGGCTTGATATGGGGCTGATCCTGTCGGACTTAAAGGAATAACTTGAACTGGACTTATATTTACAGACAATGATCTATGTCTATTCGGTCTAGCTTTTCGTTCTTTCGGACGGATTCTATCCATCATGTATATAACCCTTCTATATCCTCATCTCAAATCCCCAATTACATCCCCCGGTTAAACTCCACCTGTCCATCCTTCCCTCCCCGGCCATGGAACTCATCCTCCAACGACTGCGCACTAATCGCCTGCCTCTGCGGGAACGCTCCCAGCGCCAACGGCAACGCAAACAGCGACGTCGTCAACACCAATCCCAAGTTCAAGGGCATGATCATGCGTGGCCGCGCCTTCAACCACGCCGTCTTCTCCAACTTGACCAGGATCAGCGGCGGCAGGACCATGATCGGCGTGGCGTTCAACACGCGACTGATGGCCGTCTCGCCGACCGCCAGGGTCGCCGCCTTCTTGCTCTTGCCGAGACTCTGCACCGCCTCGCCCGTCTCCTCGCGCTTGGCCTTCTCCGCCTCCGACAGCACCGGGTACACGTCGATGCCCTGGCGGATCTCCTCGCCGCGCATCAGGAACACGTTCAGGGCGCTGGCGCTGGCCACGGCGGCAAACGGCACCAGACGGCCGAGGATGAGCTTCGTGTTGGGCGAGATGCCCTTGAGGCGGGGGACAAGGGCGTTGAGGCCGAGGGCCACGGAGCAGGACGCCGACACGGCCATGAGGTAGGATTTGGTCATTTGGGAGACGGAGAGGGGGGTGGATTTGTTGGCGTTGGCGTTGTTGATGGCGACGTTGAGGGATTGATTGGCGATCTGCCACATGAGGGTGCCGGTGGCCTGTGACCATTAGTTCTGTCTGCCCTTAAGAGGTTAACTCCTACTCAGAGGGACTCACCTGAAGACCGGGGGTAAGCATTCCCGCCGTGACCACCAAGTTAGAAAGGACGTAGCACGACATGCGGAAAGGAAGGAAGACCGGCTCGCCAGTATCTACACTCGTCAATATCATTCAATTGGAGACTGCTGCGATGCGATCAACTCACCCGGGTGCAGCGTCGCATCGACCACCTTCTTGGCGCGCCACAGGTCCGGCGTCATAGCAGGGACATGGCTCTGCTTGTAGGAAGAGATCAGACGCTTGGCCTGTTCGAGACCCGACGAAGAGACGAACAGCGTTCTGTACGCGTCAGTCCACTGCATTTCTGGAGTCTCAACGGACTCATGTCCAGCGCCGAGTTCGGAGCTGACTCACCTAGGGTCCGAAATGTCGGCCGCATGACGAACGCGACCCCAGTACGTGCTCAGATCATACTGGGAGGGAGGCAGGTCCCGATTGCCAGGTAGGGAGGCAGACATGAGGAGAGATGAGGATAGGAGGGAGGGGAGAGGGGAGAGAAGAAGAATAGGAAAAAGAGATGCGCAGACTCCAGGATGAAGAAGGCAGAAAAGAGCCGAGACAAAGCGAAAATCCGTCACAGGAACCGCACGTGCTATCGGAGGCGGTGAGCCGATAAGCTTCCGGTCCGCCAATCAGACGCGGCCAATTGCAAGCGACCCACTCGCGGGGAACCTCAGGCAGCCTCACCGCCCGGCTCGGGGGCCGGCAGTCTCCACCGCCCGGATTTGTCACCGGAAGGCGCTCTGTTGGGAGAGGGCGCAATATACTAGGACTATGTACTAGCTAAAGCATCATGGTTCACACCTAAGGATCTTCCAAGATGAACACATCTATGAATCAGTAATTACAAAGACATCAAAGGTATCACTCAGACTTCGTCTGCCAATTATTACAAATAGGAAATCGCTGGTCGTCCCAGCAGCCACGGGTACAAAACATGCATGTTTCAAAATCAAGAAACAGTGGGGTATGTCTAAAAGATATCGCGGAACAAAGGAGATCCATACACAGGTTACAGAAGTGGACCAAGGAAATAGAAGGATAGAAGGAATGACAAGTTCGACCGTGTGGACGGAAGATGCGAGGTATGCAAGTCGTGGTCATAATTCTCCATGAGGGTAAAGGTGCATAGTGTGAGATGCTTCATCGGAAGCGATAGGACTTGTGCGCCAATGGAGACGTAGGCGCTAGCCCAAGGCTGCCCAGAGGCGTGCGTGTGCGATTGCGACGAGTAGGAGTCTGCGCGCAGAATACGCAGACATACACCGACGGGAGGTGGGATCGCTCCAGTCCGACGCATTTGGTGTGTAGCCAGTGACTGCATGATTCACTGCTCCGAGTTAGTTTGACCGGGTGCAAACTGAGGATGAAAAATCTTACCATTTGATCATCAGGTGACCGCCGTTGTCCACCGAATTGCAAACACACCGAGTCCCGTTGCTGGGGTTGCTGTACCGCTCAGTACTGGGGGTGGCCAGGTCTGGATCCGTCATGGTGGTGGGCGACGTGTTGGGCTCGCGGCCGTTGAGATCGAGTTCAACTCCAAACCGCGGTGGTGACGATCGAAGGTGTGCCAAAGATCGGGAGGAATTGCTGGACCTGGGGCCGTAGCCCACGGTGTGAGGTCGAGGAATACGGCCCCGGTCCTGAAGCACTTTTCGTAGAGCATGCTGCGCATCGCCGCTATCTTCTTCGGGTTCCGTCGGAGCCCTCGACACGGAGCTGGCGCTGCGGTAAGACAGATCGGAGTGGATCATAGACTGCCGCTTTGGCGTCCGATTCCAGTCCTCGCCGATCTGCCTGTACTGCGGCCTTCTTGATACCGGCCGGGAGGATCCGCCCCAAGGAGACATGCGTCCCGATTGGGAGGATGCCGCCGTGGAGGTGTACGACCCCTTAGACTGAGGGCGCGAGCCAGAGTCGCTGCGGGCCAGCATGGGTCTCCCCGCGTCCGAGAAGGTGAATGACGGGTTGCGGCTGGGGAAGGTTGGGTACTCGGCATACTCCGGCGAGTCATACTCGCTTTCGGTCGTGGAGCCTTTCAGGTCCATCCCCATGACAGGGTCCGTCAAGCCCGTGGGCGTTTCGGCAACGGTCTGCATCTCCGCCTTGGCTCTGCCATCCCGGCCGATCTTCAGAACCACGGATTGAGACCGCCTGGGTAGAACAGTGGCAGTCGCCGAGGCGGTCCGTGACAATGGTTGCCGCAGAGGCTTGGTGGGGGATGAACGGCCCTTGGAGGGGCTTTTACGAATACCGTTGGCAGAGCTCATGCCGCCACCAAGGCCCGGACGCTGGGAAGAGCTGGTGACGGCCGTATGCGTCAGGCTGCGAGTCAATGAGGGCCGTGCCTGTCGAGGGGTGAAGTCATCCTCGTCGTCATCATCCTCATCGTATCCGGGGAGTTGACAGTGCACGCTCTGAGCACGACGGAGCTCTTCTCGTTTGGATTCTTCGGTCTGATGATGATACGGCTGGCGTGTCGCGGGCCGGGAGAATAGTCGTTTGTCGGGAGTTGGCTGAGGGCCGCCGAAACGACGAGCAGGGGAACTGAGGAACATGGCCGGATCCTCCGCCTTGGCCATCGGCCGTCGGGGGGAGGTCGAAAAGGGGGCGGGAAAAAGGGCGGCGTCGGTGCCGGAGGAGAGGCCGTAGGCATTGGCGTTGAACTCGGGCAGCTCCAGGTTACTTTCAATCGAGGGCAATTGGGGGATGTGGGAGTCGTGCAGGGGGTTTTGATTCAGATTAAATGCACTCGGCAGGTGTGAATTGAACAGGCTTGGATTGTTCTCCGACATGCCCATACCACTCCCGTGGTGGCCTAAATCATTGTCCCAAAAGAGTCTCTGCTGGGGAAAGAAAGGCGACGCCGACGGATCGATCGAATCCAGCTGGAACGGGTCGGGAGAGGTTCGAAGGTCTCCGAACAAGCGCGGGGAAGCACCCATCATCCGACTGGGAGTCTCCAGATGGTCACCCACGGCACTGGAAGCGGACATTCGCCGGCCGGTATCATTAAGGCTCCCGAATTCCGCTACCTTTCTCCTCGAAGCGCTGCTCGGCGGAGGGGTCTGCATTGAGGCGGCAGATTTGGCCGAGTCCACCGTCCGAGGTGCATCTTCCCCTGGGTTGCCATTTGGTCTCGACGCACGAATCCGTTTAGCCGTATCGGTCTGTTGATCGCCTGCCTTTGCACTCCGCAAACCAGGCGCCTCCTGACCCGCAATTCGGTCCGGGCTTGTCTCGGGTAACCGTAGGGAACCGGCGTTGCCGTTGTTCACATGGGTGCTCAACCCAAATCTTTGGGGCGTTTTGAGGAATTCCGGACTGGAGGCATACGGATCGGAGGTATCCCAAGTGACCCGGGGATCGAAGAAACTGGACTCGAGCTTGGGGGTCTGGAAAGCGGAATCGCCAAAGATGGTTGTCGGAGGGGTCCTCGTCGGGGTCTGAGGTTCACCGTTTGGATAGCTGAAGCTGAACATGAGCGGAAGCTCCGTTAGCATCATTTTTTTTGAACCGATATGGAAGCTCGGGGAGAGAGCTCCGTGTCACCAATTCCCGGATTCGAAAGAACAAAGAACAAAGAACTTGAAAGTCTGGCAAAGACAGGATGATATGGATAGAATATGGATCAAAGAAGGGATTTCAAAAAAGGGCAGCAAGTACAAAAAATTGTAGACACAACCCCGCCTGGAGTCAAGGGAGATAGGGAAAGCAGGACGATTAACCAACATACCTGTGGACAGGGTGATCCCAACTCATGTCAGCAACGGTATGATCCTAGCAACCATTCAACGCAAGCTGCCAGGCAACCCTCTCTGGTGGGAGAGGTGTCCAGATACTTGAGAAGCCGTCAGGAATGCCGGGTGGAGGGGTTCGGTAGGGATCGATGAGCCGATGAATGTACAACGCCTCCACACGGGTTCATTGAAGTTCAAGCGGGTAGGCCAAGAAAGAAAGAGCAGAAGAAAGGACCGGAATGAACGATTGAAGCCCGGAAGGAGTGAAAGGGAAGGACAGCCAAGAGACCGAATCTAGCACATAGTCTTAATGCAGTTTAATTATTCTGGGGGAGAGAGACTAGTTGTCGGGGTTGTAGATCAAGGACGAGAACAGGCGTGGGCGAAGGAGAGGGAGGAGGGAGGGTCGAGGGAGTCGAAGGTTGGCAGGAAGGTTCTAACGAAGCTCTCCTGAACAAAGGGAGAAGCGAAGGAATGCGATCGGGGAGGGTTTCACTGCCGACAGGATCCTTTATCTTTGTCTGGGAGCGAGGAAAGCAAGACAAATGCGGCGAGCGAAGGCTGACAGGGAGAAAGGAAGGAGAAGAGCGAAAGCTTGCAAGAGGGGATTTTTTTTGTGTTTTCCTTTTGCTCTGTTTGTACGGAGTAATTTAGTAATGCTTTGACAGTTTTTTCTTTTTTTTTTTTTTGCATCCGCAGATCCACTGCCGGGATCTTTTTTTTTTAATATTATTTTAATAATTAAGGAAAATCAAGATAGAACAAGATCCAAGTCTAGCAGGAAAAAAATAGGCCAGAACCCGAATCGTTACCCAGAAACAGGCGTCCCATTAATCCAAACCGAGGCCTTAGCCCGATCGTCCTCCACTTCTCTAGGTGGAGCCAATCACTTCTGTGGAAGAATAGTAACGAACTGTCGTTTGTTGAACAGAAAGAGGAGGAGGAATTGATCCGCATTTACTTCTAAAGGTGCATACTATGTAGCATATATGGAGGAGAGAATGAAATGGTTTATAGAAAGGGGTTCATACTTCGAAGTTCCTCGACCAACACCGAAGCAACTTCAGCATCTAGTGTGCGCTAAACTCTTTCCGGACCGTTATGTAAGAGCTCCGTTCCGAGTCTTTAACAGACTATAAATGATGCACCCTGCGTGCCAGTCTGGAAGAGAGGATATATATGATTCAATTCCCAGACACAATTCTTAGCCATGCAATATGGACAATTGATAATTCACATTGGATAGATTCTCCCCCTCGAATGCCTCAACTGGTCATCGCCTTGTTTGCGCGGCGTCATTGGTTCCGAGGACAAGGAACGGCGGCCCATTTCCGTGGATCGGCTCCATCGTCATCTCCAGCACGATCTATTCGCTTTCCTGTTGGCCGGCTGACACGTCCGTGGTTTGCGCAGTCTCGCTTCGGTTGCCTTGACAGAGTATACTGTAGTAGTATGCACACATTGTACAGGGTTTGTTACTGAGACGACCTTGACGGATGATCTAGAGGGTATACTTCAAGGCAGTCTTTAAAGGAGATCGAGTCACTCCGACAAAACGCCGATCTAGCCGCATTGGGCCAGCAACGAGATGGGCCCTGCAAAGCATGCAAACACCTCTTCCCCGGTCTTATGCTTGACTGCCAGCTGGAAGCATCTCTTAATCTCTCCTAATCTTAGTCCGTCCCTTTAGCAGTTTAGCCCCAGCCATGGGCCCTTTTTTCAGCTGGCGCCTCGATCGGCCTTCTTTCCCCCCCACGACTTGGCCGACCAGGGAAGGGAATTGCATGACGACATCCTGTACCTAGCGGCTGGTTAGTGCTTCACCCCCGGAGCTCGACTCCTGACTTCTGAGTTCTGACTCTCAGATAGCGGTCTCCATTCTACAACCAAGCTATTCGTATCTGTCCAGACCAAACCGTTGTGCCTGTCTGATCGGAGGATTTCTCTGCAAATCACATCCGCCCAGAGCCGCTCTGCCCTCGTCCAGGCAGCTAGCAGCTTTAGGCGACGATGCGGATGATCCGACCGTGAGGCGAAGTCTAGACTGTCTCGGGCCAGGCGACTGCCCCTTGTGATTGGCGGAAAGTCGGGGGGAGGGGATCATTCGTGATGATATTAATATTGGCTGGCTGCCGAGAATCACCCTGGTCGGTCCGGCTGTACTGCGTACGAAGTAGACTGTATAGCGTACTGTACACCGTAGTTAGTATCACTATCCTGCCTCCCCCTGGTACGCCCAATAACGAGCGACGACTGACGAGACCCGACTGGTCATGCACGCGAGCAACTGGGCCTGCATCGGACTAGCGGCGCTGCTGTGTGATGCCGCAGGACGCACATCCTTAGCACCTACAGGGCCCGAGTACAGTAAATAATGTCCACGCCCCCTGACATGGCGTCGCTTGTCGCCGGGACAAATCCCTGGGTTGCACCCCTCAAAGGCTCAAACGGTGCAACCAGGTTCGATTTGCCTGGTTTTTAAAGTTGGTCACCGCAGCAAGGAGAGCATCTGCCAAGCTCGGGGTGACCTCCTGTCCTCCGTCAGGACTTGATTGATAGATCTGTCCGCTCTGGGTAGGAGATACAGCTCTACTGTAGAGACTATCCATGGGGTACACCGCAGGGAGTCCTGCGTACCCACAGGAGCTGCCTGTCTTGAAACGCCCCAATTCCTTGTGATGGATCATCTAGATTAGGGATCTGAATGTTGCTCCCGCAAATGCTGCCTACTCGTAGAATCATGTCCCAGGCAACAACCATGTGCAGCCTAGCACAAGAATCTCGATATTCCATGTGGGAGAACTTACCTACAATTGCAATGTATGCAGATAAAATGTAGAGCTGTTATTGATTCCATCTCAGGTGCCAAACCACGTATTGTAGACTGCCTACAAGCCACGCTCAGTTGTCGGATCCTGTACTATGAAGAAAGTGCTGGTCATTCAACATTAGCAAGTGACAACGGAGTTGAACGGACAAGTATGCCTGGACACCCGGACTTATGCCTGACCTCCCAGGCATCAAGGCACCCAACCCCGCCCAAGTCTGACCGCCAAAGAAATCAGGAACCAAATGGCGTCTTTGGGCAGAAAAGGATTCCCTTTGGCTTCTCGATTCATTCATTGCATTCGTTCATCCATTGTGCATGCAGGGCCCCAGTCACGAGATCTTCTATTAGAAATGCATCGGTAAACAGGCACGACGTGTCTCCTCCTTCATCATGGATTCCGCGGTTGGGCTCTTTGTGATGCTACCCCTCTTTGTCTATCCATTACTCATTGTCGGTTGGTGAATGACATCTGCAACGCCGCCTTCTGTATGATTCACTGTTGGGCCTGGGATTTCTTCTTTACTTCTCCAATGCACTTGCCAGTCTCTACCTTTCTAGTTTCTAAACTCTTCCAATCCAATACAATCGAATAGTCTGCTCCGATCGTGGGCTCCAAATGGCATCAACTCCGAATATGTCGCGGAAAAAAGTCTCCAAAAAACGAGCAGCGGTCAAAAAGTCCCGACCAGCTCGACGACAGACCACCATTCTGGGATCTCCGCGGACCAAACTCACGCGAAAGGCGGGCATCTCCAAGCGCAAAGATCGCAGCAAGAACCCCAAACGTGAGGTCGCTCGGCAAACTTTGAAGTATACCAAATTAGGGATTCTCCCGCCTTCAACGAAGCCATTTGAAGAGGTGTGTGTATTCTGGGCGCTCGTCGTCACCCCTTGCTTTGCCTGCAGCTTCCCATCCCACGGTCAACTACTTGCATGGTAGTTTGCTAATTTGGCCCGGTAGAATTGCTTCAAACAAATGCCCATGCCGGAAGAGTATGTCTTCGTGCCCAAGGGAGACGTCTATGTCACTCGGCATTGTCGCAGCAAGACCAAGGAGTCTGAACGGACTGTATATGTTGTCTATGTAAGGCTCTTCCCCTTTATCAACCCCCTCCCCCTTATCGATTGACTCGGGGTTCCTGACAAGCACAGGAAAACGATGGAAAATACCCCCTTGGTCTGCGCGTCCCTTCCGACATTCACTCCGCCGTCCTGGAGTCCGCCGCTGCAACGGCCGATTCCCGCGCCAGCGCCGTCAAGCTGCGTGACGAGAAAGAGCTGGCGCACTCGCGCAAGATCCTGCGTAGCGAATTTCCGCTGATGCCGGTCGAGTCTCTCGACACCGTTCTGGATCATGCGTTTTGCAAAGGCTCGGGTCGGGTAGGCCGTACGTCGCAAATCGAGGATGAAAGCAAAGCTGCCATGGCGGTCGAGGCGCATATTCGACACACCCATACGCCGTACGAGGAAATGCTGCGTGCGGGTACGAACCGCGACGTTGCGCGGCGACAGGTCTGGGACAAGGTCCATACGATTATGGAGGCTTGGCAGGGGCGCGGCAAACAGCAGTCGACGAGCGCTCTGACTCTGCGGAGCCGGAAGGCGAAATAAATCTATTTATTAGGTGGACAGGCGACGGAATGCGTGAAGGAACTGGTTTTGGACCCGCCTTCCTCACTCCCAGTCCGCCGTCGAAAAGAATTGTCTGCCTTGTCAATTCAGGCTGGGATGTCACCGTATGCATTGAGAACAAAAGGGCCGAGCAGACGTGGACACGACTTTCATGATATGACGACTGTGAGGGATACAAATAGAATCGGTTTTAGATAAAGAGTACCCTATCGAGTTTACCAGCAGACTTCAACAATGTCAGCTGACCAATTTCTGGCTCAAGCGAATTAACTTGACCTTCAAAGTGTTTCCATGTTGGCGCAGCGTTTTACAATCATGGTGTACTAATAATTACACACTACTATGGGAACGGAACGCAATGTTCATAGAGGAAACCTGGAATCAAAGTCGGTTCCCAAATTTCAATTCGAAACAATTCCAATCACATAACGCCTGAATGTCAATAGAAGGGACATCTGGATCACCATTCTGACCATTATCATCTCCTAAGATACCCGATCAACTCTCCATCCAGCCACATAATGTTTCTCAGCGAACACCACGGAGCAGGACCAACAACCACGAAACCTATCATAGCTCATCCGACTCATCCAGCAAGAAATCAATGTCCACAATCCCATCCTCTCCAAAGTTAATCATCACATCCAACACATCCCCAGCATACACCGGCACCGGCAAAGTCGCGTTTTCCGTTTCCTCCATCGTGGCAAACTCCTGTATCACCTGCATCTATTCCTGATAGATTTCAGCCGCCGTGTACGCACGGGTCTGGAGCCAGAAGCGCACACGGAGGGCCTCCGCGGAATTCTTGCCGCGAGGGTTCGCCCAGGCTTTGCACTCATGGCGGCTGCGGAGCTGCGCGCGCGCAAGTTCGAGCACCCCGCGTAGAGTGCTGAGGTCCGTGTCCGTGGGACTATAGAGGTCCGCGAGGACCACGGCGTAGTCGTAGTCGTCGGACCCCTGCGCGTCGATGGCCAGGCCGATCCCTTGGTCCACGAGGGCGTTTTTACGGGCGTGTTCTGCGCGGTCGCGCCGCACGTTGGCGGAGATGAGACCGGAGAGTTTCCTGTGGAGGCATGGCAAGCTCGGGGAAGTTATTTGTCCCATTTCTTGTTGCATTGCTTCGTTAGGTAGGATGGATGGGGCTCTCACAGTAGTTTGAGAGTCTGTTGGGTAGACTTGTGTTAGTCCGATAGACTGTTCTACTGCGAGATAGTGGTTGGGAAGGGTTGATGGTGATGATTATAGTCGAATGCAGCTTGGAATGCGAATTTATACTGGCGAGTCTCATTGTTTTCGATAACTGACGATTTCCATTCGTGTGTATAGTAGCTACCATTATGGTGCGGAGACGTTCAATGCGATTACAATGCCAAAGCCAGAGTAGAGACCCAGAGTCAAGAGAGAGACTCATTATTAGCTGACAGGTAGGTAGCTGTTCAAGTTATGCGGGTGGCTTTCTATTATGGCCAAAACCCAGCATGACTTTGTGTCACGAACAAAAAGAGCAGAAAGCTTTCATATATACACCCTCCAAGAACCCCTCATGGAATCCTCCATCAGGCCATCAAGACAATCAGTCAACCACGTTAGGAGTTAAAACCCCGCCCTGAACGGGAAAATGGTACTTCCAGAAAGATTAGAAAATGATTAAAGATGTCTCAACTCTCAACGCTCGAGAACCTCCCCGACCTACCACAAAACCAATCAAGTCCAGCCCCAGCAGGCCAGCGATTAAAATTAGGCAAGATTTTCAGGGTACAATGTCTTAAATCATCCACCGGGCAGGCTTAGCGCTGACGATCTCCAGTTTTTTCTCGGGTAGTGGTCCACCCAAACTCCAGCGCAGTCCGTCGGCCGCCAAGTTGATACTGGGAAGTGCAGCGCACTTGCTGGATTCGGTCGTCGATGGGGCTTGTGCTGTTCCATTGTGATCCCGGTTCCATAGGACACGAGATAATTTAACGGAGTATAGTCGCTCCATATGGAGTGTACCTTTGTTGTTTGGGTCTTGAGATTTAGCGTGGTGGGTTGTCGCAAGCTTTGTTCAAGGCTTTTCAGTCACTGCCACCATGAGAGCAATAACATCATATCTTTTTTCCTTTCCCCTTGCGAGGAGGAGTATTTTTATCTGATTTACTTTGTAGTCTTGCTCCTATCTCTCATCCCCTCTATTTATTTCCCCTCTCTTTCATGTAAATACTCATTCTTAATCCCATCCGCCCGGCCATGTTCTCCAAGAACCACCGAAGGCTCGTCTGTCGCACAGTCGCGCGTCGACGCTTTCTTTTCTTTGTCCTCGCCGTCCTGTCCTTCGTCCTGTATCACAATGTCCCCCTTCTCCAGGGAAAGAAGCAGAATCACGCAGGTCGTCGAACACCCACATACGACGTCGATGAGGTGCCGCATTTTCTTCACCGTTCGTCCTTTCGCGTCGATCCGGATCTGGAGTACGAAGAGCGCGTGTGCGAGGCTTTGCGCAATATCGAAAGAGCCGTCTTGCATGAGAATGGAGGGGATTATTCCGCACGCGACAGGATCTGGCAGATCATGTTGGGGAAGAAGCGTGAGAGGAGCGAGGATTCGTTGGCGTTTGAGGATGTGAATGACGAGTGGGAGTATTCAGTATGGTTGCATCTATACACTAAAGGATGATGGATAAACTGACTTGCTTTCTTTGTGACAAGTTGGTCACCACCGACACGGCCAACGCCTTCATCAACAACGTCTTCTTAACCGTCCCCGACCTCAAAGACCTCTACACCTCCTACCCCCTCGAGGTCCTCCGCGCAGACCTCCTCCGCTACCTCCTCCTCTGGTACCACGGCGGCTTCTACGCAGACACAGACGTGTACCCCCGCCGCTCGATCAAGGACTGTCCATCGCTGGTACCCGTCCTGCCTCGTCCAGACCACCCGGCGAACAACATCTCCCTCGTCGTCGGCATCGAACTCGACGAACCCAAGGCCTCATCCCACCTCATGCGCCAATGGCGCTGGACCCGCCGCTACGGCTTCATCCAATACACGCTCTACGCACCTCGTCGCTTCTCCCCTATTCTCCGCGAAACCATCGTTCGAGTCCTCTCGCACACCCGTCAGCATCTGCACCGCCGCATCCCCCTACCCTGGTCCCCGCGCTACACCGAGAACGCCATCCTCGAGATAAGCGGCCCGGGAGTCTTCACAGACGCTGTACTCGACACGTTGTCAGCTACATTGCCCGCGTCAAATCGTCTAGTCCAGCAATCCGTCGGCGCGGACCTGGGGATCGGCGATCTAGCACTACGACGATCAGGCGTGACACAGCGCCGGGTCACCTGGGCGCCGTTCTTCAGGATCCAGGACCCCGTTTGTGTGGATGCGAGCGAGGCGTCAAGTGTGCAGGAAGAGCCGATGGGTGGGCTTTGCGTGCTGCCGGTTAATGCGTGGGGGAATGGGCAGAGACATAGTGGATCGGAGAATTTTGGGAGTCAGCATGCGTGCGTGAATCATCGGTTCAAGGGGAGTTGGAAACCGTGGAAGATGTCTTGGAGGGAGTATCTGTTTGGGTAGTACTCTGGTGTATTCGGGTTTTGGGTGTTTTGAGCGTGTGCATAGTTCGGAAGGGTTTTACGATTAACGATTTTGGTTTATATTTCTTGTTGGTGGATTGCGCCTTTTGATCGTCATATATCAATGTTTAATCTACGGTCTATGCTGTCATAATCGAGTCCAACAATACCATTGACGGATGGATGAGGTGAAGTCAAAACCCAGCCAAGATGCCATGACCCTTGGCATCATAAGTGGAGGCTAAGGATTTTGGAGTTCATCTTGCGATCGAGGAATGACTCGCGACTCACCAGTGCTAGAACCAGCGTGATAATATTCTGTTTCTCGCTATGTTCGTGCGCGGGAGTCCAGGAATTGGTTTGTCTACAGTGTCTACTCATGCTGGAAGGTGAGGCATTCTGCGTAGGTTGTAAAGGAGTAAGGTTAGCAGGCTTCATGTTGGTTTATACTCAAATGATTGAGACCAATTTTCGAAGTTTTATGACAGAAGCAGCCCAAGCAGTTGCTTTTCACTTCAGCAGCATGAAACTCAAGCGATGAGTCCTCAACAGAACAGAACATTTACATACTCACTCTACATACCTCCGTACTCCGCCAAAGTATACTTCCCAAAACGGAATTAGGGCTAGGGCTACGCTAACCCCCATTCGGCGCCGCAAACCCAGCTGCATCATTCTCCGATCTCCACCTACAACATCAACTACACCTCCGACTCCTCTCAACTCACCTTCCTCCTTCCCTATAAACGCAATGGAAGGCGCCGAGCACGTTGAATCGCCGCGCAAGCGGTTAAAGACCGACAATGCCTCTTCCACCGAGGAAGTCGTGCTGCAAGCTCCCGTCGCGACGTCCGAGACTAAAATCTCCGAAGCCGACGCCCAGGCAAAGAAGGAGTTGGACGTGGGTATCACGGAGTTTGTTAGCGCCGATAATGAGGGGTTTTCGGGAGTGTTGAAGAAGAGGTATGTGCTTTTTCTGGGTGGAGGGGAGTTTCGGTGGTTAATTTCTTTGCAATTTCTAGGTATACCGATTTCCTGGTCAATGAGATCGTTCCCTCCGGCGAAGTGTTGCATTTGCGAAACGTGGTCTTGGAGACCCCCTCGAACGAGAAGGAGGATGGCGCCGCGAAGCCGACAGAAGGATCCGAAGAGAAGAAGGAAGAGCAGAAGGCGAACGCAGAGCCCGCGGAAGAGGCGCCCAAGAAACAGTTCGAGCTGTCAGAGGAAGACAAGACGCTGATGGACGAATTGTTCGGTGAACAGTCCACCAAGAAGATCGTGGCGCTGCATAACCGCGCCCAGAGCAACGACAAGGCCCGGCCCAGCGAACTCGGCAAAATCCCGACCCTGGTCGTCAATGACCGCGACCTGCGCATCAAGATGCATCAGACCATTCGCCGCATCTTCCGCTCGCAGATGGAATCCTCTACGGACGGCGACGGCATGATGACCATCTCGGTTGCCGCGAACCGGAACAAGCGCAGTGCGAAGGCTGGCCCTGCTGGCCCTAGTCGGGACCGTGGTCGCGTCAACTGGGACGAGCTGGGCGGACCGTATCTGCATTTCACCATTTACAAGGAGAACAAGGACACCATGGAGGTCATTTCGTTTATCTCTCGCCAGCTGCGCATGAACCCCAAGAGCTTCCAGTTTGCGGGCACTAAGGACCGCCGCGGAGTGACGGTGCAGAGGGCGTGCGCGCACCGCGTGCAAGCTGAGCGCCTGAACAAGCTAAATGCCTGTCTTCGCAATGCTACCATCGGTGATTTTGAGTATAAGCAGCATGGACTCGAGCTCGGCGATCTCAATGGAAACGAGTTCGTCGTCACGCTCCGTGAATGCGATATCCCGGGCCTTGACCTCGAGAACCGCGAGACGGCTGTCGCCAGAGCCTCGGATCTCGTGGGCTCCGCTTTGCGGAATCTCCGCGAACGAGGCTACTTCAACTACTACGGTCTGCAGCGATTCGGGACGTTCGCGACGCGCACGGACACCGTCGGAGTGAAAATGCTGCAAGGCGATTTCAAGGGCGCCTGCGATGCCATCCTGGACTACAGCTCCGAGTCGCTGGCGGCCGCCGAAGCCGGTGAAAACTCCACCAGCCTGATCAGCGCCGACGACAAGGCCCGCGCCAAGGCCATCCACATGTTCCGCACGAGCAGCCAAGGCACCGAAGCCCTGGACATTCTGCCGCGCAAATTCTCCGCCGAATCCAACCTGATCCGCCATCTTAGCCGCTCCCGCAACGACTGCCGCGGTGCCCTGCAGACCATCCCGCGCAACCTGCGACTGATGTACGTCCACGCCTACCAATCGCTGGTGTGGAACTTTGCCGCTGGAGAGCGCTGGCGTCTCTATGGCGACAAAGTCGTCGAGGGCGACCTCGTGCTCATCCACGAACACACCGACAAGGAGGATGGCCACACCGCGGCATCTAACGTTGACGCCGACGGCGAAGTCATCATCGCTCCCGGTGCCACCGACAGCTCTTTCGTCGACTACACGCGCGCCCGCGCCCTGACGGCCGACGAAGCTGCCAGCGGCAAGTACTCCGTCTTCGACATCGTCCTGCCCCTTCCCGGTTTCGACGTCCTGTACCCGGCCAACGCCATGACCGACTTCTACAAACAGTTCATGGCCAGCGAGCAAGGCGGCGGTCTCGACCCGTTCGACATGCGTCGGCAGTGGAAGGACATCTCTCTCAGCGGAAGCTATCGTAAACTCCTCAGTCGTATGGGCCCGGACTACTCGTGCCAGGTGCATCTGTACGAGCAGGACGACGAGCAGTTCATTCAGACGGACTTGCAGAAGCTGCAGCAGCAGCAGGCCAAGACGGAGGAGGCGGCTGCCGAGTCTAAGGGTTCTGGAGATAAGATCGCCGTGGTTCTGAAGTTCCAGTTGGGTTCGAGCCAGTATGCGACTATGGCTTTGAGGGAGTTGATGAAGGGGAAGGTTCAGACGTATAAGCCGGACTTTTCGGGTCGTGCTTAGGGTATTTGTGTGTATATATAAAAAGGGGTATTGTTTACATACTTGCATGGGCAGAGATAGTTACTCTGTAATTCATCCATTTCTCGACAACTTTGATGCCTCCCTCGCTCTTTGAGTAGATCTCAATGTACTGGTCAGTGTGCTGCTATATAGATACACCTCACTCGGCCAGGTTGTCTTGTTTATAATGCTTCAGTCACTTCAAGAAAATACCAAACCCCTTCCGATGTAGTAAATTTATCCAATTAACAATCCTATTCCTAGCTCACCGTCTACTATTACACGTTCCCGATACCTAATGCCTAGTCAACAAACAATAGGTAAACATCGACTAAAAAGAGGGGGAATCAAAAAAAGAAAGAAACCCATCCAACCCAGATAGTCAAATTTAGTCAATCAATCCCAAACTCCAATCAATAACTCAACACATAACTCAATTACCTCCTCCGCGAATGACCGCCCCTCCCAACATCATCACCCTCATCATCACTAACCGACGAAACCGACGAAACCGACGATATCGACCCCCGATCATCCACGCCCCGATAATGATGTCCTTGTCCTGCCCCATGGCCCCCGAAAAAGGTGCTCCGGCGTCCGCTGAAGCGCGAGATCTCGGATACTGCGTCGTCGAGTGGATGGTTGAATGGGGATTGAGGTCGATGGCGCTCGAGGTCGTGTGTCTCTATTTCTAGGGTTGAGGATGGTTTGGGGGATGGTGTGTGGCTGTTTCTGCTTATGCCTCGTTGAGACGAATGGTCATGTTCATGTGCAGGTTCATGCGTAGTGGTACGCGCTAGACCAATTGCTCCTGTCCCTCCTCCTCCTCCACCTCCACCTGCTAACGATAGAGCTGACGCAGACGCAGACGCTAGTCCTGACACCGAAGCCGCATCCATAATCGGCGTATTCGGATGCGAATGCAACGGATCCGGAATAAACCCATCAGAAACAATCACCGAAGGACGATGGAATCCTTGACGAAGATTAGGTTGGCTTGTTCGCGGGCCCGCACTTGCACCGTCTTCCATTTCTCCCTGCAGCTGCTGGTGTGGATTCGTGACATCGTACACGCTCACATCCCTCTCCGAGGCGTGTCTACTACTTCTGATACTTCGACTACTGCCCCCTATCGCCCCCGGAGTACCCCCTAGGAAGAATAAATGCGGAGTCATCGTATCCCACGGGTTTGGGGCATTTCCGCCCTGCGAGTCCGAGTGGGCGTGTGATGGGACGTGTGTTGATGGGTTTTCGCGTATGTCCATGTATGGACCGGATCCATGGGACTTGTGGCGGCGGCGGTAGCGGAGGAGGAGGATGAGGAGGGCGAGGAGGAGGGCGGTGCCGATGAGGGAGATGGGGACGGCGATGGCGATTTTGGTTTTTGTGGGGAGGGAGGAGGTGGAGGGGATAGGGGGGTTTGTTGCGCTTGCTGTTGATGAGGTTGTTGATGAGGTTGTGGATGGAGATGTAGTTGAGGATGTGGTTGTGGTGGTGACTTCTGTTGTTGCTGATGAGGTTTGTGATGATGATGTTATTGAGCTGATGGAGTCTGTGGATATGGATGTGTCTGTAGCTGTAGTTGTAGGAGCACTTGTATACTGAGTCCACGTCTCAGTCTCACTCTGCCACTGAGTCTGGCTGATACTAACATCGCTGGTAACCTGCGAAGCCCAAGTCAAGGTAGTCGTTGCTGCAGCAGTCATCCATGCATCGCTCGTCCACTGGCCTGCATTCGTGGGCTGCGCATAATTCTCTGTCACCGTATGCGGCAGGCCCTCTATATCCCAGGTAGTATGGACCTGTTCTGCGGGAGGATTTGCATAGGGATCCCAGTTAGGGCTGCCGTCATTGTTCACGTCGTCCATGGCTGTTTCTCGCTGAGGTGTGCTATTTCGATTGTAGTATGCTCAAGAATACTGGGTAGTGTAGTCGAGAAGTCGCGGAGAACAGCGAGAGTCGATCATGTGTCTTATTGAATGAGAATTTGAAGGAATATTGGAGTAATAGATGTCCCTATTCTGCTTGTTAGTCGCATGTTTTGCGGTCAGGCATAATTGAAGTAAAATGTACCCACCATATCTACTATGCCAGGTTCATCTTAGGAAAGTAATCATATCTACTCAGTTCCATGCATAGGTAAGACCATTACCAAGTCTTCTTAAATGTGAACAATCAGCCAGAAACAGAAGTCAAAGCAAGAGCCTGCAAGGAAGTACTAGAAAAAACCAGAAACAGACAAAACCAAAAGTAAGAGAAATAAAGGGAACTTCCGCCATAAAGAGTAAATCAAACAAATCAATTAAAAAAAGTACTCAACAGTCAAAACGAAGCAAATGCCCCAACGGGACAAAGACCGACTTGACTGCATGGCGCAGCATCCATGATCCATCCAACGATCCCTCTGAGAACCAACAATGAGGGTCCTCGTCTGCCAATCAGCAGACTCCTATGAATGCGCCAGGATACGCTGCGTAGCCCCCATTCTGCTGCATTGTTACATGTGGCAGACTTGAAGGTAGGGGTCTGTCAGCATACTATCTGATTTGGGGGGCTTTTGGGGCGGCGGATGCGAAAGGTGCTACAAGGGGACTTTTGGCTTTGGGCCTTTGTTTCGAAGGTGCATACGGAGTAAAATGCAGGGAATAAGATTGTGTAGCCCACTAGCAGGGTCTGGTTTTAGTGCCTGTTAGCGTGTCTGGTTAAGGAGTGGTAGTAGTACTAGCGGGGGAGAACGGAGAGTGCTGCTTATTTCCACGGCCCTTGTGGGTCCCCTGGGAGGTTGACCTTCGAATTCCTGAGCCTTATCTTGATCATTTATTTATGACCAGGATCCAAGCTAATTATATCTTTAACTGAGAGCCCCCGGATCATGTTGGAGACGAGAGTGGTCAGGTGGGTCGCTAAGCCACGAGCATCTTCTACCTACTCCAGAGTACACCGATTTTTCCAATTCTCCATTAACAGCTTTCTCCAGGCCAATGACGCAGGTCTCAGAGCATATTTTTATTTGGACTTCTAGAAAACTTCTGGTAGAGCTTCTCTAGCTTCCTGCAGGATTCGTTCAATGTATGCGTGGTGCCATTAAAATAGATTCTATCAAGCTCGGCCGTCAGGTCAGGCCTAAGTAAGCATCCCTCCATCCATCGGGGTTCGCTTGACAGCATCGTTGATCAGTACTCAACTTAGACATTAATTTGATACAAGAATATGTATTAACTCGGTAGGGCAGCAGCAAGGCTGCCTTGTACTACTCTCTAGATAACGGTCAAAACGGTAGTGGACAGCTTCTTACCGAGGTATGACAGAGGGTGATGGCGGTGGCGCAGAATATCAACCATAAAGAGGAGGATGCTGTCCTGCGAGAGCTGCTTGAAGTTAAAATTCGTAGTTTTCTACCTACTTTTTAGTTTGCGTCCTGGGATCTGCCGCATCTATTTCCCAATATGATGGGGCTCAGTATCATCGATTTTCAGGGTCCCACGTCGGTCGAGGCGTTCGATTGGTAGCGAAGACTGGAGGAAGTATTCGCAGACATTGCTGCCTTCTAGCTGTTCTGGGGAATCTATACGTAGGGTGGACTTCCATTTGCGAATCTTATTACTCAGTGAATGTTTGCAGAGTGCTGCCGATTCCAGGGGCCAAGAATCACAAATCATCCTCTCATTTTTCTCTCCCAGATAATGACCCTTGTAAGGAGACCTAGTTACTTAAATCATATTCGCACAAGTACACAAACTGTTAAAGCACAATTATGTTGCATAGAAATCACTATTTGACCCGTCCACAAGTTGATATGTTGAATATCATACCTGTATCGACATGCCTAACTACATAATAACCAGAAAATTCCCATAAATACTGTTCATGGCTCATTCTCACTAACCGCTGGCTTGGCCTTCGAAAAGCCTCAAACACCCCTTAGATACATTGACAGTTGCCATTATAACTCTCATAATGGCACTTGTTTCCATCTTTGGCACACTACATTGAGTCAGCAATTGAGATCAACCAGGACAGACTGCTTCAATTACCCTCTTGAACTGGCACTTGCAGAACGCAGTCCTGCCGTTCTGCGATTTATACCGGCAGGAATTGTCTTTCTTGGAACATTTCTGCGGACAACGTTAGCCATTTACCTCTTCCAAACTTCTTGGGGGATAAGAAGATACTGACTCCATCGTACCGGATCATAATTCCAGCTTCATCTCTAGCATCTAGATCATTTGACACAAGAAAGTCGGAGTCGACCGGGCTTCCAAGAGCCCCCATGGTAGTGAAGAGGACAAGCCCGAGAGATGCGAAGGAGGTGAGCTTCATTGTTGTGGCCGAGCGGGGTCTAGATCTGGTCTTGTGGAAAGAAGGGAATAGATCGAGATGCTGGGGGAAATGGTTTGCTTTGTTCCTTCGTTGCTCCTTTTCATTTCAGGTCAATACCTGTCTTATATACTAGCAACTCTTACATCTGTCGTTGTCACGTTCAACACATGCCTATCAGACATTGAAGAGCACATCCTAACAAGGTATTCCCATAGCAATATGTTCCACCCATTGTTCTCCATTCCGGGACCTCCGAGGTGATATAGATGATGGTACTTGCATAGCCTGAGAATGTGCCCTGTCCTGCAGAGCCGTAGGCGTGTGATTCACCTGTCTTTGTGGTGTCGGGTCCAACTCTACTCAGCTGACAGTAAGCAAACAGCAAACACCCGTTTCACGCCCTACAATAGCTTATAAGCTATTGAAATATCGAAGCCTCAAATGCAGAGTGCAACCTTGGCATCAACCTCAATGTCGCGTGGTCTGGATATTAGTTCACCACGCAGGTTGGTCTTGTTCGGACGTTGAGGAGGTCGTCCTATAGGGGCGACTTGCACGCTGACATCGACAATCGAGCTGGAATTAAAGCTCCACACAAGAAAAGATACACGCCTATCTAGCAGCTTCGATTGAGATCTACAGAACATTTGAATATATCATGAGATTGTACCTGTTGAGATGCGTACACACTCACAAACCGTGTTCACCTGAACCCATTCAGCTGCGTACTTTCATGCATGCCCTCCATAACAAGTACTACCTACCTACGCATCAGTATCACCATAAAAACAAGGAACCCTTAACCCAACATATGTACCACAGGCTCCGTACAATGAGGCTGAGAACCCAGCATCTCCGCAACGCCCTCCCGCCTTATCGATCACCCGGGCTTCCAGATTTCAAGCATTCCAGTCTACAGTAGAGCAAATCAGCCATCCGTTTACTTACCCCACGGGGAATGGCCTTGGCGTCCGGGCTTGGTGGGATAAGATTTAAAGGCGGAGGCGGGAGGGTTATAGCCTATGGTAGGCTATGGGGATACTTTGTACTACTTACGGGTGAAAGAGGCGGGTCAGTAGGTAGGTATAGGTACAGGATTCCTTGTGCGGTGTGTCTTGGAAGATCGGTAACTACTACTTTGAGGATTGGACAACTGGGTGTGAGAAGAACCCTAGGGGTAGAGGATCAGGGTTTGGGGCTATGGCGCTTTTTCTAGGAAAAGGAATTGCGAGAGTTCTTGTCAAACCGTCAAGTAAAGTGGACATGGACGTGAATTAGGAAACCCAAAGATCTATCGGGCTTGTAGTAGGCTCTGGGGCTCTTTCGCCGACTTGTGATTTACCAACCCTAATGAACTCGAAATAAACATGAATTCAAATATGTTAGGAGCTAGTCACGCAATGTTGTCTATATATCTTGAATGTAAGAACATTATCATCATATACGAGCAAGTATACGTTCAAGGGAGCAAATCCAGACTATCCCAAATAGAGAGCTTGGCACACGCACTTCCGTCCTTCCGCCCACGCTCCCCGGCTCAGGCCCAAAACAAGAGTAACACCAAGTTGACTAAAAAAAGGATCAAATCGTCGGTGCGTAGCGAAAGCTCTGCCAGACAGTATACTTTCCGGGGTAGTGATGATGTTTATGCAAATCAGTTACATAGAAATAAGCCTCCTGGGGCGTGTAAGAGTAGAACTGAACAGATCTTCTCACCTTCCTAGAAACAATATTTTTCACCCTGTAGAAAGGTAGGGTTCAGGGCAAAGAGGCCGCTGGCAGATAACATCTTGTGCTATCTGGGGAACTAGAAGAACAAGGTATGTTTTGCATCCACGTGCATGGGACTCGATAACTTGATGCAGTTGTGATATTTTTAGACATCTGCATACATATCCCGTAGGAATAAGTACGGAGTAGGATCCTTTGTGGGGGCAGCCGAAAGACACTGGCTGGGCAAGTAAACACCGAGTCATTGTCGTCCTCGCATCATTCATGGATCTGCTAGGCAGGCTGTACAGAGTACAGAAGCACTGCCCGATTGACCCGGTTATGATATAGGGTCTATATCATATCAAGCCTGTCAATAAATGCAAGCATGGGCATGAGGAATGGGGCACGGCTGTGGAAGGCATTGTCTCTTATTCCACCTCTGACGCATGGGTCTTGCGAGCCTTGACTCAGGGAGAGTTCATATTGTTTGGTAGACATGCAGCTTGACGTGTATCCAGAACCGAGTTTATCGCAGATGATCGTACACGTACACACAGAACATACCCAATGTACTCCGATTGCTGTCGACCCAATCAACCCAAGTTATTTTTAGTCCTCGAGCATGAGCATGCCAGCAGACTGACTCGTAGGTTTGGAACGTGACGGCCCCTGGCTCGATCCGCACACTAGTAGATTCTGGTAGGATGGCCCCATTGATGGCAGTTGGGGGCCAAATGCTAAACAGTTAGTTGCTCTATGGCATGTCACATAGGTTTAGTCAGGATTCGGCTGACATGTCCATTAGTGTCCAGCATGGTAGTGATCCCTCAATGCAGGGATGAATCAGACGAGCAGTTGAACCGTGAGGTGTCTCGAGGGAGTCCCTGTTGCGTAGAGCGAAAGGTTATCACCACGTGATAGCGGAGATTGGAGATAAGCTGTACCAACGCTAACCTAACCAGGTTAGCGCAACTCCGACATAAACGGCGGGGCGGTGATGGAGGGTTACGAACGTCTCGTCATCCCCGGCCTGTTGGATCGGCGTCATCTTATTGACTTCATTGACTTTTTCGGAAACATCATCCAGGCGAGTGCCTCACCGCGAGCATGAGTGGAATGGGAAAGGTTTTCAAGGAGGGCTGGCACCCCAAGAGCCGCGAGGGAGGAAAGGAAAGCTGGCGCGGCGACTTCAAGGGCATCAATCAAGTGGTCTGTTCCCCATCGCGACAGTGTTTTTGACGATTGATTAGCTGATCTTTCGTGTCTATCTGTAGGCAGGATGGATGGGCAAAGGCAAGGACAAAGATGCCGAACGCGAAGAGCACGTTTCCCGCCCTCTTTCATCGCTCAAGGATCCCTCGTCGTTTGGGCCGCCACCGAAGCACGTCAAATATCACGGCGCGGCCGCCCTTCCGAATGAAACGACGCCCGATCGAACCGGCCTAGGTGCTCCGCTATCGCAAGAACAAATCAATTATCAGAAGGAGCAGGAACAGGCAGAGCTCCAGGCTCAGGAACAAGAGGCGCAGAGGCCGGCACCTCCTCCGCTTCCCTACCGGGCGAATCGAACCGGCGTCGACCCGAGTACTCTCCCGCCGCCTCCTGCGCGACGCATGGGCTCGCCGGCTGAACCTGCCATCCCGACGAATACAAGGCCCAAGCCAAGCGTTCCTCCTCGCATCCCTCCCCGGACTAATTCCACCCCCGTGTCGCACCCGCCGTCTCCGCCTCCTGCTTACTCGCCGAGTCCGGCAGAAACCCCTTCGGATCCGTATATCAACCAGGCCGCTACGTCTCGTCTCGCTCAATCGGGGGTCTCGGTACCGGCGCTCGGGATTGGCAATGGGGGAAGTCAGTGGCGGAGAGACAGCAACTCTGCCTCTCCAGCCCCTACCGGCTCCGTTGGGCAAGCTCCGCTCAACGAGCTACAGAGCCGATTCTCTCAAATGAGAACCAACTCCAGGGAGGCGCCCCCTCCGCCGCCATCGCTGGGGGCGTACGGCAACGAGCAAGCGTCGCAATCGCCTGCCCCTTCAGACACCCGTAGCGCTCAGGCACATTTCAATGACTTTCGTGAGAAGCACAGCGACAAGATCGATGCTGGCAAACAGAAGTTGTCCGGTCTCAACGAGAAGTACGGGATCAAAGACCGCGTGAATGGCTTCCTAGGCGATAAGAAACCATCTTCCTCGGCAGCCTCAGGCCCACCACCTGTTCCCCGACATCCCAATGCGGTTCAACCGCCTCCTTCAGCTAGCACCGAGTCCTTGGGCCAAAGGAAGGCTCCGCCGCCGCCGCCTCCTAAGAAATCGGGGATGCGGTCAACTCCTGTTCCGTCGGCGCCGACACCACCACCAATTCCATTGGGCACGAAACCTCGTTGAAGCTGGCTATCAGTATAGTCTTTTTTGATTTAACCGAGCTACATGGATTTGTTGGATTTCGGAAGTCTGCATTGCGCAGCAAGTGTACAATTACATGGCGGTGTTGTTATATGGTGTTACCTTTTTCCCTCTTCTTCTTGTTTTTCTTCTTTCTTTACTTCTGTCAGGTATTCAAGCATTCGCAATACAGTCCTCTTACAATAGAATAAAATTGATAAATATATCCAATTAACAATCTGTACATGTACACTAACCGCAATCCACCGCCTTATATACAACACATTCCAAATTTCCTCCTGCTCCTCTTGTTCCCCTCACGCATCATTCTGAGCATGAGTCAGAGTCTCCCACCCGATAAACAACTTATCAGTCCCAGCAGGACGTCTCTCAAGGGTATACTTCTCCGTATTGGTCATGGTATGGTTTCCTCTAAACGAGAGTCCATTGAACGCCACCTCAGTCACTGTACCAGTCAGAATTAGCCCACCACAATCACCGAACAGACCAACAGATAACATATGGGGCGGGAAAATAAGAACATACCATCACTCAACTCCCGCTCCAAATCGCCCCCACAGATATCCCCCGGCAAGGACCCCTGCAACTGATACTTCGTGTGGAAACCCAGCGCATACCGCAGTCTCTCGCCCGTGTCTTCCTCATAGAGGTCGCGGCCCTGGATGCGCGCTGTCTCGGCGACGTGTGCGATCGATGCGATGCCGTATCCGGTGTGCGCGAAGTCGCGGCATGTTTCTTGCGAGATGCCGTTCTCGGAGAAGGTCGATTGGCCTTGCCAGAAGTCGATGATTGAGGAGGAGGAAGAGAGATTGTCTTCGGGGCTGGTTTTGGGGAGGTCGCCATCCCTGCTCGGGTGGAGGGTCTTGTTAGTTTCCTGGTGGGTGGGTAATATGGGTGAGGGGACTGACTTGGTGAGATAGATATATGCTGGGACTCGCTTGAGGAATATTTCCATGGCTTTGTCGTAGCTTTCGCGGTCATTGATGAAGACGGAGATGCCGAGTGCTGCTTCCATCATGACTATATATTTGTATCTGTTAGTCCTCTCCCCTCAACTCCACCAGAACCAACTCTAGCAAAAAAAGAAACAAAGAGGAAGGAAAACAAACCAAGTTCCCAATTCCCATTCTTCCCCGGCGCCCCCTCAATAATCTCCGGCAAATACACATCCCTCAACATGCCCTCAAACTGCTCCACATCACTCTCCTCCCACCCCGCCTCACTATACCTGATGATCTCAGCAGCCCTGGCCCACGACGCAGCAGACCACGCCGCCTGCAACGGCGCATTCGAATTACTATGTCCCTCGACAGTGCTAGACCAGGCATTCATGAACTCGATCGCGCGGTCCGCATACTTCTTCGTCCCCGTGACCACCCACGCCAGGGCGTTCAGGTACGCCGTTAGCGCGTCCTCGCGCTCCTCGTGGCAGCCTACGTCGGGGGTGGAGGTGGGCCCGCATTCGACCGTCGCGAAGGGCGAGGGTTCGGTCCGGGAGGCGAATTCGTGGGACATCATCGACTCGTAGGCGGCTGCTTGGGGGCCTTGGTTGGCGGAGACCTGCGAGGCGATGTGTTTGAGTTGGGACGAGGAGAGGAAGACGCCCGGGTGGGTGAATTCGGTGCTGGTTTTGCTGGGCGTGGTGGTGGTGCTGTCTTTGGGTGCGGCGGATGCGGTGGTGGCCAGGCCTAGGCTGAGTAGGCCTAGGGGGAGGAGGTTGGGGAGGTGCATTCTGCGACTTGGGTTGTGGTGCCCTCGAGATTGTGTTGGATAGGGTCTGGAGGGGTTCAGATTGAGATGGAGTGGTTATGGTCTGTCCGACGTCGACCCTTATATACCTTTATAAGTATATGTACAAAGACTCCACAGATAGACCCCCAAGTAACTAGACCCTATAACCAGGAACAGGAACAGACACTATAGTATACTACTGCACAAGCAAGCGAACCACCGGGCCCAGCCTACCCCCCTACGCAAATCTTCACACGAACCTGAAACACACCCCCAAGCCTAAAAATATAAGCGAGCTTGGATCGAATACGAGAAGTGACCATCGAAGTGGAGTGATTCACCCCATAACTCTGTCAAGATCATCAAAAAGTGACAAAAAAGGCGTTGCTTAGCGCCGGTCCCTGGGGGCCGTTTTTTTTCGTCAGGATCGCCGCCTTAGGCCCTAGGAGGGGGACGATGCAGGAACCATTTCCCGTAAGCTGACAAGGCCAATTGTCCACGCTTCGAGAAACAGGGGGTTGCATCCTTCGTGTTGCCGGTTTAGGAAACTGGTGTTGAGGGTTTGAGGGTGTGGTTGATATGAAGAATAAAGCGTGGAGCTTGTGTCGGGAGGGATTGGGGGAGGGTTTGTTTGCTTTAGATTAAAGAGGGGGGGGATGGGCGCTTGTTGAGACTGTGACGGAGAGAGAAATGGGGCCGAAAGAGAATCAGCTCTGTAATTGATTGCGGATGGCACCATTTACTCTGAAAAGAAGGTACTAGGAGTAGGCATCGCCGAGTGGCAAGATCACATATTCATACTTACAGTGTACAACATAGGTAGACCCCGAAATACTGAAAGACCGACTCCCTCAGACTAACGCACCTGCAAAATCATTCCATCCTTGAGCGCATCAATCTCCTTCTTCTTGAAACAGTCCTTGTTATCAAAGCTCTTCTTCTTGCGCTCGGCACTGCTCCACGTAGTCAAATCCAGGTCGTCGCCGCCCATGTCTGCCAATTTGCCGACATGGTCCTTCACGTACTTCTTCACTCCGTCGGCCCAGTACCAGGGATCCTTTGCGGAAGCAGCCGGCAAGCTAACCTGCTCCTCCTGCTCGGCCTCTACCTCCTTCACGAGTTCGTCGATGTCGGCCGGGCCGCGCAGCTTGATGCCATGTTTCTTGGCGTACGCGAGGATATGCCGAGGGGCCTGGTCGACCTGGAAGTCCTTGGCGGCTTCTACATCAGGCATCTCGTCCTCGCCGCGGATGTACTTCATGTAGGTGGCCATGATAACGCCGAGGTTCTTGATCTCCGACTCGGGGGTCAGGAGATCTTGCGCCTCGAGCTTGGCCAGCATGGTCAAGAACATGCGCGCGATGAGCGAGTGCACATGGGCTACTTTCTCGCCGTCGTCGACCCTGACCACTGCATTAGCAAACGGAGTACAATCTCAGGTAATGAATCAGGGTAGGGCACGAGGAACATACATATTCATAGGATCCGCCTCACCACACAGCAGAAACAGCACCGCAGCCTCGCAAATCGCCCACTGCTCCTTCCAGTTCTCCTTGGCCTCATCGAAATCCAGGATCAGGTTCTCGACGACCTCGATGATACCGTACCCGTGGTGGTCGTTGTACGTGTACATGTTGAAGAGGTCCGGGCAGCGCAGATCCGCACACAGACGCAGGTCAATGAACTTGGTCAGGCCCGCGTGGGTGAAAGCCCACGGATGGTCGGGATGCTCTGTGGCGGGTTTCTTGCACAGGCAGGTCTTGCCGACGTCGCAGCGGGGTTTGGGGGGTGCTTTTTCCCCGGTCGCTGTGTCTTTGTCGTTGGCGTGCTCGCTTTCAGAGGTATCCTCGTCTACGGAATCCCACTCGTCCTCGTCGGACTCGTAGTCGGACTCATAGTCGCCGTCCGGGAACGGAGATCGACAGAGGCATTTGAAAGTGTACTTGTGCTCGGGGTCCTTGGCCATCTGTGCGATGTAGCCGGCGTAGATGTTGGCTGTGCCAGAGACGGCAGCCCAGCGAGAGCTATTGGGAGCAGAGCTGCTGTTGTCATTGCCATTGGTGGTTTTCTGGCGTTTAGACGCGCCCGTGGAGCTTGCGGCACGTTTGGGAGGCATGGTTTGGATGACAGGTAGGGGTGACAGTAGGGATCAAGTCAAGGGGGTATGCAAGGGGAATTTGAAGAGCAAGTGTTGGGAGAGACGAAGTGAAGAGATTTAAAGTGTTGTTTGTTTTTGCTGTCGGTGTTGATGTTGATACATCCATTGCCTATGACGTATCTCGTGGTACGCGACGCGTTTGTAGTTAATTAGCCGGCCATGTTAATTGCTCTTAATTTACAGCGATGATGTAGAGGTCGTTCTTGCAAGATCTTGAATATCTAAAAGGGCGATAGACATTGAAAATCAATTACAGTATAGAGTGCATATTTGGATATCTACGGAGCACTTCCACAGGAGTTACTACAAAGTAGGGATGGAGTATGGGCGCCCCGTAGTTTAAGCTTACCGAGGACATGCTCTCTGACCATCCCCCGCATTACAGATTCCAGGTCATAAGGTATAACATCTTATTCATAAATCATAAACTTGTTCATCAGTACGTAGGGAAGACATCATCGATATGACATCCGGCACGCTATGCTGGACCTGGAATGACGACCGAGGCATTACTAAATCCGTTGGGGTGGCCGAGACAGCGGCCGTCCGGATCGGTGCAGCTGAACGCGAGGAGCTGACAGTGGACTGGACAACTAGAAGAGTATCTAAGAAAAGTCATGACATGTTAGGAGGAGAATGCAGCGTTGGGGAACTGAAGAAGAGGGGATTGTCCAGAACAAAGAAAGGGAGAAGAGGAGGCCCGTGATTCAGGATGATGACTGCCTGAGGCACCACAGACCAACGGCTGAGTCAGCGTCGAGCGGAATTGGGATCCACCGGAAATTAAAATGAACGATTTTCCTGACTCTCAGAACTACTGGGACTACTTGGATAAGGTGAGGGATCGACCTCTACGTTGCCTCAAGCAGCAGGTGAGAATTACCGATGGACCGTTGGATCCATTCATTATCTGGAGACTTCTCTGGAGTACATACTATACAAACAATAACCATTCACCATTAATACTAATGTTATGCCCTACATTGTAAACACTCCGGCAAGCTTCTAGAAACCCTCTGATGCTTCCATAATGTCCATGACCTGCAGGGCCTGCCTCGTCGGACCTACGGAGGATGTAATTGTGCCTTCAAGACCCAAGTTCACAAGAATTGGCAATTGTTGGGCCTCGGCTTCCCCCCAGCTCGCCGCAGCGGAATCCCAACAAAATGCAGCGGCGGCTCCACTCCGCGATTTTTGGTTTGTCGCTCGCTCGAACTACAAGTCGATCTTTTTTCCTTTTCCTTCTTGTGAATCGCCTCAATTCTTGGTCTTCCTCTGGTTTAAGACTTCGATTGATTCCGGTCTTTTCCTTTGGGTTTTTGCTGTGGTTGTGTTCCCTGTCTTCTTGTTCTCTCCCTTCCTTCCTGCTTTCTCTCCGTTGAATTCCTCCTTGCCGTCATCCGCGTTGGTTGAGGCCGGTCCGGCTGCAGTTTGCGCCTCTCGCTCTCCTACTAAACAAAGAGCTTGTTATTGACAATCTCGCTTCTCAATCCTATCTACTATCCTCCCTCAATCCACTGGAGGGCCATTGAGTCACCCCGATCATTCGTCATGTACGACATCAACGTCGACACCGCGGCAGGCCCGGCCGTGGTCCGCATCGGACTGCCGCCTGCCTCCTTGTTGAAATTCCCTCCGGACTCGCTCCCAACGACCCTCCCTGCGCCTCAGATCGCCGAGCCGACCTGGGCCCAACCGTTTAACATCCCTCCCGCTCTGTACAACCAGCTGCTGGATGTGCGCGTTCCCGTCACCATCGCCAGCGTCTACGCCGTCACCGTCGTCCTGGTCAATCGCATCAACAAGAGTCGCGGCTACAAGCCCTGGGCGTTCAGCCACACCCGCCTCTTCAAGCTTTTTGTCATCCTGCACAATGTCTTCCTGGCCGTCTACTCCGCCTGGACCTTCGCGGGCATGTTCCATGCCTTCCGGGACGCCTGGCCCGATCGCAACGACCCCAACGGCCTGGTGGGTGTGACCGATGCCTTGTGCAAGATCAACGGTCCCCGGGGATACGGCAACGCGGCTACCTACGACCCTTCGATCAACCAATGGACCATGCGCAACCCCGAATTCAGTTTGGCCGAAGGAGGCGTGCCCGACCCGACCGACGTCGGTCGCACGTGGAACGGCGGCCTGGCCTACCTGGGTTGGATCTTCTACCTCTCCAAGTTCTACGAGGTGCTCGACACAGCCATCATTCTCGCCAAGGGCAAGAAGAGCTCGACGCTGCAGACCTACCACCATGCCGGTGCCATGATGTGCATGTGGGCCGGAATTCGCTACATCGCGCCTCCGATCTGGATTTTCACCTTGGTTAACTCGGCGATCCATGCGATGATGGTATGTACCATCAGCTATATCTCGGAAGGAACAAGATACTAACGTGCGATTTTTGCAGTACACTTACTACACCCTCACGGCCCTCCGTATCCGCGTCCCCCAGCTCATCAAGCGCTCCTTGACCTCCATGCAGATCATGCAATTCCTTCTAGGAACTACCATGGCCGCCTCTTACCTCTTCGTTCACTACACTCTTCCTCCCTTCCAGTCCGAGTCTGCCGTCCCCGACGTTCGGTCGACCGCTGCTGCTACCGCGGCCGCGGGAGTCGGTCTGGTCCCCTGGTTGAAGCAGATCGCCCTGCGCGCCGCCGGTGCTGAGGGAATCGCCGAAAATGTTGGCGCTCCTGAAACCCCCAGTGCTGCTCAGAACCCCGCCCTCGGGCCTATGACTACTTGCATGGATACCAGCGGACAAGGTTTCGCCATCTGGCTGAACGTTTCCTACCTCCTCCCCCTCACCTACCTCTTCGTCCGCTTCTTCGTCCGCTCGTACCTGTACCGCAAGGACCCTAACCCTCGCCACCCCACGCACATGAACGCCGCTGAGAAGGCAGGCTTGGACGCTCTGAAGGGTGTCAGCCGCGAGATCCAAAAGTCGGTGGAGATGACCGGCGAAACGAGCGAAACCACCGAGGACGAAGCCACCAAGACGACCCAGGCGCCGCCACCCAGCGTGAAGAAGACCCAGGAGCCCGTGGTCGCCCATGACTCCCCTATCCGGACGCGCGCTTCCGCCAAACAGAAGGCCCGAGCTGCCGCCAACGAGCCTGAGCAGGGTTTCTCCCCTGTCTCGTCGAAGAAGGGCGCCAAGAAGGTTACCCAGGACGAGCTGGAGAGCGCTGCCGCCGTTGATCCTAAAGGCAGTAATCCTTTTGAGGTGCTGGATAACAACGCTTAAACGGTTGTTTATGCGCCTTTGCCTCGTTAGACTACACCTTTTTTCTACCAACCAAAACCAACCTCCTACCCAATCGACACAGCCGCAAAAGGATACACCAGTTTATCCTACGGTATATATGCCGGCTCGCTGTATTCAATCGCACCCCGTCGTCGATCAGGCTCGCTTAGCCACCGTGGGACAGATTGGTTGGGGGACATCCATGCTCATCCAACGCTTAGCGCACACGGGTGATATCATCCGACCGCAGATCTCACGTCACAGGGGATTGCGCTTCTGCGAGCTGCGATTATACATGGGTCCAGCATTATACGGAGTACCATTGGACCTTATTCTTGATTTCTTTCCTCTTCGAAAATTACCCTTTTTGTCATGTAAATATGTTAACATTAAGCCTACCTGGGCCGCGCTCATGGATAGCCGGAAAAAAGCATTGTGTTTATTTGATGTGTTTATTAGCTTGGAATGAATGATAATATTTAATGAGTATGATGTATTGAATGCCTGTAAGGAGTGGAGTAGATGTCTACCGTTCGTAGAGACGGGTTCCTTGCGCTGATCATGTGAGGCCATCGCCCATTGCAGTTCGTCATCCATCCTCTTCCTGCATCTCACACAGCCGAATGCCACATCTCTATCCTTTTCTTATTTTTTTTCCCTCCTACTATTCGGCTTCATCACATGCTGGAAATCCTAGTGCCTGAAAAAATTACGGTTTACTCGTGAACTCCCATCGACCTGTCAAACAGCTTGAATCCTGTTCCTGAAATTCCCAACGGGAAAATTTCCTCCGTGCGAGCCGATGTATTCCCGGCGCACGCAGTCTGTTCATTCTTGCCACGCACTTGGTGATGATATCTAGCAATCAACACTGTACGTAGTATTGCTTCTTTTTCGTCTTTTTCTATTTTGCTTTCTGTGAATATGCCCCTGACAGTCATGATCTTGATGGCTTTGTTTCACGAGACTGACTCCCAGAGATCATTGACGATAAGAATAGCATTAGGCCTGAATCACTACGTATGCATGCCCACAGTGCAATCAGTAGCTGACAACCATGAGAATTCTTTTATATGAGTGAACCTGCAAGAGACTGTTCAACCGTGCTGGTCATGCTCAATCCGAGTATATTCTGCTCTTGGAGAATACTCCAACAAGCTCGCTCTTGAGGTGCGGACTATCACAGCCATTATCTGTATCATCGGATGTCAAAGACCCTACAGGCCTCCAATGGAAGATACCTCATATCCTGGAGCTATGGTCTCGCCCTAACAATGGCAACATGCTACTCTGCATTCCGTGCTGCAGTCGAACTGGAAAGACCTGTCCTCTTCCGGAGTCATCACAGTCGCACATCGAGGTGGAGAAAGATGGCAACGCAATTCTCGCAGACCATTAAGAGGCCGCGTTCTCATCGACCAGAGAATTTCTCGGTTCATATGCCCACGCCTTCGACTAGTCGTTCACTATCCCCTGCTACCTTGCAGCTATAGTGTATAGCATCGGTCTAGATGGGTCTCGGATCACGCCGATCACCTGCAGAAGTAGTCCCCCATGTCGGAGACGACCACCGGGGATACTCTCGACCTGTGTGTCGGATAGAACACCATGGAGCCCTAATACTTGGGTCTTGTGGGTTACTGCTCTCTGAAGACGCAGGAGCCATACAGGCTGGCTTCTACCACGGTTGGGATGACATGCAGGTCATCGCGGATGCATTGGATGGGAGCTACTTTAGCACGTTCACCTCTCCGTATGTCTAGACCATCATTGGGGCTTGGTTACCTTGAATCGCTGAGAAGTTATTTGCAGATTTTCTGCTCGTCATCAACATGTATGAGGTCTTACACCTTTACTGAGTTCGCTAGCCCCGCGGTTCTCGATCACATTTTGTAACGTTCAACAGCGGCAAACCTCCATCCACTCCATCTCGATGTATCATCAGATTACATCTCAATCCAAGCAAGCACTCTACCACGAATGAGCTAGACAAGTTGAATGCATCGAAGTGTACTCCCTATCTTGGCTATACGGGTGCTCCACCGGGCAATCCGCACGCACCGGCACCGCTCTTCCACAATCCGGGGCTCCACGACCGCAATATCTTCCCCACTCAATCCCGCACCGATGGAGCCGATTCATCAGGCCATGCCATTCATTGATCAAAAATCCGGTCCAAGGCTCCAAGCAGCGGGGTTTGATGTTTGCTGCAGGCTAAGGGTCTTGTAGCGCAGCGCACTATACCAGGCATTCCCATTTCCCGGCGGGAGGTTCTTGTCCGGCTCTACTTAGAGCCCTGTTAACGACCGGCATGCGGGTCAAATATCGCCGTCATTTCTTTTAGCCCTGGAGGATCTATTGCCTGGATACCGATTGGTTGTTCGGTATATTGCCAATATACGGCCATGTCATCGGCTCGGGGTCGGATGAGGCTTTTTCTCGCACTCTCGGCTGCCTGGTCTGTCTGGCGGGCTATAAATTGATTGTCTTGTCCTGACACTGGGAGCTCTTCATAGCTGTCTCTTTCGGATTGTCTTGCGGAACATTTTCAAAGAGGGGTACCATGGCGCGCATCATGCACCTTGCCGTGCTGCTTCTTTCCAGCATCGGACTGCTGGCTGCTGCCCAGAATCAGTCCGACTCTGACTGGCCTCTGCACGACAACGGTCTGAACACCGCCGTGCAATGGGACCACTACAGTTTCCACGTCCACGGACAGCGCATCTTCATCTTCTCCGGCGAGTTCCACTACTGGCGTATTCCCGTCCCCGAGCTCTGGCGTGACATCCTCGAGAAGGTCAAGGCCACCGGCTTCACCGCATTTGCCTTCTACTCTAGCTGGGCGTACCATGCGCCGAACAACCACACGGTGGACTTCCACACCGGTGCGCGCGATATCACGCCCATCTTCGAGCTCGCCAAGGAACTGGGCATGTATATGATCGTGCGGCCCGGGCCGTATGTCAATGCGGAGGCCAGTGCCGGTGGCTTTCCCTTGTGGGCGACCACCGGTGCGTATGGGTCGATGCGCAATGACGACCCCAGGTATACTGCGGCCTGGAAGCCGTACTTTGAGAAGATGTCGCAGATCACCAGCCAGTACCAGCTCACCGATGGGCAGAATACTTTCTGCTATCAGATCGAGAACGAATATGGTCAGCAGTGGATTGGGGACCCCCATGATAGGAACCCTAACAAGACTGCGGTCGCCTACATGGAGCTGCTTGAGGAGAGTGCCCGTGAGAATGGTATCGTCGTGCCGCTGACGGCCAACGATCCGAACCTGAACACCCGCTCTTGGGGCAACGACTGGTCCAACGCTGGAGGAAATGTTGACGTTCCCGGAGTGGATTCGTATCCCTCGGTGAGTTATCTGATCCAAATCATATTCGGTTATACTAGATACTGATATGTTCAGTGCTGGACTTGTGATGTCTCTCAATGCACCTCCACCAACGGAGAGTACGTGCCTTACAAAGTGATTCCATACTACGACTACTTCCAGGAGGTCCAGCCCTCGATGCCTGCCTTCATGCCCGAATTCCAGGGCGGTTCTTACAACCCCTGGGCCGGCCCCGAAGGTGGATGTCCCGAGGATACCGGAGCGGACTTTGCCAACCTGTTCTATCGGTGGAACATCGCCCAGCGCGTGACCGCCATGAGCTTGTACATGGTCTTTGGCGGAACCAACTGGGGCTCGTTGGCTGCCCCGGTCACAGCCACCAGCTACGACTACTCCTCCCCGATCGCCGAAGACCGCTCGATCGGTGACAAGTACTACGAGACCAAGCTGCTTTCCCTGTTCACCCGTAGCGCCAAGGATCTCACCATGACCGACCTCATCGGCAACGGCACCAAGTACACCGACAATGCTGCCGTCAGCGCGTACGAACTCCGGAACCCCGAGACCAACGGTGCCTTCTACGTCACCATCCACAAGGACACCACCGTCGGCTCGGACGAGTCCTTCAAGCTCCACGTGAACACCTCCGCCGGCGCGCTGACGATCCCCAGCGAGGGGGGCAAGATCCGTCTGAACGGCCACCAGTCCAAGATTATCGTGACTGACTTTGCCTTCGGCTCTAAGACCCTCCTGTACTCCACCGCCGAGGTGTTGACCTACGCGGTCATCGACGACCAGCCTACTTTGGTGCTTTGGGTCCCGAAGGGAGAATCCGGCGAGTTCGCTGTCAAGGGCACTAAGTCTGGCAAGGTGGCGAGCTGCAACGGCTGCTCCAGTGTCAAGTTCAACGGAAAGAAGGACCACGTTGTTGTCGGGTTCACTCAGGCCAAGGGGATGAGCGTGTATCAGCTGGACGATGTCCGTGTCGTTGTTCTCGACCGGTCGTCCGCTTATCATTTCTGGGCTCCTACTTTGACTGATGATCCTATTGCTCCGGAGGATGAACTAGGTATGTTTCCGTATCCGAGAGAAACGACTGATTGCTAATATTTTATTAGTCCTGGTGGAAGGCCCCTACCTCGTCCGTGCAGCCAGCGTCGATGGATCTACCCTTGCTCTCCGAGGTGACTCTACCGACAAGACCAGTCTGGAGGTTTTCGCTCCTAAGAGCGTCAAGACCATCACCTGGAACGGCAAGCAGGTCAAGTCCTCCGAGACCTCCTACGGCAGCCTCAAGGCCACGCTCGCCGCGCCACCCTCAATTAAGCTGCCTTCTTTCGGCTCGTGGCGGTCGAACGACAGCTTGCCGGAGCGCTTGGAGTCGTACGATGACTCTGGACCGGCTTGGGTTGGTAAGTACACCTCCACGGCGATTCAAGGTTCTCGCTCATCAGAATAGATGCCAACCATGAAACCACGCTGAACCCGCATCCCCCCGTCACGACTCCTGTCTTGTACGCAAACGAATACGGTATGCATCTCTAGCCTTTAGTCTCTAGTCTCATACTCATCACGTCCAGGCTTCCACAACGGCGTCCGCCTCTGGCGCGGCTACTTCAACGGAACCGCCTCCGGCGTCTTCCTGAACATCCAAGGTGGCGCTGCATTGTAAGCACCCCATCCCTCCCAACATCCACCACCATCTAACCAAATATCCAGCGGCTGGTCCGCCTATCTCAACGGCCACTTCCTCGGCTCCTACCTCGGCAACGCCACCATCGCGCAAGCCAACAAAACCCTCACCTTCGCCAACAACACGCTCCACACGCGCCCCGGCTCCCGCAACACCCTCCTCGTCATCCACGACGACACCGGCCACGACCAAACCACCGGCGTGCTCAACCCGCGCGGCATCATCGAAGCCCGCCTCCTCGGCTCCAACGCCCCAAACTTCACCCACTGGCGTCTCGCCGGTACCGCCGGCGGCGAATCGAACCTCGATCCCGTCCGCGGCGTCTACAACGAAGACGGCCTGCACGCGGAGCGCGTCGGATGGCATCTCCCTGGTTTCGACGATAGCGACTGGCCTATCACCAACCACTCCTCCTCCTCCACCTCCACCTCTAGTTCCAAATCCCTCTCTACACTCTCCTTCACCGGCGCAACAGTCCGCTTCTTCCGCACCACCATCCCCCTAAACATCCCCTCGGGTCTGGACGTCTCGATCTCCTTCCTCCTCGGCACGCCGACCGGCACAACCAAGGCCTACCGCGCGCAGCTCTTCGTCAACGGCTACCAGTACGGACGGTACTACCCGCACATCGGCAACCAGGTCGTGTACCCGGTCCCGGCGGGGATCCTGGACTACCGCGGCGAGAACACGATCGGGTTAGCGGTTTGGGCGCAGAGCGAGGACGGCGCGGCGGTTAGTGTGGATTGGAGGGTGAATTATGTGGCGGATAGTTCGTTGGATGTGGCGGGGATTGGGGAGGAGAGGTTGAGGCCGGGGTATGAGAAGGTGAGGGAGAAGTTTGCTTGATTAGCCATGAGGTTTTGAGGTGGTACCTCTGGGACTTGAGGCCTTAGGGGTCACAGTTGGGTGTGATGAATGATGTGTTAAAAATTATGTGATGGGATGGAGATGTTTTGTTTTGTTTAGGTTATTTGTTAGCGAGGGTTTTGGTATTTGATTGACTGGAATCTAGCCCGAAAAACCCCCCGGGTCTATAATAAGCAGTGTCAGTCAGAGGCTCTTTCTCATAGTAGAGGAGGAAGTGAAGCAAATTAATCAAGGTGAACACCATAGGATTCTGTGCAGCGTGTCCTTCCCGAATGTTATGTCTGTCAGTTTGTCTGTCTGCCAGATATCCATTATCTGAGTTCGTCGATCGACCCGGCTATGTGTCGACTCGACTCTCGATCGGAGTCGAGTCAGCTATACAAAGATGACAGTATAGATGGGGTAGATAGGTAACTAGGTAATTCCATACCCTGTCATTGAATAGATCAACCAATAAACCAGACTAAACTAAACAACCAGTTCACACAGCCAATCAACAGGACTATTGTACATCCATTGAACTATCAAATGCAGTTCAAAGTAAACTCCCCAGAACATTTCCAGAACTGTACGCCTCTCTCTCTCTCTCTCTCTTTCTCTCTCTTTCTCTCTCTTTCTCTCTCTTTCTCTCTCTTTCTCTCTCTTTCTCTCTCTTTCTCTCTCTCTCTGCACGTGTCTCTGCGCATCTGCACATAACAACACACAATCCAACAATGTCAACCCCTTAAACAGAAGACCCCCCAGCTTCACAAACCCCCCTCTTTCGACTGCCCTTGCGAACGCGAACAGGATCTCGAACGGTCCCGTTTCCGTTTCCTCCCTCCACTCAAACCCGGTGTCACATTCACATTCTTGATCGACGTCGACTGCGTCATGACGGGTGTTCTAGCCATGGGGACCGGGACACGCTGGGGCGTCCTCGGCATTGACATCGGTATCGACATCGGCATCATCATCATAGGGACAGGGTCAACGCCAAGACCACAAACAGGACCAGCCCCAGGGCCAGCAGAAACAGAACCAATGCCAATGCCAATGCTTGGAGCTGAGATAGCGCCATGATCTTGGGAGGGAAGGTTCGCGATTCCTAGCCCTATGCCTCCCCCTGTTCCGTCTCCTCGTGCTTCTCTTCGTCCACTGCTATCGTTACCACCGCGTACCAACGCACAATACTCGAAAGGGCCATGGAGCTGCGGGATCGCGGTCTTCCGGGTTGATGCTTCCATTTGGTCTTTGTCTGTGGGTGTGGGTGTGACTGTAGCTGTGATTGTCCGTTTTCTTCTGCGCGTAGAAGGCGAAGGACTCTCGCTATTTGTATCCGTATTCATATCCATATCCACATCTGAACTGTTACTCATATTCAGACCCTTAGTACTCATCACGGGGGTAGAAAATGTCGTTTCGTCAGGTGTCTCATACATCTGGTTCACGGGGGTCGCTGGATTGTAAGGCAAAGGTGTTAGATAACGTTCGTTGGGTGGCCCGTGAGAGCGGAAGAGGTTGCTGCCGCTGAGGCGCGGTTTTCGGGTGGTTCTTTTGGGAGAGGGGGTGGGTATTCTGGGTTGGGTTTGGTGGTTTGGCTGAGCTTGTGGTTGCTGGGACTGTAGTTGCTGTGACAGTGGGACTGGGAGTGCTTGATAGGCGAGTGTCTGTGCTTGGGCTTGGGTTTGAGCTTGAGCTCGATACATGGGTATCAAGGCCGAGAGGAACTGGTGAGAACTTCCGTATCCGAAGGGGTTCTGGGTCGATATTGGCTGGTCCTGTTGCTGCTGCTGCTGCTGCTCCGTCGGGCAACGCTGAGGAGACATCGGACTCATGCTGGTGCTCGCATTGCTAGACATCGGTCTCGACTGTAAGACGGGGGTGGTGTATCCGTATCCGAATGGGAGTATATCGCATCCGGGGGGTGCAGGTAAAGAGGTGTCAAAGACTTGGTAGGGATCACCTGCAGAGTACGAGATATTGGCCCCATTAGCCGGTACATGGTAAGTGAGATGAGGGTGAGCTATCGCTGTCGCTGCCTCTGTCATTTGGTAAGACTCGACAGGGTCCTGCAGCACGGTGCTTGCTGGCGTGGGAGTTCCCATATCAATCATCTGGACAGCTGAACATAAATCTGGTAGTATGGCGCCGTTCAAACCGTATGCGTCGAAACCGAAGAGTTTGTCGGATATCAAAGGGCCTTGCGCTTCGCTCACAGATACAGGCATGTGGTTGTTGTCCTGCAACTGTATCCAGTCGGTGGCCGGAGAGGAGGCAGTCTCGGGGAAAGAGGTGTTCCAGGTGTTGTTGGTTTGGCATAGAGATAGCGATGTCTAGTTTAGTTAGTAGCTGCCTTGTATACCATGCCAATGACTCCCAGGGAAGGGTTTCAGACTTACGGCACTCGTCGAACACCCATAAATCTCGTCCCCATCACACGCAGTCATCTTCAAGGCGCCCTGCTCCCCCACCGCCGGCATCAACCCCAACATAGTCGACGCCGAATAAAACGCACTCCCCGGCTCCCTCCACCCCTTCAGCGGCCAAAACAGCGTCTTCAAATTCTCCAAATCAAACCTCTTCGCCAACGCAAACTCCAAATCAAACATCAACCCGGGACTCGTCGGAACCGACATCTCCTCGCGCGCCGCCAGCGCCACCTCCAGCTCCAAGCTCTCAATACAGTAATCCTTCTGGGTATACTTCGCTTTATCTTCCCCCGGTTGGCCCCAGCGCTTATGGTCCCCGCGCGCGTAGAACCCCGCGACTCGAGCCAGGAAGTCGTTGTCGTAGCAGGAGACGTCCAGGATACATTCCATGTGCTCGACGGTGAGGATGGCGGATCGGACGCGTGAGACTCGCTCCCATTGGGGGTGGTCGGGGCCTTGCTTGCAGAGGTAGCAGGGGTAGTCGACGAGCGCGGTGGTGGTGGTTTCTTCTTCGTGCGTGGTGCAGCCGTCGAAGGGGCATTTTAGACTCGTGAGGATGAGGTGGCTGCAGGTGTGCCAGAAGATGATCAGTTGGCACATCGTGACTAGGGATTGAGAGGATGGAAATAGGGGTCAAGGATAGACAGCTCGACGATAGGTGAGCGAGAGGGGGGAATAGTAGAGGTAAGAACTGTTGTCAACGGTCATGTATAGATGTGTTTCGTGAAAGGAAAGGTGGGAGGGGGGTTAAAAAGAGAGAAGCATTCATTCACTGCCATGGCTTCTACTCTGTCAAGGCAAGGCAATAATGGAAATGAGCAGGCCCAGTGGAAGCACCGGCATCAGGAACTGTCACTGGTACAATGCCTAGCGATTGATTGGGTGACCCGCTGATACAACACTTGCCTAATCGGGGCATCGTGACGCTCAAGCTGCCAACATTGCAGTGAATTCAAGGCATCCATTGGTTATCTTCTGAGTGCCTAAACTGATGGAAATTTCATATCAAAGGGATTGACCGGACAGAGATATGGTGAGGTCTGGTCCTATGAGAGTTTTTGAGGACTTTGTGTGGACTAGGCTTATGGAATATTTGAGGCTGGCAAGAGTACTTGTTCATTTTTGTGATAGACTTCACTTTGAATTGTAGTTCTCTTGAAATTATGTACTGAATCATCCTTTAGTCATGAGCTCTTGACAGAATAAGCATCTATAAAATAAAAGAGTCAATCCAACTTCGTCCATCAGACAGCCACTCAAAGTCACCTCTACGGAAACAAGAGAGACCCTCTAGATTAGCCATGAATACTGTCGCTTATCTACCAAGCACAACTGTACCAGCTAAGTCTCCAGCATGTTTCCCTAATCTAAACATGACCGCTACCGATTTAACAACCACACAAATCGACCATCTCTCCAAAAGCATACCAGCTGACCGCTCCGACCCCGATAAGCTTAAACGCCTCGGTCTGGAACAAACCGGCTAATCTTGCAGAAGCGCCGGAGGACACGCAATCGACGCGACCTTTTCATGCTTTCATGCAAGGACTCGGTGTAGATCCGTGGCTTCTGGATGAGACACGATGCTATAAATATCGCGTACGAGTCAGAGTCCGTTGAATCCGGATGCTCAATGGAGGAGTGTTTTTGTTTCTACCGGATTGTGGATGTGTTCAGGCATATTTATTATCGCGATATAGCTTCCATTTACACCGTACCCCATAATTCTTCATATTCTCACGAGTGGGGCAGGCTTAGACCAGGGTGGAATCCTTCCAGATACTCCGGAAAGTACGTGACTCGACCCCGCTTGGTGGCTTTCCGCTTGCAGCGACCTGCAGAAACGCCGCCAGCCCATTTTCTCGGGGCAACGCCAATCGGAGTCCGAGGCTATCGCTGATGGTGGGTTGACTGTAGGTATACAACACTTTCGCTGGTCGTTTTGACCTGAGTTCTCAGATCTACAATAGTCCAAGCAATAAGTATACATTCCAGATAGGGGATCTGGAACTAAGCTGCGTTGATATACCCTCTACGTCAGGTCACGTCAGGTCAACCAATAATTATGTCTTTGTTTTTGCTGGAATGTCTTGTTGCTATTCGTAGGAGATTAAGGTAGTACGAGAGGGGAATCCGGGCGCTTTGTTTGCCCACTAACTAACTTAACCCCGAGGTCTGTCATCATTCCATGTGTTGTCCAAGACTCGAATGCGGGGATTGCATAGCGGATTCTGTGATTGAGGGTTTCGTTTCTTGGTCTTGCTGGTTTACGACATGGGACAATGTCGGTTCCTGGGTGGGATAATTCAGCGATAGGTTTCATCGAGCACGTGCATCGCACCTATTTAGATGTTCAACCCCTGTACAGTGCCCACTGTGTACATACTGTACACACTACAGTACAAAGTGCAGGGTCCTTATGATGATAGCTGCCATCCGGACGACAACGGCATAACCCCTCGCCTCGCTATCTCGGCGCCTGTACTCCACATTTTGGTTACCCCGGATATGGGCGCGCAATGGTATCCTATACCGACTGTCTTGACGTGACTCGTTCTTCCCCTCCCCTTTCTTCTATATCCAGTTTAGTCTGGCTTGGCCATGACCAGGATTATCATCGGTGATCAGTGATCAGTGATCCCTGATCACCCTTTTACTTTGGTTCCTGGTCATCCGGACCTGACCTTTAATTAATTGTTGATTACTCTGTAGGCCCCTGTACGGAATCCGATGGGAGGAGAAGAGGGGAGTACATACACCGTAGGTAGTGGTCTCTTTATTTTAATTAAATTAACCGCGGAGATTGGTTTAATCAACACCTGATGAACTAATTTCCTCTGAGCCTGGTACCTAACTAACTAGCCAGTACGGTGTATGGAGTAACTGGCCAGTTAATTTTTTGGACCGTGAGCTAGAACTTCGAACAGATTAACTGAGATTTGTAAAAATCATAGTCAAAACACCATGCTCGTCGACCGGGAGTCCGGGGTTCCTGAATAATTGGCTTGAGATTTGATCATTGAAAGGGGAAGAAGGAAGAGGGGACGTGCGATCGTTTTTTATTTTATTTCGCTCTCTGCTGCGTAGGTACCTAGGCCCAGGGTCGCATTCTCTCTGGCGTTCCTTTAGAAAACATTAATCATAACCTAACCCAGGGTGGTGTTTAATGTGGTCGACCTCCTGATGATCGTCATCTCGGGGAACCTGTAATTGGTACCTGTAGATATCAATATCATCCAAGAGAGACATAATCATCGAATGAGTGTCTCCATGACATTGTTCATCTACGGAGGCCCGTAGACATGACGACAAGGGGCGGAGGACGACAGAAGGGGGCAATCCTATCTAGTCTGATTAGTACTCGTTTTCGGAGATGCAAGATGCAACCATACTATCTTCGAGGAGGGCTGTCGCATCGTTGTCGGAGTAGATTCGCTCGTGCTAGAAGTACATTGACACGCTACAATTCCATCTCTGCTGACGACGCGTTGACAACGCGATCGTGCAGAGGCCGGAGGAGTTAGCGAGCGGGTGGATTCATTTAAGCTCCGTCCTCCCCTTTGGAGGCGTTTGGATGCATATCACCGTTGGCGACGTCTCTCTCTCTCTCTCTACCTAGACATCAGAGATCAATCAACATGAATCTGACTTTTTCGGTAGATTAAAAAAGCCTACTATACTACCTACTAGTCTACTTGAAGCAGAACGTAAAAAAGAAGGATAGTGACGATAATGGAGGTATGGCGAAGGCCGGGTTCGACGGCGGACTCAGAATACCGATGTCAAAACCGGAAGTCCTAACCACTAGACTATAGAACCTGAATCCCAACGTTTAATAATACTCATCGACCGACAAAAGCTTAACAGGAGCCTATGGCTGACGACCACTTTGGGCTACATCTCGGGTCTTTTCACGCAACACCTATCTTACTAATATAACCTCATACTTCACAACTGCTTTAGGGATTAGGCGTTAATTTTGGATTAGACTAGGGATTTCTCCCAGTCTATAGATTCATCAATCACTGTTCAAACGGTTGATAAAATGCCTAACAATGAATCGAACCGTTTTTTATTTATCATTATTATTATAGCCACACTAGTTTACCCCTCGTATCTACTCCGGACCGCAATTGCTCTCTTTTGTTCTAATTTACCCACCGACGGCCGTCTTGGAGGGCTCCATTCTCCATGCTAAACACTATTTGTGGAGCCCTGGAGCCATGTAGATGATGTTCGGGTGAGCATCTCCGCACCGTATGATACTTTTCCAGTCACAGTGTCCACTACGCAACTTGTTACGGAGTTTAATAGGAGGGGGATTCGATTACCTCCGAAGTAGGTATCTATTATTTAGGGGTGATGTCATATTTGATTGGTATTTCTCGCGGTGAGAAAACTCAGTACAGTGTATAGTGTAGTTAGACATCGAGAGAAATAAGGGGAAAAAATTCTATCGCACTCGCCAGACCCAATTTATGTATGTACATACAGTTGTACGCTCAATCCTGAGTATATTCCTACGGTGTATATTCGCGACTCGCTTGCCCTCTACCCGTCCCCGCTTCCCTACCGTGTAGTAGACTAGTATTCCTTAGTAGTATCAACTTCCCACTGTGGATAACCAGGAATGAGAAGCCATGAGAATCTATTGGCCATCCCCCCGCCGGGAAGCATCCATTCTTCCTCCTCCCGTCGAATGAACATGTTTCCGACTTGAATTCGGCCCCTTGTGCTAGACTGCTAGGCCCCTAGTCTCTGGTACAGTACACAGAGTACTCCGGTTGACCCCGGTGATTTTGTTAGTACAGTGGGCCCTACTAGGATTACGATCCTTCGAATTCTGCCAATATTAAAATTGAAGCTATTCTCAAGCGAGCTAGCTAGTATTTTGTGTGGCCATCCTCTGCCTCTATCACAGCCTGACACCTTGTCTGCATAGATTCAATAAGGCCCCTTAGAAAGTCCTCAGGCACTGCATTCCATGAAGCCCGTACAACCTTTCGTAGCGAATCATAAGATAGCTGATAATTATCAGGATATCGCTCTTGAATCCAGTCTTTCATCCAATTCCACACCATTTCAATTGGATTAAGATCTGGTGAGAAGGCAGGCCATGAAATAGGATAGATCTTTCGCTCATTCAGCTCACGAAGAGTATTTTGACTAGCATGGCCTGATGCACCATCTTGCATAAGCTGAACTGGATTATCTTGTTGCCGAAGTAGACGAATATAGCCATCAATAATAGGTACAATCCGCTCAGAATATTTCTCTGAATCGATATAGCCCCATTTCTTTTCTCAAAAAAGACATGGACCTTTATAAAAGGCATGAAAGGATCCCCAAAACATCCAGCCACGCTTTTTTAAAGGAGAAGTGCGTAAACAGGTCTCATCAAGCTCTTCATCTGTCTTTCTTGTCACATAGCATCGTTTATGAAAGCCTGAAGTAACCCAAGTCTCATTAAACCAAAGAATTCGATTTCATTGTTCAATTGTCCAATTCACATGCTCAAGGGCCCAAGCTAAACGTACGCGCTTATTCTGATCTGATAGAGGTGGCTTTCGGAGGGCTTTGCATCGTGTATAACCTCGTTTTTTAAGTGCTCGAGATAGGGCTGTTGTTCCAACAGGAAGGCTTAATTCTTGAACAACTTTGTAATAAGGCATGCGTCGATTTCACTTAGATAAAGATATAAATTCAATAATATGATCAACATCTTCTTCGGATAGCTTAGGTCTCTGTCCACGTGCTTTTTTAGGAGTAGCTTGATGAGATTGACATGTATATTGGACCTGCCGATAGGTCATTTGAAGCTGTGAGGTAATCTGTTGATACGTAAGTCCAGCATCCCGTAGGGCTAGGACTCGAATTCGATCATCTCGTTGAAGGCGTGCGGAATTCTGCCTTGATTCAGGCACTTCAGGGGGCTCAGGTGTAGTAGGCATTGTAGAAAGAGTCTATATAGACTAGATATTCATAGGTAGAGGTCTTTAGGATTGAGCCACCAAGAGGTTTCATTAGCTTCATTCTAAAACTAATTAGGAAGGCGGTGCTTGAAGGATTTTGACCGCTTTGAAGGATTGTAATCCTAGTAGGGCCTACTGTACTAACAAAATCACCGGGGTCAACCGGAGTACGTTGATGTCCCGTGCCGTCTTGAATTGAACTATCTACCAGGTGCATGTTCCGTACGGATACTATGGACCTCTTGCGTGGTTTTAGTCTTTACCTACAGAGAGACGTACATATGCATTATTACGCAGCGGTGGGTGATAACTAACTGCGGTGTACATCGGAGTACTGAACGGTTAATATCTATTATCTATTATCTATTATCCACGGACTGCTCATGGGCATGCTCGGGTTGTTGGAATGGAATGGACTGCCCCGCTCTGATAAGACAGGATTGGAAATGGCAACACAGATCATTATTCTCGGTCGATTGTCTGCTATCTTCAACCCATCTTCAGCGCCAACACATGTTACGAAGTCAGCTCTGCCGTAGGAAGAGAAATGGTCAATCGTTGGATAGATAATGAGTTAGTGGTCAACTAGTCACCGCGATACTAGGATAACCCCCCAAATGACCGAAACCTGAACTCTGACCTCTGACCTCCGACAGCGATAATCACAGAAAATTAATGAAGAAAAAATCTTCTCATCTTCCGTGAACGGCAAGTAGTGGAGATCACTACGAAGAAAAAACACGGTTCAAGAGTCAAGACGTCTGAAACTTGATCGATGATGTGCGCCCGCCACTGACTGACTGACTGATCAAGCCAAGCAAGTGACGCGGGTTGTTGGAAGGGTAGCTAAAGGCAGTGCTGGAAATTGGCGACGTTGCTTTTGTCGATCACGCGGGAACTCCTCCTTACATGGATCTGCGCCGGTTGCATCAGATTTGCTCATGGCTTACTTACTCCGTGCGGTGTTAACTGTTAGGCCGGCCGCGGGTACAAGTAAGGATGAGGTTTTCATGGGATGAGCAATTGCCTTATCTGATGGCGAAATCGGTGGATTCGAAGGAAGTGGATTCCATTGTGTATATTGGATTAATGTTGGGATTTAAGAAAGAGAATATCTAGCACGGTGCTCCGTTCTCGGTGCTGAATCGCACTGAATGGCATTGTGGTGCAATGATAAGAGTGCTGCTCAACAACCCCGATTCCTTTGGGGTTGGAAAGGGAGAAAAAGAAAAGTGGGCCGGCGAGTCGAGTTGTCCCGCATGCGTCCTCCACCCACACTAACAGTACGGAGGACAGGATCACGGATTATACGAAGTCCCGTAAATTTTTCTCATTCCACCTACAAAGTAAACATACTTTCTCCTACAGCAGAGAAAACAGTCCAACACAAAGAACGGAGAAGAATGTTACGAGCGGCTCTTCCAGTGACTCGAGCACACCGAGTCAACATAGAAAATCGCGCGGGCTGAAAGTTTAAATCCCGTGGCGAAGCTATTGAATCTTCCTTCGAAGCTCTCCTCGCTTCTCCCCGTTGCCGGCTCCGCTTGGGGACCTTGACAATGAAACTGTTCGTCTTGGAAGTTATGATGGATATCGGTAGGGAGCGTAACCATGGCTCTGTTCTGTCCTGCTCTTGCTCTTTCTGATCTGCTCTGGAATTTTCGCTGGTAGAGTGGGTCGTCGGTCATTGTAATCTTGGTCGCGAGTGTGGAGTAGAGGATGTTCGATGTCGAGAATATATAACTACGGGATATCTTGGACTCTGGGGGATGGACGAGCTGAGTTATTTTCGATCGCAGATAGCCCAAGTATGTGCGAGTCCTCGAACAAGCAAGATGGACGATATTGCATGACATTCAAGTCAACCATCACTGGCCAGACGTGCATACTGCATACCGTTGGCTTCTTTCGGTGTTGACTCCTCATTGCCTTCTCCATAACACCCTGCCATACTCGCCAACTCAGACGTGAAGTTATACTACCGTTTCAACATCCCGCGCGCATGAATCCCTGCGGACCGATTGGGAATTACTTCTCCCGACGATAGCAATGGCGTGCGATCAGTTCGCATTGGGATAGCTGACACCATGTACTCCAGTGTCCACGATTGCAGTTGCATCCTTATACGTAAAACCCGGCCCTGCAGGGTCATTGACTTATTGGTCGCGAGCTTGACTCAAGGTTAGACCGTTAACGCCTACCTAGGTAGAGGGTAGACCGGTAGAGCCAATCCACGGTACGCAGTAGGAGGAGATGCCCGTCCTTGGCCGCTGTCCGCTGTATTTTTTGTCTTTCTTTGGTACTCCGTACACAAACTGTGGGTTATTCGATTAGGCTCGGTGGGACGCCCTGCCCCATGGCCCATGGTACTTGATCGCGGGAATTTCCCACCGGTTGAGAAAGATTGGGATGCCATGACTCGGACCATGTTTGAAAGTTGAGCGGTCCCTCCCCGGTACCTGAAAACGCGGAAACGAAACCACGGGGGCGACAGCCAACAGTACGGAGTACTAGAGTACAGGATCAGTCGGTCGGGTCCATCGTAGATCAAACTATCATCCAGGTGATCTATCAGACAATTATGTGAATGGAAGCGAAAGGAGTGCATGGATGACAAGAATCTGGGGAACAGGATCCTGGCATGGAACAGGGGACGGATGAGCCTCCCGCAGACTCGGCACATCACGAACGATTCGCATCCTCTGATCCGCTCCAAATCGATATTAGATAGTATCCAGTAGATAGTTCCTACTTACTCCGTTAGTCCGTAGTGACCAGCCGATGGGCTCCTAAAATGCTAGGCCACCCTTTTTCCCTTTTCTCATCTCACTACCCCCTACACTTAGCTCTCTCCAGGCGGTTTCTCCGAGCTTCCGTGCGTTGGGTCTCGGACGCGAGTCCCATTCAGCCAGGATGGCGTTACAGCTAAGAGTTTTAGCGTCTGCTCACCTTCGCTAGAAATTAAATGGTTCCAGAGGCTGTGGCCTAATGCATCCAGCACGTTCTCGTCGTGCTGCTCCTAATGCTATCTTGCCCTGTTTTCCCTGATTTGTTGTATCCTCCGAGGATTTTTTTTTCTATTTCCTTTCTTCCTAGTCAAGAAATAGGAGATATCAGTATCACGTTGACCATGAGTAACTTTTCCTGAGGATGGTTACTCCGTAGTGCCTGGATGTATCCATGGATCTCCGACGTCCTTGCTCATTCCAACAAAGAAAGCTCCCCTCCTGCTACCCCACAGAAAATATCAATCGATCCAAGAGACACGATGATACCGATTCCAGATTCCAGATTTCAGACATCACCCCGTTGCTCTCCGTAGATCGAGGACGAAGGTCACTTGTAACCGTGCCTGTGGAATCAGCATCGGTCGCAGCGTCTGACTAGCGACGGAGGACATTCCACGGAGGGACTTTTTCGCTGTTCTGCGACCCGCTCCGGTCAGGTCACGTCGTCCCTGGAGAAGAGGTACCGTACCTGACTGTACGGTACCTCCGGCAGCTCGGCGTGATTGGTATTATTACACGGGGGAACGTCTTTCGTGCTGGGTAAATCAGGATAGATACGGGGATTTACCATACTGAGACCACCGGAGAGACATGGACATACCGTACAGTACGGCCCCAGAGGAACCTTCTACTCCGTAAGTGTCTTAGCCATGAATAGATGGTTGGCTGATGGTCCCCTCCTACTATTATTATTCTGAGGAGACGGAGATCCAGGAGAATGCGCATCCTCCGTAGTCTGTATGGGCCAATATCACCATGGCAGGCACATCCAGGAATTGGGGAAGCAATGCATTTACACCGTACTCATACAGCAAAGTTTCCGGCATGACTTGCAGATGCAATAATAGTAATCGTGGAATAATATTAATCAGGTATTAATTCCATCAGAAGAATCATAATAATAATAACGTAGTTAAGGCACTGCTCAACGCTGGACATTTCGGATCGTCTAAATCGTCTGCTGTCCACCAGAGAAATCCCACCCCCTCTTAAGGATAATTCGATTGATTATTCATAATCATCTTTATGACTGTTATTTGCCTAGTTGATTTTTTCCCCTCGTGGAATCCGAGCTTTCTCCCCCAGACCTTTTGAATCGTTCTGGTGTGCCTTACCGGGTGGTGTTTTTGGATTCGACTTTTGGAAATTTTCTTCACTTAACACCTTTACATTTTCTGCTGCCCAAAATTAACGGCCAAAGGAACCTTTCAACGAATTTACTGAGAAGAGAAGCAAAATAAAAAAAAAGGTGGCCATTTGGTTGTGGCCGCTTCCTTCTCTCGCGGTTCTCTGATCCGTCAGTCTCCGCCTGTCAGTCTCCCCTAAAGTGACTAGCATCCATTCCGCCCATCCTCACCTCTCACACCCCCCCATTATCTCCCTATTCCCTTTTCCTTCCTTTCCTTCCACGCCTTCAACCCCTCTTGCTCTTTTTCCCCTTGTTTCTTCTCTTCCTTTTTTTCTCGCTCACCTCCCCCCGTCCATCTCATCCCATCTCTCCGGTCCAGTGAACGGCCTATCTTCTGCTTGTCCCAGAAGATAAGGTGCCATTCCAAGGATCTGGTAATCTCCTTTTTCTTTTTCCCTTCCATCTGTTCACTTCGGCTTTCTATCTTCACTTTTCTTCCTCTTTTTTTTTTTCTTACTATTTTTTCTTTTTCTCTTTTGCGCCTTCTCCCCCGCTCTCTTTTCTTTTCTCTTTTTCGCCCAAAAATCAAAACTCATTTGTACATGGCTCGACCGCTCTAGAAAGCATTCGCCATCTTGGAGCCCTGTGTTCCTGACGCCTCACCCCCGTCGCCAGCTCCCCTTCGATCCTCGTCCGATCCGAGCCCTTCGTTCAGTCTTCGACAGCATTCGTTTCGCATCAACTCTAGCGTCAATTTTTTTTTCTCTTCTCTTTTCTTTTTTAATCGGTGTATCTGTATAATCTACCTTTCTTTTGCATTTATTAGAACAGGTACGGCCAACACATTTCCCCTCCCCTGGAAACGTTCCCTTGGAACAACCGACGGTTGTCGATCGTTGAACCAATCTTGGAAGTGCGTCGCTCTTCTTGTGCAATCCTAACTAACAACCGTGTGGCACAGGATCTCCGTTTTATTCCTTTCCATCGTCTTTCTCCCTTCTTCCTTCTCCTCTCGAGTTACTCTTGACAACTAGACGTTATCTCTTTCTCCCACCTCCCCTGGCCTGGGTCCTGCGAACTTCAGTGAGTGCACCTGTCGAGATCGTTGTCCTGCAGACGTCGCTACTTGACGCGTCCGACCCTCCTCTGTTCGGATTTTGGAGAATAGCATCATGGCTGCGTTGGTCCAGACGATTCCGCAACAAAGTGGCACGGTTCCTGTGCTTTCAACTCGTCCATCATCCTCTTCGGGCACCTTCACACCCTCATCTCAAAACTCGCAACAGCAAAACGCTAGGAATTCGACCATGTCTTGGAACACATACAACACGGGCGGTTCGGGCAGCTACAGGGCAGGCCACCAGGTTGTGGCCCCCTACGCTTTCACCAGCACGCCCAACCTGTCCGGCTCCGCCAATGTGCAGAACCGTCAGTCGTGGTCCCCTCATCTGAGACCGGAGCACCGAACTACGTCCGCCCCGTCCGCTCCTCAGCTATCTCCTAGTCTTCCTCCTACTCTCCCTCCTATCAATGTCAACTCGCGGTCGGCCAATCACCTTGCAGCTGGTTCTGTATCCACCTCTTCCTCCAATTCTTCCGTACAATCCTACGTCTCAAAAGACGACACGGCCATCCCTTCTTCGAGGCAGTTGCGGACTGAACCCCCTCTCCGTCCCCTATCGACCGTCAATCTGCCGTCTCCTTCGTCGTCTTTCATGAACATATCTTCTCCTACCGTCCGCCCGTCCCCTGATCGTTACCGTCGAGGATCCCGGCGTCCGGATAGCGTAGTTGGTACGCCACCTGCCACTACAACGACGAATGCTTCGGGCCCGTCACGATCTCCGTCAGGAACCCCGGATGAGAACTCCTTACAGGCACCGCCCAGGAATCTGGGCCACCATCGGGGCTCCAGTGCCGATGATACGTCGCGTGGGGAGAAGTCACAACCGGAATTGGCTAAGAGATACAGGCGACGAAGTTGGGGGAATATGGATAATGCCGGCCTCATCAATTTAGAGCTTCATCTGCCGACTTCCTCGCCGACCCCATCGGCCGGCGGTACTGACTATTTTGACACAAACCACCGGCCTCGATCGGCTCAATCTCATCGCGATGTTACGACGAGCGTTCATTCAGCTCATTCCTCGACCTCTTCGGTAAGTGCCATCGCATGGCCATTAACTCAAAACAAGATCTTTCGCCAACTGACTGCCACCAGGTTCCTGAACCCGGAAACACAGAGTCCGCATCTTCGTCCGGCAAGGGTGCCGCCAAACCGGAAGACTCTAAACGGGCTCCAAAGCCGTCGCCGCTATCAAAGCCTATTGATGCTGATCCAACGCCCGTGGCATCGCCCAATCAGCCGGAAAGCAAAGACAAACCCGCCCCGCCAAAGGAGAGTGCCGCTACCCAGCGATTGGCCGAACTGTCCAAGAACGACCTGAGACGGCCAGGAAAATCCCGGCTGAGAAGAGCTTTCTCCTTTGGTAGCGCCTCGGAGCTAATGAAGGCGTCTGCTCAGACTAGTGCGGGCAAAAAGGAGGCCATGGCCCTTGAGAAAGCTCGCAGGGAATTACTTCAGGAAGAACTTGGCCCAGAGCAGGCCGCTATCGCGGAACAGCAGGAAGCTAGTGGCTTGGGAGAGAGCATCTACTCGCATCACCAAGGCCGATTCTTCAATAGCTCCACGGATAACATTTCCGTCTCTTCCACGGCGTCCTCTGCCTCGATTATGCTTCGCAAGATGGGCAAGGGAATGAAACGCTCGACTAGATCTCTCGTTGGACTGTTCCGCCCCAAGTCCGTTATCAGCACATCGTCGACGGACGCCGGCGCCATCGAACCAATGGCGCCTCAACTGTCCGTTGTCAACATCGAAGCGGAAAGGAAAAGCGTAACTGTGAACCCGGACCCGCAAGATCTTCCTCGTGGCGGCACCGTGTTTCCTAAAGTTGAACCGACTGCCCCGGAGGTGTCGGTCCCCGATGACGGTGGTGACAAAACCCAGTCGCGGAAGAGTATCGTCGGGGGAGACAGGGAGCGAGCCGAGGTCCTGGCCGCTGTTCGCAAAGGCATTTTGAAAAGTAAGTCATCCCCGGCAACATCGGTCTTCCATAAGTAATCCGACTGACTTCGTCCGCTCGTATAGAAACCCATTCCGACCCAACGGCCAGCAAGCCATCGGGAGGCTCCCAGACCGTTAGCAGCAACGACACTCCCCACTCTAGTGCTCCCAGCACCCCCGAGGACCAGACGCGATCCGGCAGTCGCCGCCCTGAAACGGTCAGGATTGCCGGTGACGACGACTTCATCTCGGTGGGGCGGTTTGGCGACAGCAAGAGTGCTCCCATCACTCCGCAGGCTGTAGCTCCCAAGAGCCTGGTGTTCAGCCCTCGTATCCAGTTTCATGACACGTGGCCCAGCGGGGAGTACGACCGTCGGGGAGACATTGCCACCTGCAACCGACTGACACCGCTCCTTGCCCAGCAGATCAAAGAGGAGCTCAACAATTTCAAAATGGTATGCCTTTCCAGATCGTTCTATATGACCCCGTGTTCTGTGCTGACCCCGCCAATAGGAGATGGAAGTTCACGAGACCTCCAAAGTTTATACCCATTTCCTCTGAACCATTGCATTCTGAAAGGCGTTTTTCCATCCCAGTTTCCGGGCGAACTTGCATGTCATTTATTCTCTGGACGGCTGTTGGATCTATGACTTGTGCGGTGTCCCCGACCTTGGAGTTGTCCACCTCATAGTAGACCTGCTTTCTCTTTTTAGAGCCACGTTTTGGTTGCGCCTTCAGCTCTCCATCAGTGCCCTGCACCTTCGACACTCGAACTTCTCCACCGTTTCTCCAATTATTGCAGAATCGCGGCCACTCGTTCCATCAGCACATCTTCTCTAGGGTTTCACGGCGTTAATGGCGATGACCACCGAAGTCCGTTGCGGGGTTTATCTTTTTCGATTTTAATGCGTTGAGATTTAATGCGAATTTCACCACCGAACGAAGAACAAAAAAGGGATCGAATATTGGAGTCCACCCCCCTGACCGTCCGCGATCCTATGGCTTCGATCTACTTTTTTGCATCCTGAGATAGGGCACCGATCTTGTGCGAGTGTTCCTCCTTTCGTCCCTCTCCCCGGGACCCGATCATGTTTATGGCATTCTTTCCTCTCCTTTTTTTTAATTCCCTTTTACTTCCCCCTCCTCTTTCTGGGTCTTCCCCGTTTACATAGCATCCCAGCCATTTTGTGTTTATTGTTTTTGCTTCTCTCTTGCTTCCCTTCTTTTTCTTTTTTGACAGCGTGGAAATTGGGCACCATCTCCTGGACACTTATCTCAGGGTCTTTTCTTTTTGTGATTAATTCTGCAGTACTGGTTCTGATTTTGTTTTTTAATGCGTTTCATTGTGGAGGGTTCCACCGTACAGCAAACAGGAACTGGGACGTTGCCATTCAAGCCTCGTCCCGTTATTACTCATTGCCTGGGCAGTTAATGCGACCAACATTTGAAGGCCTTTTTTCTTTTCTTCTCGTGTACCTTGTATTTGAATTGAACAGTATTCAGACATTTGACGGGACAATGTTCGTCATGCACATCGTTGAGGTAGGGGAAATGCTCCGAGGATAAGACTTCTGGGAGTCCGTAGATCAAGTCTTAAACTTGCCAATTTATGCTTGGGCTGTGCTTGGGCTTTCTATCGTGCAGGAGTCCCGATTACACACCTTCACACCTATGGAATCAATGACAAGGAGGCGCTGCCGCCTCTAAAAGCGTTAGCTCTCGGGGGTCTTTCCCCGTCCCTTCTACACCGTCTCATCATTGCATCTCTCCAGGGACGAGGAATGGAATGATCGTCCCGTCCAGTCCGCAACCCCACGCCATTCTCTCCACATCTTCCAATCCTCTTTCGTCTGGTTTCGGCTTCCCCGCGATCCCTTTCCCCGCCCCCGACATCTCCATTGGCTTCTCCAGTCACTACGTTGCTTGCTTTGTCGGATTTCTTCCGACCTGGGGCTTCATGGCTCACTTCCCTGCTGCCTTTTTATCCCCCAGGGAATCCGACTTCTCGAGTCCCGGACGGTGGCAGCACTTTTTCTTCCCTTCTCTTTCTGACCTTCTTTCCCCTACTCCTGGCTTTGGATTGAGCGTGCACTTGGCTTCGAACTTTGCTTTCTCGCGCCAAACCCTCCATCGGCTCAATCATTTTTTTACGGGCCAAGCAGACTGGGTATTGTCAACCACAGAGGACGCAACATGTCTCCGAGGAACTCCCACGACAATAATGACATCGGCAAAGCCCATGTCGACAATGTCGAGGTCATCCCCAACGCCCTGGCCAATGCCAACAAGCCGAACCCTAGGAAAGAAGCTCCGGCCTACGTTGCCGGTCTGACGCCGGAAGAACGTGAAGAGGCCGAGAAAGCTCTCGTCCGCAAGATTGACCTTCGACTGCTCCCGATCACCATCATCATGTACATCCTCAACTACCTGGATCGAAACAACATTGTATGCTTTTTGTCGTTACTTGGTCTAGTTGGGACACCGGTTTACTTACGCTTCTATCTAGGCTGCCGCTCGACTTGCCGGGCTCGAGGATGATTTGAATCTGAGTGATGTGCAGTTCCAGACCTGTGTTAGTATTCTGTTTGTAGGATATTTGTTGATGCAAAGTAAGCGTGGCTACCTCGTCGTCTAAAGCTCTCTGCAAGGATTGACTGATTGGTTCTGTATAGTTCCGTCCAATTTGATGTTGAACAAGTTCGGAAAGCCTGCTATTTATCTTCCTTGCTCGATGGTGATGTGGGGTATTGTTTCCACCTGCACGGCGGCCGCTCAGAATTATGCCGGACTGGTCGTTATTCGGTTCTTTCTTGGTTTCGTTGAAGCCGCATACTTTGTACGTCTTTACCTCAACAGACTTGAACTCACGTTGGTTTCATGCTGATTTCTCTAGCCCGGTTGTCTGTACTTCCTTAGTGCTTGGTACACGAGGAAGGAGCTGGGTTTCAGAACCGCTGCCCTCTATTCCGGGTCTTTGATCTCTGGGGCTTTTTCAGGTTTGATTGCGGCCGGCATTACGGGCAACATGGACCATGTTAAAGGTCTTCGCGCTTGGTCAGTATCTTACTACCTCCTATGGCTAATGGGGAAGGCAAATAATGATAGGGCATAAAACTGACATCGATTGATTTCGCAGGCGTTGGCTCTTCATCATCGAAGGTGCTGTCACGATTGTCATTGCCTTGATAGCGCTTTTTATCCTTCCCAATTTCCCTCGAACAACCGGATGGCTCTCCGAAGAAGAGAAAGAACTGGCTGCCTGGCGTCTGGAGGAAGACATTGGCGAGGACGATTGGGTGGACAGTGAACAGCAATCTTTCCTGCACGGTGCAAAGCTGGCTTTTGCCGACATCAAGACCTATGTCCTGGTAAGCACCTGAAGAAAACAATGGAACCTAAATTGAAACGCCCCAGTGTCATCTCTAACCGTTGGGTTTAGACGCTGCTTGTCCTGTGCATCGTCTCCTCTGCCTCGGTGACCAACTTCTTCCCTACTGTCGTCGAGACCCTCAACTACGGCAATATCGAAACGCTTCTCCTAACGGCACCTCCTTACTGCCTTGCTGTTATTTGTGCCTTTGCCAACGCCTGGCACGCCGATCGCACCGGCGAACGATACTTCCACATCACCCTGCCCTTGTACGTTGCGATGGCCACCTACATTATCGCTGCAACTACCACGGCCATTGGTCCTCGTTACCTGTCCATGATGCTCATGGTCCCATCCCTGTATACCGGCTACGTCGTAGCCCTGAGTTGGATCTCTAGTACCTTGCCTCGACCGGCATCTAAGCGTGCAGCCGCTCTGGCGGCCATCAACTGCGTCAGTAATGCTAGTAGCATCTACGCCAGCTACATGTATCCGGATAGCGACAAGCCGAGATTTGGTATGTTTTCTTTGCCCCGACAGGGGATCAAAATCCATGCTAACTTAGCTTAGTGACTGCCATGAGTGTCAACTGTGCTACCGCATTCGTTGCCATCCTCGCCGCCACCGTCCTCCGCTTCATCCTTGTCGGATTGAATAAGAAACTCGACCGCGGCCAGGAGGTCTCGGGAGCTGTTAGGTCTGGTGGTCTTCCGGGCCAGGCCAGTGCGAGAGGGTTCCGGTTTTTGGTTTAAGCAATTAGATATAGTAGATTTATAGGTTGATATACTCGTTTTTGGTGTTGGAAAGAAGCGATTAATGCATTGATACAACGATTGAATTAATATGATCAACCTTTGTTCAGGTCAATATAAGAGCACGTGCCCTCGGAACAAACAGTGCAAACCGGGCAACCGCGGGTAAACAACCGCCCAACAGCAGTGACCAGTGACCAGCCACATGTTTCTCCCGAGGCCCAGCCCGCCTCTGCCTGCCCTGAGCGGCGCTCCTTCTCCTCCTTTCCCTCTTCCCTCTCCACAACCCTCCGCTCTCCGATCGAGCTAGCTGAAAACATGATTTGATTTCTATTAGCGACCTTCTTGTCTTTTATGCGCACACTTCTGATCTGTCTCAGCGACCGCAATGTCCTTCCCTTACTCCCAGGATGCCCGTCGTCGGCGGGTTGGAGCCGGTGCGGGTTTCAGCGCCACGGGTCGGCGAACGTTCATGGGTTACTGGGTCCCCCTGGCCCTGACCGTGGGCGTCGCGACCATTGGCGTTGCGGCCTGGATCTGGAGTGAACGAAGCGAAGATGATGACGACGACGAAAACAACCATCACCACCACCACAACCGCGATTACCCCCGCGACGACGAGAGGTTCCCCGCGCCCGGTCCTGCCGGTGGGCCGGGCTTGCCGCGCGACGCCTACGAGGAAGGAGACTATGCCCGAACTACGGGGACGGACGTTCACGGCGAGCATCCAGACGATGCCAGCGTCATGGCTCGCATGCAGGGTGCTTTGCGCCGCACGCCCAGTCCGCAGCAGATCTTCGACGGGGCTAGCAAGCGAGTCGCGGCCGGCGTCGCCGCAGCCGGTGCCTTTGTTGGCGGCGCCTTGACGTCTATTCGGGAGGAGGATCGCGGTGACTTTGAAGATCATTCTCGCTGGTCGGAGGAGGTCGAAAACAGAGCTTCTCGCGGCAGAGGACAGCAGCAACAGCAACCACAACAACAACAGCCTGATGTCACGGCGCCTACTATGAGTGGTGCTCTCCCTGGTCAGGCTGGTGTCGATAAGAGGAAGAAAACGGTGGCTATTGTTGTTTCGTCGGATGCGTCGCACCTGGATCCCGAAGAGTTCTCGTCTGAGCATGTGGTAAGTCCTCCTTGACCTTTGGAGTGGGTATAACCTCGAAGATGATAAGTGCTGACTTTAGAACTCACAGTCCATCCTGTCGCATCTTCCTGAACATGTCAATCCCGATACAACTCGAATTTTTGTGATGATATATGCGCCTGGGTTGAAGCATGCTCCTTCTCAGGGTAACGGATCGCACCCCACTCTCTCCGTCACGTCGTCTTATTCGAACATCGCCCCCGAAGAGGCTCAGTCGCTCGGTGAGCTTCCCTCGCCGGGCACTGTCACGGCGGCCGACGAGCCCGAGGGTTCCACGCCGCTCTTCAAGACCATGTACACGCAAGCCCAAGCTATCGTTGAGAAAACGAACACCATCATGCCGTTCAGCACTCGGACGGGATACGTGCACCTCGTCCGCCACATTTCGCCGGATATTGTCTACGTACAGGAGTCCCTGGCGGGTAAGGATGGGGAAGCCGTGCATCATATCTCCGGGTGGGTCAGACAGGTTGTCGTCGTCGTCGGCGATGAAGGCGGCCGAGGCGGTCTGGTCGACAGCGAAGACGAGTCGGCTCTTGGCGAGCCAAATGAACCATGGTGGCAGAAAGAGGGCACCACTGGCATCGGCAAACGGATTGACGTCGTTGATGCCCTCCGCACTGGGGATGACTGGCGACGAAGAGTGTCTGGCTTTGACTAGAACTTACGAAGCTGTTTCGGTACTGGGTGGCTGCTTTATTTATCTGTGTACTTTTCCCCTTCCCCTTCTTCTTTTCTTTCTCCTCCCCTTTACTTCTTCTTGATGATTGAGATTTGATTCCCCTTGACTTTGGTTTATTCTTATGAACACTACCCACAACTTCTTCATGTTCCCGTTGTGCATATTAAATGATGATATTGGTCGCTTTGAAAGAAATGGAACATTTGTATGAGATCAGGGTGACGAGTCGCCTTGCTTTTGTTTGGACGTGACTCATGCTCGCCGAGTAGTTAGTGAAGAAGAAGGAGTTTCATCCTTTGTCCGTGTAGACGTAGAAAGAAAGACAGACAATAAAGTAGGGCCTGCCAAAGGATGAATGACTAACGCAAGCGGCAGTCAGGTGACTCCCCGGCCTTCACGTCGAGCGCGGCTTGGCATCGCCAAACTCCCCTTTGCCTTTGCCAACCTCCGTCAACCGTTCGGTCCTCTCCTTTGACTCCTCCCTCCACCCCCTCCTGCTATTTCTGCGCAGGTCTCGCGTTCTTCCATGGACGGCCTGCTTTTTCTCTAGCGGCTCCCGGGATTCGTGCCAGCTTTCGTCTCAATTCCGGCCTGCTCGTTGCTGCCCGGTCCCCGTCCTCCGCTCCCCACATGTCTCGCGCTCCGGTTATATCATCGTCGATTTCCGGAATACGACCTACTTCACCATCGATCTCCTCCCTCCCGAGCAATCGCGTCTACGTGTCGCTGGACGTAGCCGCATCGTATGCCCGGTTCCGACACTAAAATGGCCACCGCGATCTCCAAACCCACCTCTCACCCTCCCAAGATGAAGCGGCCGCCCCCGCCTTTCCAGCCCGGGGTCAACGGGGTCAAATCCCAACATCCCTCTGCCTCCCCTCAGTCTGCCTCCAAGCGTATCCCCGGTTCCAACCAAGCGTCTGCCACGGCGGGCTCTACCGGCGGTCCAGTCACCAATGGCTCTGTCGATACCGCACACGGCGCCCCGGTCAAGGGTTCCGTGAATCGGTCTAAGAAGGATGCGCAAAAGGCGGCCGACCAGTCAACCCGGCCGCAGAAGGCGCTGTCAAGGCAGCTGTCTACGGATAATGATCGGTACCTAGGGAAGTCATCTCCTGGCCCATTCGGTGAGTCCTCTTGCTTCTGTGTTGCCGTCTCACAGGCGCGCGCGCGTGTGACCCTGCTAATCCTTGGCCCTTCTTTTCTTCCCGTCCTAGTGAGAACGACCTCCTATATCCTGAAGAAGTTCGCCAAGTCGCCTCCCTCTCTTACTGTACACCTACATCCGACCCATTTCCGCTTTGAACAGCAGGATGGGAGCTTTCCTTACAACTCCGAGATGAAGGTCATCATTGAGCATATCCGCGCCGGCACGGTTCCCCACGATATGATGGAGGAGTTGCTGCGCGGGAACGTGCGGTTCTATGATGGTGAGCTCTTCTGACTGACTTGGCAGCTTTTGCTATGGGGCCGAATTGTTCTAACGGGTTATTGTTTGGGTCTTAGGTTGTCTCATCGTCCGCGTCGTCGATCATAAGTCGGTGTCAGCACAGACCAGAAAGTCGACCGCTCCATCAACGAATGAAAGCAACACCCCATTCTCGATACATAATTACAACGAACATGTCACACCGTCGGCATTTGTGCCGTACCCCAAACTAAGCCAGCTGACGCCGGAAAAGCCCTCGAAGGAGACACCGACGGGCGGCCAGTCGGATGTCACTGCGGAGGGGGATCAGTCTAACGTCTCTCCGAATCAGAAAAAGGCAGATGAGCCAAACACCCCTCGTCAGAAAACATCGCCCTCGAAACCCCGTGTCTTCACTACCGTCCTCCACCCCACCCCTCGCTCGCTTCAGGCAGAGCTCACTCTGCTTGCGACCACTCCCGACCCCAAAGCTCCCAAGCCGTCAGCGGGGAATTCGTCGACATCTCGTACTCCCGCGGCAACAAATTCTACGGCTCCGCCGTCCCCCGGAGGATCGTCAAACCAAACCGATCGCGGCCCCAAAAGACAGAAAATGATGCTGGAACCGCAGGAGCTCCCGGAATGCGAGGCCCAGCTGACTGGACTGACAGCTCCGCCGCTATTCCTCGACCCGGTTGGAAGCTTAGAGGCTGTTCAAGATCTGCTGAAATACATGGAAAGCCCACTTCACAACAACCCGCCACCGTCGCCCAAGAGGCGGAAGCGTACCGTGGCCGAGCTTGCCGCGGACGAGGCTCTCGCGGCTGAGGAAGAACGGTTCATGCTCATCATGGATGAACGATTGGAGCCGGCCTCCTCGAATGGCTCAGGCGGCCCCAAATCTGCGGTCGTGGACGACACGGGTGGTGGTGCGCCTTTCGAACCGCGCTTCTCGCGCTTTAAGACGCTCGAGAACATTCGCATGCAACATGAAGACAAGGCGAAACGAGACCACGAAATCAAGATGAAGCAGGAGATGGCGAAGCGACAGCAGCAGGAGCAAGAGCGCGAGAGGCGCCGTGCTCTGGAACAGCGACAGGCCGACGAACAGGCCAAGGAGGATGCCCGCCGACAACATCTGGCCGCGCAGCAACAGGCCCAGGCACAGCTGGCGGCACAACAGCAGAACCGACACGTCATGGCCCAGGCCAACGGGGTTAGTCAGGCGCCGCAGTCGTCGCCCGTGGTTCGCAACCAAACTCCACTCAATACCTCGTCGCCGTTAGTCGGAAATACTATGGGTACGCAGGCCGGTGTTCCGATGAGTATGACGTCCTCTATGCAGGGTGCCGGAAGTCCTCCACGGCCGCCGTCCGCGTTGCAGCATGCCCACCCCAACGTCATGAGCCATCCGATGGCGCCTTCCAGGAGTCAGCAAGGTCAAAGCCGGCATGGCACGCCCCAGATGACCCAGGGGACGCCTGCCATGTCGCACGCAACCCCGATCATGCGCAACGTCACTCCCACGCAGCGCATGAGCCACGCCAGTCCGAACCGGTCAACAATGGCGCCTACTCCGGTGATGAACCAGGCCATGGTGGGAACTCCGCAGATGAATAATGGCTTGGGCTTAACGCCTCATCAACAGCAGATGTTGATGCAGCAGAGACAGCAGCTATTGGCGCAGCAGAACCATCTCGGCCATACCCAGCTCACACCGCAACAGATTGCTCAGTTGCAGGCCAATGTCCATGCACAGCAAAATATTCAAACGCACCAGCAGCAGATGTTGCAAGCTCAGCAAAATCACCAGCAACAGCAGCAGCCCAAGATTGCTGGCCCTCAAGCATACCAGTCGCAGCTAATGCGTGCTCAACTTGCTCAGATGCAAATGGCTCAGCAGCAGCAACAACAGCAGCAGCAGCAGCAACAGGCCCAGCCACAACAGCCGCAACAGCAACAGCAACCGTCCCAAGGGCAACAACAATCACAGGGACAACAAGGCCAGATGCACCAAGGTGCTCCTCAAATGAGCTCTCAACAGCAACAGATGCTAATGGCAGCGGCCCAAGCCAACGGCGGGCATATTCCACAGAATATGCAGGGGGTCAACATGGCGCAGGGGGCCATCGCCCAACGATACACCAGTCTCTATCAGCAGCGCTTGCTGCGCTTGAGGCAAGAAATGGCCAACCGTATGATGCCCGAATATGGGCCGCCCACCCAGTATCCGCCCCATCTGGCCCAGCAGTATCATGGCGGACTTGAGCGGAGTGCCAAAGCCTGGATTCATGATGTCATTCGGCGGGAGAAGGAACTTGCTCAGCAACAGCGCGCTTCCCAGGTTGCTGCCGTGCAAGCTCAAGTGATGCAGCAACAGCAGCAACAGAACATGATGCAGAATGGAATGGGCAAGTAGCTTGACTGGTTGTTGGGTCGGTGCTAATGCTTTTTCCGTTTCTTTCTTTCTTCTCTATTATTACTATTACCTTTTCCCCTTGGATTGGCGCCGAATCAACTCGGTAGCCTCTCCGCTGCATACTACCTACTAGACTCGCCCAATAGAGTCTCAAGATAGGTCCTCCTCTCTTGGGACTTATCATCTTTTCTTCGCTTTGCTTTACTTTTTTTGCTATGTCCACTTTTTCAGACTGTATAGGGAACAGGGATTTGAGATAAAACCGGCCGGCGTTGTTTGATATTTGAGTGGCTTGCTTGGCCTACCTATTAACGTGACTTTGATTTGATTTTCTTGCTCATTCTGGTGCTGCTTCGTTTCCTTTCTTTATCACGCGAACTTATAACTATTGGGAAACCCGGGACTGACTGACTGAACTGACTGATTCTGGTTTGATTTGATTTTGATTTTTTTTTCTTTACCCGTGTAATTGATTGATTCGATTTGATTTTATCTGAAACGTTCAGGGGAAGAGGAGCCAGGGCATCATTGACTTGATTGATAACTGATACCATTTTTTTTTCTTTGCGTTTGCTTTCTTTGCTGTGGCTGTGTTCTTTTGTACAGGTGTTCTGATACTTTTCTTTTACTTTCCCTTTTTGTCTGTTTCTTTCTCTTTCTTGATTACTTTTTTGTTCTATAGTCTTCTTATTTTGCTGCTGATGCTGCTTCTGCTGTTGTTGCTAGATGACATAGCTTTTTTTGTTCAATATGAGAAAATTTATTTTGAACATCATGTCTTTTTTGGTGGTTGGGTTATGTGTGTACTATCTGAGTACAGTGTAGTGTAGACTTATTTATGGTTGAGTAGTTAGTCTATTGTACATGTAAATAGATGTAGATATATAAACCCTGCAGTATAGGGAATGGAGATTGGATATAGTTCCATTCATGTACTTATCTATATGTCTTACTGAGATGATTTACCGATTGAATAACGACGTATTGTTGATAGATAGATCTTCTTCCTTGTCTTTTAGATATCTACATCGACCGTATGTACAGTAAGTACCCCTTATTCGATCTCTGCATGTTAGCTAGAAATAGTAAGTTTACTGCCTAGAGAGGGAGCTAGTCAAGAGAAGGGAAGGGAAGATATATCTAACACGAACTAGATAGGAATTAGACCGTCAAGTACCGTACGTTTATACATGTGCATTCGCATATCCTCAGAGTGAAATGGATATCCAAACGCGCTCAATAGGTCTTGGATGAATATTTCTTTTCGCTATTGAATCCGTGACATGGGTTTGTTTTTGTTTGTGGGGTTGGAAGCGTCGTAGATTGTGTTTTTGTATATTTTGACTGGGTTGGCTTGTTTGGTTTGGATTGTGTGAACGGTTAGTTGAAGTCATGAATATATCTAATGTAAAGGAATTGATATTGAGTATTCCTTCCTGAAGGGTATGGTTTAGTAGATGTGTAGATTGGTCGAAGACTACACAGGGTGTTTGTGCTCATTAGGCCTGTGGGTTTGGGATTGATGCGTGATTGTGATATAGGTATAGATGAGTTGTATACTGTGTGGTGGTTGAGAAGATATATTAGATTGGACAGGACAGGACTGAACGAGAGAGATTGTTAGATGTGTATTGTGATTTATGTATTTGGGTGAACTTTTTGACAATGAGATGTGAGATTATGGACTGGATAGTGACACATACACACATACACACATACACACACACACAGAGAGAGAGAGAGAGCATATGTATATACCAAAAGGCACAACAACCAAAGCAGATAACTCAATGGCAACACCTCAACTCTATACATTCATTCTACCATTTCCTTCAAACTCCATATATAAACACAATATCTACATCCCTTAACACCAAGACCTCATTCTCTAGCTGTATCCTTCCACATCAGAACCCAACCAACCCAAGCTCCATACACGTTTGCATGCATTCATTATGTCCATCCGTAGGTGTGTGTCCATGCCACTTAAGCTAATAAAACACATACACGAATCCTACCTTACTATGGTATACCCACTCTAACTAACCAACCTAACTAGTTGAATCCGGTAACAACACCTGTAATAGGCCAAGTAGGTAGGTAGGCAGGAAGTCCATTTGATTGAAGTGATGTTACTTTTTCCGCGGATGTAGATGATTACATACATTACCAAGCACCCACACTTTCATTTCGTCTCATTTCGGAATCGGTTCAGTTCACGGTTGGTGGATTCAATCAAATCAAACCAAATTAAAGGAAACCTTTGCAAACCCCCCAGACTCAGGTCCAGCCAGCCAGCCGTCTACCTAGACACGTCTGGGTCGAGGTCGATCTACACTGCGCCTTCCTTCGACGGTTCGTTCTGACACGGTGGGTATACTCTATGTACTTACACCATGGTTAGGCCTATGTATACAACGATAGGATACTACCCTACCTACATACCTACGTGACCCGGTCGCTGCGGTGTGATGCGGTGTCAGCACTAGATCCATGGAAATTGGACAGACCAAGAAAAGAAAAAAGTTTGAGTACAGTAGAGCGTAAGAACTAGAGGGGAGGAAAGATAATGCCAAGGCTTGAGGTGGCCAGATTTCATTTTAAGTTGGAAACAAGTGATTATTTCCTCCTTTTTTTCATTTATTTTATCTGGCATTTATTTATCTGGAAAGAGAAAGAGAGGGAAAAAAAGTTCCCAAGACCCAAAGACTGGGGACTGGAGACTGGATGGAGCCCGATCATGAGGATCAGAATCAGGATCGACATGATCTCCACCGCATACATACGTGCGGGATAATCAAACTAGGTAAGTATGTGCGTGTCCATAGATGAATGGAACAATGGGTATTGTGGAAGCAAAAAAGAGGGCCAAGTATCAGGTGCCGCCGGGTCTTCCTAGTGGTACGTTGGTCACGATTCAACGAGAATTTCTGTGTTTTCTTTTTTTCTCTCTCGCAACGTATTTCATCCACGCATCTTAGTCGGTCAGTCAGCAGTGGCAGCCAGCCAGCCATCTAGGCAGAGAACAGAGACATCTCGAGAATGAGGACATTATTGGTCGCCAGTATACCGCCTGCATGTCTGAAAAGTCGCCCAAATGATGGGACGGGCCAATGCATGCATGAATACTGTTTGGGAAAGTTCCCTCCTGTTCAATTGGCTGGCTGGCTGGCTGGCTCATGTATATGTGCATTCCAGTGGGATCGACTATGGAAACTTTGGCTGAAATACTTGCGAAGAGGTCAATGTGTTGGTTTTGGGGGGAAGGCCGGACGTGATTTTTGTTTCATGGAGTATAATCCAGACTGGATGGAGCAGGCTGGCTTGTTCTAGGTTGCCGTGGATCTTGATGGCTGATAACATAACCTTGGCTTACTCTGTAGGTATTAGGGCTGACAATGTGGCCGCCGAGCTGCTGCTTCGGGAGATGCCTGAGCGCCGTTATCGGCATGTTTAACCGGATAGCCTCTCCCCTAAGGTAGGTAAGTAGGATAGGGAGTAAATACCTAATAGACGCGGGGACTATCGAGGACCATGGATGTTAGAGACCATGGTTAAGCATCTCTTGTGAATAGCGCCTAGGTAGGGCAGGTGGTTCTCCCTCCCTCCCAAGCTCAATAAAATGACGTAGTACGGAATGCCATTACTAGAGCATGGCGCAAGGAAGGACTGAACAGCTTCGGTTAAGCCTTGTCTCCTCAGCCCGCCTGAAAACCTACGAGATGGTAACGGGCTAGGAAGGATATGCGGCGTTGGTAGTGCACGAGTCTGGTCGAAGAAGAATTATTGCCAGGAGGAACCTGATTTTCCCACATAGGGCCATGGCCGGGGCATGAGACACAACGCCAAATGCAATGCAATGCAACTCAAATCGATGTTATTGATTGACTGATGAGACGGTGGCGAGTGGATATCACGAACCAAGTTTTGGACTCATTTATTGGTTGTTGCGGTAAAGCCCACGAAGCAAGGGGCTCAAATAGGAGGCTGGAACGCCGACATTGGATTCGTCCTTTGTTGAGCCACTGCCCCATAGTTCTCTCAAACAAGGCAATTGATAAGTGGAGGCCGATCCCTGCATGAGAGGGTGATGAGACAGGCAGTAGAGCGAAGCATGGGAGGCCGTGTTGCAGGTGAGACAAAAGCCGACGCTTCAATGTGCAACTTGATGTCGATCCTGATTCGAATTCATCCGTCGCAAGTGCCCTGCACTGACCACCCGCAGAGGATAAGAAAATCTTCAGCAGTTTCTGTTCCCTTCGCTGATAAAATGCTCCGATCCGTTGAAGATCTAATTCCCCAACGAACCTGCAGCAATCAAAGTGAGGGCTGTGTCGTACTATCTAGTCTGCCTTTCTCTTGTACTGCACTTGAAAGCTCGCTCTTGAACGTAAAAAAAGGCCATCGAGAAGTGAGTCTTGTATGTACGCACATTCTTGTCCCAAGCATACCCTAAGAGTGGACAAAACAGTGATAAGGATTGTTCGTCTTGCCCGCAAAGACAGCGAGATCCTAAAATAGAGCAATTCCTCTACGATCGATCCACGGAGATGGTCACGATGTGGATCGATGATATCCTCTAGACTTGGAGACTTGAAGCGTGCCACCAAACATAGGATGGTCGCTGAGGCGGGTCCAGATTCCAGATGCTTGTTTCTCTTTCTTTATTTTTAGCACACTACGCGAATAGAAGGATCTTTGGACGAACACTATGGCTTCCAGAAAGAAGAAATCCCCTGGCAAGGAAGGCGTCGTAGTTTTGATCCACGGAAGATTCACTCAAGGGCGGCCAATAATCGAAGTTGTTCGGCTCATTTCTCTTCAGTCATTAGGAGCTGGCAATTATTTCATGCTTTTTTGAATACGGAATGAATTTGAAATGGGTTGCTTACTCCGGAGTACTCTTTGCAAATGATATCGAAACCCTTGCTGAATGCTGAAATTCAAGAGGTTTCATTTGAGTCTCATATTGGATCTTTCTTTCCTCTCTTTTTCTTTCA